TATATGTTAGATGATCTCTTACCACACAGCAGCAGGTCAGAACAATTAAGAATCCACACACGGCGCCAGCCGTTCCAACAACCCATGTTAATCGAATGAACAATATGACACCAAAGATGTTTTGAATGCATGGCAAGAACACTCCAATTAGGGTACCTTAAGTGGAACATTCAATACCGCAGTTAGTTAAGGGAAGTGCTAAATGATTTCCCTGATCAATGAATATTTTAAATATTAAAGCTGCACGATGAAGGTTAAAACACTTTAAAGGGATTAAAACAATCATTCTTTCACAGCTTTGTCGGGCTACGAACATTGCAGTTCCATTGTCTGCGTCGTCTGCCTTCCATTCAATAGGAGGAACAAGAAACAAGTAAGTTAATTAATTCGTAGCGAACATACCCATTCGAGCCGATGGAGCTGCCGGCTTTGCATCGGGATCGGTGGCCGCTGGTATCGTGTTTTCATAATTGGCAATTGATGAAATGAATGTTGATATATGAGGCCTGGTCTCCAAATCATCATCGTATAGATATAGATTTGGGTCGATATTGGACTTCTGGTTTTCTTCAGCCCTGTGGATATCACCTGAGTCTGCAAATAAAATATTGGAGTTTAAGGTATAACAAAGCTGAAGAGTGATATATTATGTAATTTTAAATGTTAACCTATATAAACCTATATACTTTGGTTCCCGGATCCCAAGCATACCTTCATTTTTTGTGTCGTGAACTGTTCCATTGTGTTCGGATGGTATTATTTCCATTTCATCCGAATCATCTTTTGCACTGTTACTTTGCATGTTAACGTTATGTTTGGCTCAAACCCTTGCTCTAGATTGCACTTTTTTCACTTAAAATTAGGTAACACTAGAATGCGGACGAAAATTTAATGGGCATGGCCTTTTTAGGCGTAGCTCTACGCATCGACATTATATAACCGAAAGGCGTGGCCTATTCGTTTTATATTCACATGTCTAAGGACGCGTGTGCTTATATAGACGAGACTTCTGATTTTGGAAAGGAGTTCTTAATCGGGAGATGCCCCAGGACTTCGGAGGTGAGTGTGGAATTTAAAATTCAGTGGGGAAAGAGGGATGCTGTGCACTCTCAGCTACGAAAATTGTGCCAGCTCAAACATAAAATATGTAACCGATTAATTTAGGTCAAGGATTTTCAGACCGTCATCGTTGGACGGTAAATAAATGGCGTAAAGAGTTCCTTTTTAGCTATAATGCGGCTCTCGAGCTGATAAAATGCACAGAATACGAATGCTGCTGAAAATCGTTACGAAATTAATAGCTCTTGGTACTTTTATATGGGAATGATAGGGGAATTTGCGAACTCGAACTAGAGTCTTTGATTTTTTTCTCAAAAGAGCACACACTTTGTAATTGAACGCACTTTTATTCATGTATTTGATTATTGTTAGAATTTCGTCGATTGTTAAAAGTATGTTATTTGTTAAAGGTGCTCAAAAAAACCTGTTTTTTCATGTTTTATATTTTTTTTTTGTTATTTGAAAGAAGTTTCTTTCTAAAATTGTTTTAGTCGAGCGAAAACGCTCAGATGTATGCTACTTTTCGTTCAGATTAATAGAAAAACTAAGAAAACTGTTGGTATTCGGCTGAATAAAAATTATGTTGCCCAGGACCCTGAGCGTTCAATTGAGATGAAATCGAAAGCTTTTGTCTACACACATTTTTAATACACACTCTCGTCTTCGAGAGCGAGACCGATGCTGAGAAGAGCGGAGAGCGCCATTGCAGGTGTACATTTCTTGGCCTATAGCCCACTCGGCTGGCGAAACTTGGCCAGGACCCACCATCTAACCATCCAGCCCATCCAATAAGTCGCACTCTCGCCCAGCATCCGCTGGAAGGGAAACGAAAATCCAAGAGAAAAGCTTCGCCGCCTGGGCGACTCTCTTTCAGAGCTTTCTACAGGTATAACGAGCTTTGGCTTACAGCTGCGACGATATGTGTCAGCAGGACATCTTGGTCTCGGGCAACTGGGGCAGCGCAAGATAGGATTGTAGGCCCATAAGCTCTATCTGGGGCTACAGTAGGCATTCGATGCAGGATACGTTTAGTTGGCTTTAAAGTCAAAAAACAAAAATAAAAAAAAAAGAAATTCCTTTGCATATTTTGTTCTAATATTATTAGAACACCTGAACAACATCCCTAACAAGTTTTAAATAATATATTTAGCATATCTTACAAATTACCTCTTATAGTAATCCATTTTTAAAGTTTAATGAGAGAAAGAAAATATCCTTACCAGAATATGACCCATAGTTCTCACCTAGGGTTTCATCATGGATGTCTCCTAGTAGCTTCCCACTCGCAGATTCATCCTGATTATAGTCCAATACGGTGTCTTCGTCTGCTTTTGTGACTTGAAATCTATCTGGCATATTTCTGGATGTAAGGCACTCTAAAATCAAAATCATTTAATATCATTAAGACCTTGTTGAGAAAAGAAACCTTCAACTTCAAAAGCATTCCCGAAAATCATAGGTACACTTGGGTTAGTTCCGGATTCATATAAACCCAAAATCTAATAAACTCTTAAGTCTGGTAGTTCTCATTTCGCTGATAATAATACTATTTTCGTTGGTTCCGAATTCTCATAAGTCTGAAAGCCACTAAACTTTTAAGACAGGTAATCTACTTTTTTATTTCTGCCGCACCTTAAAGAAGTATAATAACTCGTGATCGGAGGTATCTTAAGCTGCGGAAGACCGAATCACATTATTTGCATAATACCAGTTACTATCACATGACTACTGAAGTTAGTAGTCAGTAGATGACTAAACAAAAAGGAAATCGCACCTCTGACTTATGCTCCACTTTTCAGGTCAGATAAAAAGTTGTTTTTCGATCTTTTGCCGCTAATCGGCTTAACTCTGTATTGTGGACATAAGATAACGGCTCTTTAGTATAGTTCACGAATTGTTATGTCACGGGTTTCGTTATATAAGATATGACTTTGTTTCCACCCAAGACATGATTCGGAATTTTAACAATTATATAAAAACTCTAGGCATTTCTAAACCCTTTGGAAGTTCTTGAGGTCTTTTAGCAGTGCGTATAATCTTCGTCGCCACTGTAATTTTAGACCAGATTGATAAATAAACAACAACATAGTCGTGCACCCGAAGCAAATTTGGGGACAAATGGGCATCAGTCCATGTAGGTATACTTGCTCAATTAGAAAGCCTTTATATATATTATCAAGATCGGGTCTCATCCCGAAATCGACCAAAAGTGGGGGTCTGGTTCATTGATAAATACTTAAATCTGTTCTCATCGATTGTGGGCCACTCTGCACCCCGCATACACACGAAATCGTTCCATAGATTAACGTAAATACAGGTCTACATGGAACACAAAGAAGTGCATGCAGATACATCCATATCTACATACATATGTACATAAGGATGAGCGTGGTGCTTAGAACCAGTCTACTGTATTATCTAACGTCTGTTAATCGGAAAGGTTCGATCCGGGATATAGCAAAATCACTTCGTCAAACACTGAACAATCAGCTATACATACAGCAGCAAAATACTTAATACGGAATACAAAATGAATCGAGAACGCTTTTGGCTCGGGGAAAATGTAATGTTTACGCGCAGCGAATTTTATTCTATTTACTTGAGCAAGCGCCTTGAACTCGCTTTTCACCGACGATCCACTTATGCTAACTAACGTCCTTTTTGATTATTTATTTATTTTCTGGGTTCCTCCTCTCCTGCTTATTGTTTAGTGAACTTTTCAATTGTACGAATAAAATAAAACTATCATATTAAAGGCGCATGAGTAATACAAAATGATTTTCCACTGTATATACTTTGGAATCGCGAGTTGGGGGAAACTGTTGTATTAATGAAAAGTCTAATTGAAATCAAATGTAACGCATAGGGGACGCATGAATACCGATTGTATTTTGGAAAAAAGTCCGCCAGTGATATATTTATTGCAATTAGCACCCAAGATACCATCTTATGATAATTTCTATCTCGCCGATTGTGAACGCAGAAATTTTACTGATTCTGGGCAAAATTTATAAGGCAGTTAAAGACAACTGATGGCTATAAATGCTTGCTGATGTAGGTGTGTGCATATATTGGCATGCATTTTTGACCACTTTAAAAATTGCATCATTTTAAATACGAAATTGCGCATATAAGATTAAAGTTCCTAATTTTCACGTTTATGTAGTAGTTATGTACGTATACCTTATCTGTATATTTCGACATCTTTGACCTGGTAGGTAATATATCTACAATAATTATGTTTGAAAGAAGAAACGCCATGGTTTAAAATATGCAAATCACTTTAAAATGCGCTATGTAGAGAATAATTTGTTTACATAGTGCTGCAGCGGTTTTGCGATAGTTCTATGAAATCAATTTGAAACACCTCGATCGGATTGCCCCAGTAGGTATCGAATTTGCGCAGAGTTCCTAAATTGGTTATTATCTTAACTGATAAGCTTAAATTTTTTAAAATAATTTGTGAAATTCAAGATTTTAATTTTAGCCGCATCAGTTTTCTATATTTGGATATACCGATAGTATCGATAGAAGAAAACCTTAAGTCTTTTTGTCCAAGTTCTTAATTTTTTGAATTGTTTAAATATTAAATTTAATTAGTAACAAGTTTTTTAGTATTTACTACTTTCAAGCTAGGATCTCAGTTGACGATTTAATTATCGATCCCAAGATTGGGTGTAAGCCATAGTTGGTAGGGGAATTCTTTTATCTTCTTCTACCCGATTTTATAAAATAGCATTGAAATATTTAACAATTAGCAAGGGCACCTAACTTATGGTTCGACTGGTAAAAAAGTTTAAGCACTAAGTTAAGTTCATAATTAACCATAATATTCGAATATTGAATACATAAATAAAAAAACTAACCAACTCAATAATGAATTTAAAAGATAAAATTTACATTTAACTTTTTAAATTCTGGAGTGTGTCTCGGATAAGAAAATAAGTGTGGCCGCAGGCAATCGAAAAATAGCACCTTTTCAAAGAAAATGGACTCCTCACCCACGATCCGAAGCGTTCCTTTTTAAACATTTTCGTCGCGGTGCTCATCGTTCGTCTGTTTCAAGTGAAGGTAAGTTTAATAATTGTGGATGCTTAGCTTAGTTAGATAGCTAATTGACTGCCCAATTATTTGTTAAAGTTTTATATAGTCAAAGTGATTAGTTACCCACAGATTCTGCCTAAAACAAGCCCTGTTTGACTCACCACGTGTTTTCAAAGCTTTTTCATTGAATCGCATATGCACACACACATATTTCTGCTTGTCGGCCGAATGGCGTTTTAATTTTTTAAACGCCCTTCGGGGTGTGCGAATACCAACTTCTATAATATTTAGATGTTGAAATAAATATGTAGTCAAAGTTTCGCATGTAATCTGGGATTCCTTTACAGTAGCAAATTTCTGTATAAGAATCTGCACATGTGTACATCATTCTGTACATCATTAGCAAAAACGAAACAATAAGAGTTTTAAATCTTTCAGTGAAATCAGCATAATATATTGAACAATGGAGGCTCCACAAGAAGGAAACGTAGACCAGGAGTCCTGCAACGAAATCGAGGACGATAAGTCTGGCTCCGACTGCCAGACGATGTGAGTAGTGACGAAATTTTGGCAGCGAGACAAGGACGATAACTATAAACATCCGCACTTACTTTCCAGGCCGGCCTACATGAACTCTGTTTTGCGGCGCCAGTATCTGCAGGAGATGGTCAAGGCTTTACCCCCTCCGGTTCAGAATCGGATTGTTGCCTTAAAGAACCTGCAATTGGAGCATTTGAAAATCGAAGCCGAATTCTTTGAAGAGGTTTACAAGCTGGAGCAGAAGTACCAGGTCCAGTACCAGCCGTTGTTTGACAAGCGCAAGGAGATTATTGGGGGCACGGTGGACCCAGCCGAAGAGAAGCCGAACTGGAAGGAGCAGGAGTCATTGACCGAGAACGTGGACCTTGATAGCCTGCGAGAATCAATACAAAATTTAAAGAATATTCCCCAGGACGCCAAGGGCATTCCCGGCTTCTGGCTGACTGTATTCCGCAACACGGCCATTCTTTCTGAGATGGTTCAGACCCACGACGAACCAGCTCTGGGAAAACTGATCGATATATCAATCAAGTACGATAATGGGGTAAGTTGTAATTTTTTTTTTTTTTTTTTTTTTTTTTTTGTCTAACCAATTATATCCTTTAGCATTCGTACACCTTGGAGTTCCATTTCGATAAAAACGAGTACTTCTCCAACTCGGTACTTACAAAACAGTACGTTTTGAAGTCCACTGTTGATCCTGACGATCCGTTCGCATTTGAAGGTCCAGAGATTTACAAGTGCACGGTATGTTACTCTTATTTTATTCCAATGGATGGATGCATATTCAAAATAAAATCTACACTAGGGGTGCACCATCAACTGGGAGAAAAAGATGAACCTTACCGTCAAGACAATCCGGAAGAAGCAGAAGCATAAGGAACGTGGCGCAGTGCGCACCATCGTCAAGCAGGTTCCAACGGATTCCTTCTTCAATTTCTTCAACCCACCAGAGGTTCCAGCCAACGAGGACGAAATTGATGATGAATCTCAACAGGTGAGCTTGATTTTTCAGAGTTTACCTTCAGGCTCTTTACTAATTTGTGTTTGAAGATATTGGCCACCGATTTTGAAATTGGTCACTTCATTCGGGCCAGAATTATCCCAAAAGCCGTGCTTTACTACACTGGCGACATTGTTGATGATGAGGACGACGAGGATGAGGAGGAGTTTGAGAATGAAGAGGATGATTATGACGACGACGATGCCCCTCCAGCAAAAGGCCAAAAGCCTGCCGGTAACAAGAAACAGTCGCCCAACGACTGCCCGAATCAGTAAGCAAATTGATATGGCTGGTTTACCGATATAATGTATATACATAATTCAAATTTAATTTGAAATATATTTTTGGTGAATTAAAACTTAACTACGAACGATATGAGCTGAATTCCAATAAACCATACATGATATTTTAATTCAGTTGGCCTTAGCTTTGAATAAAATAATACCAAGTGGTGTTTTCTTATAAATTCAAAACAAAACTATTATTTAAATTGGTAAATATTATTGGTCTACTTAAACAGACAAAAATGAATGCAACGCTAATCTATATTTTAAGACAGCAATTTAAGCTGCTTTTTGGACAAGTTGTATGGATAGTGCAGACTAGTTGGCACAAAGATTTGCCCTGTGACCTGAGAGTCAAAATTTTCCTCGTAACCCACTGTATAGCCCTCCGGTATCTTGGCTGCCTTATGCCAAGTGAAGCACTCTGGAGGAGTTGAGTTAAGGGCGTAGAAGGGATAGTCAAAGGTGTTTATGTATATATCAACACAAAGACCGTGACTTCCTAAGTGAAGCTGACTGGCCACTGAGGGCTGCTTGAGGCCACAGCTGCCAAGCATTATGTTTCGGTGGCAGGAGTATACAAAGGTGCCTTTGTCGCGGCTCGAATGAAAGCACTGGACATGTTTGCCTGCCTTTGAGTGATCCACTGCGATGGGATCGAATCCGGGACCGGCCATATCACACGCTGAAACAGAGAAAAAATTTATATAAGACTGAAAATGGCTTGAAGTACTCACTGTCTATGCTTTCGATTATATATTTGGGCCATAAAGATCTTCCAACTGCTGAAGCGAGTTGTCCACCGAAGCTAAACCCAAACATATAACCTTTCTTTGGCTCGAATCCCTGCTTAAACAGCGTTAAAATAATGGAAGATATGGCTCTAGTCAGGGTGTCAAAGTTTGTGTATAATCTTTCAAAATTTGAGAATTAGTATTGGTTAATATTGGTACATATTAACTAACCGCATATATGAGGAACTAGCTACCACACTATAGTCAATGCATATCACACAACCGCCCCGGTAATAACTGAGCCCTGAAATATTGACTGAGTTTAGAACAAGCAATTTTTACTATTAAAATTCTTACTTTCAATTAGGGATAATGCCCACTCGTCCGAGCAACTTTGAATCCAGCCATGTAAAACTATGGCAAATTTTTCTGATGCTGAACAACCTGATCCATTGAGGTCATAAGTGTCGTCATAAGCTGAAGACTCCAGAGTTTTGGTGTTGTTCTTATAGAAAATAACTCGCATGGTCTTCTGGGCATCATATTTGATTCTTTGTTGATAAACTTATAAATCGAATTATAAAATAGTGAATTGTAAGCTTTATCTTTAATGGTTACCCAAAGTAATATTTTGTGGCGCAGGCGCTTGCTTTTGCCTTAGAATTGTATATTTGAGATTGAGTTTGGAGTACGTTCCATTAAATAAAATTTGAAATACGTAAACAATCAAGATTAGGTGCCGAATACTGAACGATTGCATAGTTATCTAGATTATTTACAGAAAGTGAAAAAGCAATAATAGTACAAACTTCACATGAATGACTTTGGGAAATCAATGTTGATTTTATGAAATCGTTAAAACTTCACTTTAGATCGATATTTTGAGACACACAAAAGTAATCGATTAATATTTGTTTTGGCGCCAAAAGAGACTATGAATTTTAAATATATTTTTAGAAAGAAAACATCCTATTATTACTATTAAATATTGCATTTTTTATTTCCAATTAAATGATTCTTTTTCCTATGTAGAACATTTTTCATTGTCATCAAAATCTAGAGAGTTGAGAACATTCACATCTAGTTCTGGGTCCGCATACTCCAGAATATTAAAGTCATCTCCAATTTCTGAAGTGAGCGACTTGAGTAGATCATCGTCGTCCCCTTCGCCGAGTCCTCCCAGAAGATCACTAAAACCTACGTTTTCCAACTCCACGGCAGAGGACGTTGCCTCCTGCGGTTCGCTCATCTTTACATCCTGCTCCAAGGCCCTGCCTTCAGGTGCTTTTCCACTTATGCTCAACATTGGATTGTTCTGTGTAATGGGGGTATTTTGCATCATGCCCAGTCGCATGACATCATTACCTAAGAACAAGTCCGAATTGGCTCCCATAAGCATTGGTTCAGTACTATTCTTTTGCAGCAGGTTCCTTAGCTTTTTATCTCCAATGGGTTCGGTTCCATAAACAGTGTTCAACTCCAGCCGATTGTCCATGGGGGTCATTTTTAAGGTAGTAGCAGTCGACGTGTGTACTTGAGTCCTTTGCATCGTGGCCTTGATCACTAAATTTTCGTTGACATTGGGCATTACTTGATGCTGGTTGGGATTATTGGGCGTTGACTGCGCAGCGCCACCTACATAGTTTGCCATATCGTAAGCATTTCCATCTAAATGAAATACAAATGTTATAATCAGGAATATAATATTGCCTTTGAACTTACTGTACGTAACAAACATGTTCGGCTGGTCTTCCTTTATTTTTGGCTGTTGTTTCCAAACCCTTCCCATTTCTTCCTGCTTTTGAGGCTTTGGTGGGATAGGTATTTTATTTTGCTCTCTCCTCTGCCGCAGTGCCGAACGATTATCCTTTGCCTTTTGCAAGAACGGAGCCTTTTTCTCGTTGCATAACGACCGCCATCTCTTTAAAATCTGCTTGCAACGATCATTCCAGTTGGGGAACAATTCTTTTAGGTTCGGATGCTCAGTATTGGCATACAAAACTGCCGAAATGGTGGCCATTAAACCAAGGTCTGCAATAAAATATAATTATGTTAAACATAGTCCAAAAGTATTCAAATGGCATTATACCCTCGTCCTTTCGCATTTTCTCTGCCGTCTTTTGAGTGCCAGCGTTCAAATTTTCCGCCACGGGTTCAACAACCTTTTGATCTTCTTCTGGCCTCTTATCGGGTTGCAAAACAACTTGGCTATTCATAGTTTGCATATTCTGCTTATTGGTATTCTGTGCCTTTAAATGCTCTTGTTGGCGGAAATGAAGCTGTTGGACGGGGTTAACGGCAATATTTCCTGGCAAATATAGCTGATTGTGAAACTTTTGGTCCTGAGGCAACTGGTTTGGCACCATGTAATTATCGACCAACACCACTGGTGAATCCCTGAAACAAAGCATACGGTATACTTGTTTTAGATAAGAAAGGTCTTTCAATATATACACGACTTTACCGAATTGGTTTTTCAATAATTTCAGCTGATGCAACCGTATTTACAGAATTCACTGTGTCTAGTTCGGGAATATTTGGTGAAGCCAACGTATCCAATGGATGCCGGTTGGCAAACACAGTATTCGAAATCTCTGTTTGAAGGGGATCTTAAGAGAAAATTCTTGGTCAATATAGAGTGAAAGAAGGTAATAAAAAGGCAAATAATTACCAAACACGTTTGAAACAGGTGCCATTGCGTTTTTATGCTGGATTCCCATTGGCATTTGCTCAATAAAAAGAGCTTTATTTTCAGTTTTTAACTCAGCCTTGACTTTTTTCACGGTCTTTGCAGGACTTTTGTTAGTCACCGGTGTGTCCTGATTGGCTGGGCTCTTACGCTCTGCCCTAGTGAAATATATCTTCATGGATGCATCAATTTCATCAGAAGAATCTGATTCGGCTATGCCATGCTCTCCGCCTTCCAGTAGAGGTTTTCCAAAGAATGCCTCTTGTAGATATACAGGATATGCTTCAATAAGTTTGTTCTTTTGCTTTTTTCTTATGATTTTCTTCTTTTTGTCCATAGTTATAATTGAATTTAATTGATCAGCAGCCGTCGTCTCCTCATTGTCCTTTTTCAGACCCCGATTGCGAACAGAAAACCCCCCAATGCCCAGCTTTTGCAGATTGCGTTGTCGCTTCTTGCGTAAGATATGCACTCCCTCATCGTTGGTGGTGATAGTGAAACCCTCGGGAATGGCGTTCTCCGTCCCATCCCAGACCATTCCGTCTTTGTACTTTTCGTGCCCCTCCTCAGCACCGTTATCTGCTTGGCTATCCTTGCCATTGCCGATAGGCTGGCGCATCTTGCGCTTTCGTTTGATCTCCGTTGATAGAGACTTTATCATTCCTAATCCGCTTTCGCTTAGGCAAACGCCGTCAATCCAATGAATGGCCTCCGGAGCAGCGTCTGGTAGATCGCTGGATAAGGTAAGATGATTACGATCGGGGCCAGTTTTGGCATCAAAACTCGGTCCAGAGGCTGTGATGTGCACAAATGCTTTGCTTGTCGGAGGACCAATGACGGTCGCATCATCGTTACCAGACTTGGTATCCGTCAGGGACATCATGTTTCTCGTAGAGCAGCGGCACTTTAAACACTTGTACACATTACTATCGTAGTAATCAATGGTCAATTGAGCGTTGATGGTGTCGCAGAGGAAGTGCGACCAAAGCTCACAGTGCTCGCATTGAATAATCATCTCACCGTTGCTGTAAGGGTTCTTGCAGATGGGACACAACGATTGGCTGGTGCAGGGCGGGCATTCGAGCATGTTGGAGTCTCCGAACTCGCTCTTATCGGTGGGATTACGACCGCATTTCTGGCAAAGTGTACAGAAGGAACACTTCCAGTTGCCAGAGGGCACGGTTTCCAGTGGGGGATTAACACAATAAATATGGTAAGAAATGTCGCATTCATCGCATAACAAAAGGCGCGCCTCGTCGTTCTTCTTTCCACAACCCTCGCACACTGTGCAGTCCAGGCATCGCCAGCCCTTCTGCAGGATGCCTCTCGAAGGCTTCACACCGGCACAGTACGGATGATAGCATTGGCCGCACTGAGCACAAGTGATCATCACCGAATCGCTTTCAATGCCCAGTGAGCCGCACATAACGCAGATATCTTGCGCTTGGATAAACTTGTCCCGCGCCGAGCATAATAGCAGCTTTTTGTCACTGGTGAAATCGGTTTCCATATTTCGACTCATGCAGCGATCGCTCGATATGCTGGGCAACGCAAGCTGGCGTCCTTTACCCCGCGTGCTACGCTTCTTGTTGATCTGTGACATAACACCCATACGATGTAGCACAAACTTTCCACTCTTTCCGCGGACATTTGGAAGGCACACTTTTTTCTTGCCGGTGGGCAGTTTGTGGAATTCATCGCTAGATGGATCCATTGTGGGTTTACCCTCTAACGGGTCAAGTTCAATTTCTTTGATACTCATCTGCTCTGATGACGAATCCATAGCAGACAAAACAATCGAATCGATTGCCTGTTGGGATGTTCCCGGACCGGATGAATTACTTTTACAGTTCGGACACACGTAATCGTAATCTGGATTCTGCTCCTTTTTCTTGTGGTAAGCCGTTAAATCCGCCTCTTCGTCACACGTACTGTGCACAAATCTGAAAGAAACCCACGAGAAGAATTAAAAATGGAAGACTAATTAGCCAAACGAGATCAAAACGTACTTGTTGCACCAGTTACACTTCACCATTTCCTTGTGGGATGCTGCTCTATATGCCTTTTGACAAATCGGACAGGAAAAACCCTTATTCCGCTGCTGATAACACGAATCGCAGATTGTGTAGTGACTGTGCCAGCGGGAAGAACTGCCACCGCCCGGGGTTCTTGATCCACAATCTGTGCAAACGCGACAACGCTGAAACAATTTAGATATGCATTACCAGTAAGTAAGTATAAGCTTTTGTATATGCTTACGTTGCACTTCCATCCGTATTTAGGTATAGCTGCGATAACTGGGCGTAAACAGGAGGCATGATAGATCTTCTGGCACTGCTCACACTTCACGTACTTTGTGTCATTCGAGTCCTGCTGTCTGCAGATCTGGCATTTTGTGCAGCGGGCACAATTCCAGCCTGAACGGGTGTCTAATAAAGTAATATGTAGATTTACTAATACAAGTAAATATTGTGTGAATTTACCTGGTAGATTGGCCAGGCCGATGCAGGTTGAATGGAAGTGGTCTCCGCAGGTACTACACATAATTAGCTTGGACAGGTCCCCCAGTGAGGAGCACGTTATACACTCCACATTATTGTCGCTGCCTGCAAGTTAATCCATTAGTTCTGAGAGAGTTAACATTCTAATCACTTACATATCACAGGCACTTGACTCAAATGCTCCGTGCAGAAGACCGTGAAACTCTCCAATATGAGAAGGCAGCCTGCGGCGGCCGCACATGGCCAGTGGTGCACCTGGTGACAGTTCATCTTGCAGTGGATAGAGGCCCCGTAGCGGCCGCAGAAGTTGCACTTCTTCTCTAAAAACTCCGCAAAGTGGCTAGCGAAATACGTAGCGTCCACATCGCTTATTTGACTTTTGCGTAGCGACCACATTATGCACATGCGGTGCGCGTAGACGAAGCCCTCATCCAAAAACTCTGCAGGATGCACTACCTCTGGCTGGCCAATCTTGTCCAACTCGTAATGGCACTCGCCTGAATTAATTGGCGGCTGTTTGGTTCCGTATATCAGCATAGAACTGTCCTCTTTCAGTCGTTCCGTGGAATATTTCTCCTTTAATTCAGCGGGCGCGGGCGCCTTCAGTTGGAGAATCTCACCCTGGCCCAAGGCACTTTTCTCACCGAGATTGCATAAACAGCACACCTTGCCCGGAAACTTCTCCTGGAAATACGGTAGGTCGTCGGCCACCGCCTTCTCATCCATGCTCACTAGAACGTTCGTGCTCATCGCAATCCACTACGTTTCATTAAAATAACAAAAAATAGCCGCCGCTTATTTTGTATACATTACTCGACAGCAGCTAAATAAAAAGTGTACGTGTATCGTGCCCTAAAAATAATCGTTCAGACGACAAAGTGGTCCAAACCGATATAAAATTAAAAAAGTATTTGAAAAATTAAAAAAAAATATCATATGTGGTCAATTTTAAAGAGATTTATTAAATTTATTACTAAAATAAGGAATAATTATATACTAGTTATTCTGTCGTGTTTGGATAAAACAGGAAAATATGTTCAGTATTTTTATGAACAAAAACTATTTAGTAAGTTTGTTAAGTGACATAAAAATAGTTTACAATAGTATAACCTTAATAAGTCATAAAACCTCTTACATTTCTTTATTATATTTATGTATTATACTTTCCAAGCACTTAGTACAACTTTCCCGCTGGTACTTTCAACTATCGATTCCACATCATCTGTTCTAAATACAACTATGCTAGGGAACGCTTCCAGCCCTGAAAAATACTAGTTCTTCAAACACAAAAACGAATGAACAAACTAAACTAAATACACTTAGAAATGTAAATAAAAGAATAATTAAAAATATATACAGATGGCTGTTTACCGTCCCCGAGGCACTTTGGCCAGAGTGATCCACGCCAAATTTCACAACGACAACTCCCTAGAGGACATAGACACCCGAAAGGTAATCCCCTTTAGCGAAATTGACTGCAGTTTCACATTTCATAAGCGTATGTTAACATTTCAGTGGTACTCCTTGAACCATGAATTATCGCCGAGATTCCAGGCCAAGTTCGTGCCTCTGGAGCCGGATGCCACCACTGTGAGCTGGCTGGAACGCGCTAAAGCTTTGTCGGCCAATATCTGGACCCACTTGTGGCACGCCCTGGCCAGGTCCATTCTCCAGTTCTTCATGACCCAGACGGATATCAATGGATTCTTAAAGCGTGGCTCTATGTTCATCCTATCTGAAGACCAGTTCCGCAAGTTATTACTGGCTGGTGGTTTTCAAACTCCCAGTGGAGACGAACCGGTAGGATAGAAGCCTCTACAATTGGTCAATACTTTAATCTCCTTACGACAGCTTACGTTACTGGACATCGGAGCAGGCGATGGCGAGATTTCGCTGCGAGTGGCCAACACCGTTTCCGAGTTGAGTGGCAGTGCCGGTCTCCGGGTTTTTGCGACCGAAGCCAGCTGGACCATGCGCGATCGGCTAAAAAAGTTAAACTTCAACGTAATTAACGAAATTGGAGGCCTGCAAAACCTGGAGTTGATTCTGTGTCTCAACGTACTTGACCGGTGCTTCGATTCTTTCAAGCTTCTCGAGGACATTCACGTGGCACTCGCTCCCAACGGACGAGCCGTGGTGGCCCTAGTACTTCCCTACATGCACTATGTTGAAACGAACACCTCGCATTTGCCTCTGCGCCCGCTCTTAGAGAACAACGGGCGGCAGGCATCGTTCGAGGAAGAGGCAGCCCGTTTTATGGAGCTGCTGGAAAACTGCGGCTTTCGGGTGGAGTCGTGGACCAAGGCGCCGTACTTATGTGAGGGTGATCTTCATCAGTCTTTCTATTGGCTAATAGACTTAATCGTTGTAATTTCAAAGAAAACATTCTAGATCAAAGCTTCCAAATATTGAATCAATTCCCTCGGTAATAGTTGTAATCGTTTTCCTCCTATAGTTAACTGGCTGCATTGATAAACTGAGCATTTATACTTATTAAAAATATAGGCTATAAAGTAGGTAAAAAATGTATTCTTAAACAATTACCAAAAATGTATATGGATAAACATGGTTAAATTAAAAGTCGCGTTCGAAACGGAAAACTGCGAACTTGTTTTCAATATTCTTTATGGTCTTTGATAAATTAATAATATTTAATATGTTTATAAACGAAAAGAGGTGTACTATTTCACATTAATACTGGTACTGTATACTATAAGGCAATCTTTGAACTTGCTTAATTACTAATAACTTGTTTAGGTTTATATAGTCTTTGGCTATCTATAGTTAGTACTTTTTAATACTTGTGAAGACTACCTCCAAGTAGTTATTGGCATACACAATCCTTTCCCAATCAACTGGGCAAGGATTAAGTAGTGGTAATATCTCACGGTAGGGATTTTCGGTTAAATTATAAGCACGTTCGATGGAAATATTATTTTTCTTTGCTAAACTATCAATAGCAGTAAAATCGGACATTGCTTGCATCATTGAGATCGAAGTGTAGCATATGGGAACGCCAACAGATCGAAGAATACTTGACAGACAATCTTCTTGCCAGTCAACGTCATCAACATCCTGTTTCTTAATAAAATCGACCATATTCTGAATAGTTTCCCCAGCTCCGATGAAATCAGGTTGCAGTATAAGAATCAAGGTAGGATCCACATTAAAAATGCATGAAAATTGTGAAAATGACAATGGATAAAAGCGTTCTATCACAGTTCGTTGTACGTCCTTAACTTGAAAGACTTTCTCCATTTCTCCGATGTTTCCAAGTGTTTTTCCAATGAAGTGCAACTGAATGTGTTGAATGTTTGCGAACTGTAGAAATAAGAACTGAAGGTGCATATCCTGGAAATAGTTCAAAGTCTTCTCGGTGGCACCGACTACGTACACGACGACAGCTCTTTTTGGATCTGGAACCCAAAAAATGTGCGTCATTGCCAGGCAAAGACTGGCGATGCCGCTAAAGGAGGAACAGGTGGCGAATAGCTGGAACGACTCCAAATCAGTCCATGGTGTATTGCTAATCCTGACGTTGGTGGCTTCAAAAAAAGCGTCAATTAGATGTGTCTCCTTTATTTTGCTGGTATTGTGAAAATTATTGATGTTCACAAAGCAATCCAATTGGCGAAAAGGACTTGCGATCAAAGCCAGCGTTTGACAATCCTGTGGGGAGTGATTATTCTCGACCAGACGACGGTGATCCGCACAGCAGAAGGCCACTCCGGTACATCCCTGACAGTCTTCCAAGGCTTCGCTGCTGAAACAGACATCGCATACGGCGGGATTTCCGATAAGTTGGTGCTCCCGTGGAGAGAGGGGTCTTCCTAATTTGACAGAAAGGATGAGTTTCAGCTGGGAAATTACCAACTGCAGCTTCGTACGATCGTTGATCTTTCCGTCCAGCAGCAACGGGTGATCAATTTTTCTGTACCTCTGCAGTTCCCTTAGCACGTTGCAAATTGGCTGGTGTTCTGGACGATCCGCCAGGAGATGGGAAACGCTGCAATATCTTTGCATCTTGCATCCTCTGCAAATAACTTCGGCCCTCATATGGGTCTTTTCTATAAGTTTCTGAAGCTGGAACAGATTCTCCGATAACTGGTTTGATTTTTCAGCACAACAATTTATAACTTGTTTCCACATTTTGCCCTCATTGGAAACACAAACATGGCATTTTAGGATCGACCCCAACGGTGGGCTTAATGTAGGCATCATTAAATTTTGTAATTTCCTATATATGTATATAATATTTACTTAATACTTGTATTACGCTCCAGGTGTAAGCATGCTTACCAAATAATTTAAATAGGAAAGAAATGACTTAACGACTTTTAGCTCTTATAACCGAAAAGTTTGAAAGTTAAGGAGAAAAAAAGTGAAATGGTAAAAAAAAAGCGCTCGACTGAACTTGCCGCAATTAACTAGTTCATTTCACCAAGTCTGCCAATTTAGATTTTTTCCCGTCAGAATTGGCGTTTTTTGAGGATAACTACGGGAAAAATTTGTAAATTGCGGGAATTCTCGGGTTTTTTTAGAAATTCATTTGGCTTTTTCCAGATTTTTTTGCGTTATAAACACAATTAACACAACATGAAAAGTGAGCTTTACGATAGTCAATTACAAACAAATCAGATAATGTGGTGGCGTATCGATCTTTTTTTTTTTAATTTCATCACTCGCTTAATGTTTCCATCTCTATATAAAAAGTGAGCGTAAATTAAGTTGTAAAATGCCGAAAGAATATAAACAAAAATGCCATGATGTCTGGCTTAAAAGTGATGAGTTCGAGGCATGTATTCGCAGGGGTGACACAGATCTGCAGAGGGTTTATTGCAACTATTACAGCTAAACTACGTGATCTGCGAGCTCACGCTAAAACAAAGAATCACACAAGTGCCATGAGTAGCTTTATTTATATTTAATATATATTATACATATTAAAGTGCTTTTTTTTTTTTTTTTTTTTTTTGACATTTTTTGGTATTTTTGATAAAATGTTTTTAGCTTTTTATCGGATTTTATGTGTCATATTTTTTTTTTTAGCTATTTTCTCTGTTCTTCCCATAAAAAAAAAGCAGTTGGCAGCAGTGATTTCATCTAGTCTACAAGCCGTGCTAAAATATTTTTTTATTTTATAATTCTTAACATGCTAGGAAATACTGTCAGAATGAAAAAAAAACTAATTTCATGTGAAATCAAATTACTTTATTGTTGTAAAAGTAGCCAAAATACTTATTCAAAAACTTTATAAATTAACTAGTTCTGAACGAAAGGGCCATCTCTATCGGACGTACATCATGATGTTCGCATTTCGATTTTGTTTTGATTCCGTTTAGACAAAAAAAATTAAAAATGTCTGAAATAATAGCCGAGGAAAAGCCCAAAGAAAAGCAAAGGGTAAACCGGCGCAAGGATAAAAAAGACAAAACCAGCCAGATAATCAAGGTAATGCCTAACACGTCTGACCCCAAGCTGATTCTAAAGGCCCCGTTTAACACGCTATATAGATTGTCATGAGGCATTTGCCGCCCACCATGACAGAGACCGACTTCCTGGACCAGGTGGGTCCGTTGCCGGAAAACGATTCCTATTACTACTGCCCAGCAGACTGGTCTCTGGGCCAAGAGGCCACCTGCCGCGCCTACATTGACATGTCTATGAAAGACATCAGCGAAGTGCTGCAGTTCCGGGACCGATTCGATGGTTACGTCTTTGTAGACGCCAAGGGTGTAGAATACATGGCTATCGTGGAGTACGCCCCCTTCCAGTGTTTTTTTAAGAATAAGGCCAGGAATGACGACAACAAAGTGAACACAATTGAGAACGAATCCCATTATCAGGAATTCATCCAGCGGCTAGCCGACGAGCGGGAGGAGGCGAGTCGAATGGGCGACGTCAAGATCGACTTCTCATTTGACCGTCGGGCCGATGAGAAGGTGAAGTCCACACCCTTGCTGCAATACTTGGCCAATAAGAAAGAGAAGCGCCGAGAGGAGGCTCGAAAGCGAAACGAAGAGAAACGCAAACTGCGTGAGGAGCAGAAGCAGGCCCGCTTGGCGGAACAGGGGGACACCAGCAAGGTCAAAGACACAGGAGTCGGTGGCGAAGATACCAAGAAGACTGTAGGTAACAATACCAAGAAAGAGGGTAGGGATCCCCCGGTGGCTGCAGCTCAAGGCAACGAGGCCAAGACTTCCCGCTCCAAGCGCCGAACTGAGCGGGATCAGCGACGACGGGAGGAGCACGAGCAACGAAAACTAGCGAAGCGGGATAAGAAAAAAGTAGAGGTTTCAGGAAAACAAGAGAAGGAAAAACCATGTACCGGCAAGCAAAACAAAAACCCAAAAGCTGAGAAGGACATCGTTATTTTAAAGAAAGAAAACAAACCAGAGCCAAAACAAAATTTAGAACTACAAGCTACTTCCAAGGCAGCGGAAGATACGAAGGAAAAAGAAAGGAATGAAGACACTGGTATGTCAGAGGCTGTAAGCACAATTATACAGGCTGTCGGCAGTCAGACCAATAAGCAAAATCGCGGGGAAGTACAAGTAGCAGCTCCTTCTCACTACTCAACTGCCGAGGAGGCCATCAAGGCTGCACAATTCCGGGCTTCGGAAGAGCGACGTATTCGTAACAAGGTTCGTTTTTACAACATTCCGATAACCGGAACCTACTTAAAAATCTATTTACTTATAGGATCGGCCCTCTATTGCCATTTACCAACCAAAAGCGCGGATCCGCGTAGGATCAGATGAGCTGCCCCAAAGTTCGGGCGGTAAAGACGCTTCGGATGGAGAGGCCTCGATAGTAGAGGAAAAAACAGCCAAGAAGACAAAGCGCTCCAACCGTCGCAACAAATCAAAGCCCAAAGAGGCGAAGGATAATCAACTAGACGACCGACGCGTTTCGAAATCTCCAGAGAGTGGAAATAGTGTCAAATAGCGATAACGGGTTTTATTCTTAAATAAATGTACACATGGACTGAGCTATACGGTCAATAGAACTCGTCCTCCATTTCCATTTGTGTGCACGATTTTTGATTATTTTTAACCTGATCCTGTGACTGGTACATGTGGGCCACCTGATTGGCGTCCGTTGCATTCTCGCTGTTCTTGTCGGTGCGGATTCGAATGAACCGGGGGAATCTCAAGGATATGCCGCGCTCTCCGTCCACAATGCCTATTGCTGCTCGGTGGATCGGACTGAGGGACAGATCGGCGCACTTGACTTCCCACACCTGAACTGGTTCAAACCAGTGATCTGGCTCCAGGCTTGAGTCGTATCTGTAATAGGATTTGGCGGTGCTGGTTACGTGTTTGCTTAAGAATTCGGAGTGCGTCTGAAGATCCTCATCGGTGAAACCTTAAATTAATTGTAAGTAGTAGAGTGGTCAAAAGGTAGTGCTTGAATTAAAATTATACCTGTTCCAATTTTGCATATGCTTTGGTACTCCTCGTTTTCGGTATCGTAGCAGGCAAGCAAAAATCCTCCATAAGTTCCAGTACGCCGGCCTTTTCCCTTGTAGCCACCTATCACTACGAGGTCCAATGAGTCGCCCACATTGGATAAATAATCCTTTTTCAGTTTTAGCCAGTTCCTCGATCTCTTTGCAATCTCGTAGGTGGCCTCTTCATCCAGAGTCTTAACCATAAGGCCCTCACAATTCCCTAGAGAATAAAACTTAAAAAAAAAAAATGTAGATATGTAGGTAGACAAACCTTTAATAGATTCCTCAAGAAACTGCTGTACTTCGTCTATGTCATTGGTATCAAGAGCAGTGGCAAACTTCCACTCGCCTTCAACTTCCTGGAAGTTCTCCAGCAGGAGTTTGCGACGCTCTGACAAGTTTTTGGTCACCAATGCATTGCCATTGATGTAAAGAAGATCGAATATGTAGACGCAGACCTGGACCTTAATTTCCTCGATGTCAACGTTTTTTCTCTTTCGTGTACTAAGAACTTGGAACGGTAAAATCTGCTTTCGCTCGACATCCCAGGCCACAATTTCGCTGTCTAAGATATATGACTTGACCTCGGCTTTAAGTAACCCATTGCTTCGGGCGATCAAGTCTGGATATTTGGCCGTGTTGTTTTCAGAGTTGCGTGAGAATATGCTGATTTCCCCCTTCTCGTTGCGGTGGATTTGGGCTCGTTCTCCATCGTACTTCCACTCGGAGGTGATTCGCATGCCGCCAAATCTTTCAAAAACCTCGTGAACGCCTTTCGTGGGCTGGGCGAGCATAGGCCTCAGCGGCATACCAGGATGCATGGGGCAGCGTTCTTGAAGCTCCTTGATGTCATAGTTTAAAATGGCTGGAATAATTATGTCATAATTGGGACATTGACTGAAATAACTCTGTTAATATGTGATAATCGATTATAAATTTCTCTCTCACCTGTATGCAGTTTTAAGCAGCAAAGTTGTATCTGCTATTTCATCCTTATAAACTTCGGGAACCTTACTAGCTTTGCAATCGTCGATGTGGTTCTTTTTGACCAGAGCAATAGCCAGAGCTGTAAGCAGACTCTGTTCGGCAATGCCAATTCGCAACTTTCCTATTAAAGATCGAATGAAAAAGCGAGCCTCTGATGATCTACATGCCACAAACATATTGTACACCTGATCCATCTTGGACTGGCCAGATATCTTGGCTATTTCCCGCAGTTTCCTGAAAACATCCCTGACATTTAGAGGAGCAGGTTGGAACATCATGCGCTGGGAAACGCGCGACTGTTCGGCCACAATTCCGAGATCTCCGATCAAGTGCGTCTGTGATTTAATATGAGCCAAATTGCGACCCGTGGCCTTACATATGGCCTTCATCAACGTGGTTTCAGCAACTCCCAGTTCCAATCCCTCGTAGGCAGGGGCTAGTTGGTTAATGCTAAGGTACACACTAGGCACTAGATCCTCTGGACTTGCCAACATCACTGAGCTGAAGAAATTGCTAAGCGTGTCAATCATTTTAAGGCGTCCTTTGGTCTCCTCGATTACTTGAAATGTGCGAGCCAATGCGAAGTACGGAGTGCTGAAAATAGATTATTTGGTTAAAGTAAAAACTAACGTGGCTTAATCCGATTTATATACACTTTCTTGCCCTTCCAGTAGGCATTTTTGAGCGGATGATAGGAGTCGGCAGAAGGATCGTAGTTTTCCATGTCCTCCTTGCTAGTAGCGGTTGAGTTTAGGCCTATAGTAGTGACCTTTTTATCAGTCGGCTTATGTTCGGCATCATTTAATTCTTTTTTAACTTCTTTTAATGGACTTGTTTTTTCCACAGAATCCACAGACATAGGTTTAACCTTTGTCTTAATATCTGGGGACACACTCTTAGTCTTTATGATAGGTTCAACTCCTTGATCTGTCTCTTTATCAATCCTAAAATTATTATTAAATTGCGAATTAGCAAAAAAAAAAAAAAAGTGAGCATCGTACTTGGGAACTTTTTTTGGCGGTGAGGAGCTATCGGCTGCATCAGACTTTTTCTTGAAGAAAGAGCTAAGGTAAGAAATTTTTAGATTTTGATTTAATATCACCATTCTTTAAGTGTGCTTACGTTATAGACTTCTGCATTTTGATAGTAAAATAGCTTCTAACCAATAAAGTAGCGATGCTATTAGAACTGGTTGGCCAATTTTCCCGCCTGTTTTTGTGTGGTGTGGCCAAGAGTAATTAATGCTAAATGATCAAAGTTCCAGTTCTAAGATAATAAAATAAAATTATTATTTAACTTAAAATTATGTTTCAAAACAAATTATTTTAACTTGTATAAGTATATCTTAATAATTCTGAATATATTTTTGTCAAATTTTGAATACGACAAAGGATTTATAACTTTCTAAAAATAAAAGACAGAATTAAAAATCTATTTTCCATTATTTAATAGAATTATTTATTTTTCAAAAAGGGATTGAATTAAATAAAAATATTTATAGCTTGCAAAAATGTAAGCCCCTGAATTTTGTTGGAGTTCAATATATTTCCCTTTAAATAGACTTGGTCACACTGTGTATGTACGTAAGGGGTATTGTTAAATTCACAAATAATATAATTGCAATTCGCAATAGCACTGCCTGATTATTAGCACACCGATACAAATACAATGGCCGACGAAAGCATAACGCGAATGAACCTCTCGGCCATTAAGAAAATCGACCCGTACGCCAAGGAGATCGTGGACTCGTCCGCGCACGTCGCCTTCTACACGTTCAACTCGGCTCAGAATGAGTGGGAAAAGACGGACGTCGAGGGAGCATTCTTTATATACCACCGCAATGCGGAGCCCTTCCACAGCATCTTCATTAACAACCGACTGAACACCACGTCTTTCGTAGAGCCGATTACCGGCAGCATGGAGCTGCAGTCGCAGCCACCGTTCCTACTGTATCGCAACGAGCGTTCCCGTATCCGGGGCTTCTGGTTCTACAACAGCGAGGAGTGCGACCGCATCAGTGGCTTGGTGAACGGGCTGCTGAAGTCCAAGGACCAGGGAAGCAATGGACAGGCCCAACGGCACGCGCCGGCACCCCAGCAGAGCAAGCAAGAAAACAATGCTAGTATATTTAACATGCTAAGCAAGGCGCAGAAGGACTATAACGCCCAGGTGAGCGGTCAGCCAAAGACCCCATCGGCGGAAAATGTGACGGCCGGCAATGTCCTTAAGTTCTTTGAGTCGGCCAAGCAGGCCACTGCGGAGTCATTGTTTCACCGCGTCCAGCCGCTGTCTGTAGACCAGCTAGAAAAGCAGCAGCGGGCAGGCACTCCAGGGGAGGATCTTTTGCCACCCGCAAGTAGGGATAACCACGAGAACCGGCTGTCGCCCTTCCAAAAGGCCCAGCAACTGAACACTCAGCTTCTAAGCGAGCTAAAAATCGGAAAGATCTATGCTTCGGCCAAATCTCCAACCAGTGCCCCTTCTTCATCGGCTTTGATGGCCAATGATGATGCCGGCAAGTGCTTGCGTAGATTGCTGGCTGGGGACAAACCTGGCCCGGCGCTCATGCCGCCCACAATGTTCGATGTACCCAACAACGGCAACCCGGAGACCCTGCAGCCCCTTAACTCGGCGCAGTTTGTCCAGGCCTTCACGTACCTTATCCAGAACGATAAGGAGTTCGCTAACAAGCTGCACAAAGCCTATCTCAACGGCTGTTCCAATCTGCTACTGGACTCTAGCCCAACATATCAATAAACAGAAATATTCAACATTTCCGAAATTCAGCCCATCTTTTCTTTTGTTTGCATTGGAGTTCAAGTTCCACCTCATTTAACTTACACATTTAATTTAGCAGCAAACCAACATGGGCTACTGTAGATTTAAAATCTAGAAGCCTCCAGAGGTGACCCCTATTCCCAGAGGAGGTTTAGCCAAAATGCAAACAACTACATTAACCTAAGACGTTCGAGAGTACCCTAACTTAGTTGGTCTTGTAAAGTATTCGTATTTATTTACAAAATGGATAACTAGCCGAAGGGGCATAGAAGAGATAGTTGGATGGCAAACAGAATTCAATAAACATAATTTTAGTAACAATAAATAACAACGTTTTTATTTAAATTAAGGCCTTCAGCTTGGAGAGTAAGTAGTATAGAAAACAAAACAGCCAGGGGTTGAAGTCGACGTGGCTGCTTCCCGCCGATGCAGATGTGGTTCGAGTGGTCAGATTCTGGGCGTACCCATCGAAGGATACAAAGCACTGGTAGGCGTCTGGGTCATCATCGGTGTCATAGGCCGCTACAACTGCGCTGCCGTCAAAGTATCCCTCCTCGTTCTCAAATACCATGGGCTCCCTCTTCACAACGTCCTGATCGTTTGATCTGGAAATAAAGTAAACGGATAAATACCAATGGTTAACATTAATAGGGGACACCACCTTACACGATCGTGATAGTTGGTCTGGGATAAACATTCGTCACGGTGCAGTTCAGCTGCGTTTCATTATGGATCGTTTTGTGGGACAGCTCCAAGGTGTAGTTTCTCACATCTATGACCTGAATCCGCTGGTGATTAGTGGTCGTGTTCAAGGGGGTCTGAACCACGCACTTGTAGTCTCCAGTGGTGTCTATCGTAGGATTTATAAGTGCCAATGAGCTGTACTGCTTACTCGGTTCGGAAGAGCCCTCATAGGTGCTGTCTATTTCGTTCTTATACTCCGGCTTTCATAAAATAATATTAAATGTATTAAATTCTATATGCAGTACAGGCTTTTATAAACACTCACGATCGCACGTGGAGGGCTTCCAAAGATCCACTGATATATAGACTTTTCATTTCTGTACCATTTTACGATAATAAACTTTGGGTTCTCCTCGACATTATAATCACAGTCCAAAATTGTTGGGTCCATCTGTTCATTTTGAAGGACTACAATCTTATCATCGGTCTCATCTCTTGTGGGATAGCATATCGCTTCTAAATAAAAACAAATATTACTTTGTAGAAGTTTTAGGGAATGTATTCAAAAATGAAAAGGTTTTTAAAAAGCAATGTCTCAAAATAACAGAATACGAGGCGTTGTTTGGAATATTATATAGTCAAATCCAAAACACATTTATCACAGCATGTATTCAAATATATGTATAGGCGGTTATCTATATATATTTTGGCGAAAAAGCTTATATTTATGAAAACGAAAAACGCGAACAGATGCCTGTTTCGTTTAAAAATAGAAACTAATAACAAACCAAAATTTTATCATTTTTCATTTGTTAGTTTTTCGTATGTGCCAAAATGCGTCCAGTGTCTTTTTTACTTAGTAAATATTACTGGTTACCTATAAAGTTGTACAGTTTCATTTATAAATTTCAAAAGTTTTGGAAATCTCTTTGATTTTTTTTAAATATCCTAGTATTGTATGTTTTTGAAAGTGGCTTTTGTTATCTACCTAATGCACTTAATAGGAACAATCACTTAAAAACCTTTATAGTTTTGTTTTTCCAATAGTAAAAGGATATTCGAGTATCACAATAGCCCATTATGTCCCTTTCGATCGCACATGTTAACTTAAAGCTGTATTTAGCTGTAAACGTTCGTATTTATAGATATCCGATTTGTCATTATTTTTCTCAAGGTTTGTGCGATGTATGTACATTCGCTGTATTGGTTTAAGTTTATATACGCTTTTTGAATGATTTCATTTCTTAATTTAAAAATAGTTCTCAAATGCAGAATGTTTGGTTACACAGCCAAAGGATTGAGCTGTACCTCTCTGGAATAGTCCGATTGCAAGAATAACAATGAGTAGGGAATCCATAACGGTCTATTTACACTTCCTCGTATATACCACCGCGGCAGATCAACTTGCACAAGCGATCCTAACTCAACCGACCGCTCTGCATGGTACAACTATAGCAACTGATCGCTCTTGGCCACGGGAGAACCGATCCGAGAGCTCTTGGCTAAAACCACCCAGCGGAACCAAACGTATTCGAATTTAGCCGAGATAATGCCGGCACTTCCTCTCTGGCACACGATCCACTGTAGCCCGTGCCACTTGTGCATGACTCTCGGAGAATAATCATCGTGTGGACATATTCTAGGGAGATCGCTGTGAGGTGTGCGCTGTGCAGCTGGCGAAGTAAAAGGCGCTCCTGCATTTGTGGGGGTTGGAAAACCTTTCCGCTTCGATGCTCTCCGCTGCTCCTAGCTGACTATTTGAAAACCAGTTGGCGGCTTGGTTCGACTTCAGCCCACTCCTACAACTGGGGTTAGACCTGTTTTTGACCGTTAAAGGACATGCCATTGCTGACGGGGTGTCGAACGCAGTCCTTAAGGACTAGTGGTTTTCAAAGTTTTCTAGCCTAGGGAAATGTGCTGATGCTCAAACTTAAAACAGTCTATCTTAATAGAAATAACTATTCGCTGAAATTCCTACACATTATTAGATACAGTTTATAACAGCATTATAGCATTTAGTTATAAAGGTAATGAAAAATTAATTGATATTCAATGTCATTTTAAGAATAATTATAAAAGTTTAACGTCTCACATAATTTCTATTTGCTTCAAAAGGAAGGGTATTATCTCTTGAGCTTCTTCTAGGCCTATGAATATCCATTGGTGCTTTGTTGGACATACATACGAGTATATGAAGATAAAGACTTAGGCACTCGTTCCAATTCGTTGATTAACAAAAGAAAAAGCCTTCACTCCACTTTGCGAATATGAAAATAGATACACACATGTTCTAGTAAACCCTTTTCTTCTCTGTAAAACGATATTTTTTGTTAGAAGATTGTCTAAAATCATAGAAAACCAGATTTTATTTAAACTAAGTTGAATATCTCAAGGTCAATGCAGCGAAAATCCTTGTATCCACTGATAAATTCGCCTGTCACTTTTAAACCATAGGAACCGATCAATTATCTTCAATATCAGGAAAACCTACCAGAGTAGTCATTATCATTTATGGGATAACATTACGAATCAGAATCCTTGGGTTTAAAATGATTTTTATTCATCAAATTGGCTAACGTTCTAACGGATAGAAAATAATCCAATTGTCAAAACAATACTTAATACGGGACCTATAAGGGTCCATTTTCACTTTCTTTTACCTCTGATCCGTTAAATATAGCTTTCTGAACAAATTAAGAATCAGGGTGTTACCGATTCCAAAGTGTTAATACTTTTTTAAGTTAATAAGACCTCGAAATCAAGAATTAAGTTAAGCTAAGTTTAACATAGACTTAAAGACTGAACATTTTTGAGCTTTCTATGTGTAAATGCAATTATATGTGTATGTGCTTTTTTCTAAGTCCAGAAGTACTCGTTCCAATTCGATGATTAAGAAAAGAAAAAGCATTCACTCTACCATGCAAATGTTAAAATATGTATAATCTCCCTTTTCTTTCGTCTCATATATATTTCTTCGTTTCTTCTATTGTTTTTCGTTACATAAAAGTACAACTTTTATTTATAACTGACCTGCATAGGTATGAAAAAGTTTAGACTGTAATATTTATCAGTTATCAGTTTAATTATTGAGAACTTTATCAAAGGTAAGATATTTTTTATTTATATTTTTGAAATGGTTTAAAATAACATGATTATCAACACAAACAATAACTGTGCCTTTTCAAGTCTCGTCCAAAATTAGGGTGCACAATAATAAACTTCAAAATAAAGTAAATACGAATTAGGTTATAGTCTGCTTACTGAAATTAACTAATCGAAATAATCCGCAAAACAAATAATTGTTTTTTCGAAAAAGAGGGTTGTATCCTGCAAGCGCTTATAAGCAATGTTTCAATCAACCTAATATTCGGGACCAGAAAAATAGTAAGGTGTCTCTTATTCATTGTGTTCGGTACAACACCATTTGTTTTATCAAATTGGTTAGTTGCCATAACAGCGTAAGTGAATCCCCAGATACCCTTTCTCATTTTCGGTTTTGAATTACTTTAAAGTCAGAAATCAGTTTATGATTTGTATCTGTTCATGAAGAGCCATGTCATTTTCATGATTTTCGTATAAAGAAATTCGATTTTTTAAGTTTTATTATAATTTAAAAGATTACTTTTCCTTTCTCTTAGAAAAAAGAATATTCCACATTCACCATTTTCGGATAAGCCAATTTAATCTTCTGAGTGTTGCTTTTTGAGGCCTGTGAAAATTGGAACACTTGAAAAAAAGTTTACGGCGGAAATTTAATAAGTTTAGAAAAACGGGAGGTTAAATTGTGAATATTTACTGACAAAATGGCCAAAATCGGCAAAAACTATCAAATCTATGAATTGTATAAAACTACGGCTATTTTTTTTGTTTTTTTTTTACAAGTAAAAGGTCAGGGAAGCCGAATTTCGGCGCAGTGCATGACACGCGCCGGAAAGTCCGATTTCCACCCTTATGTCGAGTGGAGCTCGTTAGCACCGCCTCCAAACGCGGAAACGAATGAAATTTTCCGTCCCTTTCTCCCGAGACAAGTGCAGCATCCTTTTTCGTCCAACATCCTGTAGTTGATACAATCGTAATCGAAGCTTATTTATTCAAGGGCAGTTAAAAACTGTGTGTTTCCGCGAGAATATCTATAACTATGTGTTTTATTGCCGAATGACTCATTAACGGGCAGTAAAATTTGTCAAGTGCTGTGTTTTTAATTCACCTCTGATGCGATGGAATTTTCATTTATCAACAAGGCGAACTTTGACAAGGATTGTTTATACAACGCGAACTCCGAGTTTTATAATAATAGTTCCAATGGGGGCCTGTCCGTGGCCAATCACATGAATCACTATAATCTAATGATTGATTCCAGCTACAAGCTATGTGCCAACGAGACAGCTATAAGGGGTTCCCTGAACCAGGAGTCGAGCTTACTCTTTTCCAAAATCACCACAGTTTCGGAATTTTATCCAGGAACTCACAACATTGCGTCCTATAACTCTGGTAAGATCTGCACTTAAGTAATTAACAAAAATAAGTATCCCTATTGCTTAAAGTAAAAATCGTATGAAATTTATACGATTAAAACTTCATTTAAAACCATTTTTATGGGCAACGTTTATAGACTTTCATTTAAAACCCTATGGAGATGACGGCTTGACCCTCACAGATAAATCAAAGCAGAGACGGATTCGAACTACTTTTACTTCCAACCAACTTAACGAGCTGGAAAAAATCTTTTTAGAGACCCATTATCCAGACATCTATACTAGAGAAGAGATCGCATCAAAATTACATTTGACAGAAGCCCGAGTTCAGGTATGAAAAAAAAATTGAACAAATCTAACTAATAGGGGAATATTATCAATAATTCATCATCTCAATTTTTTCTTAAAATATTAAACAATGTATTTGAGATAAACTTAACTCTAGTTGATTAATACATTAACTCAGTATTGTTCCAATACATTATACTCACATTAAAGGTATTGCCTTAAAAAATATATTTTTTTTGCACTGCTATATTTTTCAACTTAATCATACTTTTTCTCATTTGCCCACCTATGTTAGTAATCTAAAAAAATTAGGTTTGGACAACCTATTTTTTCCGAATTAAGCTAAAGTATAATTTAAACATTAATAATATTTCAGGTTTGGTTTCAAAACAGAAGAGCAAAATTTCGAAAGCAAGAGAGACATGCCATTTACATAATGAAAGACAAATCCATTAAAATGGATACTCGAAAGAATTCTTCAGCTGGGTCAAAATATCTAGGTCCATCTCTTAAGGCTCCTCAAAATGCCCGTCAAGTGAAATGCTTATACGATCAAATATAGAATCCACTAATATCTATGTAAATATTAGTATACATTTTGATGAATACAATTATTTTGATATTATTTTTACTAACTTTTTGGAGCGAATTTGCGTTAAATAAATAAGATCTGTGTAACACTATTTCCGTTTTTCTGGGAACCAAAAATCATATCTCATGGGACAACTGGCTTAGCACCCTTTTGAAGGCTCAGCTGGTCTAAGCCTGCGGAAACGAAAACAAGAGTTTTAATGGGGGATGAAAGGTCACTATCTACAAGTACCAAATATCACGCCCTTCAAGCCCAAATTGTTATCCAATTATCAAGTGGAAAGTGTATTAAATCGGTAACAAAGCGGATAATAAGTACAAGGTAGCAGTATACACAGTATATATATGGTGAAATAGAAAAAGGAGTTATCTAATGCGCAACCGGTAGTTTTATAAGCCAAGCACTAATCTAATGGACCGTAAATCCTAAATCCCAATGTTATATCTAAATGTGGTAACACACATAAGAATCATCTATAGGGATCACTACATTGTAGTGACTATAATTATGTGGATGTGATTTACAATACGGAAATTATTAAAGGGCTAATATAAATTTATTGGACAACAAAATAAAGACAGTTGTGTTTATATAATAATTCTAATTTAAAATAGAAAACCTGACTTCATTAATCGAAGTGAATTGAATTCCATATCTAAAGTAATTTTATTCTTTTATTAATACCTACATAAAAAATTAACTTTTCCACATTATACATTTTTTAGACCGTAGATGGCGATGACTATTGTATGTTTATGAGAAGATTAGATACAACTAAAGCAGTTTCTATTATATCAAAATGTATATTTGGCTAGTAACCTTAGAAAGAATATGTCGAATAAGACCTGTATTTAAGTAAATAAAACAAATTCAAATTTCATTAGTTTTGAGTACCAGTTTCATTTCCATCGTCTCTACAATAAGCAACCAGAGTGGGATAAAATACCCCTAATAATTTTTAAATAAAAATACCAGCAAAGCGGTATTTTTGGAAACGCTTTAGGGATTTTTTTTGTTTCAACCAGCTGCATGTTATTTGTTAATCGGTCTGGTTATAAAACTTTATGAATTAAAACTAATATTCAACCATGCTGCGATCGAGGATATTATGCATATTTCCACCCAGAAGGTTGGTGTCATACTTCTCGGCGGAATTTAATAAGTTGGCAATCGAAGGACCAGCAAAATTTGCCGCAAGTAACAGTCATGCGGTAACAAATATAGATTTGGACATTTTTGTCAATCCGGACAATCGGCCCATGGACCTGGTGGATAGACTGCTTAAGCTCAGGTGTGTATAAATATCGCGAATATGTTACCCCAACTAATCTGGAAATATCTGCAGAAAACAAAAGGAGTCCAGTTTGGTGCCCTTGCTCTCAAGTATTCTGGTTAAGCAATTACTGGACTCCACAAATCCCCAGGAGGCAGTATCGATCCTTTCCAATCCCACCCAATATGGGCTGTTCGTAGACCAGTTTTCTGGCTGTTTTCTGATGGACTTTTTTCTTCACAATGGCCACGCTGTAGAAGCCGCTCAGATTGCCATGATTCTCGTGGAGAGGAGCTTATGCAACAATGAATTGGTCGAATCCCTGGTACTGCAGTCGTTTTGGTCCTTTGTTAAGGAATTCAAACCTTTCGAGTCCTCTCAATTTAAACCTGCTGCGAAAAATGCTGAAGTGGTAAGATAAGGGAAATTTAGTTACTTTATTTAGATAATTCTATAACAAAATGTTCCATAATGTCTAACTGAAACTTTTGTGGAAAAGACTGTTAGTAAGTATACTATTTGCTGTCTTCCCTTATTTATTAGGAAAAGATTCGCGTCAAGTTCATTCGCAATTATCCCGAGGATGCCACCGAAAACACCGAAGAGAAGAAACTGGGTCGTGCCATGATTCGACTGGATTCTGGTGAAGGGGCCTTGAAAGAGCTAAAGCAAAATATTGCCCTACTTGGCTACGTCATATCTGGACAAATAGCTGAGGCCACTAGTTTTTTAAACTGTAACCAAACTGTATTTCATAAGGAAACTCTAACTGCCGCCCAAAGTGTAGTACAGTGCCTAAAGTTGGAGGGTTCGGAAGAGTTAGTGAAATCCCTTCAAGATACGCTTGAGAATACTAGCAAGTCCAGTGTCATCGAAACGCTACTGGAAAACAGCACTAAAGGCAGTGCCCTGAAGTTTGAGCCCAAGCTATTGGCTGATTACAGTGAATCCTATCAAGAATGGGCCAAGAAGTTCGAAGCCGCTATTGAGTACAAACTGCAAGCCCAAAATCTAAAAGAGCGTAAGGCTAGTATTGAAAAGACTCTCAGCGAACTAGATGAGAAACGGCAGAGTTTGTGGTTCTTTGAAAACAGGGATGATATCGACATTCAGATTTACAAGAAGAAGGTATACTATCCAAAGCGCTGGTTTGGTAAGAAAAAGAAGCCGAAAGCAGCGGACACCTTCTATGTGCCGCCCAACATTACGCACAATGCTTAACCTTGACCCGTGAATACAAACAACTTAGATCCAATTGTTTTTAAGCTTTAATTAAACTACTGGAGAGTTAATCCAAATTCAAATGTTGTTTCTTTTCTCGAACGTTAAATTGTTTAAAATTACCATAACGTAACATTGAGGGTCACAGTTATATTCATTCCATCTCAGTTTACAACATTTTTTTTATACTTTTTTTCGAGTTTCCATAAATTTTTGCAATCTTAAAAGCTAATCGTCTGTCATTTGTGCATGGCCGAGGGCAGAGCAGTTTTTAAAACCCGCTGCCCGGGTGCTGAAGGGGATAAATTAATGGGCGAGGGCATGTCGTGCCGCTTGTCCTGTATGGTAAGGGGCAAGAATTGTTGCTGCTTTTTTTTCCGATTCATGTTTATTGGATGGGTGTTGTCGTTCTTTCCGAACAGAATGGTCAGGTGGACAGCACAGAAGATTCCCAGGCTCTAAATGGGGAAGTTCGCTATTAAGTTCATAGTATTGAAGATAAGCTATCGTAGTCTAACCTGGAATATGGCTATAATGGCAGCTCCGAAGGCGGTAATCAGCAAGCGGTTTCTAATCTGCTCCGAGACGACTGCCAGGCATCCGCGCTTGTAGTGTGTATCACATGCTGACTCGTAGGCGTGCTCAGGACGCGAGCAGCAGGACCAGGGCAGCGAAAGTCGGCGGTAATCAAGAGGGCCGTCCACTCCGCAGCATTGCAACTAAGTATGTTCATGTGAATTAAGTTATTTAGGCCATTAAAAGGTATTATATGTTAAATATTGGTTTTACTTCATGAACTCTTTTAATTTTGTAATAAATAACCTAAGTCTTCAATTATCTTATTTTTATGAGCATGAATACGACCTTCATTTAGCTTACCTGAGATTGCATCCTATTCCACAAATGTAGGTTATCCACCTTGGTGCGCGAAAATTTGTCCAAGAACTCGACAAAGGAGTCGTCGATGAAGATCTCTACAGAGGTGGGCAGATTCTCCCTCATGGCCAAAGACCAGCCGCAGATGATGAACTGAACACAGATGCAGGCCACTAAAAGGGCAGCAAACTGGGGGATTCCAATGGATATACGTTAATACTGATGCATAGTGATTCCCATATATCTCAATACCATTCCCAGAAGGCAGCGCTTTCGTTGATTGGTGGCCTGGCAACCCATCCAGCACAGGATGAAGGTGACGGGTCCCAGGCAAAGGAGGATTGCTGCTGGGGCCCATAACTTGTTCTGCACAATTCCATAGTAGACCGAGTGCCCCCAGAGCAGGGATGTGCCCAAAAATATCTGCGCAGCTCCGGTTAACTGAAAGAAAGGAAGGATTTTGGGAGGCTACTGTTATCACAGGCTAATGTTTTTATCTCAAGGTCCCGCACTGTCGATACCGTGTCCTTGGATGGGTATTTAATTGCACCGTGTGTATTCGGGATGTGCTACATACTATATACATATTATACAGATGGGGTATACTCCCTTTTGACGTCACATGCCAAGGAACCTTATGTGCACGCATGTGTGTGCAAGTGGGCATATATATACATACATACTTAGGCGCAGCTTTAAGTAGCTCAAGGTCACTCCAAGTCGGGACCAAAAACGCGATGCCCCATTCCGTAAACTATGTTTGTATGATATATATACATACTTATGTATATATTCTAAGGGATGTAGAAATGCACTGAAGAATATGTATCATGTCGTCTACTCGTCACTTGAATTATGGAGTTGATATACCTTCGTACGTGAATAAATTGGATTTAAGGTATAAATGTATTGGGATTACCATATGTACAATGCTTTGTTTAATAAAACACTAATATGGAAATTCTTAAGAGTCAGATACATGAATTCTAACCTTATGTAATTCGACAAGTATGCAATTATGCCCTCGTTTGGACCAACAGCAATACAACTTACCGCTAAGAGCACCACATAACTGTAAACCAAATATTTAAAACATTTAATTTTCTTCGGCAATGCCATCCTTCTTCGTTATCCTTTGTCCCTTTCCCACTCACAGTTGGCAATCACTGAACTACCGTTAGTAAACTTAATCTACTGCTATTGTATGCATATATGTTGTAGTGAGTTGGAGTTGAGTACTTCGCCCGATTTCTCAGATTTTTATCTCTTGGATGCTTGTCCCCATACACCACATAGTCGCGGATTATGACTCGCGTTCCCGACTTATCGGATGCAATTTTTAACTAAAAATAACAGTTAACGTTAACTCCGAGTGACTCGAAATCGTCCGCAGTCGAAAATACGCATTCGATGGTCTGACTAGTTGGCTCCTTGATTTGTTATACTTCAGCGACCAGCAGTGCGAATATTATCTATAACCGTCGCCTCGGTTGCAATCACGTTTCGATGACACCGCCACTTGGGCGCCAAATGTTGTTACTTTTCAAAACGAGCTTTTAAAAAAATTCTTTTTTTCATAATTCTTTCGTTTAGTAACATAACTTTAAAAATAGTAACTGAGAATACTATATTAAATATTTATTAGTATTAAAATTTCATGTTAACCTTTTCTAAAAACGGATTTTAAAGATACAAAATATATGAAATTTAAAATCTGTCACTAGACCTGCCAACTCAGCATCAAAAAAATACCAAAGGAATATCACAACACAAGAAAATACTAAAACAGTAACCGTTTTACAGTTTGGCAAAATTATTGTCGAACCTTAAATATAATGAAAAGAACAACCATTTTCCCGTATTAAATTTTACACAAAACACAGCGTCAGTTTAACATAGAATATATTTCTAAAAATGATTGAAAAAGTATAAACAAAACGGAAATGCTTTTCTGATTTTATTACGAGCTTGTATACTGTACACTTTATACACACTTTAATTGGCGATTTTAGGAGGGAATATGTAAAATCCTTAAAAAAAGCGTGTATCGAACTATTAAAAAATTAAGTTTTAGGTTTTTAGGTAATGAAGTTCATTTAAGACGGGTTGAAAATACAATAGAAATTAAAATACCTTGCGTATAAACATATGCTTACAAATAAGTGCTCCACTGTAAATGGACCAGCCGCTTAAAAAAGAATTGGGGGTCGTAGTGGGAGTGGAAGTGCATTTGCGGGGGATTGGATTGAATGTCAAATAAAACTTAAATGAGAAAACAACGTGAGTGGCCTCCGTGGTGCGCATTCGGAAGGATCGAGGATCATGCGGATTCGGATATGGAGCTCCAAGCCGTTGGTGTTGGGTGAAATATGATCGAGCAAAGTCGCGTGAATGTGTTGCGTTGTAAACTTACAATTTAAATTTAGATTTTACATATTTATACAATAGGCAATTAAATCTGCTACTGCTATTATTTAAAATTCAGGTCTCTTTGCAGTTGTCCGTCCCGCGGATCGCCTCGGAATCGCCTTGGTTCGGATCGGACAGATGGGATGCTCTCGGATGCGAATGCCGAAGCTCAGCACATTATTCGCGCAGATTCTTGGTCAGCAGCAGGTTGTTGTGGTGGCCAGAGAGGTGGCGAACGAGCTCCTGGACCGACTCGAAGCACATGGAGCAGAAGCAGCAGCTATATCGATTCTCCGTGTCCGTCCCGTTGGTGGTAGTGATGACGTTTCGATGTACCGAACACAGGTGCTTCAGTAGGTGAGCCTTCTGCTTAAACATAGCCACACAGAGGCGGCAAGCGAACGGTTTCTCGCCGGTATGCACGCGCAGATGAGTCTTGAGGTTCCAGGACATGCCGAACTGTTTTCCACAGTACTCGCATCTGTACTCCCGCACCGAGGAGGCGTGCGTATTGCTTCCGGCCATGTTCGATCCCGATCCAGATGCGGACCCACTGCGTCCCTCCGGATGGTCTAGATTAAGGCTTATATGCGACAGACTAGAGAGTCGCGACTGTAGATTGGGCATTGCGGACATGGCTGCATTTTGGTTTGACTGCCACTGGTACACGAACTGCGGACCCAAATGCATTGGCATCTCGGGGCTCTGGGCTCGATTGCGCTGTCCCTCTAGCAGGTGCTTCCTGTCCGGCGTAAGTGTGTCCCCGTTAAGGGCCCCGTCCTCCAAATGCGCTAGCATGTTCTTCTCAGACCCAAAACCCGAAATGGGCGATGTCGTCGACTTGGCTAGGCGCAGTTCCTCTAACAAACTGTGAGGGTACGAGGTGAACGGCTGATTGTCACTTTGCGTGTTGTGGAATCCGGGTCGACGCTTCCGGTGCGGTGTTACCACATAGTTCTCTGGTGAGCTGTTGATATCAGAGCCATCCGACAGTGGCTTCATAACATCCTTGTGCGAATCGAAGAAAAGACCCTTGCGTTTTGTGCTTTCGCTTGCTGTCACTGCTAGGTCAATGCCGCTGTGGTCTGATCCGGATCCCAAGGTTCTGTTCGCCAAGTTTTCGCTTTTCGTCCGAAGATCGAGAGAAAGGTTGACGGGATTTATAGCTGAACTGCTGATGTTATTGTTATTATTATTATTGTTGTTGTGATTGTGGTGATGAAGCTGCTGGTGGTTGCTGTTGCTACTGATGTTGCTGTTGCTGCCGCTGGTGCCGCTGGGCGGAGCATTCGAGAGATTTACTATTTCGTCCGTGTCTTTGTCGCTTTTATTGTCCTTTTGGGTGCAGTCGTCTTCCTCCTCCTCCTTGTTGTGGGCGCCACTCCGCTCGCATTCGGGCGCACTCTCGCAGTTGTCTCCGGAGTTGAAGGCGGACGAGAAGTCAGCCGCGTTACGAGACTCATCCACGCTGTCTACCTCGTACTTAAGCGTCTGATCCGGCTCCAAATTCTGTGGGCTAGCGTACTGCTGTTTTCGCCTGTCCGCCCGATCACGCAGGCTGCCGCACTTATTGCTCAGATAGGCGGAGTCAGTCGTCTTCCAGCTGTCCGACTTGATCTGCAGCAACAGCAGCAGGTCGTGCAGATAGTTCACATCCCGCGATGTAATGCACGTCTGACCGGAGTACAGAAAGTCCAGCAGGAACTTGAAGTAGGTGGCATTCACGTCGGGAAAGTATACGGTGGTAGAGCAGTCGCTCAAGTGGGTGTCCTCCAGCAGGTTCCTAATCGATATACAAGGTGTTAATTTTAAGTAAAGGCATCGACTCGAAAAGATTACCTTATCAGCGGACTGGCGGCCGCCAGGACCAACTTGTGGGCGTGCAGCTTCACTTTGTTCTCGCAGACGATAGTCAGGTCCGCCGGGTGCTCCCCTCTGAAGGCTGCTCCGATTTCTTTGAGTATGCACTCGCCATGCTTGCTGTATTGCAACATCAACATTCTTTGAAACTGCAAATGGAAGAGCAAGTATGCCGGAGATCGTTAGATTTCTGTTATTTCTATGGCTCCGATCTTTCGTGTCAGATTGCAGAGTCAGAGTACCCAATTCCAATCTCAAAAGATTCTTCACAATAAATTGAGTAAACTTAAACTTATGTCTTAAAAAACTGTTTTCTAGATCTTAATGTGTTATCATTATATATTATTTGAAATAAAAATCTAATTAACGATTCTCATCCATTTAGTTTCCAGTTAAAATATCTATGCAGTTGCAAATTTCGCTCAAGTTGCGCAGGCGCAAGTAAAATAATTCGAGCTAAAAGAGCTATAAATCGTTATAAAATCTGACTTACGGAAGTGGAGTTATAGAAGTTATAACTCTTGATGGTTATTTATGAATGTATGTGGAGCATGTGGCAAAAGTGAAGCCAGTGAAATAGAAAGTTTTGGATTGGGAAGTTTGCATTTTTTGTTTGCTTTTTTTGCTTTGTTATTACACAATCCGCCTTTCACTGAAATTGTCGCCCTCTCTTTCTCTCTCGTCCTCTATTTCTTACTCTTTCCAACTATTGTGTCATAAACGTTTACAAACACAATGCTTTCTGTTAGAAAAAGGATCGTGGAAATATTCGAAAGTGCTTTCCATAACGGTTAAATGCGTTATATTACTGGAATTTCAGCATGGGAGTATGTATACATGTGTACATGTGTGTGCTGGCATTAACAAACTTCCCATAAAGCAATAGTAAATGTTTAACTAATCAGGTTTTTAGGTTTTTCTGTACTTGGTGTTTTTGTAATACTGCAACCCACAATCGTCATGTGTATAAGATTGTGTGAGTGTACTGTGTTGGAAAAGATGAAAGCTTCACTTCATAGAGCTCCGCTATGTTGTTGTAATAGTATTTTTTGTTGTTGCTAGTGGTATTGCCTCCAAAAAAGCTTTCCCGCTTTTGTTGTAGTTGTTGCCGTTTCTTTTATGCGATGAAATTGTTACACTGAAATTCTCTGGCTTGTCCGCCTATATCGGTGTACACCGAACGAAAATATACAAATTATAACTTTTTAACTTTAAAATAATACTTCTTTAAATGCATGTTTTTAAAAATTTATGAATCACAGTTTAAATTTGACTGCAAGGGATTTTAACTCTGACTTTTGAATTCATCTTATGCTGATGTGAAAATGTTATTTTTTGGCAATATTTACATTTGATTATTTGAACTAATTTATTAAAATAAGCTGCTAAGCTTCCTCCCACAATTGAATAATATAATCTTAGTTACTGAGAATATATTCAATAAAGAAAAAAATTGTTAAGGAAAATTAGATAAATTTTAAAGGCATATCCATACAAAATCTATTTTTTTGAATAACAATCTTTTAAATATCCATCTACCTTTTTTTCCATGTTTTTTTCATTATTACTGTGTAAGGTCTGCCTATGAATGTGTGAGTAGTGCAGTGGGGCTCTTGCAAGTGTGGGTTTATTAAGGGGCCACCATTATTGTATTGTGCAAGAGCATGGCTTGTAAGCTCTTTTCAGCTGCGCTTGTATAAGTGAGTATGTCTGCATGGCCCACGAAAAATAATAAACCAAAAAGCTAAAGTTCAGCAGCAGTAGATCTCGAACAAAAATAACAAAAAAAAAAAAAAATGAAAAAGAAAGATAGTCTTGCTTTTGGTTACGCTCTGCTGCTCCTGTCCCCCTGTGCTCCACCACTTCTTTTGCATGGAGACGAACGAAACGTTCACTTTCAATAAAACTTGAATGACTGGCTTGGCGGAGAGCAAGAGAATGGAAATGGGAATGTTGTATTTTTCATGGGAATGGGAAGCGAAAGCTGAACATAGATCGTTTTTGCCTTGGAGTGGAGAGAGACAATGGGAGAGGGGAGGTAGTTGGTGTGCTCATTCTAACGCCAAATAAATACCAAAACGGTATTAACAGAACGTACATACATATATACTTTTATTTGTAAATATGTATGTATGTACATGGATAATTTATGCTTCCATGAGTCAGGGCCATTCACTTTCTACAAGTTTCTCAGGTGATTTCGCAATCGGTTTCGAACAAACCATGACTGAAGATCATTTCAATGGTTATTACAATCAAAAGGTGAAAGTTCATGGAAATATTTCCTTAGATTGAAAAAGGTATATGGGATATTTTTTCCAACATTTCTCCTCTCTTTTCGCGATATCTGGCAAACTGGATGTGAGAATGAAAGGGACAAAGCTGGCGAAGAAGATCGAGAGGGGAAACGAGACAAAACAAAACGCGCTAACTCACAATGCGCGCATAAAATCACCTTTCACAAAAAGCTTTTCTCCTCTCTATGCTTGTGTTCGTCTGTATGTCTGAAGATCGGGGTATAAAGCTAAACAACAAAGCAGACATTCAGGCACACATATGTACATACATATAGGCGGAGAACGCAATCGTTTGTATATTTCCACACTTTCCGATTTTTGTCGTCGTCATCGTTCCCATGTAATATAAATGTAGTTTTACAATTACTCTTTCCCCTTTACATATATATATATATGTAAGCGTGTGTGTGTATTTGCAGATTGCGTGAGTGTTTACGAATATAAAGCACATGTGTCTATTTCCAAGTGGAAGAGAACGGGAACGGGAATGGGACATGGAACTGGAAATATGTATATGGATCTTATCCGATCGAAGGCCTCAAAAGAGAAAGCTACATGGGTTTTGAAAGTATTATAAGCTCGTAAAAGGTAAAAAGTTAAAAAGGGAGCGGAATAAGCAACGGCAAACTCGTTTTTCTCCCTCTCTTTCGCTCTGCCGCTCTCTCTCACATTCTCTTTCTTTCTCGCTCTCTTCCCCCTTTCCCCTTTCACAAAAAGCTCTCTTGCCGAACCAAAGAAGCGAGGGAAAATGGCAAAGAGCCGCCGTCTTTCGTACTTGTTGTAAATGCTACACTCGTAAAAGTGACCCAAATTTGAATTACATAACTTCATAAGCTGGGCGATACGGAGAAAGATAGGAAAAGGTTTGCTTTGAATTTGTGGTAATGTGTACCAGTTTATATATTTCATTTTGGATGTACATGCGTTTAAGAATTTCTGTAATTTACGGGAATCAAAGCTTTCAAAATGATCACTTGACGATTTAATGACTTATAACACTTATACGTTTTCGCTTAGTTAGACTCCTTAAACTAAAAGTCCCCTTAATAGAAAGCCTACGCCCCTGCCTTTCCTAACAGCATATTTTGTAACATCTGCGCGAACACCGTGTAACTGCATATGTGTGTGCTTGTGCTTGTGTGTGCTTTTTCACCTTCACTCTTATTGGAAAGCAGTTAAGTTAGTCGACGATGCGTGTGTGCGTGCGCTAATGTATGTCTTCAAATTTTATGACATGCATACGATCACACACAAACACGCGGGGAGTATATAACGCAGACAAAAGCACGCGATGAAGGTCACTAAGCCTTTCTTGTCTCCAGTTGTTATTATTGTTGTACTACTAATGATGTTCAGTTCATGACGACCAAGATTGGATCGCCACGAACCGAAGCTTCGGAGCGAAGTTTTGGATACGATACGATCCAAACCGAGCTTGGAATGTTTTCAGTTTTCTGTTTTCTCTACCACTATTAAGTTAGTTTCTGACCTTGGATGCTTTGTGTGCTTAGGTGCACAAAGAGCCATACACGTATCGTGTACAACAAAACCCAACTTTTTATTATCTCTGAGATGTTGCAATGCCAAAGATGTTGAAAATCTCGGAAAAGCTTACTTACGAACGATACTCTGCTTACCTCTTTCATTAAGTTGGTTGATCAGCAGTTAATTAATCCCAGGACGAATAGAGTCACTCACTTTTACACTGTTTGTTCTGATCGCTTATTCTTTGCGATCGGCTATATGCATACTGCTGCTCACTGGAAACTTTCGATTTCATTGATCATGTTGTGTTTATGTTTTCGACTATATCCTTTCTTTATCTTGAATGCTAATTTCTCACAGGAGCGGATTTTCGATTTCTCTATGGCTTTTCCTGCTGCTGCTTCTTCTTCTGCGACGCAACGCAAGAAATATCCACCAACACAATTACACCAAAATCCACAATACCAATGCACACAGACACAAAAGTTCACTACAACGGCACAACCACAACTACAACTACAACATCAACATTAACTTTAACTAGGTTGAAGTTTTGTTTTTTCTTTTTGTTTTATTGCGAAATAAAAAACTTGATTGGTAAAACTTTTTCTGGCGCGAGCGCAACTGCGAGTGTGAGTGGGAGATCCGATCTCTTGCCTCTCTTTCGATTTTCGATTTCAGCTTCTGCTTTGCTTCTGCTTCTACTTTTACTTCCACTGTTTGCGCGCGCGCACGTCTGTTCACTCGGAGCCGTTTTTTTTGACTGTGCGGTCTTTTCCGAGAGATCGCTCTGCTCTGCCGCCGCCTCTGCCGCCAACCAGCCTGCAACAACAACGGGTATCTACAGTAGGTCAGGAAAGTATGGCTATAAGTTTTTATTTTGTCTAAGTAAAATTCTTGTCATGCTCTAAATATTTAATTTAAACTATTGGGTATAATATATTAATTAAAATATCTGTATCAAATTAAAACAAGCATCAGTTGTTTTGACATTTTACTTTAATAAGCAAGCGTAAATGGAAAATATGCATGTAATCAAAAAATGTTTTATCAATGTAAGACTTTTATTCTAATAATTGAAGACAATACAAGTTTTTATGTATATATATAACTTTAAAATATAGGAATCTAAAAAGGATGTTGTTAGTGCAAAGTTAAAAAGTTTATTTTCCTTCCGTCAAAACACTTTATTTACGTACTGTACTGTCTCTTTGAGCGGAGAGAGCAGAAGAGAGCCGTCAGTTCAGCCAAATCAAACATTTCCCGCCAAAAATTAAGCTTTCACCAGAGCATTCAATATATTTTTGTAGGAAATAGTTTTTCTTAAAATATTATATATTAAATGTAATATTTTTTCTCAAAAATTTGGTATTATGTATTTCTTGTGATTACAATACCAAAATTTAGGCACAAAAATGCAAAATACACCAAATTTGAGAAAAAATATTACATTCAATAAATTTTATGAAAAACTATTTCTTTTACATGCATATGTACACATTCATATGTGTATGTACTAGCTTTGTTCAATATATGGCATGGTATATAAATATGTATATAAAGAAGAAGATTTTACCTTGGTCCCCAATAAGTTGCGATCCGTTTATTATTTGCGTTCATTGTAAATCCTTAACGATTGCTCATTTGAATTTCACATGCCGCCTACATGTCCATTCTACCCTTTATTATTCTATTTAAGAGAACAATCACATTCGTCCTTGAACAAAATTTCTTCCATTGGTAATTAAGGTACGGTTAAACGAATTTCTATGCAAATGATTAGTTTAAGGAAGGAAAATAGATCGTATTATGAGTGCTGCAATTTTCATATGTATGTACATTCTTCAAAAAGTTTTTATATTAATTAAAAGATATTTATTTACTTAGAAAAAAAAAACGATAGAAAGTAATGCGTTTGCCGCCTATTTACATATAGATCCCTTGTGGTAGTTATAACTAACATCGTAGTTCAAGGACACGGCTAATGGTTTTCTATAATGGGAAAGGGTATATGCAGAACTGGTAGGTGACGAATCGGCGTGCAGTTGGAAATTGTAAACTGCCTATTTGATGGATAATCGAAACACAGCTAGGGTCAAGGTCGTTGGAGAAATCTATCCCTTTATGACTTTTTCTAGGCTGTTTTTCGATTCATTTGGATCGCGTGTAAATGCTAAATATTTTCTTTAAATTACCAGATAAATATAAAACAGAGATACACATAAGCATAATAGGATATAATCTCTATTTTTACATTAAAAATTATTTAAGAAGGGTATTTTAAATTCTTTAGCTTTTCTTTTCCAGCTTTCGATAGTATTTGCGACGATTACCGATAACAAATTGCGATCCGGCGTCCATTCTCTAAACAGCTGCGGTTGAGAAAAGCGAGAAAAGAAATCCGAAAACTTTCGCAAAATGAGCCTTCAAAATGTCTGCCGCAAGGGTAATGCCTTCAACCTGTTGAATGTTTCCAGAAAAGGTGAGTTATTAACAATATACGGATCATATTATGATCAAAAACTACTTGCTGCAATTATTGGACTTTGCCTTTGATAATTCATAACGTTTTGTGGCAGCAGCCGCCGATTGAATATGAAAGGGCCAAAGTCCAAACTCGAAATTCGCAGTGACGTCTTACGGGTGAAAGATAATGGATGGGTACATCATGATTATAAAAAAAATTAAATCAGAAAGAGGTAATTCTTACTTTGTAATGCTTCTTTATTACAGTTCAATGTCGCACTTTATCGGCCGCTGTGGCAAGTCCACAGCCCAAACAGAAAAACGGCCAGAACATAGTTTTGGTTGATGGAGTTCGTACACCTTTCTTGACCTCGGGAACCTCCTACTCCAAGCTGATGCCTCATGAACTGGCCAGACACTCTCTCTTGTATGTATTTTATTGTATATCAAAAACTTCTTAAGAGTTAGGGTAATCTAAATCAACAGGTCGTTGCTGCAAAAGAATCGTCTAGACAAGGAGCTCATCGACTATATTGTTTATGGCAGCGTTATCCAGGAGGTCAAGACTTCCAATATCGCCAGAGAGGCAGCCTTGGCAGCTGGTTTCAGCAACAAAACACCCGCTCACACTGTAACCATGGCCTGCATCAGTTCCAATGCGGTAATCCTATCCAAAACTTTTTCTTAAGAACGAATGAGTAGCCCAATTTTTTGTAGGCCATCACCACAGGAATGGGTCTGATTGCCACCAATACGTACGATGTCATTGTGGCTGGTGGAGTGGAGTTCATGTCCGATGTACCCATCCGTCACTCCCGCAAGATGCGCTCATTGCTTTTAAGGGCCAACAAAGCTAAGACCCTCGGTCAACGATTGTCCCTTCTGTCCACCTTCAGGCCGGACTTTTTAGCCCCCGAACTGCCCGCCGTAGCGGAGTTCTCATCTGGCGAGACTATGGGGCACTCTGCAGATCGCCTGGCATCAGCATTCAACGTTTCCCGCAGCGAGCAGGATGAATATGCCCTGCGATCCCATACGCTAGCCAAGGAGGCCCAGGAGAAGGGTTACTTCACCGATCTGGTGCCCTTCAAGGTGTCTGGCGTTGACCAGATCGTAGACAAGGACAACGGCATCCGTGTGTCCAGCCCTGAGAGCCTGGCCAAGTTGAGACCGGCCTTTGTAAAACCATACGGTACAGTGACAGCAGCTAATGCCTCTTTCCTTACGGATGGTGCCTCTGCTTGCCTGATCATGACCGAGGAGAAGGCAAAACAGTTGGGTCTGAAACCCAAGGCCTATCTGCGAGACTTCCTGTACGTGTCCCAAGATCCAGTCAATCAGTTGCTGCTGGGACCTGCCTACGGAATTCCCAAGCTACTTAAAAAGGCTGGACTCAGTCTGAACGACATTGACTCTTGGGAGATCCACGAAGCTTTCGCCGGACAGATAGTTGCCAATCTAAAGGCCCTGGACTCAGATTGGTTCTGCAAGACCTACTTGGGCCTGAACGACAAAGTTGGTAGCCCGGACTTGTCAAAGTGGAACAACTGGGGCGGATCCCTGTCTATCGGTCATCCATTCGCCGCTACCGGCGTTCGCCTTTGTATGCACTCGGCCAACCGCCTAGTTCGCGAGGACGGCAAACTTGGAGTGGTCGCTGCCTGTGCAGCTGGTGGGCAGGGCGTAGCCATGCTCATTGAGCGCTATCCGGGCGCCACAGCCGACTGAAATCGAAATTTAATCAACAAGGAGAGTGCAGTTTGACTGCGAGATTGCTAGCTTTTATACACTTTAAAACTATGTCTATACGAATAAAGAAATCTGAATTTTAAAAAACAGTTTAATTCCTAATAGAGCACAAGCCTTTCAAACAAGCATTAGATATATCTAAGTAATCCTATTCTGTCTCGTAGAGCTCCTTTTGCCGCAGCTTCGTCTGCAAAATGTCGTTTTCATTATAGGTGAGATGAAGCGGGGGAATTAAGGCGCAGGCCACCATTCGATTCTCGGCATTCAGGAAGTTAAAGGTGGCACAAGCCTAAAAAAAAGTTTTAATTAATTGGAAACTTTTAAGGGAGGGCTGCGTATATTACCTGCTCCGTGCGGAGAACCTCAACGTTTATTTTGTGTTTCTTCATGAATTCAATTATCCTTTTTGAAAGGGCTGGCGGTGGAGATTGATCGCCAATGCCAATAATAAGAACGTCGATTTTTGGCTCCAGAGTGGGAAAAAGGCTAAGGCTCTCCTCATTAATGTCCTCGAAGCTGTTTACGTTCCAGGAAAGCACAGATCTGGAAATATACACATGCACAGCTTAAATCATAACGAATTAAAGTAGTGAAATTATAAACTATATATCTTATAAACCCTTTTGAAAACCCATTATAACGCACAAACGTTCATTTTGAACTAGTATATTTTTTAAGCTCTTGTTTTAATAAGAAAATTTTTCAAATGTGTTGTCAAAATATTTTTAAAAAACGGCTTTAAAACTTATAAAGTTACGAATTATTTTACTTTTCCAAACAACAATTAAGTACTACTCGTCATATTGGTCACTAAAAATAAATTAGGATTCTATGAACAAATATTATTTCGAGAAAAGGTTCTTTACATTTTCCAAATTATTTCGAAAACTGTAGATTTATAAATTGAAAACATGCACATAAGAATGTGGATCAAGAGGACATAAACCACATGCACTTGTTTACATAATTCGACCACTGACTGCCTCAACCCATTCAACAAACCTGGGAAACACGGAAATTGGTCCTATGAGGACCATGTCGTTGTTAAGCCTGAACCCGTACTGGCTATATCCGGTGACCATCAGCCCCAGATCCGTCTCGGTGTTGAAAATAGTCACTTTTGTTTTTCCATCATGGTCGTAGGCCTTGCTAAAGTTTGCCGGGAACGCGTGAAATGGGCGGTATATGGGCCTCCTTCGGAGCAGCTGGTTGCGACTTCGCTGACCTACGGCTCTCAGGGTCCTCGCAATCATGGTTTCGAGTTATAAAAGTAATTAATAGCTATTGCAACAATTTAAAACTAACAAAATAGAATAGACTGAAATTGAAAAGTTTATCAGAACAGTGTGACCAAAATATTTGTGCACGTCGCAACAGTCTGGCAAACCATCTCTGCCTTAAGATACTTCGCGTGCTCTGGCCACACTGCTCGGCAATTAATTTACGAAATTTACGAACAATTAACATAAACTTTTACATTTGCCTGTGTGTTTTAGCAATACCTATATATTTATGCGCTGTTGTTGACTACTTCTAAGTGTCACAGTGTCCGCAGGTTTAAACTACAACAAGTTGCTCGAAATTCTACGAATCGGAGTGATAAACACTAGAATGTTTTGATACAGTGAAAAGTCGTGTGCAATGATTAAGCAAGGCGGTGAGTGGTGCCCTTAAACTGCAATTGGCCCAGTTATTGGGGTCCGATCGGCAATCGGGGGCTTATAAATTGATGATAATACCATATGTCCACTATCTTTATGTTACACACACACACACACACCAGGTGTTCGTGTATGTGATTGATTGGTGCGTGCATTGACACACATGAAACAAATTAGAAGCCCCGTAATCGCCATTGGCAGTTAAAAGGTTACTACTAGCAGGTTTAATTCTTAGTGCCTCGTTAAAAGCTTCTGCAAATACCTCCAGATAGTATGTAGATATATGTACATAGATAGTGAGTGGGGTGGGGTGATTTGTGGCTGTGTATGTATGCCAAGTGGGCCGATTTAGTCATCCAACACCATACCATATTGATATGTTTTTCATTTTTCGTCATAGGAGTCGCTCCCTCAATAAGAACGTATTCTTTTTAACTATATTTTTACTTTGCAAAAATTGAAACTCTTTATTTTGTTGTAATTATAATAATAACGTTAAATTATTATCAAAGTTGTAAAAGCTAATTTCAATTCATTATAGTTCTATATATACATATGTAATTATGCCAATAATTGTCCTGCATATACAGTAATTTAATATTCTCTTATTTACGTCGTTACAGTCGCTCCCTAAAATCACTTCGATAAGAATTTAGTTTTAAACGCTACCTCACAATGATCGGGCCTAGTTCGCAGATCAGCAAGATACTGCTTACCCTGCTGTTCCTGTTGATCATTTTTTACGTTTTTATGGATGTGGAGTTATACCTGCGCATTCATAACTATGTCATTGAGCGGAATTACCATACGAATGTGTCCCTGCCCATATCCGCCGGAGGACAGTCCCCCTCGGAATCTTTATCCGGTGGCAGCAGTACGAAACTCCCCACCGCCGCCGACAGGCAGCCGTCCTACGAGGATCATACCTGGATATCCTGTGATATAAACCCACTTTGCCATATAACCGTGAAGGCTATACTGCTGGACCACACCAATCACTACCTGTTCGCCCCGCTGGCTACCATGTTCGACAACGTGATCGGCTTCTCGCGTTCCACCTTTATAACGCCGAACATGATATCGTTTTTCCACGTAGGCGTAGCCTGTCTGGCGGGTAAACTCGTGGCTTCGGATAGCCTAGGTTACAGGCGGATGGGAGTGCTACTTTTCCAAATCAGAACTTTTCTGGACGACCTGGATGGGCATGTGGCACGCGTGAGGAAGCACATTCGCGGCGAGCGCTCGGAGATTGGCACATCCGGCTATTATGTGGATGGACTGTGCGACGGACTGGGATGTATTGCCCTGCTGCTGGGCATATTCTTTTACTTAAAGAACAACCCGCCGCGGAGGGGATACTCCATCATACCCATGAGTGATTCCAAGGTACTAGAGCCCACGATGATGATTCCAAAGATGAAGGCCACAACGAGAAAGGTGGCCAAGAACGTGATTAGCTTCACGGGCCAGCTGCTTCTGAGCTCCACGGCGTGGAATCGCTACATAGCCGTCTATCAGAACATGCTGGAGCGTGAGGACGTAAGCGGCAGCCAGTCTCATTGTCAAAACTACATCTTCAAGTCCACCTGGTTTTTTTGCGTCGCCTGGATGTGGCGCATTGTTAATGTACACGCCTTGCTCCACTGCGTCCTGCTTAGCATATTCTGCGATAAACTATGGGACTTTCTGCGCGCGATCCGGTATAGCGGTTATATTATCCTGTTAGTTGCTATCTGTTTAACTGAAATGCACATTCTGGAGGCCCAGAACTACATTTTCAACTCTACAGCGTGCAGTAATATTTCACTGTGATTTTATTAATATTACGAGAAAATACAATAATATTTGTGTAGTGCAAATCAACGATGCCTTTTTTATTGTGTATAATAATTGTTAGATTGCTCACGTTAAAGTCGGCACCACTAATGCATTTTGTCATTCAATCCAGTCTGCAAGAGCAAAAAACTCCTTCAGCTGTAAATAATAAATGTTATTGATTAATAAATTCTTGGTGTTTTTATGATGTTAAATGTATAGCGAAGTTTTAGTTAAATAGTTGGACGGTTTTAAATTTCTTTTAAAAATAGCCAATCAGTTATGAGCCCGTTTGGGCCATTAACATAATTTCAGTTTGTCGGGCTGGACAGAACGCGTCGCTCTTATAGAATAAATTGATTATACATTCCACCAACTACGTATAAATATATGTATATAAGATACATTTTAATAGGAAATAATATGACTTATTAACCTACCTCTCTATATGTGTACATATGTACATATATAATATGTTTTACTTACAAATGCCAAGATATACAACAACCACACACTTGAAAAAAAATTTTTTTTTTATTTACTAACCGATAGGTATTTTCAAGTACCGAAGCATAGGGTCACACTGCGAAAACATCAAGGCATACAGAAAGCAAAATAATTGAAAGATAGAAAAATATGATGCACTTTTCTGAACACAAAAAGATGAAATGTCTATTGTAAATATCACTTGTTTCTTATTACGCACAGAGTGAAAGTGTGTTGTGTCAAAAAACGAGCGTGGAACGTAAAGTGAATACCTGAATTGAGTTTTGCCTGGGTGTGAATTTAATTCTTGTGAGAGAGAACAGTGAAATTGTATTCTAATTCTACATGCCGCAATAAGGAGTTTAAAAAGGTCAAGAATATCGTGTGGAAACGTTGCTAGGAATTGAATCAAATATTAAAGTGTAAGAATATTCTAACCAAATTGGGGAATAGGGGAATGGCGATTGTAAAACTTCCATTTGTGCGAGACAGCATTCTTTCAGCTTTCATGATTAACTTATCGATTTATCCCCGGTTTTCCCGTTACAGAGCTCGGCAGGCATGCTAACGGTTATATTGCGGGTCTTATCATACATATAGATCACTATAATTGTATACTTTTCACATTTTTATTTTCCTTTATGAAATTTTCAAATTTAATTTCCATTAAATTTCGGTTTTGAATGTATTCAATGGTTGTCCTTTCTCTTTTGTTGAAACTTTTGGTTAAGTCGTACGAATATTGTGAATATAAAGTGGGTTCTAAAAATCTTTTTGAATTGCATTTAACGAACGCATGAATTAATGGATTTCATTCATAAAGCAGGGATGCAGAATATGTGGTTACTTCAGTTGATTGAATGATTCGGTAGATCATTTGTATAGCAAAGTGTGTGTCCGGTGCGGTGATCGATATCTTTAACGTTGTGTCGTTTTTAGCAGCAACCATGGTGATGGACTTCGTTCAAGTTTCGGAAGAAGAGGGTGATGAGACCATCGAGCTACCGTGCGAGGAAGATGGCACTCTGCTGCTGTCTACCTTGCAGGCTCAGTTTCCTGGGTCCTGCGGTCTGAATTATCGCAACCTGAGCACAAAGGCGTTACGCGGAGTTCGTTCCAATGAGGGCAGACTGTTTCCATTGAACGTGGGTTCCGGATGGGGGGATTATCATTATTTCTGCGTGTATCCCAAGGGTATGAGTTAGTATATACATCCAGGTTAAAGGTACTCAAATTTCTCCTTTTTAAATACTTAACAGAAAATAAGCGTAAAAGTGATGATAGCTTGGAAAACTCGACGGCTAAGACCAAACGAATTGAAACCCGTTTGCGTTGCACTGATCTTGTAGTTCTCGGTTTGAACTGGAAGACAACTGAGGAGAGTTTGAGGGAATATTTTGAGACCTTTGGGGAGGTGCTTATGGCCCAGATAAAAAAGGACACCAAGTCGGGCCAGTCTAAGGGTTTTGGATTCGTGCGCTTTGGATCTTACGATGCCCAGATGCGCGTTCTTTCCAATCGCCACCTCATCGACGGTCGCTGGTGCGAGGTCAAGGTGCCGAACTCCAAGGTGAGTTCTCTTACAAGTGTTCTAATTCTAATTCTGAAAGTAATTGTTTGAATTTTCTAGGGTGTTGACCACGAGTTGCCGTGCAAGGTCTTTGTAGGACGCTGCACAGAGGAAATAAGCGCAGACGACTTGCGGGATTATTTCTCCAAGTTCGGCGAGATCACGGATGTGTTTATTCCCCGTCCCTTTAGAGCTTTCAGTTTTGTCACTTTTCTCGATCCTGACGTGGCACAGTCCCTGTGTGGAGAGGACCACATAATTAAGGGTGAGGCAATAAAGTTTAAAAAGAGAAAGAGGATTTAATAAGGTACTTTCTAAAGGTGCATCGGTTCATGTGTCAAATGCTGCCCCAAAAGCCGAGCAAAACAAAAACCAGCAAGGCCAGAGCTACAACAATTCCGGCCGGAATGGATACCAAAGAGGTAACAACCAACGCAGTTCTTACGGCGGCGAGAATTCAATCATCGGCAATGACGGCAACAACGGCACGGCCGGTTACGGTACAAGTGACAATAATTATGGAAGAAATTCGGGCGGGGATTACCATAACAATGGTAATAACAATTACTCCAACAACGTGAAAACAAATCGACAGGACGGGGGGTCCCAGTACAACAATAGACAGGCGAATTTCCATGGAATGAACCAGACACAAAACGGTAAGGGAGGTGGAAACAACGGCTGGATGAACCAGAGAAACCTGGAAATGCCCAATCTGCAGGCACTCGGCCTCAATTCGCAGGGGTCAAACTCCTCCAACCAGGGCTCGAATATGCTTAATCTGAACTCCTTGCCTATCAATCCCGCTATGATCGCTGCCGCTTTGAACCAATGGAGTCTGATCGGCAACCAGCTGCAGAATCAAAACCAGGACCAGCAGGCAAGACTTCACCTGTTATTGTTCCAGACAAATAAACTTTTTGAGTTTATCCACAGGGCGGAAATTTTTTATCGTGGATCCAGAACGGTGGCCACAACAACGCTAACAGCTTTGGTGGACGAAAGGGTTCGAACAACTCTAACAACCCGGGTTCCAACGGAATAATTCAGGGAGAAAACTCTGGCATTAACGACCAACAGGTAGGATAAACCCATATCGCCGAAAAAATGGCATTAACCATTTTAGAATGAAAAAACCGGTTGGTCAAAAACGGCAGCAAGCTTCAAAACTCCATGCAAGGTCGAACATTCTTTAGGACGGTACCAAACTGCTGTTGGTATCTAATAATTATGTATTAATTCTACATCTAAAAAATGTATTAATGAATTTTAATTTAAAATGGTCACCTTAATATTTGTAAGTTTGTGGATAATACAATTTATATAACGGTCTACAAAATAAATTATGCTCCCTTTTAAAGCCTCAATCGAATGCCTTCTGTATAGTTTATTTACATATGTATGAAGTTGCCATGTAAACACTGAAATCGTGGTCTGATTTGGAAAATATTATTTTTGCCCAATTCGAACGGGTTGCCTACTGCTGAAATGAATTAAGGCCAACTTTCTTACTCCTTTCTCTTAATACTTTAGCTTCAATAAAATAATACAAGATAGCCTAATTGGAATAGGTGAGTTTCTAGTAGTATTAAACAGTATTTAAGTCTAACATTAAGGGAATACTAACTTTTTGTTATTTTTTGAACCCCAGAAGTTTTTGAGTATATTTGTACAAACGGTTGGTATTTTGAACTACCTATGCATAGGGCCACACTGTGAAAAAGTCAAGGGATACCGAAAGCAAAATTAGAACTGAAAGGCAGGCTAGGCAGAAATGTTCCACTTCTCTGAAAACAAAAAGATGGAATATCAATTGTAAATATCACTTGATTCTTATTACGCAAGTCGTGAAGTTGTGTTGTGTCGAAACTCCAGCTTGGAACATAAAGTGAATACTTGAATTGAATTTTGCTTGTGTGTGAATTGAATTCGTGTGACAGAAAACTGTGGTTGAATTCCGAATCTACTTGACATATAGTTTAAAAGATCAAGAACGACGTGTAGAAGCGCTGCCTGAAATCGAATCAGAAATCAAAGTGTAAGAATGTTGTAACCACCTTTCAGGAAGGCCTAATCGGGTTTATACTGTTGTGTGTATGCATCGTGTGTGTGTCTCATGCACATATGTATGTATGTATGGATACATGCATATTTACGTCTGAATGAAAAGGGGAATGGAGAATTTAGAGTTTCCATTTGTGCGAGACGACATTCTCGGGGTTTTCATCATTAATATATCGATTTATCCCTGTCTTAACCGTTACAAAAGTCAGAATGCATGTTTGCAGTTTCCTTGCGTGTCTTAAAATGTATATCGATTAGTATAACTATATACTTTTCTGATTCTTTATTTATTTTGTGACATTTTAAAAATTTATATTTAGTAAGTTTTGTATGATATTTGCTTCGTTGTTAATTGCACGTCAATATGAAGTTGTAATATAATTCAGTTGGATAGGCCATACGAATATTGTGTGTCAGTGATTTTAAATTTATTTTTCTGTTCTTCTGATCTTTTTTGAGATGCTTCTGAAAAGAATGCATAAACTGAGTGTAATTCATGAATGTAGGAATATGTGGTTAGTTCAGTTGGTTGAATTGATTGATTTGGTGGATCGTCGGAAGAAGTGTGAGTTCAGTGCGGCATTCGATATCGTTAACCTCGTGTTGTTTATAGCAGCAACCACGGTAATGGACTTCGTTCAAGTTTCGGAGGAGGAAGCTGATGAGCCCATCGAGCTCCCGTGCGAGGAAGATGGCACTCTGCTGCTGTCTACTTTGCAGGCTCAGTTTCCTGGGTCCTGCGGTCTAAAGTATCGCAACCTGGACACGAAGGCGGTCCGCGGAGTTCGATCTAACGAGGGCAGACTATTCCCGCCGAACGTGGGTTCAGGATGGGGGGAATACTATTATTTCTGCGCGTACCCCAAAGGTATGAGTTTGTAATAACATAGCAGATAAAAGTTTCTTAATTCAATCTGTTATTTGAATACTCAACAGAAAACAAGCGCAAGAGCGATGATAGCTTGGAAAACACAACTGCCAAGACCAAACGCATTGAAACGCGTTTGCGTTGCACTGATCTTGTAGTTCTCGGTTTGAATTGGAAGACAACTGAGGAGAGTTTGAGGGAATACTTTGAGTCCTTTGGGGAGGTGCTTATGGCCCAGATAAAAAAGGATCCCAAGTCGGGGCAGTCTAAGGGTTTTGGATTCGTGCGCTTTGGATCTTACGATGCCCAGGGCCGCGTTCTTTCCAATCGTCACCTCATCGACGGTCGGTGGTGCGAGGTCAAGGTGCCGAACTCCAAGGTGAGATCTCTTACAAGTGTTCTTATTCTAATTCTAAAAGAATTGTTTTAATCTTCCAGGGCGGGGACAATGAGTTGCCCTGCAAGGTATTTGTAGGACGCTGCACAGAGGAAATGAACGCAGACGACTTACGCGAGTATTTCTCGAAGTTCGGCGAGGTCACTGACGTGTTTATTCCCCGTCCCTTTAGAGCCTTCAGTTTTGTCACTTTTCTCGATCCTGACGTGGCACAGTCCCTGTGTGGAGAGGACCACATAATTAAGGGTGAGGCAATAAAGTTTAAAAAGAGAAACTGTATTTAATAAGGTACTTTCTAAAGGTGCATCGGTTCATGTGTCAAATGCTGCCCCAAAAGCCGAGCAAAACAAAAACCAGCAAGGCCAGAGCTACAACAATACCGGCCGGAATGGATACCAAAGAGGTAACAACCAACGCAGTTCTTACGGCGGTGAGAATTCAATCATCGGCAATGGCGGCAACAACGGCACCACCGGTTACGGTATGGGTGACAATAATTATGGAGGAAATTCGGGAGAGGGCTACCATACCAATGGTAATAACAATTACTCAAACAACGGGAAGGGGAATCGCCAGGACGGGGGGTCCCGGTATAGCAATAGGCAGGAAAATTTATACGCAATGAATCAGTCTCGAAACGGTAACGTGGGAACGAACAACGGCTGGGTGAACCGGGCCAATCTGGACATGCCCAACTTACAGGCGCTAGGCCTTAACTCGCAAGGATCGAACTCTTCCAACCAGGCCCAGAACATGCTCAATCTTAACTCGTTTCCGATCAATCCCGCTATGATCGCTGCAGCTTTGAATCAGTGGGGCCTGATCGGCAACCAGCTGCAAAATCAAAACCAGGACCAGCAGGCAAGACTTCACTCTTCCGTTATTGGTTTAGATAAATAAACTTTTTCAGTTTATCCACAGGGCGAAAATTTTTTAACATGGATGGCCCAGAACAACGATAATAGCTTTGGTGGACGAAAGGGTTCAAATAACCCGAACAATCCGGGTTCCAATGGAATCAATCAAGACGAAAACTCTGGCATTAACGACCAATAGGTAGATTACACCCATACCGTCGGAAAAAGACCTGAAACTTACATACATCAAGGGCATTAATCATTTCAGAATGGAAAAAACCGATTGGTCAAAAACAAAGCAGCTGTCCTCACAACTTCGTACAAAGTCGAACATTCTTTAGGACGGTACCAACCTGCTGTTGGTATTGTACGAATTCTACATCTAAAAAATTATGAATAGATATAATTTAAAATAGACATTTTAATAGTTGTAATTTGATGGATATTAATGCAATTCATTTAACGTTTAACAAAATATATTATGCGTCCATTTAAAGTGGGAGTGGCCATGTAAAAACTGAAATCCTGGTCTGATTTGAAACATATTATTTTTGTCCAATTGCAACGGGTTGCCAACTGCTGAAATGAATTAAGGCCAACTTTCTTACTCCTTTCTCTTAATACTTTAGCTTCAATAAAATAATCCAAGATATTCTAATTGGAATAGGTTTCTAGTAGTACTAAACAGTATTTAAGTCTAACATTAAGGGAATACTAACTTTTTGTTATTTTTTGAATTCCGAAATCTTTGTACAAACGGTTGGTATTTTGAACTACACATGCATAGGGTCACATTGTGAAAAAGTCAAGGGATACCGAAAGGAAAATTAGAACTGAAAGGCAGGCTAGACAAAAATGTTCCACTTCTCTGAACACAAAAAGATGAAATATCAATTGTAAATATCTCTTGTTTCTTATTACGCATAGAGTAAATTTGTGTTGCGTCGAAAAACCAGCGTGGAAGTGAATACCTGAATTGAATTTTGCCTGTGTGTGAATCGAATACGTTTGAGAGAGAAATTCCGAAGCACTGCCAAAAAACGAATCAGAAATCAAAGTGTAAGAATGCTGGAACCACCTTTTGGGGAGCTCTAATTGTATTTTTCTTGTTGTACGTGAGCAGAGTGTGTGTTTGTCATGCACTTGCAGCATACATACACACATTCATTAGAATGGGAAAATGGGGATTATAGTACTTCCGAATGTGCGGACATAAATCACTTATCGATTTATTCCTGATTGCACCCTTATAAAAGTCAGCATGCGTGTTAACGGTTTTCTGTATACTTTTCTGATCTTTTCTTTCCATTCTAGAATTTTCAGAAATAAATTCTATTATATTTGGGTTTTGTATGTATTCAATAGTTACTTGTTTTCTTTTGTTAAAACTGTGTCTATTAGGACGTCCGAATAGTGTCATAAAAACATATTTGTGTTGGATCTTTTTGAAATGCAGCTAAAAGAACGCATGATATAAATGATTCCATTCATGAAAGCAGGGATGCAGAATATGTACATATATGGGTACTTCAGTTGATTGAATGATGTGGTTGATAACTTCTAAAGCGAAGTGTGAGTCCCATGCGGTGATCAAAATTTGTAATCTTATGTTTTTAGCAGTAACCATGGTAATGGACTTCGTTCAAGTTTCGGAGGAGGAGGGTGATGAGCCCATCGAGCTGCCATATGAAGAAGATGGCACTCTGCTGCTATCTACCTTGCAAGCTCAGTTTCCAGGGTCCTGCGGTCTAAAGTATCGCAACCTTAACACGAAGGCGGTGCGCGGAGTTCGATCCAACGAGGGCAAACTGTTCCCCCCGGATGTGGACTCGGAATGGGGGGAATACCATTACTTTTGCGTGTTTCCAAAGGGTGTGGACATTGAATTTACAATCCAAGTTAAATATAGTTAATTATTTCATTTGTCAAATACTCAACAGAAAACAAGCGTAAGAGCGATGATAGTTTGGAAAACACAACTGCTAAGACCAAACGATTAGAGACCCGTTTGCGATGTACTGATCTTATAGTACTCAGCTTAAATTGGAAGACAACCGAGGAGAGTTTTAGGGAGTACTTTGAAACCTACGGCGAGGTTCTGGTTGCACAGATCAAAAAGGACAAGTTGGGGAAGTCGAGGGGTTTTGGATTCGTGCGATTTGGGTCTTACGATGCCCAGATGCGCGTTCTTTCCAGTCGCCACCTCATCGACGGTCGATGGTGCGAGGTCAAGGTGCCGACCTCCAAGGTAAAGTCTTATGCAAGTGGATAGGTTGTTCCAATTGTAATTCTTAAAGTAATTAATTTAATCTTCTAGGGGGTAGACCACGAGTTGCCCTGCAAGGTCTTCGTGGGACGCTGCACAGAGGAAATTAACGCAGACGACTTACGCGAGTACTTCTCGAAGTTCGGCGAGGTCACTGACGTGTTTATTCCCCGTCCCTTTAGAGCCTTCAGTTTTGTCACTTTTCTCGATCCTGACGTGGCACAGTCCCTGTGTGGAGAGGACCACATAATTAAGGGTGAGGCAATAAAGTTTAAAAAGAGAAACTGTATTTAATAAGGTACTTTCTAAAGGTGCATCGGTTCATGTGTCAAATGCTGCCCCAAAAGCCGAGCAAAACAAAAACCAGCAAGGCCAGAGCTACAACAATACCGGCCGGAATGGATACCAAAGAGGTAACAACCAACGCAGTTCTTACGGCGGTGAGAATTCAATCATCGGCAATGACGGCAACAACAGCACCACCGGTTACGGTATGGGTGACAATAATTATGGAGGAAATTCGGGAGAGGGCTACCATGCCAATGGTAATAACAATTACTCAAACAACGGGAAGGGGAATCGCCAGGACGGGGAGTCCCAGTATAGTAATAGGCATACAAATTTCCAGGGAATGAAGCAGGCTTACGGCCGTAAGGTTGGTGGGAACAGCAACTTGATGAACCAGGGAAACATGGACATGCCAAATTTGCAAGCACTCGGCCTTAATTCGCAGGGCTTAAACTCGTCCAACCAGGGCCCGAACATGCTTAATCTGAATTCCTTGCCTATTAATCCGGCTTTGATCGCTGCCGCTTTGAGCCAGTGGGGCCTGATCGGCAACCAGCTTCAGAATCAAAGCCAGGACCATTAAGCATGATGGAAACACCGGTTGGTCAAACGCTGAGCGGCGGACCTTAAAACTCTTTTTAAAGTCGAACATTCTTTAGGACGGTACTAACAAGCAGTACTTGGTATCTAATAATATACAATCCAAGAATTATAAATGTATGAATTCTGCATCTAAAAAATGTATGAATGAATTTAATTTAAAATAGTCACCTTAATATTTGTAAGTTTAAGGATTATACAATTTATATAACGGTCTATAAAATAAATTATGCTCCCATTGAAAGCCTCAATCGAATGCCTTCTGTTTTGTTTATTTACATATGTAGGCAGTTGCCATTTAAAAACTGAAATCCTGGTCTGATTTGAAAAATATTACTTTTGCCTAATTGGATTGGGATGCCAACTGCTGAAATGAATTAAGCCCAACTTTCTTACTTCTTTCTTAATACTTAAGCATCAATAAATAGTATTGTATTAAACACTATTTAAGTCTAACATTAAGGGAATACTAACTTTTTGTTATTTTTTGAACCCCAGAAGTTTTTGAGTATATTTGTACAAACGGTTGGTATTTTGAACTACCTATGCATAGGGCCACACTGTGAAAAAGTCAAGGGATACCGAAAGCAAAATTAGAACTGAAAGGCAGGCTAGGCAAAAATGTTCCACTTCTCTGAAAACAAAAAGATGAAATATCAATTGTAAATATCACTTGATTCTTATTACGCAAGTCGTGAAGTTGTGTTGTGTCGAAACTCCAGCTTGGAACATAAAGTGAATACTTGAATTGAATTTTGCTTGTGTGTGAATTGAATTCGTGTGAGAGAAAACTGTGGTTGAATTCCGAATCTACTTGACATATAGTTTAAAAGATCAAGAACGACGTGTAGAAGCGCTGCCTGAAATCGAATCAGAAATCAAAGTGTAAGAATGTTGTAACCACCTTTCAGGAAGGCCTAATCGGGTTTATACTGTTGTGTGTATGCATCGTGTGTGTGTCTCATGCACATATGTATGTATGTATGGATACATGCATATTTACGTCTGAATGAAAAGGGGAATGGAGAATTTAGAGTTTCCATTTGTGCGAGACGACATTCTCGGGGTTTTCATCATTAATATATCGATTTATCCCTGTCTTAACCGTTACAAAAGTCAGAATCCATGTTTGCAGTTTCCTTGCGTGTCTTAAAATGTATATCGATTAGTATAACTATATACTTTTCTGATTCTTTATTTATTTTGTGACATTTTAAAAATTTATATTTAGTAAGTTTTGTATGATATTTGCTTCGTTCTTAATTGCACGTCAATATGAAGTTGTAATATAATTCAGTTGGATAGGCCATACGAATATTGTGTGTCAGTGATTTTAAATTTATTTTTCTGTTCTTCTGATCTTTTTTGAGATGCTTCTGAAAAGAATGCATAAACTGAGTGTAATTCATGAATGTAGGAATATGTGGTTAGTTCAGTTGGTTGAATTGATTGATTTGGTGGATCGTCGGAAGAAGTGTGAGTTCAGTGCGGCATTCGATATCGTTAACCTCGTGTTGTTTATAGCAGCAACCACGGTAATGGACTTCGTTCAAGTTTCGGAGGAGGAAGCTGATGAGCCCATCGAGCTCCCGTGCGAGGAAGATGGCACTCTGCTGCTGTCTACTTTGCAGGCTCAGTTTCCTGGGTCCTGCGGTCTAAAAAGTATCGCAACCTGGACACGAAGGCGGTCCGCGGAGTTCGATCTAACGAGGGCAGACTATTCCCGCCGAACGTGGGTTCAGGATGGGGGGAATACTATTATTTCTGCGCGTACCCCAAAGGTATGAGTTTGTAATAACATAGCAGATAAAAGTTTCTTAATTCAATCTGTTATTTGAATACTCAACAGAAAACAAGCGCAAGAGCGATGATAGCTTGGAAAACACAACTGCCAAGACCAAACGCATTGAAACGCGTTTGCGTTGCACTGATCTTGTAGTTCTCGGTTTGAATTGGAAGACAACTGAGGAGAGTTTGAGGGAATACTTTGAGTCCTTTGGGGAGGTGCTTATGGCCCAGATAAAAAAGGACCCCAAGTCGGGGCAGTCTAAGGGTTTTGGATTCGTGCGCTTTGGATCTTACGATGCCCAGGGCCGCGTTCTTTCCAATCGTCACCTCATCGACGGTCGGTGGTGCGAGGTCAAGGTGCCGAACTCCAAGGTGAGATCTCTTACAAGTGTTCTTATTCTAATTCTAAAAAAATTGTTTTAATCTTCCAGGGCGGGGACAATGAGTTGCCCTGTAAGGTATTTGTAGGACGCTGCACAGAGGAAATGAACGCAGACGACTTACGCGAGTATTTCTCGAAGTTCGGCGAGGTCACTGACGTGTTTATTCCCCGTCCCTTTAGAGCCTTCAGTTTTGTGACTTTTCTCGATCCTGACGTGGCACAGTCCCTGTGTGGAGAGGACCACATAATTAAGGGTGAGGCAATAAAGTTTAAAAAGAGAAAGAGGATTTAATAAGGTACTTTCTAAAGGTGCATCGGTTCATGTGTCAAATGCTGCCCCAAAAGCCGAGCAAAACAAAAACCAGCATGGCCAGAGCTACAACAATTCCGGCCGGAATGGATACCAAAGAGGTAACAACCAACGCAGTTCTTACGGCGGTGAGAATTCAATCATCGGCAATGACGGCAACAACGGCACCACCGGTTACGGTATGGGTGACAATAATTATGGAGGAAATTCGGGCGGCGGCTACCGTAACAATGGTTATAACAATTACTCAAACAACGGGAAGGGGAATCGCCAGGACGGGGGGTCCCGGTATAGCAATAGGCAGGAAAATTTATACGCAATGAATCAGTCTCGAAACGGTAACGTGGGAACGAACAACGGCTGGGTGAACCGGGCCAATCTGGACATGCCCAACTTACAGGCGCTAGGCCTTAACTCGCAAGGATCGAACTCTTCCAACCAGGGCCAGAACATGCTCAATCTCAACTCATTTCCGATCAATCCCGCTATGATCGCTGCAGCTTTGAATCAGTGGGGCCTGATCAGCAACCAGCTGAAGAATCAAAACCAGGACCAGCAGGCAAGACTCCATTCCTCTGTTACGGTTCCAGTCAAATAAACAATTTCAGTTAATTCACAGGGTGGAAATTTTTTAACCTGGATGGCCCAGAACGGTGGCCACAACAACGCTAATAACTTTGGTGGACGAAGAGGTTCGAATAACCCGAACAATCCGGGTTCCAACGGAATGAATCACGGCGAAAACTCTGGCATTAACGACCAATAGGTAGATTAAACCCATACCTCCAAAAAATAACTAAAACTTATATCAATTGCATTAACTATTCCAGAATGGAAACCCCGGTTGGTCAAAATCGGAGCAGTGGGCCTCAAAACTCCGTGCATATTTAAACATTCTTTATGGCGGTACCAACTGCAGGACTTGGTATCTAATAATATATACAATTATACAATTATATGTACCCGTATGAATTCTACATCTAAAGAAATTATGAATGGATTTTAATTTGAAGCTGACATTTTGATAGTTGTAAGTTGGTGGATTATAATAAAATTTATATAATTGTGGGCAAAATAAATTATGAACCATCGCTTACTTTAAAGCCTTGTGAGTGTGTTAACATAGAAAGTGTCCATGTATAAACTAAAATTCTGGTTTGATTTGAAAAATGCTGTTTGTGGCCGTTCCAATGGGCTTAACCGACTGCTGTAATAAATTAAGCCCAACTTTCTCGTTCCTTCTTCTTTATATTTTGTACAATTAAAATATTGCAAAACATTGAGGCACGACACTAACGAAATATGTACGTGATTTTGTTCTTTCAATCTTCGATATTATTGGAGTATATGTATTTCCCAACCGGTTGGTATTTTGAACTACACCCACAGAGGTCACACTGTGAAAACGTGAAAGATACATACAGCAAAGTCAAAACGGAAAGGCAGGCCAGGAAAATATGGTCCACTTTTCTAAAGAAAAAATGTTAATATATCAATTGTAAATATCGCCTGTTTTTTATTACGAACGGATTGAAAGTGAATGTTCATAAATAGCGTGTGTTGTGTCAAAAAACGAGCGTCGAACGTAAAGTGAATACCTGAATTGAATTCTGCCTGGGTGTGAATCGAATTCGTGTGAGAGAGTAAACTGAATTCTGAATATACTTACAATATAAAGAGTATCAAGAATATCGTGTGGAAGCGCTGCCAGAAATCGAATCATATATTAAAGTGCAGCAACTAACCCCTATAAAAAGTGTAAGAATGTTGTGTAACCACTTTTGGGTCGGTCTAACTGGGTTTTCCCATTTTGTGTACCTAATGGTGTACTTGTGTGTGTGCAGCGTGAGTGTATCATACACTTACAGCATACATACAAACATACATACATATATCCGAATTTTATATATTACGGGAATGGGGAGTATAAAGCCTCCAAGTGTGCCTTTTGCTTTTCTGTGCCTAGCGGGTCTTAACAATACAATGTAAATGTATACTGCACAGATTTTTAATTTCCTTTCTGGAGTTTTCATAAATGATTTTTTCCAGTTCAGTTTTTTTTACTTATTGAAATATGTAGGTTTCCTTTTTTATTGCACGTCAATATAATGCGGTAGTATATATTACAGTAAGCGTTTTTACGTTCGTTGGGAAATACGACCATTGTGCATATAAAGTGGTTTCTAAAAACTTTTTTGACTTGGATCTTTTTGAAATGCATCTGAAAAGAACGCATGAACTAAGTGAGTGCAATTCATGAATGTAGGGTTGCAGATTATGTGGGTTCTGCAGTTGATTGAATGATAATGGTTGATCATTTCTAGAGCGAAGTGTGAGTCCCATCCGGCGATCGATATCTTTAACCTCGTGTCGTTTTTAGCAGCAAACATGGTAATGGACTTCGTTCAAGTTTCGGAGGAGGAGGGTGACGAGCCGATCGAGTTACCTTGCGAAGAAGATGGCACTCTGCTGCTGTCCACCTTGCAGGCTCAGTTTCCTGGATCTTGCGGTCTGAAGTATCGCAACCTGGACACGAAGGCGGTCCGCGGAGTTCGCTCGAACGAGGGGAGATTGTTCCCTCCGAACGTGGGCTCGGGATGGGAAGAATACCCTTATTTTTGTGTGTTTCCGAAGGGTATGACTTGGTTCTTACAGCATGTACGGTAGATACTCATTTCAACATTGAATACTTAACAGAAAACAAACGAAAGAGCGATGATAATTTGGAAAACTCAACGGCAAAGACCAAACGAATTGAAACCCGTTTGCGGTGCACTGATCTTATAGTTCTCGGCTTACCCTGGAAGACAACTGAGGAGAGTTTAAGGGAGTATTTTGAGACCTTTGGGGAGGTGCTTATGGCCCAGATAAAGAAGGATACCAAGTCGGGCCAGTCTAAGGGTTTTGGATTCGTGCGCTTTGGATCTTACGATGCCCAGATGCGCGTTCTTTCTAATCGCCATCTCATCGACAGTCGTTGGTGCGAGGTCAAGGTTCCCAACTCCAAGGTATTATCTGATGAGTTCCTAAAATGTGTACAAAGTAATAATTTTGATCATCCAGGGCTTAGCCCACGAAGTGCCTTGCAAGGTATTCGTGGGACGCTGCACAGAGGACATAAACGCGAACGACTTACGCGAGTATTTCTCGAAGTTCGGCGAGGTCACGGACGTTTTTATTCCCCGACCCTTTAGAGCCTTCAGCTTTGTCACTTTTCTCGATCCTGACGTGGCACAGTCCCTGTGTGGAGAGGATCACATAATTAAGGGTGAGTTGATATAATTTTAAAAGAGAAACAACATTTAATGACGTATTTTCTTCAGGTGTTTCGGTACATGTCTCAAATGCTGCCCCAAAGGCCGAGCAAAACAAAAACCATCATGGCCAAAGCTACAACAACGGCTTTGGCATGCAATCCTATCACCCACAAGGCAACCACATGAATTCCATTCGAAATGGACACCACAGAGGCAATAACCAACACAACGCTCACGGCGGTGAGAATTCAATCATTGCAAATAATCATAGCAACAATGGTACCACAAGTTACGGCATGGGCGGAAATAATTATGGTGTAAATTCGAGCGGGGCCTATCATATTAATGGTAGTAATCACTCTAGTGGAGGGAACGCCAATCGCCAAGCAGGAGGTACCCAATATAACAATAGACAGGGTAATTACCACGGAATGAATCAGCCACACAGTGGGAACGTAGGTGCCAACAACGGCTGGATTAATCGGTCCAATCTGGATATGCCCAACCTGCAGGCTCTTGGCATCAATTCGCAAGGATCGAACTCCTCCAACCAGGGCCAGAACATGAGCAGCCAGTTTAATCTCAACTCCTTGCCGATCAATCCCGCACTGGTCGCTGCCGCCTTGAATCAGTGGAGCATAGTCGGCAACCAGCTACATAACCAAAACCAGGACCAGCAGGCAAGTATTAAACCCTCTGTGATGGTTTCAATCAAAAATAGCTTTTTGTTAATTTACAGGGCGGCAATTTTTTATCATGGATGGCCCAAAACGGTGGCCACCACAACGCCAACAATTTTGGCGGACGGAAGGGATCGAATAACCCGAACAATCAAGCCGCCAACGGGATGATCAAGACGGACAATTCCGGTATTAATGACCAACATGTAAGTTATAAAAATTTTTACAAACGAAAACACCCCAACTCTAAAACCGTTTCAGAATGGAAACACCGGTTGGTCAAACCAGAGCAGCGGATCTCAAAACTCCGTGGAGAAGTCAAACTTTCTTTAGGTCAGGAGCAATACCAACAGCAGGCCTTGGTATAATAATAATATTTAATAAAAACTTTTATTTAAATAAAACTTATGTAGCTTACTTAATTATACGTGATGAGCGTATTATACATCTAAAGAATTTGTGTTTGGATTTTAATAAGAAATATTCATTAATAATTGTAAGCCCGGTGGATATTAATACAATTTACATATATGTAAGCCCTTATCCAAAATGTATTTTATCATTTGAACAACGTTTTTAAAATGATGAGGGATCACAAGATTATTATACCCAAGTGAAAACCTTCATAGAGCAAATAATGAAATCAGGAAAATTATTATACCTAACGAAACACTATCCTAATGTATATAATTATTTAAGAAATTGAAATATATTTTAGTTCAGTAATAATAAAAAACATAGTCTGCTATGTTTTTTCTGCTTTTTTCTACGTCTGTAAATTTGTTGGTGCTTCACATTTTTTGTTTGAGTGAATGAGAAAGAATACCCCTAAAAAAGAGCTTACTTCAGCAAAAATACAACCCTGTGCGTTCCATTCCATTATTCATAAGAAGCCTGGCAATAACGGAATTCGGCTTTTTGCGCCACAATAATTGCGCCTAATTCGCAAAAGATCTCAGCAGTCTCATGAGATCGCTCGTGAAATGAATAAAATAATCCAGGATAAGTTTATTCCGCAGCAGTTGGTGTACTTTATAGCCGGCAGGCGCTGCTGCCAGTTGTTTCCATGCACATTCCGGACAAGCGAGCATGAAGCATTCTGTAATTGCGCCCGATCCTTGGGTCTCCGATCGCAGATTGTACACATGAATGGGAACATATCCGTTAAGATCTACAAACAGGGATGTCGTCACTACCTGGAGGAGCCCAAGATGCTAACCCTGTCCTCCGGGGCCACGCTGAACATGTTTACATTACTGGGCAGGAAGTCGTTCATGGGTAAGAACGATCTGGAGCTTACAGCGGATGTGTCATCCCTAAAGGCTGATACATCGGACTTACCGTCGTTGCATCTTCCGTTACCGGCCATCCGCCCGCCAAATCCTTTTTTCTGGACGGAGTCACAGCGTAACATCCTGGCCACTTTTCCGGGATACCGGTTGCGTGACACGATATTGTGGCCAATGTACGCCAATCGCGTGATTGTCTTCAACGCCGAACTCTCCTGGGACAAATCTTTTTTCCTACCCTTGCTTATCCTGAATGACTGCCAGAACAAGAAGACCAACGCCAAGATAATCTGCATAGAGATGCAGGGCATCGTGGCTACTTACAACAGCCAGCGGATGGCCAATTTCTTTGGCGAGGAGTTGGGTGAAACAGTTGGCGTTCAGTTGCCGCACTTCAGCGCCGTTAGTTCCAACACCTACGTAATTTTTTCGACCGCGCAGTACTTTCTGCGGTCTCTGGCCAAACAAAAGTTCAGAAATGTCAGCCACCTGGTGGTGAACGATGTGCATCTGCATGATCCCTATACCGACCTTCTGTTGAGCGAAATTCGCCTGGGTTTGTGTACTCACCCAAACCTGAGAGTGGTATTGCTATCGCAGATGGGCGAAACCAAGAAATTCACTGACTTCTTTGGCGAGGGAGCAGAGCTGAATATGATAAAGCAACCAGAGTCTAGATCCCGTATTTCCTACTTGAACGACCTGCATAGCTGCATTGCCTTGGCCGGGATTCACAGGGGTCCGCACATCTACAAGGAGGTTCCCGAGGCTTTCCGCACCCAGAGCCAGCGCAACGAGCAAATGGACAAGTGCCTGCAGGCCTACGGAGAGATGGGGACGGATGCATCCATACGTCCCTTTCTCTATGCTGTAAACTACGACCTGGTTCCAGTAAACTATCGCCACTCCCTGAACGGAAAGACGGCGGTGCATTTCGCCTCCGAGCTTAATAAGGCCAGTCATCTGCGTTTGCTCCTTTTCATGGGAGCCGATCCCTATATCGTAGACCAGTATCAGCAGAATGCCATCTCATTGGCGGCCATGAATGGCAATCACGAGTGTATAGATGTTCTGAATAACTACAGCCTCCATGGCTATGTGGTTAAGAGCGCCAAGCCGGATTTCGTTGACTATGATCTAATTATAGACATCATGTATCTTTTGCGCACCAAACCGGAGTACTCGCGAGGTGAGTTGGCTTTATTTTATTACTTTTAAGATCATATTTAGTTGTCATGTAGTCGGGATACGTTATAGAAGTGAAAGTAATTATTGTATTTAGGAAAGGTGTCGGGCCTGTAGGATTTAATCTGAAATCTTCAAATGCAGTAAATTGTGATTCTAATAGGAAATGAAAATTTTAAAATGGGATAGTAACGGTCTCAAAGGGACTCGATCCCCCAAGCTTGAATGCGATTAATCGCGGGAAAATATGACTTCGCCGCGCAAAAAGTTCCATCTTCAATGTCAGCTATCGATTAGTATCGCCTGACATTGTTTTTTATAGAAGTAGCAAGATGAGCACCTATCTACAGAGCAGCGAGGGCAAGTTCATCCCGGCCACAAAACGGCCGGATGGCACATGGCGCAAGGCGCGTCGCGTCAAAGATGGCTATGTTCCCCAGGAAGAGGTGCCGCTGTACGAGAGCAAGGGCAAACAGTTCGTGGCCCAGCGCCAGGCCGGAGTGCCGCCTGGCATGTGTCCCCTGGTGGCCGCCGAGTCGAAGAAAGAGCGCGAGAAGCAGGAAAGGACCAGAGCCAAAAAGCAAGAAAAGGATACCGTTAGGCAGTCAAAGGTGCCAACGCCTGTTGGGCGTGTTATGCCGCCCAGCACGTGTCCGCCGCTAAAAGTCAATCAGCAACCCTCTGGCAGCCGGGACATCAACGCGATATCCAAGGCACTTGAGGACAGCCTTAAGCTGGATGGAACTCAGGATCAGGATCCCGCTAAGCAATTGAAAAAGCTGCGCAAGAAAATCCGAGAAATCGAGCAGATCGAGAGCAGAATTCAAGCCGGCGAACAGAAAAAACTAGAAAAAGACCAGCTAGACAAGGTGAAAAAGAAGTCGGAGATACTGCGACAAATCCAGGCCTTGGAGACAGAGCCGCGTTCGTAGCCCTAAGTTCCAGTTAACCCATATACTGCTGTATCCCCTCACTTTGTGAACAAATCTCCGACTAGATGTCGCGCCGCCTCCACACAAAAAAACGTACATGCCTATGTCTGTTAAATAGTTATATTAGTTTTAGCCGAAGATGTCAAAGCCATTTAGTAATATCGATCTATTTTATTAATGTGTGTCTGTCTTAAAACCTAGTTTATACGAATGGAGCAATGCCGCGTTTATTTATATATAGGTAACTTTGTAAATCAGATTTAATAAATTAAACCCATTTGAAGCAAGCACTTTTTATACACATAAAGAGGGTCTGCGAAACCAGTTCATTCATAGATTTACATTCATATTGTTATGTGATTCCTGACCAGATTTGAGGCGCTTGCCTATGCTAGGAGATGTAACTGGATATATTTTACTTTTTTTAGGCAACATCCTCATCATTTTGCCCACCTTCTATCACTTGGTTAAACTAAACTATATGATACTGAGTCACTGCCTGACTGGCAGCCTTCAGGAGTGCTCCATATTTTTGCTGCACGAGCACATGCGGATGGACTACCTTGACGCTTTGGTCGGCACCGACATTGCTGATGACACGGTGAAGGTTGTTTTAGCAACGGGTATAATAGAATCGCTCCCATTGAAGGTACCCTTCAAATACGAAATAGATACCGCTTGCCGCGTGATAAACATCTATGATAGCAGCACATACAGCGGGGATGATCGCTACGAATGGGTTGGCAAAGATTGCCTCCTGCGAAGGGAGTTAATCCTTAATCTAAATGGTAAGAACGGTTTATTATAAAGTATGAAATAAATGTTTGTTTTCCCTCAGGTGGTGATGCACAATGCTTCCGGTTGATAAACAAAGAGGCTTACGACGAGCTTAAGGATACTTCTCAGCCACACCTTCAAACCATGCAGCTGGACAAGATCTGTTTGGCGGTTAAATTTCTTTCGCCCAATATGATTATAAGCGAATATCTAGGCTTTACCATTTCTCCTCCACCCCTGGTCAACGTACATCATGCCGTGCAGTTTCTTAAAAAAATAGACGTTTTAGAAGAGACTGAGGATGTGACATGGCTGGGTTGTCGGCTGACAGACCTTCCGGTTCCTTGTCAACTCGGCCGCATGCTGATCTTTGGCATCCTGCTGAGGTGTCTGGATCCTATACTGACTATAGTAAGCTCGTTGTTGACAGCGGATCCGTTGGGCATTCCGTTCAACGAGGACGTCGACCACCTGTGGGACAGATTCACCATTTACATTCAGAATCGCATCAAGAACGAGCGTACTCGTTTGGCCGACAATCAGTACTCCGATCACTTCATTTTCGTGCGCTTGTTTCAGGAATGGCAAAATAGACTACACAACAAGATAACTCCGCCATATTTAACAGATGAATACGATTTTGTCCTGAACGGGTTAATGGAGCAGCTTAGTTGTACTCGAGCCGAACTTGTGAGCTCCTTGCGGGCGGCTAATTTGATTCACAGCCGTGGTAAGCTAACTATGCAGAATCTTAATCAGATGTCCGGGAATTGGCACATGATTAAGGCGGCCTTGACGGGTGGGTTGTATCCTAATATTTGCGTAGTAGACGCTGGGAAAAATTGCCTGAAATCGGCCTTTTCCGGGAATGTTAACCTACATCCCAACACTGTGCTACGCGACTTTTTGGAACCATTAAACATATCGGCGCAGAATTTTCGGACACCCTGGATTGTGTGTACCAGGCAAAAGAACCATATTGTACACGCTACCATGGTCGTTCCCCTCGCCGTAGCCTTATTTGCGGGTAAGCTGATGATTTTCAAGTTAGCATAGGATAAAATGGTTTATTTTTAATTATTTAGGATCTCCCCGTCTCCGTCTTTCTCAAATATGCGACAGTCAAATTACATCGTCCGATCGCAACGTTAATCTTTTTATAGATGAATGGATCTGGATGGTTATGTCTAAGCCTTCTGCCGAGATGATGATGCGAACTCGCCAGTGCTTCTTTAAAATGTACCATGAATTGTTGAAGAACTGCGGCAACCAGGAGATGTGGCGTCATGATTCCCCGCCAGGTTCCCATTATGCCGTATTGACTGAAACACTGTCAAAGATCTTTGAAAGCGAGGAATCCTGTGTGGGCTTTTCTAAGCCTTTGCCAATAATATATCTGCCGTCTGCTCAGCTGCCAGCATTGTATCTTTTGGCCGTAAATTCGCACTTTAATTGGAATAGGGAATTAGAAGAGAACTTAGAATTGACACAAAAGCCAGAACAATTCAATTCTCATTTCATCGAGAGGCAGTTCTTCATACTTTACTCGGAGTATGAGAGCGAGGAGTTCCACAGCAAGACTACAGCAGCGTTTATTGAAAGTGTTCTTGGTAAATTTTCTAAACCCATCGAGTCACCGAACAGGCACATTTTTGTGATCCTCTACAGAAAGGATCCATATATAATGCTTAGCATTAGTCGAGCAAAAACGATTAACGGAGTATTTACTTTAAAGGAATACTTCCGAAACTCAATTCCTGTATATGAAATTTTGTATGTACGAAAGCACTTCAAAGACCTCTCAATTTAATTATTTTTTCTTTCTAGAGATGCTTGTGGATCGTTAAATGTTACCGTGCCAGTATTTGATGGTCGCCTTATGTCTTGCCTAATCGATAAACGTGTTGGAAACTTAATTATGGATTTATTCGCCTTCCGACATCATTGGATCCACCAGAGATAAAGTGTATTTTTGATTAATATTTTCCTGTTAACGAGCAGTTAGAATCAAAATAACCATGTATAGCTTTAACAACATTACGAGGAATTTGTTTGTACCATCATTGTTTGTAAGTGAATGTTATTTTAACGAATTGAGCTTAAACTACGCTCCTTTGATTTAAAAAAGGACAGATTCAAAACAAGCACGTGTACCCAAACGTACGATGCTGTTGTTTTACCTGAATTTTGATTTTGAATTGTGCATCCGTTTTTTTTTTACTTTAGTTGGAGACCCAACAAATTGATAAGACAATAAACATGTTTTTTTACTTAACTTAACCCTCTTCATTAATCACAGTACGATTTTAGTTAGGTACAGCGCTGTATATTTCTATAAAAATATTCGAGATTAGTACAGAGGTGGACATCTACACAGAAATGCTTTATATAACTTAGCCTAAGTGGTAAATTGAATTCAATGGCACCCGCAGGATTTCACAATCATGTTTCTATACTTTTTCAGATTTACATTCTCGTCGTTCAGATGGTAAAGAACGGGGAGTGCTCCCAGTCTGGTCGGAGCACAACAGGGCTTGGGAACCTTCTTGGGCTCCAGCAGGTGGACCAGAGTCTGGACGATCGCATGGTTCGTTGCGTTCATGTGAGCATTGAGCGGAAAATTGCACTCGCCGCTGCAGTAGAAGGCCCCGTAGCCTTCCGGAGCGATGATCCAGTCGTGCCAGCCCAGATCCTTAAAGTCTATGTACAAGGTCTGCATCTGGCAGCTGCGTGTGCTCTCCATCGGCTCCAGTAGAGGAACAGAGTTAGGCGACACCGACTTCTTGCGCTTACGAGGATGGCTGGCACTTCGCTTGCTCCTGTGGTGACTACTGTGCGCCGATGCCTTTATCAACTCTGGTCCCCGGAAGAAGCCGATCATGAAGGGCTGAAACTCATCATCAACCTTACGGTGAATCAATCCTATGTCATCTAGTTTAACCTCACGATCTGGTCGATTTACGGCATGAGCTCCTATGTAGATGCCGTGGTTGTCCTTTGATTTCACTAGCCATTCGTGCAGACCCTCTGTTACGTTGAGTTCCAGCCAGCCCACGTAGTCTCCAGTTGTGTTCACCGAAGACAGCGGTTCCATAGTGTTCTGGCCCAATTTTCCAGTTCCAATGGCATAGACCGTAATGGTGAACTGCCTATTTGCGGTCAGCCACTTGCCCTCATTAGCGTTCTGGTAGATGCGCAGCTCGGCCATCACCAAGTAATTGTCGTTTGGCACCTTGGAGACGTCAAACCACAGACGGCGACCATGCTCATGGCGCAGTTCATCTACGTTGTGGTGGCGCTTATTTAGAAAGGTCATTATGATGTCGCTCTCGTCTATAGCCCGTTTGTCCAGATCGGTGATAAAGTTCTTTTGCTGATCGCCCTCATCCTCCTCGAGATCGGTGCTTCTCCGGGACCTATGGCTTCGCTCATAGGAGTCATCGTCATCACCGTCGTGGTTATGGTCGCTGAGCCCCTCCTCAGCCGTGATGCGATGGTAGACGTCAAGCAGGAACTTGGGAGCTGATTTTCTCAGTGACAACTGGTGGCTGCTTAAGTGAGTGGGACGCTCGGCAATACCGAGGAACTCAAGGATCTCATAAGACACGTCCAACTTGTCATCCTCGCTCAGAACTCTGTGCATTATCGTCTGGTCTTTGCCATTATCTATGTAAATTCCCGACTGGGTCGCTTCAACGGACATCGGCGTGGTAGCCACAAAAATGAACAAAACCAGACCAAGACCTACGGAAGCTAGAACTGCTACAGCCTCCGAGGTATTTCGCAGACCCGAAAACATATTGAATACCGGACGGATCGGTTGCGAACACTACTTTTCGCTATAAACAGGGCTATCTACACGCGATAGCATTCAGATGTACAGTAACATTTAATTGTTTGATTCGAGAGTATCAGGGAACGGCGGGTTCTGAAAATTCTGACGCACTTACGGATTGTTGTGTGTATCTTAATCTTCAAGATGCATTTTCTTTCTATTTCGTGGGAGTTGGCAGCACCTCCTACCTTAAGATCGAACTAGAAGAACCGCCATTGTAGTAGTTCATTTGAACTACGATCGGCAAAAATCGTTGAACAGGTTTTAAATAATTATTTCGATTTTAAATACAGAATTTTATTAATCATTTAAATATTTTCACAAACTAATTATAATTATAGAAAATGTATTACTATCTGTTTTTTTAATGAATGTTTTTGAAAAAGAATTAAATAACGAAAACTCAACCTTGATGGAATTTTAAATAAATATCGAATAAAAAAAATCGCACTCGATAAATCGCGTTGAGCAACGATATCAGTAATCGATATAAGATATTTTGATATGTTATTTCCTCATTCCGTTTCGGCGTCGCGGCGAGATAACGCGCGTTGTTTATTTGCGTTTTAGTTTTAAGTTAGCGCGTTTTTACCCACCGCCGGTGTCGCCCAAATAATGCTAGACACAGCCTAGAGCAACGGTGAGCAGAATGGTTCCCTTAGTTTTACTATGGCCATCACTTAACGTACCCCATCCGTGAGCAGGCAATCCATATAGTACTCATACCGCCAAACAAGCAGAAACCGAAACGGAGAAATGGGCCGCAGCCGGAGTCCCGCCTCGCCGGCGCACAGGAGACGCGAGAAGGAGCGATCCGAACGCAAAAAACGTAGGGAGCGCCGTTCCCGGGAAAGGGAGGCAATTGGAGTTGCTCCTTCCGGAGGATCTGGAGGTGGAGGTGGTGGCCCCAGTCGACGTGAGCGGGATCGCGACCGCAGTCGCAGCCGGGAGCGAGACCGTGATCGTGTACGGAGCCGGCGTTCTAGGTGAATAACAAAGTGTAGTGTACCAAAAACCAATACGATAAGTATAAAGCTAGCCACTAAGATCTAGAAACTAGAACACCCCTATGCGATGCTCTTTATAACCTTTATTTACCTGGAAGTATCAATAGGAAAAACGCATGTTTGGTTGTGAAGATAAAATACAATTTAGGGACAAATAATTATTTGATACATTTAAAAAAATAAGTGAATCTCAGTAGTGCTATTTATTAACGGCATCGAACAATTCCCTGAAAACAACCCAGAACTTGTTTATTTACCCGTACGTATCGATAGGCCCCACGTTCGATAGGCAGGCAATCGATGGTTATGCAGCTCTGGCGGCTCAACAAAAAATTTACCACGTGAAACGAAATTGTGCGAATTTCATCACGGCGTTTAAATAGTTTTCCGGCCATATAAACAAAACCCAGAAGATCCCATCACTCGGGCTCAGTCAGGCCAGTAAATCCGATAAAAGAGTAGCATCCACAAGAAAAGAAACCAGGAACATACAGAGAAAATGGCGTTGCGCGTGCAATTCGAGAACAACGACGACATCGGCGTCTTCACAAAGCTAACAAACACATACTGCCTGGTGGCCATCGGGGGTTCCGAGACTTTCTACAGTGCCTTTGAGGCGGAGTTGGCTGAGACGATCCCGGTGGTACACGCCAATGTTGGCGGCTGCCGGATCATCGGGCGACTCACCGTGGGCAACAGGAATGGGTTGCTGGTGCCTAATTCCACAACCGACGAGGAGCTGCAGCACCTACGCAACAGCTTACCGGATGCCGTGAAGATCCAGCGCGTGGAAGAGCGTCTGTCTGCGCTAGGCAACGTCATTGCGTGCAATGACTATGTGGCTCTGGTCCATCCAGATTTAGACAAGGAGACCGAGGAGATAATCGGAGATGTTCTCAAGGTTGAGGTCTTCCGACAGACTATCGCTGACAACACACTGGTGGGCTCATACACCGTGCTAAGCAACCAGGGTGGCATGGTGCACCCCAAGACGAGCATACAGGACCAGGACGAGCTGTCGTCATTACTACAGGTTCCCCTAGTTGCGGGAACAGTAAACCGAGGTAGCGAAGTCCTTGCTGCTGGCATGGTTGTCAACGACTGGCTCTCCTTCGTGGGCATGAACACCACAGCCACAGAGATCTCGGTGATCGAGAGCGTCTTTAAGCTGAACCAGGCACAGCCAGCCACAGTGACGACCAAACTGAGAGCGGCTCTGATCGAGGACATGTCCTAGGCGAAATTATTCATCATTTATACTTGGTCTAAGGATTATCTGTTATTTTCTACAAAATGTGAACTAAGAAATACAACAAAAAGAAAGAAAGCCCTTGCTGTTGCAGTCATCTTGTAGCAATTTTAAAATGGAAATGGTTAAAAAACTAGTAAACGAACTACATCGTTTACCTAGGGTACCTCTGTAGTCTTATCCGTCCTATCTTCAAGCATTTTATTCTTTAATACTTCTCATATTATATTTTTACAATATGTTTTTTAAATGACCATATTGAGCATGAGTGCAGTTGTTTATTTAATAAGGTTCCTATTATCAACTCTTCACATCCTGCCAAGCCGGTTCTTCTGCGCATTTATGATTCGGTTTCCGCAATTATAGCCAAAAACCTAGTCGTAAATGAGTCCTTTAATGAAGCCAAACGAGCGGTCGCAAAGTGTCGCATTTCGCTTAATTAAAACTTCAAATTGCACAATCGGGTGCACAATGCTCAAGGTCGCCCTAGTTATTTCCCAGGCTCGTTGCAATTTGAATGCAATCAACTGGTCCTGTCATTCACTAACTGAAACGTATTGAAACTCACAGCTCATGATGCACATTCATGGTTTACAGATCGCGTTCGAGGGGTGTCGGAGGAGGCGGCGGTAGTAGCGGCGGCAACAGCAGCTCAGGACCATCGACGTCGCGAAGGACGACGAGGAACAATGCGGCGGCCACAGCTGCCGATCGGCCCAAGATCAACGAGGCGGACCTGGAGGGTAAATCACCGGAAGAGGTCGAGATGCTCAAGACAATGGGATTCTGCACGTTCGACACCACCAAGAACAGGAAGGTCGAGGGCAACGATGTCGGAGAAGTGCATGTAATCCTGAAGCGAAAGTACCGCCAGTACATGAATCGCAAGGGTGGCTTCAACCGGCCTCTCGATTTCGTGGCCTAGCAGTCCTTTGCGACAGCCATCTCCACATTCTTTTCCTTTGCCCAACTAGTTTGCTACGCTTTTTTACTTGTCCGTTCCCAATGGGCAATGGGCGACGGACGAAGACCTGCAATTTTATGCAATAGACCGGTTTACGAAATTAAGCCAGCTTTTGGCCCCGTCAAAATTTCCATTCATCATGCAAGTTCTGCAAGAGGACAGCCTCAACACACTCATACCTCAATTAGTTATTTAGTAGTTTAAGCCTGAAGAGTGCGCCTTTGTTATAGAGTTGGCCCTGGCCCCCAGGTTAATTTTACAACAAATATCTGGGGCTGAAAGCAACACCAACCCTCCTCCTCGGTCGGTTGGAGAATCTGCTTTCAGCTGCAGTCGACGACGCACGACGATTGCTTTTTGAATATTTCAAAGTAATTAACAATTGTTTTTGTTGACATCTCACCATTTTGTACGAATACGAATTAACTGAAGCCAGCCTGAAAACGAAATTCACAACAGCAAAATTTCCAAACTCACATACAGACAATTACTTAAAGTATTTGAAAACTTACCACAGCCCAAAATGAATCACCAACTATCCGTATCCCAATCCCAAGCTCAATCCCGATCCCGATCCATATCCTAATTTCAATCGCAATCCCGAAAAACCACCCAACAAACTTCCTCCATACGCTGCAATAGTACAACTTTTACAACCAAACAATATATATCAAATATATATTTAATATATATAGAAATTAAAATATACACACACACCACAAGTACCTTATCCCCGAAACCCCCAGAATGAACCTAACAATAGCCATAGCAATTTGTTGAAAGAATTATTATTTGTTTAACAATCAAAATGTTGTAATTAATCCAGTTAATTCCGATTTAAATCACAAGTGCCAACAGATCAGGCAAACCGACGCTGAAGATGAATCACGTTTTTATAGAGATATTTGTATAATCATTTTGTACTCTTTTTATAAGATAAAGATCAATAATTGTATGCCGCAACAAGCGAACTATTTTAAGCAACAGTTACCGTTTTTTTGCCTTTGGAAAACATGTATTTAAAAATTTGAGTCATTTCGGCCACACCACACACACACACACATTTTATAATGATTATTTGTAGTTTTACACATAACGAAATTGCAGGGATTTTTTGTCTTATTTCATATTCTCCTACAATAAACTGATAATAAATTTGTAAAACCATTTCTTATACGTTGACTCTTATTTAGTAAAATGGAATGGAACTTTTTATTTAAAAAGGTGAAAAAATAATACCACAAAAAGATTAGGCTTTCTATTATATTAAATATTTTTAAAAGCCCGGAAGGTATGCCGTTAGAACTTTTGTTGAGCCCCATAAACGTTAAAAGAACAAAGTTTAATTGTTTTTAGTTTATTTTGTAATACGAAAATTTAATACAACTTGCAATTTGATTGAAATTTAATTACAAATGAAATGCTTAAGAAAAGATAAGTGTGTAGGATATAGATTTGAACAGAAAATACAATGCTTAGCAAATGAAATTAAAGTGTACGACTAAACGAAGTTAAATTTAGTTATTGTTACGCTTGTTACCGCTTAATGGATTATAATTTTGTTTTACATAATTAAGAAATACATGAGGTGTCGTTTTCTGGCTAGGATTAAGTGGGGGGAAACAATCGGATTTGTGCGCGAAGGCAATGCAGACACCCTTTGTATCTGCTCGAATGATGCTTGGTAAGAGGTTGCGATTCTCTCGATTCTGTGTTAGTCTTTTTGTTGCCGCTTCTGATCGCTAAGGCTGATGATCCTAAGGGATCTGGCAGCGCCTAATCGCCCTTGCGTGGCTTGCGTTTGCGCACCTGTTCCGTCTTCTCGGGCGCAGCATCTCCTGCTTGCTTGGACTCCAAATTCCCGGTCTTCTCTGGCTCACTGTCAGCCTCCTGCTCCTGCTTGGCTAGATCTCCCGCCTGATCCTCGCTGTCTTCCTCATCCTCTTCGTCGTCGTCGTCCTCCGGCTCTTCTTCATCGCTTTCGCGTTGCTCATCTTCGTTCTCTTCGGCATCGCCATCATCCTCGATCTCCTCGGTTGCCAAATCCTCCAGGCCCTCGGTCAGATTGTCCTGCGACTCAGAAAAACTCTGGCGCTGAGATTTCTTGGGTGGATATACAAAGTCCACAAGGCACACAAGCAGCAATCCCAGGGCGGCGCCCACGAAAATGGTGGCGATGGCGAAAAGTGCGTAGGAGCCCCATGTGGGCAGACCATACTCCTCCTGCAGCCGCCCGTTGAAGTCCTTAAAGAGTTTTTGCGTGTGCTATTAGTACATGAACCCAACATACAAAACAACAGCAAGAAGCAAAGACCAGAGTAATGAGTAATGGGCGGTAATCTTTGGGTCAGCGGGATCAACCTGCTGATAAGCTTCCGCTTATGTCTCATGCAATGAACTGAGGTGATAATCGGGTAGGTTAACGTACCTTTAGGGTGTGGGACAGCTTGAAGAAGTAGGACAGCACGGACATATGGAGGGTGTCGGGCTTTTTCCAAGCGGACAGCGGTTCGATGCTTTGCCACTGCTGCTTCTTTACAAAGTAGAGAAGGGCATCGCCATCCCGGGCACCTCGATACTGCCGGAACTCGCCATCTTTCACGCTGGAAAGCATTAACGTGGGTTAAATTTTATAGTTAATTAATTTTAAGGCGATGTTTCTTACTGGTAAATGGTGGGCAGGGCAGTAACAAAAAAGCGTCCACTGAGCGAAGGCGAAGTGGTCACGTCAATCTTGGCCACCTGCACTTGGACATCCTTGGCTACGCGGGCAAATCGCTCCCAGGTGGGAGCCAGATTCTTGCAGGCCGGGCACCACGGAGCAAAGCTGTAAGTGCAGACGAAAGAACACGTTTAAAACAGCTGCCAGAAAAATGCGTCATCGTGGCCACAAAGGAATGTCTGGCCTTTATTCCAGAGAAAAAGAAAAACAGCTTGCCGGCTGAAGAGAGCCGGCGCACCACGCCCCATCGTAATTACGTCAGGGGCTGCGGTGTTCCATTAAGGCTGGGTATGTTAAGCTATCCTTTTGCACTCACAACTCGATCATCCACTCTCCCTGGAGCATCAGGTGCCAATTGTCCTCGTCCAACTCGATTAACTTGCCACCTGGCTGCAGTCCTGACTGCGCAGTCGCCGCTGACTGCGCTGCCGCCGCCAGCAGAAGCAGCGCCGCACATGACGCGGCGACAAAGTGCGATGTCTGATGCATGTGGTGATGTTTTCTTTTGTCGATGAGTTTTCTGAAACCTTTCACGTTCGGCAGCTACAATTTCCTAAATTAAACTAAAGGTTATGTCTTGTGCAGGTTCAAAAAGATACAAAAAACTGCGACGCCTGCTGGAAAATTGATAGAAAAGCTGGTTCGATATCCGTCAGTGATGGCAAACAACTTTATTCCCGTTAGATCAGAGGTAGGGGTATTCAACAATCTGAGTTAGAATAGCTAGATAAAAATTCCATTTTTTATAGATAGATAATGAGCTGAGTACAAAAAAATTTAAATGCAGAACAAAACTTTTATTCTTAAAAGTATTATACGGCCATAATGTTGATTTATTGTTGAGCATTACATTTCGATTTATTCATTACTTTAGTTAGCTGTTGCCAGATCTAACTGTGTAATCGATAACAACCAGTCGACGGACAACAACAAAGAAAATAAAAGTTTATGAAAACACAACAAAATTAGCAGATTCAGAAATTTCTCTTGCCTCAAAAATGGCCCACAATTACCTACAGCCGGTGCACGACCACTTCGATGCCGTGGACAGATTCGAGGATGTGGACGATGACCTATTCCTGCAAAACAAGCGAACGGGAGCACCCAAGATTTCACAGCAGCGTAGCACGAATCCCTTTGAGATGGATGACGATGACGAAAACGAAATAACCTCATCGCCTTCGGTGGCCGCCCAGAGACTGGCCTATGCGGAAAAGAGGAGGGCCATCGAACAGCGGACTCTGGACTCCACTAATAAGAGCTTAGGTAACCAAGGGGTCAATTACTAACCAATTAAGGGGCGTATTTATACATTTTTCTCATACAACCCATAGGTCTGCTCTACGAAACCCAGGAAGTAGGCAAGGCCACAGCTGTGGAACTGGCCAAGCAGCGGGAGCAGCTGGAAAAGACCTCCCACCAGTTGGACGAGATCAATTCTACGCTGCGTTTTAGCCAGCGTCATTTGACTAGTCTAAAGAGCGTCTTTGGCGGCCTAAAGAATTACCTTTCCGGCAACCGTGATCAGCCATCTCCAGCTGCAGGCTCGCCCAATGGCAGTCAGTTTTCCCAGGAGGCCAATAGCAATATTGATATGGGCGCCTGTGGCGGAGTTAGCCCTTCTGCCCCACTTTCACCAGCGGAGCGCTACGACAATCATCCAGTGAGTCAACTGCGAGACGATCCCAGCAGTACCTATCATCCTCAGCACCAGGCGGCCAATCCCTTTCAGGCCCAGATCGACGCCAATCTGGAGGAGATGTGCAGCAATCTGTCGGTTTTGAAGATGCTGGCCACCGATCTTGGTGGCGAAATTGAGTCGCAAAACGAGCTGCTGGATAACATGAACTATAAAATTGAAGATGTCGACTTAAAGATCCACAAGCAGAACAAGGACATGAGCAAGCTGCTGAAGAAGTGAATGAAGAATTTTTGGGTATCATTATACTGTTTTCTGCATCCTTAGACTAGCCTCCCTTTAATATATCAATCATAGTCATACCATATCGCAAGTTAAGCACTACATAAGGCCATTGCGAATGCATTCCTCATTATGTTTCATAGTTTTTTATTGTTACACACACTAAAAGAATTCTCTCATTGGAGTGCTTGTACTTGGAGAGCGATAAGTGTTCAGTTTTGAATAAAAATTGATATAAAAAGTAACGACTGGTGGGTGGGGCGAACTTTGTCCTAATGGCTTTGGGATACATACAGAACTAATGTCGTCTTGGCTGCTGATGTCTTATTTAAATTATTATTATAAACAAAAAAAACTCACTCATGGTTTTTTTTTTATATACGTAGATCTATAAAATTGGCAACCTTCAGAGATGTTAATATTTTATATTCTAACTGTGTATTTTGAGTTTTCTTTTAAATTTAGTTTGTAATTTTACGTATGTTATGTTAAATTATTAAACAAAGTGAGGTTTTAGTTGTATTAATGAAAAACATAAATTTTTATTTTTAATGCCTTTTAAGTTTGAATTCGATAACTTTTTAATAAAATAATTATGCAATCGGGAGCCCAAAGCCATCACTAAAAAGCTTTCGCTTCACATTCAACACAACGCGCCATTTCAATAATTTTTTTTATTTTCTGGACAACAAATAAACAGTGACTGTAAATAATGGAGGAGTCATACTATCCCTGCGGTCCCCAACTGCTCAAAGAACCCGTGTCCTATTCGTGAGTACTATACGGACCTCACATCAGCACGTGGTCATAACAATGATCTTGGAACTCCTTCTACAGCGATCTCGTGGAAAAGGGCGCTGAATTCGAGGTAGACATGTCGCAGCATCACCATAATCCCTGCGAAGAGTTTCTGGGTCACGATAGCGACAGTGACTATGAAGATGCAGAGGATGTAGACAACGAGGCGCTGCGTTCCCCGTGGACACAATCCTTTGACGAGCTGCGTGATCTGATGAACAAAATCAATGAGCACATCTACAAGCGGATCATTCGCGAGGGCCACGTGGAGCGGGATATGGTTCCGGATAAGGCGAGGGTTACGGTGAGATACAGTGGTTACTGGGAAGGTGAGGGCGCTCCCTTCGACTCCTCCATGCTGCGGGGAACGAAATTCGAGTTTGAAACAGGTCAGCGCAAGGTGCTGGAGGGCCTGGAAGCTGCAGTGCGCACGATGCGTCCTTACGAGCAGGCCGAGTTCATCATCTCTCACAAGTTGCTCTTCAGAGAACTCGGGTGCCCCCCGAGAATCAAACCCAAGGCGGATGGCCTCTTCAAGGTGGAGGTTATCGACTATTCGCTTATAGGGGATGCGGAATCCATCGATGAGATCGCTAACGAAGACCGGGACAAGTTTTTCGTGGTCTATCCCAAGGCGCAGGACCTGCACCTGCACGGCAAGGATTGCGTAAAGCGCGGGCGCTTTCGTAACGCAGCAACTGCCTTTGAACGAGCGGTCAACTCTCTGAACTACTGCCGAATGGCTAATGACGAGGAACAGCGCAGACAAAAGGATATGTTGATAACCCTTACTGTAAGTGACCGAAAATCTACAAATTATTTTCAGTTCTTATAATTTTATCTGATGAAAATTGATTAATTCATTGATTTAATTCGCCCAAATTGGCTTTAGACAACTAATTTATAGGTATGTGCAGAGGTAATTCTGAGTATTTTTGACTTTTTAGCAAAACCTGATGATAATCTACAACAAACTGAACAACCCGAAGCTTACTTGCATTATGATGAAGTCCTTACTGCGTCTGACCGAGAATAATCCATCCAGCAAGGCGCTGTTCCAGGAGGGACGCGCCCTAGCTGCTTTGGGCGATTACGATCGGGCACGAAGGGCTCTTCTGCAGGCTCGGAGCAAGCTCCCGGAGAACAAGGAGATCAATGATGAGCTCATTTCCATTGACAAGAGAATCAGCAAATATCAGGAGGCCAGTCGAGATATTTGGACGCGGGCTTTCGCTGCGAAGAGCTCACAAACAGACCGCCCAAAAACGGCAGCTGAGCTGGAGAAAGAAGCCAAGGAGATAGAATTTAATGCAGAAATTCAAGATATAATCAATGAATTCGAAAAATCGGACAGGCTGACTATGAGCTTCTCTCGTAAAATGTTTTCGGATGCCCAATTCAGAATCATTTGTAATCTGGTCAAGGATCGTAATATGAAGCTTACTTTGTCTCCCATTCACGAGGATGTCTTGACTTTATCTAAGTCGGACCGCAATTCGAATTAAGCTTACTGAAGAAAACAGTAGTTCGTATTTATATTTTATAACGCATTCGAAAAACAAAACAATACTGTATCAAATATGAAAAAAATGCAGTCCGAGTTAAGACATTCAACATATATAGAGCCTCTACCAATATGAATATATACAGCTACTTAAGATGTTAAGTCTTAAAAAATGGATCTCCAAGTTATATTTAATTTCATGTATAGACCCTTAGTTCTTGCGGAACTATACATTTTGTTATTGCCTAGAATAAACAATCATAGTTTTATTCATTTTCCGTTTTCCATCTCCAATTCTTTGGCCAACTGACGATGTAGACATTCCAAGCATGCGCATCCTTTGACGTGTTTGAATGTGGGTTCCAGGATGTGAATCTCTTGCATCTCAAAGCTATTAGTGTCGTAGCTGGTTAATGTTTCCGATTTGACCAGTTTGAAACACATGCATATACAAACTAATATGCCTGAGGGCTTTAAGAAATTAGGAGTTTGATTAAAAACGCAATCAAATTCCTTACATAAGGAGACTATCCAAAGGAAGACCAAGAGCAACGGGCAGAAGAAACTGTTGGCTATAGGCAACGCCGCTTGGTTGAGGCTCGTGTTTCCTGAATACAAGTCCAGAACATTATTTTTAAATGTTTCGATGTTAGGTTTGGCATCCACTATAGCTCTTAGAAAGAAAAATAAACAAAAACTTGCTCGAATTGGCATTTTCGATGCTCTTCAAACGTTTTCACGTAAACCACTGACGATGGTTGAAACCAAATTGGCGATGCAAAGCATATTATTGCTAATTTTTCAATAGATAAATAAACAGATGGTGTATAAGGTAAATAAATGTGTTTTAATATTTCCCTATAAGTATAAAATATCGTTGGCTAAAATGAATAATAGTTTTTAATGAGCTAAAATGGGGAAAAGTTTACTTTAGATACTAAGATTTACAGAATGGAAAGCCATGACTTTTTTCGACCTCATAACTATTTTAATTAAATGAAACATTTTTTTTTTTTTTTTATTTATTTTTTAGTCTGCACATATTCCATTTCTAGCCACTGTGCACCATTTGTAGCCCCGTAATAGTTTTGCGTTAGAATTATCCAGGAGAAAGCCCAGTAAAATTAAAATGATTAAATTTTTAGGTCTCATCTTAGCGTTGTTACTTCGGATGATTCTTAAGACGGGGCCTTTGGTTTTTAAATGAACAACCAATATTATAGAATAGCCGTAGCATATTAATTTAAAACGGATTTCATTTCTAATCAGTTGTCACACTTTGTAAAGAAGTGGTAAAACACTTAAAGAAAATAATCATAAGATAAGAAGTGTATTTTCTGAATTTAATTGGTATTAAGATAATATTTTTCAGAGATAAGTGTTGTACAGCATCGATTAATACCATCTCTATCATCTTTAAAAAAAAAAAAAAAAAAATAAATTTCTAGGTACTACCGAGTTTTGAACCGGGCAGTCATATTTCGTAGTCGCACACTCTATGCTGTGTACCACGGAACCAAATCATCGCCGCTAAATATATCTGTACTTGAAACAGGGCAAGCGTATATGTAGTAGTAGCTTGAACCTTTTAGCTTGAAATGGAATTTAGACAAGCAGTCGACGAGCGCGACCATGGCGTTCTGCGTTGAGAGTCGTGTCGGCTACACAACGAGTTCTTGAACGACGTTATGCCCCTCTATTCTTTGGGTCGGTATAATTTAATATAATTATTATCGACAATGCACGAGGAGAAGGCAGAGTGTGGAATGGTGGGGTTTTGCCTTCGGTGCTCATATCGGTTTTCAAATCCGCGAGTTTACCATCATCCTCGTTCCCCTCCACAACTTTTATTGAAAAAATTAATTTTTTTCTATATTTGTAATTGAGTTGCGTGTTAACAACACTGCATTTGAAAACACCAAGCCAATAACCACAGAATAATGCTAAGGACCGTCTTTTTTTGTTAAAACCCATAAATATTTATTCATGAATATTTTTTTCTCTGCTTAAATATACATTTTAACGTAAGTATTTATGATTACTCGTTTAGTTATTGGCATCTGTGGAATATGTGTAATATTTGTTTACACCTTTAATTTGATATAACATATATTTTTGATTACCAGAACAGCAAAAATGTTACACATCTATTTTAATAAGATATTTTGTATAGTTAGCCCGGCTTCTCTTTTCAAAATTGTTTGAAGAAATTGACTGGGACCTTTTGATTTGCATAACTCCAATTAATTACTGTGTTGCCTTTCGAATCCGTCTGAAAATAACTTTTCTGATTACATAACGCTGAGAATAACTTTTGATTTTGAATTAACAGAAATTTGTTAAATTTAGTTTACCGAAAGTGCAGGAAAAACTATTAATGTTTTCCAGTTGGACCCAAAGGGTTTCTTAAATCCTGACTTCAGTTATCTAATCTTAATTATTTATTCGCTTAAAATGCACACATTTAATAGATTTCCTGCTTAAATATATTTGACTGGTTTGTAATACAAGTATTTTTTATTGATCATGTAGCTGGTGGGTTTTCCGGTTGATGGGCTTTATTTTGGTTTTCAGTTATTGATTTAAGGGGATATGAATTGCGATTGTTTAATTAGTTCCTTGGAGTTTTATTTAAACATTTTGATCTATTCCGTTGGCATCCCAAAGTTTCATATAAAATTTGAAGCTCCTCTGTTCAATGTTTAAAGTAAACTCTTCTTATTTGACTATTTTGTATGCCAATTGAGTAGTTTTTCATACTTTAAAATTATAAATATCTTGTCTGAATTGACAGTTTAGATTTCTGTGTTTTTACTTGCGACTTAAGTTAGGTTTGAGCAAAATTGCGGCATTACATGTGTTGTTATTAATTTATATCTTTTCGAACAGCCGGTATATAATTTCTTACCTAATATATTTGATAATTCTGCTTAGATTACTTTGCCATTTTCATTTTACAGGTACACATCCAGTTCAACTAAACAACATGCAACATCGATGGCGTATTTCATTATATTTCATTATTATGCACTCAAAAAGTCAATCATCTTGAAACGTTTAAAAATTGTTAAAGATTTCTAAAATGGTTGAATTTTTTAAACCCAAACTCTTAGTAAGATTAACTAATTGAGTGCAGATAATGTTATACGTTTGATTTAAGTTTCTAGGGTCTAGGTACATATGTATGTAGGCTTGTGTCACAGCTACTGCGCTAAACAAACAACAACAACAAACTCAAATTACAACAATTTCAATTCGCATACTAATATATATTCCTGTTTCCAAGTTTTTCACTTATGCCTAAAGTATGTTTGACACAAATTGAAAATTACTTTGAGCCAGAGCAAATAATTTATCACACATTTTAAGGGTTTTTAATTAAAATTTGCAATAATTCATCGATAATCGAAATAAACTGAACAGCAAAACTAATAATCCTTCAGATTAGATCGTTTCTGAATACGTGGTGTTTCAATTTTCCCAACTAACTACAGGTACAAACACATATAAACATTTACGAATATTCTAGTTGTTTCTATTTTTGTATATTTTTATATATTTATATAATTTACTTTCAACATGAATACACAACAATGGTTATATAAATTCTAGAAATGTACTAGTTATTATTGTTTTTTTTTCTGATTTTCTTGTGAGCATTTTTGTCCTTATTTGCCTTAGTTTCAATCTACTCCACGCACATAAAACATTTCTAAATATTTGTCTTAACTATACAAATGCACACAAATAGGGATTTGATGCAACTTGATTAACATTTAGGTACATGAGTCTCTCGTTAGCTCAGAAAACATAGAGTACAGTGAGCACATAGATACACTTTACATTTACAGATTAAGGTTTCATGTTTTTCCGGGTGATGTATACGGTTCTATAAACAAATGTACGCACTTATAAAACGGAAAAATACCTCCGCTCTCCGATGCCCCTTCCCACCAAAGTAGTCTTAACAATATTTGCAGTAAAAAAACCAATCAAATGATCTCTCACTTGTATAAATTGATTAGTTATAACCTTTGTATATTTGTATATAAATTTATATATTTTTAAAACTCAACGTTTTCCATTGCACTTTGAACATTGCTCTCGAATTACTTGGCGCCAAATTACTGCGGCCCCAAAGGGATATACACACAAAACAAACAATAAACAAACACCTGGAGTTCTGTCCTAAATCCTACGTTAACTTTTTCGGTAATTACAATCGAGTCTTTCCGCCATCGTCCTGCATTCCTCATCGATTCATCAACTTGAAATTAGGTACTAAGGAACAGCTATCCCACAGTGATGACTGATAAATAGGTACTTTCGCATAGGAAACATGAAGGTTTGATCCTCCTCTATCTTCTCTCTTCTCGCCCTGCCAATCCAAATTAAATATCTATAAAATATTTGACTTTAGTTTGTGTCCGTTCACATAATAGCCTAGTTAAACTCTTTACATTTACAGTTTAAGTGGGTTGCTTAGCTAGTTAGATACATACACATACACGTTTATATATATACTTATAAAAATAGTTTTCGATATTGGGAACTGCGGGTTCAACCGTTTTCCTTTGACCTAAGTAGATCCTACCTTGGATTCTCTAGGATGACGTCCTACTTCTTAGCTCCCGTGGATGCATTGCCTTTCGTTTTGGCCTGGCTGCCTGATGTTCCTGCTGTCGATGTTGCCGCCTTCTTACCGCTGCCTGTTGCCGATGTCGTAGCAGATGTTACTGCTGACTTGGCAGCAGTTGCTCCTGGCTTAACCCCACCAGCTGCAGATGCTGGAGCTTTCGTTGGGCTGGTTGAGCCCGGTCTTATGGGTTTCACTGTCGACTTTGTAGGGCTGGTTTCGTTTGGTTTTGTTTTGCCAGCTTTGGCAGATTTTGCCGAGATGTTGCTGCTGGCCGCTGCCTTTACTGCCGAAGAGTTATCCGTTGTCCTGCTGCTGGGCATATCACCCGATGTTGCCACCTTTGCACTTGCTGTTAAAGTAGCTAGAGGCTTTGTGTTCGAGGCAGTTTTTGGAGATATTGCCGTTGCAGTCGTAGCCTTTGATGTTGCTGCTGTTGTCGTTTTTTGGATAACTGCTGGCTGTGTAATTGCTGTGATATTAATGGCTGCTGCCGAGTCACTTGCACTCGGAATTACTTTTCCGTTTGTCACACTAATACTAACTGTTGCCGCTGTGGTCACAGTGTCTGTTACTAGCTTGGCATCCGACTTAGAAGTGGATGAAGAAGCCGTTGGCTTGGTGCCAGAGTCAATATTGGCTTTCGACACCGAGGCAGCGGTCTTCCCTGGCAGCGCAGCAGCAACAATTGCCGATGGAGCAGCAACTGGTGTAGTTTTTACAGCTTGTGTTATTTTTACTGGCGCAATACTGGCTGGTGTCGTGTCTTTGGTTGTAACAACAGCTGCAACACCAGGAGCGGATGATATTGTCGTTTTGGGTGGAGCCGTCTTATTGGCAGCATTTGATGTCCCAGCTGCAAGTGCTGCTCCTGGCAAGACGCTGACCGAAGCTTTAGCTACAACACTTGATGGTGTTGATGCTTTGATGGCTCCCGAAGTAGCTGCGACACTTGTTGATATTGTCGTTTTAAGAGGTGCAGTGTTGTCCATTTTCGAGACATTAGCTGCAGTAGCAACATTTAGGGAAAGTGCAGCTGGTGATTTTCCAGCAGCAACTGTTGCTGTTGTGGGTGCACCACTGGCTAGTGACGATGGTTTAACGGCAACAATAGTAGTAGCACCAGTTGATATTGTCGTTTTGAGTGGAGCTTTGCCAGCGGCAACTGAAGTTTTGCCATTCGCCCCAGCAGCAACTGTAGCTCCTGTAGCAACACTGACTAAAGTTGTGGGCGTAACACAGGCTGGTGGAGATGATTTAATGGCACCAGCAGCAGCAGCAAGTGGTGCTGTCGTCGTGGTGCTGTTGCTGTTTGCCAGCGTAGCTGCAATAGTTGTTGCCGCGGTCGCTGAATTGACTTTCGTTGGATTCTTCTCCCCGCCACCAGCAAATGTGGACATTGAGGTACACTCACGTCCACTGCTCTGTGTTCCTGCAGCCAGGACCTTTGTGGTAGCTGACTTATTTTCCTTTTCAGCCGAAATAAGTGGCTGCTTGCTGGGACTGATTTCGGTTGGCGACTTGTGAGTGCCATTCTTGGCAGTTGTCTGGAGGTTGCTGCTGCTGCTTTGCTTTCCTATGGTTTTAGCTGGACCTGGTCGCTTGCCCACAGTTGCCAGTGGCAGGCACTCAACATCCACGTCCACATCGAGAGTCAGTTGCTTTTCCTTCTTGTTCGCCTTTAGCTTCGGCGAGGCATCGTCTTCGATGAGGATCTGGGTGTTGGTCACCCCGTCGTAGTTCTGGCTCTGGTAACGCTCGGCGTGTAGATTGACACAGGGTCTTCCCGCTGGCCCCCACTCGGCGGTGGGCTGCAGCAGGTGCTTGATGCGCTCCCGGAAATTGAGATTCTTGGGTGCTCGCCAGATCTCCTGGAAGGCCACCAAGAAAATGACCAGCACGGGCAGTAGCCCTACGATCCAGCCCACGGCATCCGCCCACATGGGGTACACATAGTGACCATACTTTGCCGGCTTGTACTCCACCCAGTTGAAGAACAGAATAAACTAAAAACGGAAAAAATATATTAAGAAAATCACAGAATAAGGAGAAATTAGAAGAAATACTCACCAAGAGGGTAGCTGGGGTGATATAACGCCACATTATGCCCCAGAAAAAGTTCCAGAACCAGGATCGCTTGCCAATCATGCCCTGAATGTCGTTAAGGAACCTCTGGGATCCATAGATCCAGGCGATCAGAATGCATTCAGAGATGGCAATAAGAAGAACCGACCAGTTGGCTGCATATTTGTCCATCAGTTGCAGCCAGTACATTCCGCTCTAAGAGATTAGCAGTAAAGTTAGATTTATAGCCAGCTTATTTTCTAGAAATACCCACATTTGTGGTGAAGCCCAGGCCACCGATGTAACCGAAAATGGCCACCGACAGGACCACCCAGATCTTGTACTGCCTCAGGTTGGGGAACCTATCCAAAATGGCAGTGGTCACGGTCTCCATCAGAGCAAACTGTGAGTCCAGTCCCAGGGTCAAGAGCATCACGAAGAACAACACCGCCCACACGGGCGAGATTGGCAATCGGGTTACCACCTCTGGATAGACGATGAAGGCCAGTCCAGCACCCTGGTCCACAACCTTCTCCACATCCACGTTTAGCTCGTGAGCCAGGAAGCCAATGATGGAGAAGATCACCAGGCCGGCAAAGAACGAGGTGGCTATATTGCAGAAGGCCACGATCAGTGAGTCCCTTTAAGAAATGATTTTGCTTTAATATCTTCAGAGTTTATGATATTTAATTTAAATTTAATGATATATAACTTACTTGTAGCAATTGTTGGAGAATTTGTTGTAGGATGAGAGTGTGATTAAACCTCCCCAAGCCGGGCTCAATGCGAAGAATATCTGAACCGCAGCGTCGCCCCAAACCTGGAAGAGCAGTTGAGAAATTAAGGACACTTCCATGGAGAAGGCTGTTTGCCAGTTAAGTTTAACACCTACCTGGGCATTGGCCAGCTGCTTCCAGTCGGGCGTTAGGTAGAAGATAATGCCCGTGCTGGCACCCGGCAGGGTGACACCCCGGACAAAGAGTATTACCAGGACAACGTAGGGAAACAGGGCCGTGAAGTAGACCACCTTGCCGGAGGACTGAACCCCCTTGCACAGGCAGAGGAACACAATCGCCCAGGCCAGGAAGAGGCAGGCGGCCAGTGACAGCTTAATGCTGCCAGTCTCCTCGATGCCCTTGGACAGTCCCAGCACAAAGTTGCTGCAAAAGCAAAGTTCAAATCGAAAATGGGGCTTACAAGTGGCAGACACAGTACACATGAATGAAAAGTTGAAAGTTTAGGTTTCAGAATGTAGTCTTTGCAATAAAGAAGATTTCAAGATTAATAACTTAAGACACTATCGAATACTCTCTTGTAATAAATTGAAAATGTGGTATAAAGGTAAAATATATAAAATTTCAAACTATTTTATCCGATACCCACTTGAAGTACTCCTCAGCTGGTGGTCGCTTCAGGGCAACTAGGGCCAGAGCCGTGATATTGTTCTCCGCCGCGGAGGTGGCATTGTGGCAGGTGCGCAGATAGTAGGTGCCGTTGGTGGCCTCGCACTGATCCGCCTGGGCGTAGGAGAAGCAATCTGCAAGAGACTTAGGCTGTCAGCAAGTTGGATCCACACCCACACCCGTACCCACTTCCTCTCAATTATGCATAAAAGGCCAAACAGCATTTTAATATTTATGAACTATTTGTTGGGCTGAACAACTTTATTTTCTGTGTGTCCAGCTACATAATTAAAAGGACAAAGTAGCAAATCAGAGGATAGGACAAAAGGGGCAGCCCCAGCAACAATGAATGGCTCTGGCAAACACAAAAAAGGGTCTGGGAATGCCAAAATCCTTTGGCCAAAAAGGGTTGGACAAAAGGTTCTTTGGCAACTTGTAACTTTTGCCAAGTCGAGGGGGTGAAAGGTCAATAGCAGAGCAATCTGTCTTGGGCTCTCCTTTTTCTGAGGGTATTTTTACGGCTATAAAGACCTGCCCGACAGCACTTCGACTTGATCTCTCCTAATGAGACTTTAACCGAGACCCCATATTTTCCGCAAAAACCTGCAACACTCGTTCTTCGTTATGTTTACCTGAGTTTAGCGCACACATAAGTTAAATTCCATTTGCACAAACGTCGAATTTTCCAGTTCTGGTTATGACATTTGACTTATGTGTGCTGAGTGCCAAAAAAGAGTGGGTGCCATGCGGAATGTGTCACCGACAAAGTTTTTCACCCAAATCCCACAAAATGACTAACTGACAGTTGAGTAGAACTTGCTTGTGGATTTGGCTAATAGGATATTTCTCCTACCTAATAAAGGAACTAAATCTTAAAGGAAACAAGAAAATTTTTTCCGTCTTAATCAGCGACATTACTCATACGCCCCATTGCTGATTCCCATGAACGAAATCCGAATAAAACCCCTGGTAATTTCAGACCATTCTGGCAGCTAGAATTAAGGTTAAATTTCGAGCACCCCGCACACATTCATCAGACCAATTCATCAGCTTCATTTTTCGACGGGGAAATAAATTTGAGAACAATTTCGTGTGGCTGGCGGTTGATGGTTTTGGGAAAAACTTCAAAGTGTTTACACGCCGTTTAATTTGCCTGTCTGCATCTGTTTGTGTTGCAATTAATTTGATTACACAAACACACACACAAACAGCCCCTAGATCCTAGATGCGAATCATATGAAATAAATTTTATTTGAAAAAGAAACGAGGATTGCCTAACAAATTCACTCGGTCCACACATTCGAAACAAATCCTTGTGGGTGAGGGTATGTGTGTGTGTATATCCTGGTTGCAAAAGGATACACACGCCCCGAGTTTCTTATTCAATTTGAGTGGTACGCCTGGCGCAGGAAATTGGCCTTAAATTTTGTGACCTTTAAGTTTGATGGCAAACTTTGATGAGCTTGTTTTGCCCTGAAGTTCTAGAGTTTTCAGCTTATGTGTCGGGCGTATAAGTGTTAAATTTGTAAGCTCATTTAGGTTATTGGCCACATAAAAAGTCCTTCCAAATATTTACTGGAAAAATATAAACATACAAGCAAGTGGAAAGCCAAACAGAGTGCGACATTCAATCCATGGACAAACAAAGTTAAACACATTTTAATCGTGACACTAAAAGTAAACATTTGTCATCTAAAACAGACGAGGACAAAGGCGGCCGACGAGGTCAGGATGCTGCCAGCGTCGGAAGCAGAATCGAAGTGTCAATAAATAAAATCCTTAAGAAATTGCTTGTCTGCCGAGGCAGTCTCTCTCTCTCTCTCTCTCGCTCTCTCTCTCTCTCTCCCTCTCCTAGTTTATATACATAATATTTTCCTCAACCGTACTCAACTTTCCCTCGTCTTGAATCCCGAGAGCTTAGGGAAAAGCCTGGCCCAAGGTTGCATCCTCCACTGCCAGCGATTGAGTGTCAAAAACAGTTAAGACATAATTGTTTGTCATTTTAACAATTTCAAGATGCCGTGTTCGTTCTCTAGAAGGTGAAATGTGAGAAACGGGCGCAACGGGGGCTTCTCAATCCCCTCAATATCACCATCAATATTCTCAATAGCATCCATTATCGATTTCTGAGCTCCCACAAAAATAGCGGAAATGACAGCCAGCCTGCGACCTCTGTCTAAGTCTGATTTGATTTCCAAGTACCTGAGGAAGACGGTGGCTCAGTTCCCTTTCGATTGTCAAGTCATGGCTAAATATCATGTATGTTGTATGATATATGAACTCCACTAGTTAAGGTACCTAATATTCAAAAGTGAAATGAGAGGTTTGATAATTTTTAAAAGGCAGGTATTTTTTTGAAATCTAAAAAAAATAATTAAAATGTTTTTCCCTTAGTTTCTCATTATTTGTAGGCCCCTAAAATCCCTTCTGCCAGTAAAACGGGATGTTCTAGTTGGTTTCGCTTCCTTATCTCATGCAAAACTTTCAATGGCATTCGAGGATGGTCCTTGTTCCATCTAATACACACCCAGCCACTTGAGAATGTGTGTGCGTGAGTGGGCATATATTGTATGTGTGGAAATCCGGCGAGTGCTGCTTAGGTGACAGCCATAAAACAGGCGTGGCATATATAAATAAGGGAAACCATTCCAAGGAAAATACACAAAGATTTTCCAAATGTACTAAAACACAACATTAAGGTAAAGATTTGGGATAATTGAGAATATTTTAATGGAAACACATTAAGCAAGGATGTTGTAAGTTTTCCGCCCATTATTAGTCACAGTATATCTATACAATTTCTGGCATAGAAGAAATTTAATTTATGCTAAATGTGTTTGGAAAATGCTTCAAAGTCTCAAGCTGTCATCATTTCTGACCTACATAAGAAACTTTTCCACGCTTTTCCGGCCAAGTATGAACAATCCGAGTGACTTCTATTTCCAGAATACCGAGGAGTCGCCGTTCGATGCTCGTTAAAGATTTATGTGTTTCGCGTGCTGGAACGTTTTAAAGTGTTTGTGTGTCTGTTTCTGGGAAGGAAAGTCAAAAGCTGGCTTAGGGATTCGCAAGGAAACGCCTTCCTAGGCAATCACACACATACACTCATAGGCGAGTCCTTACACACACACACGCATAAGCTTTCCTCTCACCTTACAATGTCAAACGAGGCACAAAAACAATTGCCTACTTCAAGGCGCCCAGAATTCCTCCATGCGTTATTGTTCCTCTCCTCCATCTTGTTTATTATTATAATTCTCGGCAAAAGTTTGTTCATACTTTTTATTGTTTGCGTGTGCGTGAATGAAGGGCGGAAGAGAATGTTGATGTGGCTGTGGATGTGGATGTGCCTGGGCAACCATAGCATATTTCTCGGGGCCAAATGAATGATGTACTTTTGATCCCCCTGGAATTATGCTAAGTTCAACTATTCGAATGGATATTTCACTGCGAACTTATCGAGTTTTTTATTTAAATTTTATTTTTTGCAATGATTTGCAAGTTTCCTTGAAAGTTTCCCTGGAATGTTGTGTGTCTTTGCTTTGGTCCCTGCCATCTCAGTTGTCCTGAATCAATTGTCTTCCGGGTCTGCTGGTTACACAACCATTTGCCACCCCCTCTACCTCGCCAATTTCCCAGCCATGTGTTTTCCCAACCGAGCCACGTGCCGCCGATGGACACAAACAAAAACAAAGCCGGAGAAAAGCAAAATAAAATTCCACTTTTGACAGCTTGCAATTTGCTTAATTTATTACCCGAAAAACGTAACAAAAGATAAGAATCTGGCATCCACTTTCTCCCACCGCTATTTTCTTTTTTTCTAGCCTCGAGTGTTTTGGCCTATTAATTAATTGGAGCCATCATACTATGTCCCCAGGGGAAATACTCACACTTCGTGCTCCAAGCTGGTTCGCAATTCTGCCAAGGAAGCACCGGGGCAAACGAGGCGAACATGTAGAAGATGGTCCAGGCAATGATCAGGTTGTAGTAGAGCATCACTATGGCGGATACAAGGATCATGCCGGTTCCCAGTCCTCGGAAGAGCGGGCAAAATCTGCGATACACTGCCACAGGCCCCAAGGCAGCGTACTGGCCAAATGAAAGTTCCATAAACATCAGCGGAAGTCCGGCAATCACCAGCATTATGGTGAAGGGGATCAGGAAGGCTCCTGGAAAGTATTTTTTTCGATTAAGTTGAGTTGTTTTATTGAAAGAAAAAGCATTCTAAAGGTAATTTATTAAATTTACTTATTCTAAATACTATTAAGTATTAGTTTTCCAAATTCACTTACCTCCTCCATTATTGTAGCACAGGTAGGGAAAACGCCACACATTTCCCAGGCCCACTGAATAACCCAATAGTGACAGCAGGAAATCGAATCGACCCGTCCAAGTGCCACGTTCATGTTCCGATTCACCTGCTCCACCGGCGCCTTGGCCAGATGCATCCAGTTGGATTAGAGCCGTTCCGGAGGCACAGCCACTGATCGCCGTCGAGGGACAGACCACTCCTCCGCCTCCACCTCCGCCAGCTCCGGACTTGCTGCTCTGCCCCATTTCGGTGGCACTTCGGATCTTCCTCCAGCTGCGGAATATGCAAATATTGCAATTTATTAGAAAGTTCCTACAGGTGACAACTAGTTGGCCCACTGCCAGTTTTCACAGTTGGCCAAGAGCTCTAATGAATTCTGTGCAGCATGCTGACGGATAATACTGACCTCGATTCCAGCTAAATGGAAACAATAAAGAAAGGTCATGTGACTAAAGCTGCATAAATTAGGTAAACAATGCTTAACTGTGGTAAAAATGAACATGAATTGGAAAGGCTCATTGAATTACCCCACTAATGAGCTAATTAGTTGTAATAGAACCAGGAACCACAAATCAATTGGCTACTTCTGTTTTCAGCTTTTGATTTGCATGTTGGTGGGTAATCCCTCTGCAGTTCCTATAATACTCTCAGATTCTAAAAAACACTTTAATCAATCTAATTATTAATAAGCCAGGTCACGCTATTTTCTGTCCACCTTTTTGCAGGGCAAACTCAACTTATAAATAAAAGGTTTTTCATTTCACAAAAAGCTTTTTACAAACTTCTCACACGCTAATAAGCTCTCTAAATAATCCAATTAGGAAGACCATAGAAGCAATTTTCAACTTTAAAATTGGTTTTACATATATGCGGAAAATTATTTAATTAACTTTTGCGTGTGAATGTATTTATGTAGTTACGGAAGCCGAAAGTTACAAATAGAATATAGTCTTTACACTGTATACACACTTTATTCGCAGAGTGTTTTAGTTTTCTCCTAGTAAGAAAAGGCTTAGCAAAACTAGATTTGATATAAAAGCACTTGCTGAAACTAAATCGAACCTTGTTTAGGTCAACAATACTTTTTCATTGATTTAAGCCAGCTAATTAAAGCCCAATCCAAGTTCAATGGATTAGTATCTGCAGGAAGATTTTGTAATTTCCGTTACGTTAATTAAATACACAGACATGCCTTTTGCTTTTTTTAGTGGGTGCCAACTTTGTGCGCCGAGGATAAATGAGTACTCAAGAAAATGACGCGCCGTCAATGGCACTTGATGCTGGGCGCACTCACACTTGTTCGCACCCACCCACACACTGGCAGCCTGCTCTCTTATATACCATATACATGCCATAGAGTCCAACTGTCACACATTCTGTAGTGGCCATAACATGGTGTGATGGGGTATGCGATGAGATGTGAGAGGATTTTCCTGCTTTTCCGCACTGCTTGAGTGTTTTTTGCCTGGTCACGTTTTTTGTGCCATTTTCTTGACTGAGATGGTGTTGTTTTTTTTATGGCAATTTGTTGACAGCCTCGTAATTAGGCAGTCAAATGTGTATTTAGCCAAGTGAGTGTGCCAATGAGGCTGCTAATGTGCCAATGATGATCTCAGCATGGGAGACCTGTGAAAATGCCTTGAATCGTGGGAAAAGCCAGGGAATTTCAGCTCTGAATGGAAAACGCCGCAGGGAGAAAGGGAAAACCACAATACCCAATTCCCATTGCCATTTTCGAGCAAGGTTACTTTGCTCCTGGCCTGGTTTTCCATTCCATTTCCCACTCCTCTGCGGTCCAGCATTCCGAGTCCGCCTGCAACTATTCCAACCCATTCGCAATGCCAGTGGCATTTGCTTAGCAAATAGTTCCTAATGATTCCTGGCCCAAGAATGCGATTCAGCGGCGACAAGCAAAGAAAACAAAAAACAATAGGAAAACAGCAGGGAAACAACAGGGAAACAACAGGGAAACAAACAAACAAACTGGCGGCAACTAACTGCAGTACAAATAAACATTTAGCTTTGTGCGAACTTTTCGGGAAATGGTCGAAACACAACCGACTGACAATGAGAATCGGTAGGTGGCTAAAGTTTCCATTGAAAAAGCGTGAAAAGTGCCTGGAAAGTTTTCCTTTGCATCGGTCAGGTGAAAACGAAAGCGTTTTAGCGCCCACAGAAAATCTATATTGCTTTTTTTTCGAACGGATTCCTGGGTTATATCCGACTATTCGGAGCACGTAAGTAAGGGAGTCCGCACTCAGCACAGTAAATAAATGGCTGGGGAAAGTTGGCCAACTGTAAAGCAAACTTTGACCAACTGGATGGTCGAACTTATGTGCGAGACTTGATTGAAGTCACACACACTCGTTCATTGCTTTTTGGATATTTAGGAAATTGTAAAGCAAATGTTTGGCTTGTGCCGAAGTCTGAATTCATTCTCAGCTTTACAATTCGTAATCGAATTCAACAATCGTTATGTAACAATATATATGTGGCATTCCATATTCCCAACATGTTTAGTCTTACTATGGTTAAAGTATTGACATTTTTGGCGATAAATCGGAAGAATGATTGCTAGGTATTACTATAGGTCGCAACCTATAAATTGGTCAAAACAAGACGGAGAGCCCAAAGAACAACTTTTTTGAGCAGCTAAGGACCTAAACTCACCATTTCTATCACTGCCCAGTTGATTCTGGAACTTTAATTTTTTGGTAATTTTTCCCATTTTTGATAAGGGGTACCATCATCCTTTTTTGCGAAAAATGCCCAAATTTTCCATTTTTAGGTGTGAACACAGTTTTGTTAGAAATTTAATTACGAGCAGAATGAGATATTATAATCCACATTCCGACCATTTTTTGCAAAGTTATGATGAAAATAACGACTTCTTTTCCGATAAATCGGGACAACGATTGCTAAGTAATTTTTGGAATATTTTATCTAGGTTTATGGCCTATAAAATAGCCAAAACAAGAGGTAGAGCTAAAAGAAAACTGTTCTGAGCAGCTAACGACCTAAACTAACCATTTCTTTAACTATCCAATTGATTTTGCAACTTTTAAATTTTAGCCATTTTTCGCAGTTTCGCAGTCATTTTTCCGAAAAATGGCCAAATTTACCATTTTTAGGTGTGAACACAGTTTTGTTAGAAATTTAATTACCAGCAGAATGAGATATGACAATCCTCATTCCGACCATTTTTGGCTTTTTTACGCTGACGAGTTTTTTAAATAAGCTTACCTTAAATTATAAAAATTATAATTAATTAAAAGAGTATTACATTATTTTCGAGACCCATGTTCTGGCAGGGTTTCCATAGCTGCTTTTGAAGCACACACGAGAGCCCTTTTAATAAAGGAACTAATTAATTATTAAAGTGCAACCGGTTGGCCACGTGTGAGAGCGAAAAAATAAATTTAATAAGAGGAGGAGGGAGTTGAACTCCCTTACATTTTCCACTATTTTCCCCCTCACGCCTCCGCACTTCCCTTTGCCTAGCGCTCTTTGCCTTGTTTGTGTTTGGTCAATTCGAGTGTGAAAATGTTTTCGAGCTTCTGCCGTCGCTCGCTTGTTTACGCTTGATGAGAACAAAGGGGCGGCGTTGGGTAGCGGGTGAGTTGCATTTAACGACCTTGGGAATGTGCAATGCATAAACGAGGGGGAGGGTGAAATTGGTGGAGGAGGCACCGCTTACATGAGCTGCTTTCTAGTTTTCCTGTTCTTTTTTTTTGCGAGCAATCCGCCGACACCGTTTTCCGCCTTTTGGCATTTCATAATTTTCCCTTTTTTGACATTTTTATGCAAAAGTTAAATTTCCCTGGGCCGGGACCCCAAGGCGAGACAAGGGACCTTCGTCATCCTCATCCCATCATCATCGCCGTCCCATCTGTATTTTCTGTTGTTGCACAAGTCACGGCAATTACGAAGGGGCAAACTGTGAGCACTTGAACTTGAACCCACGAAGGCTGCCCACAAGCGGCAAACAAAGCGAGTACCGACCTTCGCCCCTTGGGTGGCTTGGGTTTAGGGTTAGGAGAAAGGGTAGGCCTAGGAAATGAAAAAAAGCACTGACCGAAACAGGATATTACTTAAATTTGTATTGCTACATAAGTCACATCTAGAAACAACTCTAATTTATGATGAAAAAATCATTAACTGACTTGGAACTAAAAAACATAACTCGAACTGCACATTTTCGGATCTTTTCCTTTCCATTTCAGAACTATCTTGAAACATTCATACATCCAAATTGATTGACAAATGACTGAAAGCTGAACATGAAAGCCTTGAATAATTATGCAGTTCCTAGTGTTGCCTCTCGGAAAAGTGGATGCAAATGAAACCATCAGAAGAAACAAAAAGAGCAGATGCTGCTGGCCCCTTTGTTGTAGTTGGCGCTGTTCAATGAGCTATTGGTGCTATTTCAAGTGCTCGACGGCATTATCGATTATTCAGTTTTGCGGGAGCTAAAGCTGCATAGCTACATAGCCACATGACCATCGGCGGAGGCCAAAGCGCACGCATACAAATTTGTCTCTCGATGCAACGAAGTTGCCTCCGTTCCAATGCTCCTCGGATAATGCTTGTGGAAAACAGATTTTCACGTTCTATTGCATGGTTGCGACTTTCCTGCTCTCCTGCGCCTCACCTCAGGGTCCTGCGTCCCTGGGGCTCCTGTAGCCCGCATTAAATATTCATCTACTTCGTCATCGTCTGTCGTCCTTCGCTGTCATCGTCCTGGTAATCGCAAATTCAGCGCTAAATCACAATCAAAATGCGCGTAAAGTGGCATTTCAAGTGATTCTCCCCGTTTTTTATGAATTTCAAATTGCAAATCATTTCGTTGATTAAATTGTTGAAAACGCCAGAGTAAATTTGTATGGCTTGTGGCCTTACTTTCTAAGATGGAAAGATAGTTTCATCAGTTTGAGGAAAAACAACTATGGCAGAACAGAATTTTCCAGTTTTTTAAGTGGATAACAAGGCTTGGCTATTCCTTTGCCAAGAAAATAGGTTACCAATATCTGACAGCTCTTTGTTTTTGCGCAACGTCACCTTTCTGGTCGCCACTTTAATAATTAAAGGCACACAATTTCTCCATTAGACTATTTTTAAATTGATTGCCCTAATATCGATTGAAAATTACGCGAACTAAAAGCGTTAGTGTTGTTTTTTGTTAGTTACCTTAAGGACATCGTATGCAGTTCATTTTTGAATTTCAAATAGAAAAGCGAAATAAAATGAATGCACGACAGGGAGGTGTGTGAGAAATGAATAAACAAGAACGAGCAGAGACAGCTGGCAGTTAAGTGAATTATGTCTGCAAATGATTTTTTCTTGTTATCCAGTTTTCGCAGAATCTCCCTCTTTTCCTCTTGGACCGCAACCTTTGCATACATTTTCATGGTTTTGAGTGCATCCGACTGTCGAGTGTGTGTGTGTTGGGTGTGCTACGCGTTTTGTTTTTACCTTAAATTTGCAATTTAAATGTAATTTCTCAGGGCAAATGGGTTACTTTTTATTCGGTTTATGACAAATGCACACCCAGGCAAAACGCACGGATTTAATGCTTTCCGACAAGTGGGTGGAACGGTGGGTGGCAAGGTGAAGTGGGTGGTGGGCAGGTCATGAAGGGTACGAACTTGTATGTACAAGCAAGGTAAATTTGCTTTCAAAACAGACATACCTTTTTCAGTGAAAGAAAAACTAGTGAATATAATTTAGTTTTAGGATAAGTATTACTAAAATTATATATATATAAATTCATGTTTTAATAGAGCTAACTAATATCTTCTATAAGTAGCCAAGTAGCCAAGTTACACCAGTAAAATGGATTTTAAAGAGATTAATTTTCGCAGCTGAAACCCAAAGAGGATGGGGGTTCGCCCAAAAGAAGCTTTATGCCGATTAGCACTTGCAAAAATTTTCATTTTCGCACAAGTTTGCTAGCCGATTGTTATTGTTGCACGGCGATGTCGCCATCTGCTCGCAGCTGTTTTTCCCTTCGTTTGTTTTCCCATTTCGAGTTGTTTATTGTTCGCTGGAAGGCGGAAGAAACCATTAACGAAATGTCTTCGGCGTCGGGCACTCGATGCACTTTTGTCATCTTAGCACTTTCCATTTTATTGGACCAATGTGATTGCAATGGGGTTGGGACTAAAAGTCAGGACTCTCTGCTGGCTGAGTTCCAGATGAGAATCCTTCTGCTGACTCTCCTGGGCCTAGCTGTCCTGATCCTTTTAGGTTTCCTGGGTGAGTTTAACTGATTTTACCATCGCCTTGATCAACTCACAGAACGGAGATTTCCGATTTCCTTTGGCCACCAGGATGTATCTGCTGCTTCTGTCGGATTTCGCAGACTGTGGAATCCACTTCCGATGGCCTCGATGTCTACGCCCCGCGAACCCAAAGCATCGTGTGGCCCACTCTGCCCCGGGAGACGGCCCATGTTCTGGAGATGACCTTCCTGCACACCCCCAAGGTCAACTGCTTCTGTGGCAGCTGCCTCATCGCCAGGAACTCGCTCTGCCTTGAAAACTGTGGGGTCGCCACACAATGTGCATAAAGTCCTCCGATTGTACTTTGAATGTCATTCAACTAGACTTACGCTACACTATACTGCCTTGTTTTTAGGAAATATTTTAAGTTTATTTAAAAGTTAATGGTCACTGAATATAATTTACTAATAAATTTCCCCAAACTGTGCTTCGACAAGGGATGTTTTCATTTGCGAAATCAAAGGCAGATCAAACGAACCTTTATCTCGGCCCACAAACAGCTGTTCCGTTGATAAGTCCCAACTGGGCCTAAACAATTATAGTTTGCTCAGTTGCATTGGATCGATTGCCGGAACACCATGGATCCCTCCGCCCAGGTACACATCGCCAGGTGGGCCTTACTACTAGCCACCTTCATTACCTATGCTCACCTGGTCAAAGCCGATGACAACTTTACAGGTAAGTGCAACGAGGAATGCCCCTGGGGTTCGCTTGATTATTGCATTTTGTATCTCAATTTCTATGCATTCCGGGAAAGACTTTGACTGGCTTAATGAAACGCAGCTGCTGCAAATGTTTGATTACGAGAATGAAAACAATACAGACGAGATTTCCACGGAATTCGACTTGGATACTCTGACCGAAAACCCTGTTGTGGAACAAACGGCTGGGAATATTAGCAACAATGGCCAAATCGAATTTCCATTTGAAGATTTGAGGAAACATCCGCATTTTTACCGCTTTGTCTTTATGGTGCTACTTTTGCATGTTGCCGTTGTTGCTGTTGGTAAGTTGCTTAAAATTGAATATTTTTACTGGATTTTAGTTACCTTAAACATTATCAAAGATCAATACTAAGTAACGACTATTGTAATGATTACATATTAGGACATCTATCAGCCCTATAAAGGGTATATAAGTGAGGGAATGTCAGAGTAAGAATATAATAAAAACTTGAATGTTTTTGTTATTTTCGAACAGGTATCATCATCTACAGCTCTGTGCACTGCAAAGTCAGGACCTTGAGGAGGCGTGCGAGGAGGGAGGCACAACGACGACTGGAAATGACCAATCTGCGGTCAGAGCACATTCCCAATTCCCGCGATTGCCCTTGCCACGGATGCATTCTGGCCAGAGAGATGCTGCAGGGCCTGATCATGCAGCAGTTTCAGGAACTGGCCGAGTGCTGACACAGGAGGCTTTCCCGGTGGGAGGGGGAATTTATTGGCCACGAAATAAGAACGCAAATGGCATGCATGAATTTGGGAGGTAAATGCAACCTTCGGGCGACATTGATTCAAATGCAAGCGAGCAGATACGCGAAATTTGCATCCACGTGGATTGTTACACTCACAAAATATAATCTTCCCTTTCAGGGATGTAGTATATAATATATAGTTATTATTAATCCCTTTATATCGTGATATAAAATGGTTTTATTTTCTTATTATGTATATATGGTATCCTAAGTTGAAGTTCTCTAATAACTAAAGGTGAAATTTAAATATTTTCTCCAGGTGTGCCGGCGTGTTTACGCAATCTGATATGATTTTCATATGTTGCATAAGAGCGCGCTTCCCTTGAAGGAATCTTACGCTTAAATGGACACAAATGTCAATGTTAGCCGCAAACAACTAACGCAATCGGCCTTCCACATCCACATCTACATCCATACATGCACTTCCACATCGCTACTTATATCCACATCCATGGATATTGGCAGTTGCATTGTCAGGGAAATGCAACAACAGCTGCGGCGGAGAGATAGTGAGTGGATGGAGCGGGAAATGTCGGGAAATCCAGGGGAAAGCTTCTGCTGACATGCACAAGTAGTTTAACAGCTTATTGCTGTAGCCGTGGCTAGCTTTTCCTGCTTTCCCTGACCCCCACTCACACTATCACAGTCCACTCCTTGGAAAGGTCAAAGTTCATAGCATTTACTGTCGCGCATATTTAGTTAATCCCTCACGTTTGCATTAGTAAATACAAGTAATCCATTTCACCTTCTCTTTGTTCCCATGCTAAGTAATTTAAGTCATCTGCTTTTATAGATGTTTTTTCTTTCTATAAACTTATTGATAGTATTCGAAATATTAGTTATGGTCCCGGAAACCTCCTCCAAATTATCAATTTACCACTCAAGCTCTCAACAAGTTCCCCAAAACGATAAGTAAACAGATCCGCCACATTGCGTATACGCCATGGGGGACACTGTACATATCCAAATCCAGCCATCCATCAGAATGTGGCTTTAAGTCTAATGCACTGGATACCACGATGTCACCGATCACTTTTTTAGCCAGCTCGGTGATGTTTTTATTGCTATTTGATTGCGATTTAAATGTACATACAAAGGGAAAAGGAAAAGCGCTCGGAGCCAAGCGTATAAAATAACAAACAGCAAAAAAAGCCGAAAAACTGGAAAAACTGAGCCTGAGCCCTGGCAAACACGCACAAAACACGGACAGGCCAATGCCAAAAGCCCGAACGCGAAGGAAACAACGCACGTTCATGCCGAACAGGAAGGAAGGATGGCACAAGGCACACAGGAAAAGGAACAAAAAGCGACACAAGGATTCCAAGGTGGGGGGGTGTGGGTAAGGGCCCAAGCAGAAGAAGAAAAACGCGCGCCAAGGGCAAGGATGCTAAGGTAGCGAGAACAACGCAGGCAGCCACAGCAATAACTATAACAAAAGCCTCGACAGCTACAGGATAACTTCGATGGCAAGAACTGTGATTTTTTAAAACCAAAATGGTGGTTAGAGGGAATTTTTAACGATTATTAATTCGACATAAAAATAATCTTGAATGGTAGTTTCTAGTAAATTTAACATAATTTAACAGAGTTACTTCCTCATCCTGAAAGAATCGCAGAATAATACCAACCTAATTTGATCTCAAGAATGTTCCACTTAGAGCAGCTTGACTGTACAACAATAAAAAAAACTCGACATAGACATTCCAATAACAATGAGCCAAGAAAGCGAAGAAAAACTTAGGCAGCAGAAGCAAAAGGATAGCAAAAAGTAGTAAAAAGTTATCGGGACTCGGCCTGAAGATGCCGCAAGGAGTCCAGGGGAGCGAGGGGGGTCCTCAGCGGGTGGAAGCTGGAATTAATTTTGCGTTCATCCACGCTTGGCTTGAGCGGAAAGCCGGGAGGCCGAGGGAACAGAGAAGCAAGAGGAAGGGCTACGGCTGGAGGCCCCACTCTTAGCCAACTTGTGGCAAATATTTGCTCAGCCCGAAGTATCCAATCGGCCCGGAATTGGATGCACCTGATGCCCAGCCAAGCGACTGCATTTGGAAGCGACGGGTTTGGGGGGAAAGGGCTCACAACATGTACATGCAAATTTATTGAAGATTCTAAGATAATGAAAATTACGGTTGGAATCAGGATTCAATTTTGGTTCAATCTTAGCATAAATTGCGATTCACCTCAACTGATATAGCTTTTACGTCTAATGGAAGTACAAATTTATTACATTTATTAAGTTTTTCGGTGTAAATTATACTTAAGCCTCAAGCTATTGTGAAATGTCGGTTCAAAGTTCTAATTTTTGATTTGCCAATTAACAACTATTTATACACATTTTGCTTTTCACAATGCAGCAAACTAGGAAAATATCAAGTTTTAAAGATTTAAATGGAGATCAAATAGTCAAAAGACTAAAAGTTTTCCAATTTGTATCTTGCTAACCTTTTTGTAACCCTCTCTCAAAGGTGTTTGCAATACCTTCAGGGATATTTTTATTTTTTCAGGTTGTTAAGTTGTTAAGTTTTAAAAAAAAACGAAATCACATTTTTGACGTTTAATTACTTAAAAGTTTGCTTAACACTTGTCCTGAGTTGACAGCATTTTAAGTTAAGACTTGTTGTTAAATCCGAACCAACTTTCGGCTTAACCCAAGGCTCCGCTTTCACTCATAGTTTTCCCCGAAAAAGTATGCAACGAAATTTTGCAGTTGCAGCGAATTTTCAGGGCCGTTTCCAGTGAAACTGTCTGTCCATCTGTTGGCTTTCGGTCTCCGGTGCGGGAGCAGTTAGGATGTCATGACGTTGGGCTGTAATCAGGTTGCATTAACGGAGAATTAACCAGACAATGCAGTTATCCTGCCAGCAGGATGTGGATGCAACGGGATGCCGTTTAATTAGGCTTGTCAACGGGTCCAGCGGGACCTTGGCTCGGGCTTTGGCTTTCTCTTCACTCCCGTCGGGCTCTTTTAATTGTTTTAAATATTTACCGCCAGGACTCGAAGGGCACTCCCACCAATACACACACACACACGCACACCGAGCACAGACACACTGACACTCACATGTACATACGCAGGACTTACACAATTAAGAATTTTGTTTTTTGCTTTTTGGTTTTCTTCACTTTTCAGCACTTTTTGCGAGGATCTTTTTGGCCAGAACAGAAGCTTTAGCGAATGTCACAAAGTAGTTTTTACAGCCGAGAGTTGTTATTGTTGATTTGGCCAGGGTCTTTAATGTTGTTGTTTCTCTGCCTGCTCCCGTGGGTGGATCGAAAATTACGGACACATGGAGCGTCCAATTTGGCGGACAATTCGAAAGCAACTGAAAGTGAAACGGAAGCAGCAGCAGGAGATTCCCAATCCCGCTGAAAGGCGAGTGTGGGTGCGAAATGCGAATAGTGAAAAATGAAAAGCGAGAGAGAAAAGCCAGCGCTTTTCTTTTCGGGAGCGTGGAAAGCTCCGCGAAGCTTTTCTTCCCACGCTCGCTTGCCATAAAGGTTTATGGCAGCTGCTGGGCGCTGCTTTTGATTTGCAATTTGATTTACGGCCCAATGGAATGGGAAAATGGTATCCTGGCGAAAAAAGGCAGTGGGAGTGGTAATGCCATTAGGGCCACTGCCCAAAAATTAGTTCAAATTGAGAATGGTGATGGCAATCTTATAATATCAAGTATACGCCTAGATGAACCTGTTCTTATTAGTTGCTTTTATTATAGATTCATTATAATAACTTTATAAAGTTATAAATAATATTTATTAATTTATAAACAGATAATATTTATTTCTGGATAATATCTTGTCCTTGAGAGGAAGAGAGGAATGTAGATTTCACATGCTCCTAGCACTTTTTCGCAGTGAAGGGTTTTCCGTGCATCGGCGAGCTTTCCATTCTTTTTGTGGGTAGTTCGGGGCAGTTGGTGAACAGTGAATGCGTCCTTGAACAATAACTCACTTAATTATGCATTTGCATGTGGCTGCATGTGGGTGTGCTGTCCGGCCGATGAACAATGTGCGGATGGCCAATTAAAATGCGAATTAGAATGCAATTGAATGTTTTTAAAAATCATAATTCGATTGGAAAAATTTCGAAATTGGACAATTTTAAGTGGATGGCAGAAGACTCTAAGGGAAAGCGGATAAGTTTGCTTTCTTTTGCCGCCTATTTACTTTATAAACATCCTCCGTAGTCGGTCGATAGTTTTCCTCCCGCTGGGCTTTCCTTCTTACCGACACCCCTCCGATGATAAGGGGATAAATCCAATAGAGACACATCGAACAGTTAGCCAGGCGACCTTCAGGAGAAAAAGCTGCCGCCTCGACCTAGACACTGAAACACTACAGTACTAAAAAGAGAAACCAGCGAGAAACAGAGAGAGAGAGAGAGAGAGCCGTTTCCCGACGCTCCGGGTGATACTTTTATTTACGCAAGTGTTCGAGCTTAGCGAAAGGCAACGGAATTGGGAGTGCAAGTGGAAGTGAAAGTGGGCGGGGATAGCGCCTCAGCGGCCAACGGGGCGTATGAATGTCGAGCAACGTAAGCCGCTTACGAAAGCTCTCGGAAAAAAGGGAATAACAAAGTTTTAAACAGTTTCTATTTTGGATAGCTTCCACACACACACGGTCCCCATGCCTCTGAAATGCTGATTCCTATCCGCCATTGTTTCTATATATTTTTCCTCATTTCCCTGCTCCGCTTATCTTTTCCGCAAATTCCCATTTCGCTGCATTTCCGCAAGCTGCTGGCATCATTTGTTCCACAGTTGTTGATGCTGCCCCCATCATCGTTGTTGTTGTGCTAGGTTATGAATGAAAAGCTTTTCAATTCAGCTTTGGTCGGGCCCTCGGGTCATTTTCACGATTGCTTTCTTTGCTCGTGTCCTTAATGCTCTTTTCCCCGCCTCTTTCTTATTGAGAAAAAAGGGATAAAGAATGAGAGAGAGAGGAGTGAAGGAATTACCATTTTATTACAAATATGATTAATGTTCTTTCTCTTGACAATTCTACACATAAAGATGATAGTTAAGCCTGCAATTAGTGACTAATTTTAACGGTTACAAGTTTTCTTTTCAACTACTGGAAATATATGTCCGACCGTAAGTGCATGTAAGGCTTTTACTTGATCTTGAAAGGCTTGAAATATTCTACTCAGTTTCCATAAATCTGATTCCCAGATCTACATTCTGGTTCTAGTCTTGGCTAGTAAAAAAAAGCTTTCCTAATGAGAGTCGCTCAAAGGAGAGGCAGAGAGTGGCAGTTAAAGAGAGCGCTGATATAACTGTTATAGTGCTTTATAGCATGATCAGCTGTGATCTTGGTCAATCAAAGCAAGAACATTTTTTGCAAGCATTCTTTTGAAGCAGGCAAGAGCAAGGGAGACAGCATGACCAGGCGGTTTGGGAGGCATGCAAAAAAAAAGGAAAAGAGAGAGAGAGAGAGGAGAGCGTGCGAAATAATTGCGATGGGTGTGTGTGCGTGTTGCGATCGCAGCGTCGATCGCTGTTCATAAATAAAAAGCCGCATCGGAACCGCTTGGCCAGCCAGTGTGCGTTTTGGCATGTTGCTCCGTGGTCGTTCGCTTTTCTTCCAGTGTACCCAGTGCTTTCCCAGAGATCCGATCTGAGATATATCAACCACCCGATCGAGTGTTTAGTTAAGCAAATGCATCTAAAGCGGGCGCATTAAGTCGCGACTAGTTATATAAAAAGGGCAGAAAAAATCGAAAGATTTGCATAAATAAATTCCGAAACTACTTGAACTAATTTGCCTACATTATAGCCAAAATGAGTGTCGAAAGGTAATAAAAATAATCGAATCAAAACAAAAGAAAGCAAAAACACACTGGTGGTTTGTTCATTTGTGTTAAAAACTGTGTGTCCACTCATCAGCATTTTTTGTGAATTCACTGTCTGGCCAGCTAAAAATACCCCCTTCGACTTTAAACCCCAGCAACCATAAACAAGTTTTCAGTCTTATTCGGTCAGTTTTGTGCATTTGTGTTGCTAGGGTTCAGGCATAACGTCCTCAAGTACTCCAGATGCGAGATTACCGTAGGGTCTCCCATGATAAGGGGCTTTTCATTGCCAAATTATTGTTGATTTCTTCCAAAAAATCATACTTAGCTGTACATCACTGGTTGCTAGCCAGATCTGTCAATGGGTCTTGTGTCTAAAGTATTTTGTCCCGAGGAAAGATTTCCGTTACCTCACAAGCGATAATAAATAATTGACTTCTCTATATATTAGTTTCAAGAGGAGATTAGATACGGGGTATTTACCAGACAAAACACGTGTTTAAGGAAAACAAAAGTATATTTTTTCGCGCTCCGCTAAATTTATAGACTTAGGATGGGCATTGTTTTGAAATGTGAACAAGCTTTATTTTTACCTTATCAAGTCTCACGATGAATTGAAATATTTCTAGGATGATTAGCACATCCATCAATCAACAAGCAATTTACATTCCCTAATGAAATTCAAAATGGAATTGCTCTCTTACGCACTTAAAGTCCTTAATTTATGCTTTCCAATATTGATTGATTTGAAATTACTCATCGGCAGTGGAGACCCAACATTGTGAAATTCTGGTCTCTTTCCTCCCACTTTTGGAATTCCCGTAATTGGATCGGTTAACCTCACCATTAATTGGTGATAAGCCTAGTGGTTTCGTTTTAAATTACCCTTAGCCAGTTACTGAGATTCCTTGCTTTTCGGGCCTTTTTCGTGCGTATCTTATCTCGCTTTCTGCCATCTGGCATGGCAATTAAATTGAGTTTAGTTATTGCGTATACGCAGTGTGGACCAAAGGTACTACCATGCCAACCAGTGGTGAAATCAATCTTTGACTGGGTAGAAGTTGGAAGATGGCGCCACCAACCAGCTGACTGGCCTTACCCCCTTTCCCATACACCGAAAGACAGAAAGATTGCCTCAATTAAGCGAAATCATTTGTAGACTGGCCATTCGATTGGATGCCTCATGCGCCTAGATGATTGTTTTATTTGACTGTGTGCCGATCTGCTATAAATTATCTAATTTGTGGTGTCAACAGTGGGTGAGCATTTCAGTTTATAGAATCCAAACAGTCGTGCAGGCGACTTTTTCAATTCACACATCGCCATATTGATTGGTAAATCAAGTAAACTTGGACTTCAGTCACGCCGATTGAATGTGATTGGAAAGCTTGCTTTGGGAGTTTAAAGATCATTAGGCCTAAATGAAATCTTAAATCTTTTGAAGATTTCTTTGAATTGCAGTGCATTTCATTGTTTGGTTAAGTCCGTAACACGTTTTTCCTGCTTGAAGTTTGTTTTGGTACATTGAACCGTTGGCATTATCTTTCGAACTTCCGTACGATCGATTAAGCGTAGACGATTTCTACCAGCGATACTGCTATACTATATTAATGATATTGCTCATGTCTAACCATGTGAAATTTTTTGTTTCTCACATTTTTGCCAGAATTGTTTGTTTTAGTTATTTCACTTTTTGGCATTCACATCACGATTGACAGACTTAAGGTTTGGCCAATGCTATGGGTGGCTTTAGATGTCCAAGGTTTGCAGTTTGTAGATCAATGACAATGCAAAGGGGAAGTATCAAATTCTATAGGCCTATGAATGCCACCTAACGTTATTGTTTTGTATAACAAATTTGGCAAACTGTGCCAAAAAATGATTTTGCTGTCTATATTTTTAATGAAGAGAAGAAAGTTTTATTCGGTTCATCAAACGTGACTCCGAATTGACCTTGGCAGGCGATCAAAAATACATTAACAATATTTAAGCAAATAAAAACAAAAGCAAAACAGAAGCTCAAAAACGGAAGAGCGAGAGAGCGAAACGCTGATAAAAACACAGAAAATCGGCGAGCGTTTTTGTTATTTCTCATGTTATTCTTATCGCAGCGCCATAACAAACTCAGCTGGTTCTTAAAAAGTGACGTATTTCTGCTCTCTGGCGGTTCCTTATCACTCCGCAGCCCGGCAAAGGTCTTTTTTTTTTTATGAAATGATTCAACTATATAAATTGCCCGGATTAAAGCGACACAAAATACGGCAAAACTGCAATAGGAATGCTGCCGGATTGATTTGAGTGGCGTGTGAAAGGGTTGCCCTGTATTGCCGATCCGAACTGTTCCCAAGTGACCATGAAATTGCCAATAATTGCGAGTTGTTAGGCCCATTAAGCTGAAAAAGTGTCGGAGCACCTTGCCAATAAATGCATCTAACAGCGGAATATTTTGTTAAAAACCAAATCAAATTATATATATAGTTTTCCCAATACTTGGAATTCGCGGGTCTTAAGGGCATTCAATAGTTGGGTAATCTTATCTGGGTGTGAAATCCGTTTTATTACAACTCATTATCAAATCATCATACTATAATTATTTAGCAAATTCACCTCTACCATTTTACAACTTAGATTAGCATCTATATAAATCGATTTATTTATATAGTTGTATAACATTCATTGTGATTCCCTTATATTTTCCTTATCTTCTCCAAAACAAAGAGATGACGAATACCTTAAGTTTGTGCCCCACTCAATGTCCTATCATGTGGTCCCAGGAGGGGAGTTCCAATGCAAAAAGGCAAACCACAATTCCAGGAAACTCTCCACCATCGATGAGCAGGATGACGATGTGGCCAATCAAAAGGGAATTACGCACCAGGTAAGCTAAAATGGCTAAATAAACTATATTGTAAGAAGGCAAGGTTAGTTTTAGTCAAAGGTTTTGTTAAATCCACCGATGATACAGAATTGAAAATATCTTTTTTGGTCAAATTAATGACGAAAAGTTCCGTATTTCCACTTAACACCTAAAATAAAATCGAACTCAGTTCTGTAATCTTGTCAACTTCTTGTCAAACACTGGACATCTTTGTAGTCTCTCTTCTACATGCGTGACAGATACTTAGTATGCCGTGAAGGACAAAATGATAAGATACGCAATTGAACTTTCTTCGCGAAATGATTAGAAAACGCTTCGTTTGGGGGCTACATGTGGCGGACATGTGACGGAGTCTCTGGAATTGAGTCGAATAGAATGGCAGCGAATGGCACGAAATGTCATTCATTCAGGGTGTCCGTGTTCAGTTTGCTAGCGTCACAAATTGAACTGTTCATATACACTATAACCTATAGTAATCAATGGACAGCGATCGCAGATCGTTTGTCACTATCAACGCAAATCAAAATAAAGTTGTCCGTGATGCAATTGCAACTTCAATTGATGGCAATTGCTTGGCGGGCACAGAAACATTGATGATATGATGGCTAGATTCGATTAAATAAAGGTTCATAGGAAACCATAATAAATTGATTTCAACATGATGTATATATCGTTCCTTCTTCCAGATCTTGGCCACTTGTGCGGTTCTTTTACTATCTGCTGGATGTGGCATGCCCATTGGATATTCAGCGATCTTGCTACCACAATTGACGGATAAAAATACCACTGAGATCCCCATTGATGTCGAAACAGGCTCTTGGATAAGTAGGTGTTCCCACCTCATTTTAAAATAGGAAACCTCTTGACATTCTCTTCTGATTCCTTGCAGCTAGTATCCATAGCTTGGCTACGCCATTTGGATCCCTGCTTTCGGGACCTCTGGCAGATTACTTAGGTCGTCGGAAGACCCTGATCATTGCGGTTATTCCGCTCTTGATGGGCTGGAGCTCAATGGCCATAGCCAGGGGTATCAAGGTGGTGCTTTTCGCCCGGTTTCTGTGCGGATTCGCAACCGGAATTTTGGGTGGACCCGGTCAGGTGAGTGAATCGAATTCCAGATTTCAATGCCACAACCCGGGGGTTCGTTCACACGGAACAGCCGGTAAACCCGGAACCGTACGTGACAAGAGTCGGGATTGTCCGAGTGACCCATTAACCGTAATCGGCGGAGCCTTGAACTCCCCAAATGGGACTCCCACCGAGAACGCAAAAGAGCAGTCGTGACAGGTGGACAGGTCGTCAATTGACCACTTGACGGCCTGTATTCTATTGTCCCGGCTTCTCTGGTCGGTTCCATTGTGACTACGCTAATAATGCGTCGTCAGCCGGCGCTGTTTATTTACGAGTATCTTATGGATATGTCCGTGACTTATCTTGCGGCCAAAGTGATAACGATAGTCGTCGGCGTCATCACTCCCGGACTTTAAATGGCCAGCGCATCATTTGCATTAGCAAAAGCAAAAGCTTTCCGCACACACGAGCCCACGCTCCGTAATTTACATTGTATGCGTAGTAGTTCCGGATTCTTGACCTTAGTCTATAATAACGTGGATGCGGATTATGGGTGCTTTCCGCGGTGGGTGGTGTATGGGCAGATGGATGGATGGCTCACTGGTGGGCGTCGACTTGTTGCGCGTGTTTCCCCGGCGAGTTTCATTTTCATTAATGGTTCGCTGCCTGACGTGATTTACGATTTTATGATTACCATCCAAGAGTTCTCAGAGATTAAGATGTTGATTCTTTTGTGACCCTCAAATATATCAATTTGTTTTGCTGGCGAAAGTTCTCGGTGGGGTCAGGGTGAGAGTTGATTAGAAAGTAATTCCCTCTAATATTACATAAACGAGCTATTATTATTGCGACTTAATGGGTTGGAAAGTTGATTTATTTTTTATGCAAGAGTATCTAGCTAAGAACTCCAAGTAGAAGTAGAATGTAATTCACCATATGGTATAATTTATACTATTATAAGGATGCTAATGCCTCAGTGAACCTGCGTTGTACTAAACTTTTTGTTTGACTAAACTCGGCTTAATAATCCATGTGAAATTACAATTAGAAAAGTAATACCCTTTTCTTGAAATATTAATAATTAATTAAATATTAATAATTAAATATTTATATCTTTTTCAAAGGTCTACATTGCGGAGACGACGGAGCCAAATTTAAGGAGTCTGCTGATCGGAGCTCCATACGTGGCTTACTCCCTTGGAATCCTGCTTGTTTACTCTCTCGGCTACATGATGAACTGGCGCGTCGTAGCCTGGTGCGCCAACATCCTGCCCCTGCTGGCCATGATTTCAATTTCATTCATCCCTGAGACTCCTGCCTGGCTCTTACGTAGTGGTGATGAAAAGCGTGCCCTGCAGGCACTATCATTTCTTCGGGGCAGCGACATCAGTGCTCAGAAGGAGTTGAATGATATGAAGCAGAGATTGGCCAAGGAGCGGGCCACCACCAGGACAAACGAGAACATATTCCAGCTCTGCTCCCAAAGGGTGGCCATTAAGCCGTTGGTCATCGTGATCGTGTTCTCCCTGCTCCAGATGTTCTCCGGAACTTTCATAGTGATCTTCTACGCAGTGAATATGATTTCTGAATTCGGAGCTGAGCTCGATCCCACGCAGGCGGCGATTGCAACCGCAGCTGTCCGGGCCGTCTGCTGCATGGTCTTCTGTGTGATCCTGATCTTCGTTCGCCGTCGCAGGATCATGATGGTCTCGGGAATCGGTTCCGGTCTGTTCTGCCTGGTCTTGAGTTGTTATCAATACGCTAGACATGACCAGCCCAAAATGAGCTACGATATTTTAGTAGGAGGTATTTGTCTCTTGGGTTATATTATTTTCAATACGGCATTAATGGTGATGCCTGGTATCATGATCGGGGAGCTTTTCCCCGCCAGGATCCGAGGAAGGACGGCAGGTGGAGTGTTTGCCTCCATGAATGTGGCTCTTTTCATCTTCGCGAAAAAGTTCCCCGCTTTGCAGGTGATGCTCAAAATGCGCGGAGTGTTTCTGGTCTTTGGAGTTTCTAGTTTCTTAATCACCGTCTTCATGTGCTTGTTCCAGCCGGAAACAAAGGGCCGTAGTCTAGAGCATATTGAAGACTACTTCAACGGGAGCAACTGGCTGTGGTTCCGTCGTGATCGCGGCTACAAGACGGTCAACTTGCAACCCCTGCAACCACTCAAGGCCAATCGGGGGACGGACGCATAGTCCGGGGGTATTAATTAGTATTAAATCAGGTCTTAGCTAAGCTAGTTTTAGACATTCTCGTAGTTCTAGCCAAAGTGCCTCGTAGTCGTTAGACTCGCTCGATTTTCCAGTGTCCCCCAGTTGGCCACTCCGACAGGGAATCTTCAATTGCTATGTTTATTCTTTCCAATTGTGATCGCTACGCTTTAAATTGTGTCTAATTGTTAATCTAATTAAAATTTTAATTATAAATAAAAACAATTGAGAATTTATCTCACGAGTTTATTTTTCTTGAGCTTTAAATATTTGAAACCTTACCGATTTCATAATATATGTATGTTCATATCTATATTTGGACAAAAATAAACAATATTAATTGATACTAAAAAGTTCAGTATAAAGACTTGGGGTTTGTAATTATTAATATAATAATATATAACAGTATGATGGTTTAAATGAGGTATAAAATATTTCTATATTTTTAAAATAGTTAAATTTAAAATGTATGTGGAGTGAATTTGTAGTCAAATCTATAACGGTCTTTCTTTTAGAAATTCAAATTAAAATACTATAAGTTTGTAAAATAAATACTTGGAGTGGCTTTCTTGTAGTAAAGTAATTCGGTCACTCTAATTGCCGACTGCGGGAAAAATGAATAGCGTGAGTGGTAAATATTTTAATGTTTTAGCAATATAAATGAAAAAGAATCTCTTAAAGGAACTGAAAGCCAAGATCGAGAGCTGCGCACGCACTGCGGATACATTCACGAGGCTTTATTACGCCTCCGTAGACAACCGGCGCCATGTAAGTTTAGATCCCCTGAAATGCCGGCATTTTCACAGAATAATGAAATAATGGAATTTATTGACAGCAAATTGGTCGCCTGTATCTAGACAATGCCACATTCAGCTGGAATGGAAACGGAGCCACTGGCCGTGAGATGATCGAGCGTTATTTCTTGGAGCTGCCCACATCCAACCACCAGATGACCACACTGGACGCGCAGCCTATTCTTGATCCAGCAGTAGCAAATCAGCTGACCTACATAATTATGTCCAGCGGCACCGTGAAGTTTGCACAAGAGCCGGTCCGAAACTTTCAGCAAACGTTCATCGTGACCGCCGAGAACGACAAATGGAAAATCGCCTCCGACTGCTACCGTCTGCAGGAGGTAATGGTCTAAGGCGGCAAAAGATTACTCAGTTGTTATAATTAAAGCTAGGCTAAAATTCATTAACCGTAACGAGTTTATTTACAATTCTAAGGACCTAAAAATATTGTGGCTATTTGTCTGTCTCCGTTTTGGGCTTCTTGGTGGCCGGCTCATCAGCGGGCAGTTTTTCGGAAAAGATGGCTTTTGGCTGGGTCTGCTTGTAGGCCGGAGCTATCCAGTACGGATTTTCAGCTGCGTCTTTTGCGTATTTCAAGATGGCCTCTCTGGGATCCTGGTCATCGTCAACCCGCTTGCTTAGGCCTAAATTGCGGATGACATAAGAGGAGAGAGTGCCACCAGAGGTGGCTACTCTGCCACCCTGACCACTGGTAATGGGCAAGTCTGGTCGCTTGGACTTAACCGGATCCATTCGCGCCTTTTCCATTCTCTTGCGCGAGGTACGCGATTTTTCCTGTCTGAACAAGGGCAGAGCATGAGGAGTAATAATCTGTGACACTCCCACCATTTCCATAGGCTGCCTCTTCCGATGCGTCTTAACCACGCACAACTTGGCGCCGCGGATACTCCGCTGTTCGTCATAATAGCATTTAATAGTGCCATTACCACAGCTAACAAATAGTTGATTGAGTTTCGGATGCCACAGAGTCTTTACCACGTGCGAGTTGGACACCGGAATCCGCTGGACTTCATCGTAGGTTTTCGTGCTGTAGAAATACAAGTTCGCTTCGGTCTGACCCTTGGGTAATGATTCGCCAGCGACCAGCATCCGATCGTCCGGACTGAAGCAGCAGTCTGTGGTGTCGTAGCGGGAGTACAAATTCGTCCAGGTGTGCAGCGGCTTTTTGAATTGTCTGAGGTCCCATAGTTTCATGGTCTCGTCAAGGCTCCGAGTGGCCAGTTGCTGACCCATGTACGAGAATACAATGGATGTGATTTCAGTGCCTTTTTGATGCGCTTCTCTGACACAGTGTGTTGTATTAACATACATTTTGCGAGTGTCCCAGGTCTGAATGGAACCGTCCACGCATCCCGCTGCTATCAGTGTGGCGTCCCTGTTGAAGTTGCACGATGCAGCGTTTGTTCGTAATCCGCCCTGCGCCCTTGTCTTGATCACCTGCACCTGTTCTTTAGATTTCAATCCCTGCCAGATGCGCAGGGTGCCATCAAGTGCTGCTGTTAGGAACTGCTCTCTATTAAAAGGGTGCCAGCAGCCCGAGGTGAGCTGAGCCACATGCCCTTTGGTGCGGGACATGTCCGAGATGTACTGGTCACCCTTGCAGCACTCTAGTTTCTCAAAGCCATCGCGATCAAGCACCTTGGCTTGGGCGTTTCCTGAGATGACCAGGATCATGTCACCGGTCACGGAGTATTGCAGTGAGCGTATAGGGTGGTTCTCGCACGGCTGCAGCTGGCGGAAGCTGCGCATGCCGGAGTCCATGCCAGCAAAGTCCCAGAAGCACATGTCGTAATCTATTGAGCCAGAAACCAGACGCGCTCCAGAAGGGTCCCCAGCCAGAGCTAGGACAGCTCGGGATCCGTGCTGCATCTGCACCTCGTGGGTGTACGGTATTCGATTCCCAAGGCTCTGCTCGTCTTCAGATTCTTCATCGGAGGAGTCATCGTCGGAATCTTCATCTTTAGAAGCCTCTTTCGTGGATTTATCATTCTCTACAACTGCAGCTGGTGGCAATGGACCTATGACATCTTCCTCCTCATCCTCAGCTTCCTTTGCCTCGGCTAGCTTAAGATCCTCCTTGTTTTTTTCTAATCTCGGTCGGGTAACCCTGGCTTTTTCTATTTGCTCATTAATGTCGAATACCTTGGCAGCCTTGCGGCCGAAGCCACTAATTCCCATCACTTCCTTCAGATGCTGGCTCTCCAAATCTTCGGCTACATCTTCGATTTGCCTAATCATTTGCTGCTTGTCCATTTTCTTGAATCCTCCACCACTTCCACTGGCTTCGGGCGATTCTTTTTCATCTTTTTTGGAGTTTTCATCAGGTTTCTGCTCGACGGGCGTTTTGCTAACATTCAGTTGAATTTTTCCAAAGGAGATTTTACCACGTTGCATATCTTATGTATATTACTTTTAGATGTCTTTTGTTATTTTAGAATTTATTTTCCTTTTCTCTAGATAAGTGCGGCTTTTTTGGTAAACAAAGGAGTGACCGTTTGAATAAACAAATGTTTAGTATGTTTATGACATGGTTGGTACATTTATAAACTAAATTAATTATTTATAAATGAAAACAATTGTTTGTAGCCTTTACTTTTTAAAATAAACATTCCAAAAATTTGATCAAATTAGTTTTATAAAAAAATAAACTTAGTTATTTGAAATAACGACTAACAAGGTCGAATTAATAAAAACCAACATATATTGTAGTATTTTGTTATTTTTCATACTGAAATATTCTGAATATACTGTCAAGTACGGTCACTCTGCTTTGGCAGCGGCGTCTAACCTAAAATTAGGCGCGCAGTGTTGTTTTTTTGTCGGCCGGAGTTCATTGTTAAAAATTGTTAATTTCGCAAAGCGGCGTAATATAGTGTTATCCTATTTTTATTAATTGAGCAGAAGCAGAGCACAATGACGGACTCACTGGAGTACAACGACATAAACGCCGAAGTGCGCGGTGTCTTGGTGAGTTGCAAAAATCCCGGCATATTTTGGCACATTTTGTCTGACTGAGTTTTCCCCTCCCTTTTCCCTCTTAAAGTCTTCCGGACGCTTAAAGCTGACCGATCAGAACATCATCTTCAAGAACACAAAGACTGGCAAGGTGGAGCAGATCTCGGCGGATGACATAGACCTTATCAACTCGCAGAAGTTCGTGGGAACTTGGGGACTAAGGGTGTTTACCAAGAGCGGCCTGCTTCACCGCTTTACTGGATTTCGCGACAGCGAGCACGAAAAACTGGGCAAGTTCATCAAGGATGCCTACTCGCAAGAAATGGTCGAGAAAGAAATGTGTGTTAAGGGCTGGAACTGGGGCACCGCCCGCTTTATGGGCTCCGTCCTGAGCTTCGACAAGGAGTCGAAGACGATATTTGAGGTGCCCCTGTCGCATGTTTCGCAGTGCGTCACCGGCAAAAACGAAGTCACCCTGGAATTCCACCAGAACGACGATGCACCAGTTGGCTTGTTAGAAATGCGGTTCCACATTCCCGCCGTAGAGTCTGCCGAGGAGGATCCGGTGGACAAGTTCCACCAGAACGTGATGAGCAAGGCTTCGGTCATCTCGGCTTCGGGCGAGTCAATTGCCATATTCAGAGAGATCCAGATCCTCACGCCTCGTGGTCGCTACGACATCAAAATCTTCTCCACCTTCTTCCAGCTCCACGGCAAGACATTCGACTACAAGATTCCCATGGATTCGGTTTTGCGGCTCTTCATGCTGCCCCACAAGGACAGTCGACAGATGTTCTTCGTGCTTTCGTTGGATCCGCCCATTAAGCAGGGACAGACCCGTTACCACTATCTGGTCCTGCTGTTCGCTCCCGATGAGGAGACCACCATTGAGTTGCCCTTCTCCGAGGCCGAGTTGCGCGACAAGTACGAGGGCAAATTGGAGAAGGAGATATCCGGACCGGTGTATGAGGTAATGGGAAAGGTGATGAAGGTGCTAATCGGTCGTAAGATTACCGGACCTGGTAACTTTATCGGACACTCTGGCACTGCGGCCGTGGGATGCTCCTTTAAGGCCGCCGCTGGTTACCTGTATCCCTTGGAGCGGGGATTCATTTATATCCACAAGCCACCTCTACATATCCGCTTTGAGGAAATAAGTTCGGTGAACTTTGCGCGCAGCGGCGGTTCTACACGCTCATTCGACTTTGAGGTTACACTCAAGAACGGAACCGTCCACATATTCTCATCCATCGAAAAAGAGGAGTACGCCAAGCTCTTTGATTTTATCACTCAGAAGAAGTTGCATGTTAGCAACATGGGCAAGGATAAGAGCGGGTACAAGGATGTTGACTTTGGCGACTCTGATAACGAAAACGAGCCGGATGCCTACCTGGCTCGTCTCAAGGCAGAGGCCAGAGAAAAGGAAGAGGACGACGACGATGGTGATGATTCGGATGAGGAGTCTACGGATGAGGACTTCAAGCCCAACGAGAACGAGTCCGATGTGGCCGAGGAGTACGACAGTAATGTAGAGAGTGATTCGGATGATGATAGCGATGCCAGCGGTGGAGGGGATGGTGACAGCGATGTCGCCAAAAAGAAGAAGGAGAAGAAGGCCGAGAGGAAAGAGAAAAAGGAGAAAAAACACAAGGAGAAGGAGCGAACTGTAAGATAAAATATTTAGTAATTTTAGCTTGTTCTCATACATTTTTTATTTTGCTAGAAAAAAGCTTCCAAGAAAAAGGACACAGGCAAACCCAAGCGCGCTACCACTGCCTTCATGCTCTGGCTGAACGACACGCGCGAGAGCATCAAGAAGGATAATCCGGGCATTAAGGTAACCGAGATTGCCAAAAAGGGCGGCGAAATGTGGAAGGAGCTGAAGGATAAGTCCAAGTGGGAGGAGGCGGCTGCCAAGGATAAGCAGCGGTACCAGGACGAGATGCGCAACTATAAGCCTGAAGCAGGCGGCAGTGACAACGAGAAGGGTGGAAAGGCCACAAAGAAACGCAAGTCAGAAGCTTCTCCAACCAAAAAAGCAAATACCTCCGGCAGTGGCTTCAAGAGTAAGGAGTACATTTCCGACGACGATTCCACCAGCTCGGATGACGAGAAGGACAAGTCCAAGGACAATGAGCCTGCTAAGAAGAAGAGTAAACCCACATCCGATGGCGGTGCCAAAAAGAAAAACTCCAAGAGCGATAGCGAAGCGGAGGAGAGTGAGGAGGCCAGCAATGCTAGCGATGAAGATGAGGAGGATGAGGAAGATGAGGCCAGTGATTAGGCCGATAAACACAACACAATTCCATAAACACACCTCACACACCCATGCCCCAAATCTAGTTTACATTCGCCTAGTTTAGTTAAGTGCTGCCTGTTGGATACAGACTAATATGTTTTTTTTGTTTAATTAAAACTCAACAACGAATCGAAAGTTCGAGTAATTAAACTGAATTGATAATTGCCCATAATGATTGATATTTATCGGTTATTTTTTTTGGATGACTTGTTTTCGTTACGCCCAAAATGACGGCATTTGCCAGTCATTAATCGTTTTGCGTAGTCCGCAGCTATGGCCACGTTGACGGACCTTTTCCTTTGGTTTGGGCTGTTGTACATCTCGCAGGCAAGTTTGCCATTAAACTGGCTGGGAATTTATACCGAATTTATACCGAATTTTCGCCCACATAAGGTTCATGGAGTTGCCAAGTTCACAAACATCGAGTGCTTGAGTGTAAATGAGAACTTTACTAGCATTTCTTTGTGCCGATTGTACGCCGTGAAGAGGGATGTGGTAGAAATGAGCTTGAGGGCCAATATACTTCAGTGGCCAAAAGGTGCTGTATCGGTAAGTACATCTCTGGCTTATAGTGATCATGTACTAGCAAAATATCTGACTAGATACATATATTATTTTCGGTCGACTGAGTCATTCTAATTACAATTTCCAAAAAAACTAAAACACTTCAAATTTTTGTGATTTTATGCTTATATTTAGCAATGAGTAATTGTAACATAATTTTTGGACATAAGAAAGATAAACATGTACTATTTTCCTGCCAGCTTAGTGGGTTAGAGACGGCGACGATAGGCCGGTAGACGTTGTTGACGGACTTCCTGGCCGTTGGCCTCGATTCTGGTCTTGGCCAGCAGATCCTCAACATCGTCATGGGGACCCTCAATCTTCGCTTTGGAAGAAATACTAGTGACAGATACCTCGTTTGTTGAGGACGCCTTGAGCGTTTTTCGAGGAAGTTGAACGCGGCGATTTAGAATGCCGGATGACTCTAGGGCCATAATGTTCTTCTTGGCCAGATCGCCCAATGATTTGTCCGGATGCAGATGGGTGGTGGCTTTTGAAACGCCTATCTGAATCTCTTCGGAATCATCGATCACGAACCGTGGACTGTCCACAAGACTGGAACAAGAGGACAGATTTTGAGCAGATGTGCGGACCGAGCCGAGGACAGATTCAGTATCCTCAGACGTCCCACTGCCACCTTCTCCACCTAGGCCAGTTGCAGTTCCGAAATCCTTGTCGTTTTCAGAGTCCGTGTGTGAGATTTTCGATCTTGACCACAAATTAATCAAAAAAGGCCCAACAATGGATTTACTACTGATAAACAACTGTTTCATCGAAAAGAAGGCGTCGCTCAGCATCTTGTCCTTGCCTCGGTGCAGGAAGTGATCGATCTGCTCCTGCCGCTTGCTCAACATTGGACGCAGAATGGCGTCGAATATCCAGACATTGGCTGATGGAGCTGTCAGGACGATCCACAGAATCAGGAGAAACTTGGTGGGCATGTAGAGGGGCAGCCAAGACAAACAGATGTCCGCCAGCACCTCGAAGGTGACCAGGAAGGCGTACACTATCCAGTACTTGGCCCAGGCCAGGAACTCCTCATCCCCGCTGTTGAGTGTCTTGTAGGTGTGCCATGCCGGTCCCAAAGTGCCGTATACGAAAAACATGAATCGTGATATGCAGCTAAAGAAACACATTTCAGTATTAGTGCTCCTGACTTCAAGGTTGATCTAAAATATATATTAATCGACTAACGTCTGCCGGAAATAACTTATTTTTACGACAATTCCGAATTTAATTCATTAGTTTAAAATAATTTGGCAGTTCTGTAGCGATGTATGTATGTACACTTTTCTTTTTGTTTTATACTGTGTTGGGAGATCAATACTTTGATTATAAGTGTAAGGCAAGGCCTGTTAAATTTTGAATAATAACAAGTTAAAGATAATACTATATTGATTCCCATTCAGATGCGGATGCAGCTGCTGAAGAAGGCCAGTGGCTATAAGCCTTTCCTATACAATATCTGCCAGTCGGATATCTGCGAGTATCTGGAGAAACGCAATCATCCGTTTATAAATATCATTCTCAACAGTTTCGGAAATAGAACCAATGTGAACAAGTGCCCGATTCCAGTAAGCTATATATAATATCAATCTTAAATTCTCTCTTTAACTTGTTTTTCTAGCCTGAAATTATTTTGGAGCACTTTCGCTTTCCGGTGAAGGTCTTGGACATTATGCCCCTGCCATCTGGGGACTATGGACTGTTCACCACCTTCAGTTTCCACCAAAAGGAACTGGCCCAGGTTAAGGTGTACTTTACACTTACAGAATATCGCTAAAGGCGCACACAACACATGAATCGAAATATTTGTAATAAACATCAGTCGCGGTGCAATAAACCAATTAATAAATTTGCCATAAATTTGTTAACTGGCCGTAAAAGAGCTTTCCGATTTGATTATCCCTTTGTGATCGTAATAAACGGATCTTAATTAAAATTATTGATGAGTGCATTAAATTTGAGTTTAATATATAGATGGTTCTGGCACGTGGGAATCAATTTGGTTGAGAAGCGAAGGCTTCGGCTGACTCTCCAAGGTTAGGATCATTGGCTTCTGATTCAGATCGATTTTCGGCCGAAATTTCTTTCTCATACAAAACCAAAAGCATATAACTATGACCCTGCCCCACAGGTGAACGCTCATGACATTTCGGATAGGCATTCAAAAAGACATCAAGAAAAGGTTCCCATACAGTCCACAGACATTTCAGCAATTGAAACCGAAACTCCGAATCAATTGTAATTGTGCCTAATAAATGAAATGTTGACGGAAATAACGCAGAAAATAACGAAGGGGTTCGGGGGCGCACATTACGTGTGCGATTGTAAAAGGCAAAAATCACAATTACCAACATGCATGCATAATTAATTTGTGGGTCAATTGCAAAAACTTGAACTTCAATTCAAGTGGCTCTGTGTCTGAGACCCACTGGGGTGTCATCTTTGGCACATCCACATCGCCTAGGAAGTAATTTTTTGTGGGATTTCGGGATTTGCATAAATGCCGCCAATTAATTTTGTTATGCAAATTAATGACAAACAATTAGCGATGCGGGACAAAGCCGATTTATTAATTGCACATTATTATTATTGTTATTTTTTTTACAAAGTATGTAAATGCAAATATTTATTTCGCACTCTGTTTCGCTGTTTCCTTTTTTTCGATGCTGTCAATGGCAATGCGCGCTTTATCGCTGATTAACCCAAATTTAAATGGAGCTTAACCCAAGCCCATTCAATGAGAAAAGTACGGCCAGGTCCAGAGGCTAAGGAACTTTGGTAAGAAGCTAATGACACCTCGATGTGGGTGCAGGCAGCTGATGAAATTATCTTTGAATGTAAATGATTAAGGACTGTACTGGACTGTGATCATTGCGTCTGAGGAAGGCACTCAAACTTATTTTATGGAGGCAAAATTCATATTTATCTACTAAAAGTTCATCAAACTGCTTGTTAAAACTACACACCTTATATAACTTAATGGCCAATTCGCAGCATTTTAATGAGCACTAATATTTTTATGAATTTGGTAAGCAGTAACTTTAACTTGCAATGCAATCAATTATTTTTAATGCGCCGAACAAATCTCCTTCCTGTTAAACAAAATTAACGCTTATTGTTGTTTATCGATCAGCACAATCAAATTAAATACAGGAAATTAATAAAGTAATAAATGTTTTTCAAATAATAAACTCCTTTATTGCTTCTAGAACTTGCTTTGACCCTTATCGAGATATTGTTTAGGTCCCAACGAACTGAATCGACTTGGAGCCCCGAAAGATCATCGATAAACAAAATTGAAACAAATTGCTTTACAATGCGGTGACGAATGCGTCATTTACATTGCGGTTGTTATTGCCAATTTGGCGAGCCGCGGATTTTGATCAAGATTAATAGTGTGCTAATTGCATTAAGATTGTTGCCAGCAGCATTCCCCAAAAAGCCGCAACACGCGTTCCTACCTTCGCAGCAAGTTCGTTGCTTCAGTCTTTTGTTTATGCCCGTCGTTCGACGTTTGCCGTTCTCAATTAATCAGCTGCATCCCTACAAAACGTATGTAAGTGTTCTGCTTAGCTTTCAACAATTTATCGGACACAGTTTTGTTCGCCAATTTGTAATTACAATGTGGGCCATTGGCCAACAAATTGCTACTGATCGCCGGATCATCGATTCCTGGCGCCGATCCATGAATCAATTATCATGCACCGTCCTCTGGCAATGAACTTTTCTAATCGAAGATTAATGGAAAGTAGCACCAGATTGGCAGCTGCTTCTGTAAACTCCCCAGCAATGAATCACTACCAAGATTTTGGATACTCCGATCAGATCAGATTCCGCATTTAATCACTGACGTCTGCAAGGGCAAGAAAACAAACAAGAGTTCAAGAAACTACTCGGAATGGCGAGTTGCATTGTATCTCATTCTCCATCGATAAGGCGGAGATGGTTTCATATCTCCAGACTGGTTATCCTTCTGTCTTTGAGACAGATAATTGATGATATAGTCCATTGATTCACGGTCTAAACTGTCCAAGTCAGCTGCCCGACGAGCCTGGTCAGCTTTATCCATTTCAATATCGGCCAGGAGACATGACAGTTCTCGTTTCAAAAGATGCCCATTGACCTGGGGTCCTTTGCTTTGCTCATCCTGATCTTTCCCAATAATCGTTGTTACCAGTGCAGATTGCATGAGGATATGGACAAGCTTCTGGCGCAATATATGATAATAGCAATTACAATACGCGATGATTGGTCCCATTCTTCCTAAAACGGAATAACCAATAAAGTCATAAAGGTGATTGGTGCTGTAAGGGGCACTGAACCAGATGCATATGGACAGGATCAGCTTGAGGGCGCCGTAGAATGGCAACCCACCAACTAGGAAGTCTGTTAGGACCCCGATTCCCTGGAGCATGGCGTAGATCACCCAATATTTCAGCCATAGAACGACGAAGTGCTTTTGACCATGGCTGAAAGCCCGCAAGGTGGTCCATCCCGGTAAGAGTGTTCCGTAGTAAATATATATTAGACGCAGCATGTCTACGTGTGTCAATTTTTCAGCTGTTCCTAAGGTGGAATTGTTTACAATACAAAATATAATATAATACAAAAAAGGTGAGTTTATACTCTTTTCAAGTATGATTTTTAGGCTTGGAATATGTGATGTGAATACATTGGGCAGACGTTATAGTCGGAGACTTTTGAGTTCTTTACTTTTCGATATAAAATTTAATAAGCGATGGGGACAGCACTGATTTTCCGCTGAAAATGGTTTATAATGATTGTGCTCACATTCCAAAACCAAAAAAAAAAAAGAAAAACCGAAAGACAATCAAATAATTCCTTGTCACTTCCTAGAGTCGGCTCTTGGAGCAATCAAAAAATCTGTGGCCAGCACTTGGCCATCAGTGGCGACGCGGAATGGCGGTGGTTTGAACCGGGCTAAGTGCCTGGGGGCTTTGCCTGCGGCTTTCGCAAGACCAGGAGCCAAATCAATGGGTAGCCGCGTGTGTGCGCCTGTCTTTTAGCCAGCTTTATGCATATTTATAGATTTGTTTGGCCGACTAACAAACCAAAATAAACCAGATGAGAGGAGGGGGGAAGAAAGAGACCCAGTTTATGGGCCAGATTGTATTAATGGCGGCGCCTTTTTGGCCAAAACGATGCCAGTGCCGTTGGTCTTTCGGTCCATTGGGGATTCGGTAGTAGCTTGCCAGTTGGTTCGACCTGACATAATGGAAATAATAATATAATCGATTCGGCTGTAATTTTGCTCAACTTGTTCGACCTGTCTGCCCCTAAAATTTATGAACATTTCTTCAGCTCAAATCGGGACTCTGTTTATCCGCTTCACTTGTTCGCTACTCCTTATAACTTCCCCCCAAACATACTTCAACCAGATTAGTTTGCTTGGATTATTACATCATTTAAATAAAACAAACGTTTTGTTTGACAATTTCGTAAACATTTCGTTGGCGGATTTGAAGATTTCCAAACAAAGTAGCGTGAAATGTTGAAAATTATGCAAATAGTCTATGGCTTTTCTTTGTTTATTTTTGTAGAAATTTTCGGGGGAAGAGAGACCCATAAATATTGAACCCAGCTGGGATGTGTTTTTAAATGGGTTTTGTTTCGTTTTTTTTATGTTTCTCTTGATGTCTTTTATGTATCATTTGTGTATGCTGACGCCTCGTTAACTCTGTCCATATGTGTGAATGTGCCGAGTAGCGGGGATTACAAGCTGGATCCGATGATCTGCTAACCTCTTTATCGGAGATTCGTACCTCAGCTGCGGTTGCCCAAGACTGAATCTTTCTCCACCTCTTTCGGCTTCGGATTTTTGGGTCTTCGATGCGGGCAGATTGGCATTGACCCTTTGACTTGACACGGATAAATACATATATCTTTGAGGGGATGGGGGATGGGCGGCGACAAAACTTACAATTTGATTAATCGAACAGCTGGGGAATTACATTTTCACGAATGACCTTCATTCGATAACTAATTTATAAGCAACGCCTAAAGTAAGGAAAATAAGTGTCTGAAAGATGAGAAAGAATATAACTTGGGATTGCTATTTCCGTTGAGTTAAACTCGCAGAAAAATATGCAATTTGGTCAAATGCCTGTAAATCAATTATTCAGAATGAGAAATTCATAAACCACACGACGCGACTCATTCAGCCGTTTTAACAGGAAAATAAAAACTCGTTTTGGGGTTCAACAATATTGAACCTGACAAAGAGCGAGAACAATTGTTAAAAGGCCAAAGAAAATGTGTCAAATAATATTTAATGCATGCGAAGTCAGCTCGAATGCGATGCACTGTGAGAACGGCAAGACTTGGCCAATAAACAGCGCAAATTTAAGGTAATGTAAACAAATGCAAAGTAATTAACACGAAATCCGCATAAAAGTAATGAGTTCAATTGCCAAAACGAAACCAGTTCGACAGCGCTCAAGGAACGTTGACTAGGGGGAGGGATTGGGTGGAATTCACAGCTCATTAATAGATGGGTATCTCTAACTCCGAGTTAAATGTCGCCTGAAATGTTACACTCAGATTTGGGATCTGCATGGGTTATTTGCCGCATGCAAATGAGGTTCGATATTTAAGTATATGGCGTAGTGGGAGGATGGGTCTCGAGATCTGGGATCGTGTGCCCCCGTTGAGTCATCCGTGAGATCAGTTCATTGCCGTTTCACCCAAAGACCATTCGATTAACCTGATGCCACAGCTGCTGGGCTTACGTAGGTGGTTCACTGTGCCTGATTTTATTCGGAACCCGGCCCATTGAGATCTTCCCATCGATCTCTCAATGTGTGACAATTACCTTCTTAATTGGCCCAGTTTGATTGGACCGATTTGATCTTAATATTTTTTATATGCCTCACGCCTTCACGTGGGAGTCAAATGAGTTTTTATCAATGCGAACATAAACAATTTCGCAGCCCCACTGCCATTGAACTTGGTGTGAACGAAACGATTTTATCTAAGACTTTTGAAAAATGGTTTTTGTTTGCTTTGTCTTGGCTTTCAAAGGGGGAATATGGCTCGAAAGGAACTTCCGATTAGATTGCCGAAGTGGGTTAATCATTAAAATGAGATTTTGGCTTAGAATTTTCAGATTAAGCCTTCAAAGTACACTGGGTCATTGAAATGGGTTAGAAGCCAAAGCATTGTTAGTTCAAATTCATGAAAAAATATTACTGTGTTTCTACTGTTTACTAACGACAGTTTATTGTTACTAATATTGTACTAACTATGATTCATTTTAGAAAATGTTCAGCCTGAACTCTACAGCTAATGATCTTGTGAGATCGAACTTTCCGTTAGACATGCATCACGAGTGCTGGAAAATGATTTGTTCTATCAGATTTTCAGTTTCCTGAACGAAGTGTCAGCGATGTCAATGCCCAAATGACACCTTCTTAATTAATTTAGCATTCGAGGCGCCAATTAAACAATGTCAGATGTTTCGAAGTGCTCGTAACATTTTCGATGCGAAGATGCCCGCCTGAAGATTAATTAAATCGAGTCTTTACAACATTAATCAGTGGGATTCGGCTCAAAGAGTCATTCAACGCAGAGCGAGAGGGAAATAGTTGGCCCGAACCCACTCAAAGTTTGGCTCAAACGCGAAGCTCGAACTATGGAACGAAAAATGCAAGTGTTTTATGTTTTCGCTTTCGTTGGCTTCGGAGCTTTCAAGGCTTTTGGCTGGCTGCCTCATAGCCTAGTACTTGTGTTCAGTTTGGCCCAAAGCTCCGCTCTCGGACCGCTGATGGTGGCATCTCGCTCCCACAGCCAGCTTTGGATCGGTTTTGGACCCCGTCGAGCGTTCCAAGCGATCGTTAACTTTAGTGTGCGCCGACCTGTTTCCGTAGACGGCCACAAAAAACCGTCAAAGACATAGCCACCAACCTTTTTGGACTCTGATTTCGATTTCGAGAAACGGTTATGCCAAAGTAGATTTTCGAAAAATCCCCAAAAGTGACTGTTGTTGGCTGCCACAAAGGGATTCTAAAGTCTCAGTGCAGCGGCAAGATCGTGACGTCAGCTCAGCTCAGCTCAAAAGTGCAATTCCCCAGCAAAACAAAGCTCAATTGCAATCTCCCGCCCCGTTTTACCCCGTTTTCGTAATCGCATCGTGCAAAAAGCTAAACACCAACAAAAAATAAGAGTTAATTACTTAAAAAAAAAGTGAATTTGCTGTCAGGCATCCCGCTCGCACCCCCAGCATTTCGTACCGTTGCAGTCGACGCCGCAGTTGCCGTCGCCGTTGTCGTCGCCGCGCTCTTCATTGTTTATGTTTTTTTGTGTTCTTCCCCACCCCGCAGAAGGCGGGGAAGTAAGTAATAATAAAAGCAATGAAACGAAATTGAGTGAAAAATAAATTTCGTTTACAAAAAATAAAGCGAAAATAAAGAAAAAAGCAAAAATTATAAGCGAATGAGGAGAAAAAATTCACTGCCAAGCAAATTTCACGCCGTATTTAATCTTTGCTCACTGACCGCCTCCAGCTTAATCGCTGCTCGTCTTTCTTTCCGTTCCGTTCGCGATCGCGAGTGTTCTGTGCCCCGATTCTGGATATATAGCTCCGGCTTTAGCCCCAGTAACGGCCACCGATCTAATCCGATCCCAAGTCCCCATCTAGAATCTCGAATCTCTTAGTCCCGGGCTGTGTGTTCTGGAGATCGCCGCGTTTCGTTTTTCGTATCTCGATTATCGATTCAGAACAGCACTCGGAACAGATATCGCTGAAGTTTCGCATCCTTAAACTTGATCAATCCTAAATCACTGCCCATCGATGATGATTGTGATCTGTGCCCGCATTTGACAGTGCTGTAGAAAACTTGGAAATCCCGCAAAAATCCGTTTGGTTCGCAACGTTTGTTTGCCCAGTGAAGCAAACAGGAACAAACTTAGGTGAGTGTTAAAGATTAGATATCTTAGGAAGAGTAAAGTTTTGAAAAAATATTAAAATAATAATAGGAAGAAGATATCTGAAATCCACGATCAGATTGAATTTGTTTTAATTTGTTAAATTAGTTAAGTCGATGATACAGAAATCCATTAGGGTATCAGGTATCTAGAAATACTTTAAATTTATTTACTAAAAATCAATCTGTTTGATTTTTAACGCAAATTTAAAAAATAAGACAATTCATATTGTCTCTTTCTAGGAACTCATTTATCAGATATCACTTTTCTGTAGTTCCTTAATTTTTATCCATCTTTGAGATGGATCAGAAAATACCTAAGACTGTTAATGCTAGCACATGGCAGTCGAACAGAGCCATAAAAATCGTACTTTTCTTCGATCATTGATTTTTGATTATTGCCTCATATAACAAAAAAGTGGTTGAGTTGGCTTTTACTAATTTGCAGACAAGTTTTGGGTCATAATTGTTACTACACATGTGAGCTTGGTTTTGAACTTGCTAATTGCGGAATCGAGCAAGATGAAGTGAAAGAGATATAGGATATATATATAACTTAAATGCTTGTCCCTATAAAATTCCAGAGGAGGGAAACAAGATTTCTAGAGCAGGATCTTGGGTCTTGGGCGGGGGATATATACGTGGATACATGACTTTTGTCTGGCTCTTAGTTCGGCCCACAAAATGGGCTTGTTTCCCAGTTTTAAGTTCAGTTGAGCTGGTTTTGTTTTATATTTTTGTTTCGCTGAAACAACTTTTCGTGCCGACTTGTTGTTGTTGTTTTTGTTGTTGCTGTTGTGGTCTTATTATCTCATTGTTGTTGTGTGAGTTTTTGGCTTTTGGTGTGTTTTCAGTTTACAGTTTACAGTTTTCTGTTGGCTTTTGCGAGCCTCGGACCAATGCGATTTTGTAATATTGCTACAGTTATTATTGCCCACCACGCTCTGCTCTCCGCACAGTATTTTAGTTATTTTTGCTGCAATTATTGCAGTTTTTGATTTCAACAAAGAGAGTGAGAGGGCGAGAGAAAGAGCGGGAGCGAGAGCTTTGAGCTTTCAGATCTCGGCCTTTGTTCGATTATATATATCCAATATCCCACTATCCATCGATTTGCCACTTTCTAAGCTATTGATATTCCTTGAAACGAGGGCCCTTCTGTGCCTTTGTCTGGATTACCTATAAAGAGCCATTTATTTGTGCCATTCGATAGCGATCATTCATCAGATTTCGAGTTCAGTTCGCTTTCAATTCATCTTTATAAACTCTGTTGCTTCTCGGGATCTTTTTCGTTGGCTTTTTCATTGACATCGACGAAGACGAAACCCGAGTAACCTGTTTGTTTATATTTTTATTTGTGTTGTTTCAGTCGCCCAGCCACTCAATTTACTTAGTTGTTGCTGCTATTTCAGTTTGCTAAACATTCATGGAATAGTTTGTCAGGGTAGTCAATGTACTCGGGTTGTTTTTTATTTACACAAAAAAGGTTGCCATGTAAATTGTTGTGTTGTTCAAGTTTTACTTATTTTGTTATAATATTATGTGATATTTTTTATTCAAAAGGGGAGTATCTTAACTTTATTACTCACCTAAATATCTATAATTAACGATATTCATTAATAGTCAAGGAATTTGTTAGCTTTCTCTAATCATTTACTTCTAAATTTAGAATCTTAAGCCAAAGTCTCTTTGTTTACCTAAGATAGTAGCTTCACCTATACGGACTTTACGATTGAGTCATTTACTGTGCATATGATTACTTTTATTAGCACTAACATTAAAATGTAAAAAGTTAACAGTTGCATTGCAAAAGGCAATAATCGTGAAAAACAATAAAGCAAATGCAAGTGGAAACAGAGTTAAAAACCATAGAAACCAGCGCACAAATCGAAGTAAAGCTGAAGTCAAGCATTTTAGCCGACGTCTTCTTCAATTTCAATTACAATTTCACTTTCATTTTCATGCGGTTTACGGCTTTTCCGACTTCGACCGCAACTGCGACGACTGCGACGTCGCCTGCGACTGCACGCAATCAGTGCAAGTGATTGTTGTTGTTGTTGCTGTTGCTGTTGCATGTTGTAATAGCAGCTGGAAAAATCATAACAAGAGCAGCAATAATTGCAAGAGCAAGAGCCAGAAACAGCGAAAAACAGGAGCAAGTCTTCAATTCCGAAATTCGTATTCACGTTTTTCGCAGTTTTCGCTGTTGCATGTGTTCTTTGGGCAAATATTTTATTTATTTTCTCTCTCCGGCTTTTCGCTTGCCATTGTCTGTCATTGTGGGGCCCATCTTTAAGTTTAATTAGTTTCGCATATTACGTATACGCAGTGTTGTTTTTTACCTCTGCTTCGACGCGGTGGCTTGCATTTTTTCAATATTTGCGCATTTTATAATGGCGTTTTAATTAATAATTTGTATTGAGGGACGTCGAGAAAAAAGTGTCTTCAAACTGGTTTTCGGTGATGTATCCGTTTCGATCTCCGCCTCCCGCAAATTACGTATACGCACCATGGGTCTGGCCCTCTGCCTCTGTTGTGTGCAGAACTCTAACCGATGGCCAGCAATCTCATATACATAAATGAATAATGTGCTTAGGAACAGATGCTTCGGCCACATATTTAACCCGCGGCCCTGAAACCAGTTTAGAAGCCATGATCTTCGATGGATTATGTCAGCGAACCTAGAATTCAAATTGGGCTCATTCAAATATTAGTATTTGACATTTGGTCTCACTTTATTTCTTTTCCGTTCGTCATTAACTCCATTTGCACAGCTGTTTCCACAGCTCAACGTGGATTGCCGAGCTTTCGGCAGACGACGGGCAACTCAAGGTGCAGGTTCCCAAGCCGAAACCACATTCATTGTTTTATCATTATAAAACAATGGCCAAAAGATTCGCTCGCCCTTTTCCACAGCACACACTCAAATACACAAGCGTTGGGCAAATGCAAAAAGTTCAGGTCACAGACATTTTACGTAATCTCCACCTCCACTTGATCGTTGTCTGCAACTTGCAGCGGAATTGTCGGCGAAATATCAAGAAAAATTTATTATCTCTTGTGCAAAACGCTCACAGTTGAACTTTGTTATGTCACATTTTGGCCGATTTATGTGTGATCCAGTTTGTGTTTTTGTTTATGGTCTCAGCGCGCTGCGGCTGAGAAATGGGTTTGCCTCATCACCCATACGCCCTGTGATTCCCGGTTCTTTGAGCCAATGTCAGCTGTGTAGACAGCCAAGCGGAAAATGGGTTCATTATCAAGCCAAATGGAGGGCTACTGAGTCAGGTGCTGACACAGATCCCCCCCCGATGCTTATCGGCGAACAGAAGCCACCGAAAAGACCAGCTGTTTGTCTGACAATCCGGCGGGAGAGGTGGCGATGAGCTGGCCAACTGTCAATGTCAGTTTAAACTAAAACGCTGACGCCCTCCGAAAAAGATCGAGACAACGACAACTTACAACAGACCCGGGCGCAGAGGGTTGTGTCAGCAAATTCATTAAGAAAGCAAGAGCTGAAAGCCAAACTCAGGCCAGCAGCAACACACAAAAAATTCCCATAAACCGAAACAGACGCTGACTTTATGGTAAAAGCAACAGCCACCAAAAAAGTAAGAAAAAAGGGGAAAAGGTAAAAAAAATATATGGCCAAGCGGCATAATTATGCGGAAGCTGACAATGCAACTTGCTTTGCTGTCTCCTCGTTTCGGTTTTTGGCGGTTTTTGGCACAATTCCATTACCATTTTCATTTCCACACTTTTGGGCCAGCTTCTGTTTGAAATCGGTTGACATTTGATGATGCGTATCTTTTTATCTATCCACCCGTATTTCCCTAGTCCGTAATTATATAAAAATATGAACGGGAATTATGCAAGCTTGAATATAAATCAAAAAACAGTTTTGCCATAGCCGTAACCTTGAGCTGGCTCAGATTCAGATTTATGCATGCCCACATATGGCAAATGATTCGACCCTAATCGGCCTTAATTATGCAAATGGCAGACCGAATGGAGTTGCCATCTTTTTAGTCAGCCACCGCTTGCCTCATAACTGTTTCTCCGATTCGGTCTGATTTGGCTTGCATTGTAAAATATGAATCGGAATATAAACGAGACTATTGGCGGTCACCGAAGAGCCGTCACGTTTTGATTTTATAATTTACAAGTCTCCGCTTCATTAATGTGCATTTGAATTTCCTGATAACTTGGCTTGCAGCCACTGCACATTAGTTGGGTTTCGTTTAACCCTCTTCAATGGTCTTAATTCGTTTTCGTTTTCGGGTGAAAGTCTTACCTTGAAGGTTGCCAAATTGCACTTTCGGTTAACTCTGCTTTTCTTATGGATTTATGAGGGTTATTACAGCTCAGCAGAAGTCATGTGCCCTTTGGCCAAGTTGGAAGTTGGCTTGGGTGATTTGAGGGGCAAACTAATGGCCTCATTATCTTGCCTTTACTTTCAAGTTTGTGTTCTAAGTCTTTTGTTTGTTGGCTTAGCTTAATATAAGTTTGGTTTTAAGTTTTGGTATTCATAAAGGTGATTTTTAATGCTTTATCATTTCTTGATAGCAATCAGTATTTGCACTTTCTTTGAGCTCCAGATTTGCAGCTGGCAAACGTACAATTTGCAGCAATCCATGAGCAAACGGCTTGGGGCATTGCCCTTGGGCTGTGTTACACCCATTTTTGGCAATTGCTCAGCTGAGCATTTCATTACGATTGATGATGATTGATTCGCCAGCGAGACTTTCTTCGAATGGAAGTGGGCCATGGCAGGTCTGGCAGCATGTTGCATGCAAATTGTGCAAAACCTTTGGGGATATAAAATGTCATGCAATTTGTCGTAAATGCCGCTGAGAAGTTGCAACACGAAATTGCAGCTGCTGTTGTTGCATTTGTTGCCGCTGGTCAGTTCTGTTTGTTTTCTTGGTTGGTTTGTCAAAAGGTTTGGCCATGTTGCTGCCGCTGGATGCGATGGATGCTGTTCGGCTCTTGCCACGCATCGCTGCATCATTATTGACAATTAGCCGCATTCGATGCCGGGCGGATGTGCAACTGCAACAGCAACAGCAACAACACAAGCTACCCAAGCAACAACAGCAATCAACAGGGCCGGACAAGATTGTTTTATAGCCCCGAGGCTGCTTCTTGGCCTTATGCAATAATTAATTACTCAGCCAGCGGGCCAGAAAACTAGGTTTTTCTTTCTACAAAAATAAAAGTAAATATTAATAGAGGCAGCAACAAGCGTTTGAGTTGCAACAACAGATGCTCACTGTACTTGCTTTACAAACATAATGCCCATTTGAGCATGACCAAGACGGGTTTGCGGGCAGCCAAATAATGGTTATGTGAGGTGGTAAAATTATTTTTGGAAATAAATATTTTGCATGCTGAAGTTGCGTGAAGAGATTGGGAAATGGGATGGGCCTGTGTTGTGGCGTTTAAGGGTGGCATAAATTAAAAATAAAAACATAAAAATTAAAGTTATTTCCTAACTGAAAAATAAAATTAAATTAATTCACTTTCAACTAACTCTTTGTTTTCCTTTATTTCATTACAGTTTAAGCATTTTTAAGGATTATATTAGCACCCTAGGCGACCGGCTCAGTAAGATGTCCTCAACATTGGTCATTCTCACAGCGCTCCTCTTGGCCAGAACACTATGCCAGGCCCTGCCAGATGTAAGTACCCCTTTGAAGCTCCAATGCCAGAGACTTTGGATCACGTTCCATCGAACAGCAAGAACCCATCAATCAATTCAATGCGATATCAATGAACAACCTTTGGCCACTTGTAGTGCTTAAAACCCGCTGTTAACGGTTTAAAAAACCCAACAACAAGTGGCCGCCAGTCAGCCAGTCAGCGGTTTCATTGTCATTCGCATTGTGCGTAATTAGCATTTCAAGAAATACAAAAACATTTTTTGTATATTAATTAAATTACAAAACAGAGCGGAGAGCCGAAGAGAGTCGTCGTTAGAAATAAAGCATTGGCATTGTGTTTCTCAGTGCGATCGTGTGGGTCTATCTCATTGAAATACAGCACAGCTTTTGTTTTGTTTTCTGTTTTCTGTTTTCTGTTTCTGTCTTCTGTTTTGTTCGAAGAAAAAGCTCGGCCAGCAAAATTATGGCCAAGGTCGGACGTAAAAAGTTCTTGTAATTACTCCAGCTGAATTTCAGTCTGTCCCCTCCCTCTTTTTATTTATTTATTTACATTGCTCACTGCCACTTTTTGCTGGCGTTGGCCAAGTGTGTCTCTTTCTCTTTCATTGCCACCGTTTTCCACTGTTGCGGAGGTTATGGTCTGGCTTTGACTGAGGAAATTTTCATGCTTAAAGCAGCTCCAAGGTGGCCTTTTCGCGTCCCACTCTTTCCTGCAAAGAGAAAAACTTCATATAAGTTTCCAGAGAACAAATGTTCCTTGACTTGGATGCCAGTCTGTTTGGTGACTTTATAATCAGCTTAGTGTTGGCCCTGACTTTCTCAGTCCAAGTTTTTAATTATTTAAGAGGCAATCAAAAGCAGTTTTCGATTCGGAAATGGTGCGCCTGGAGACGAGGGATGGCAAGGTGATACGAGTGAACCTGGCTCTGCTCGAGCGATCCATTGTGATCCAGGCAATGTGCATCTTTGGTACGGATTCAGAGGACGATGACTATGTTCTTCCGCTGCAAGGCATCAACAGCGATGCCCTGCTGAAGATTCTTCTGTGGTCCCAGTACCACCAGGGACATCAGGAGCCCGCCTGGGTGAGCAAAGATGAAGCACTTCCCGCCGAGGAGATCGAAATCCAAACTTCAGACTGGGACAAGGAGTTCCTGCGTCTGGAGATCGACCTCGTTGTCGATATCATGGAGGGCTGTAACTATCTGGATATCTCCTGGCTCTATAAGCTCTGTGCCCATAAACTCGTTTTCCACAGTCGGCGCGAGCCAGTGACCCAGTTTGAAAAATATCTCGATAAGATTCCCTCTTTGACCGAGTTGCAGGCCCTCTTCACTGAACAACCCCTCATCCCTGAACAGCTCCTCATCACTGACAAGCCCCTCTAAGTATTCTGATTTCACTTTTGATGTCTTTCAAAATACAAATTTGGAGTCAGGGCTGCATTAAGTACTTTTGAATTTAATGAGACTGGAAAATAAACAGGGCATACGCAATGGATAAACGGCCACTAAAATCGCATCTATAATCTATTGGTGTTATAGCTTATAAATGATTTCTGATTCTGTGCCAATTTCCCTGTCTGATTTCGGAGATTTCCATATCTAGACCATGATTTTCCGGGTTGATTTCGTACCAAGTTCGTGTTGGCTGAGACATCGACCCCTTAGCCTTGCCGCAGCCACAGCATAAATGGTGCTGGCACAAAAAGGTGCCCCATAAACGACTTCGTCTCCGTTTTCCACTGCAATTAAAGTTGACACGCTACAGCAACAACAGCGACATGAAACACACCAACAACTTTGACGAGGCCCTTCAAATCCCAGCCGAGCATGAAAAAAGTGATGTAAAAAACCGACTTCTAGCCAACTGAGACATGCAAAACTTTATGAGAATATCGATTCGAATGAGTCAGCAGCTGGTTTTGTTTTATGTGCTGTCAGAAATGCAGAAAAATATGAGATATCCAAATGTTTGCTGGCCTATCAATTGCCGGCCAAATAAATTAAGCCTTTAATTGTGAAATCAAGAACGGTCTGTGGCACGATTTGTTGTTGTTGTGGTTTCCTGGGATCGTTGTCTCTTTTTTTTCGGCTACTGATCTACTCTTTTGGTTTTTGTCTGCTGTGGCCTGCTCTCTGTCACGGTTTCGAGGTTTGCTTTATTTTTATTTTAATCATTTTCTGAGCTTGAGTTCTCAGGTCACGTTCTCCCCGCTGATTTTCTGAGTTCCTGTGTGCCAGTGTGTGTGTGTTGCGTGGGGTTGTAGGAAAATCAGGGGAATGTCAGTGAATGAGTAATTGCTGGCTGATTAAAAGATTATGCAATCGCATGAAAAAGTTCAGTGCTGGAGTGGAAAAAGACGATAGCTTTGTTCATTGCCATCAGAATTTTTCATCAAAAGATAATTAAGTACTTATCACAATGAGATCACTTCATCAGCTTAACTCTTATGTTAATCATGAACTCAATCATTTTCTTATTGGGTCTTCAGGCATTTGCCTTGCCTTTTTCACCCACATTGGCCCAAAATTAGACACAACCCCTTCGAGCCGTGTCGAAGGTGTCGTAACACCCTGAACTTTTCACACTTTGTTAATCGCTGGCATAAACACAAAATTCCGAAAATGAGAAAACTTAAAACCAGAAAATTTAACGTCGACAGAAGCGGTTGCTAATTTCCGCCGCTTGTCAGCCGCAGCGACAAGGTCAACACACCCAGCCCAAGGAAATGGAAGGAAAAGAGACGAACGCCGACGAGTTCGCAGTTTAGTCGATGGTTAACAATCCGCAACCCAAACCCAAACGCAAAGCCAAGCCAAAAGTGCCAAAATCATCAAAAACCATGGCTTTTGCGAGTGAATAATTTCTTTGTATGCGACTGACTGACTGCGCGAAAGGTCGAGTGACACTCTTTCGAGCGTCTGCCGCTGTTGACTTTGACCGGCTGGGAAAAGAGGGGAAAACAATTGCCCAACAAACAACGTTTGGCCGCAGCTCGCCATAAACAGTGTATTGGCCTCAGCCAGAGCCAATTTGAAGCACACTTTTTGCGTTAATATGGCGGCTACACCTTTTACTTTGACTTGACTCTGATTGCACTTGCTAGCCACCGCCACCGCCATCGAAGTCCCAGTCGTTGTCATGCCGGTTATAGCTTTATACGCCGTACACCGGGCGTATGAGTAATCTCGCACAATTTCAGTAATTGCCCGCGCACCAGCAGCCCCAGTAAACATCAGCCAGCAACCCAGCTAGCCATACAAATTACGATCAGCGCAAATTTCACAATATCCGTCATTGCACTCGGCGAAAACCGAAAATAAAATCAAACTTAAGCTTGGACAAATGGCTGGGTAAACAGCAACTTAATGGCAACTGCCAACCAATCGAACCGAATGACAATTTCTGCTAGGGCTGGATTTGCTTGGCTTAGTATCTAGATTCAGTTTAGTTCTTGATAAACTAAGCTGTGGGTCTCGTTGAGCAATATGATATTAATTACAGTCTAAGAAGTAATCTACCAGGTAGAATGATTACCATTCTAATTAATATTTTCCATTTGAAAACAACATTAATAACAATCATTTATGTGGTTACCAATAAACAGTGATTGAAAAGTCATTTTATATATAAAAGATTGATTGGTAATATCCAAGAATAATGGCTCTTTTCAAGAATTATTTAATAAAAACGATTTGCCAAAATTAAACTCGTAATTATTCTCCCTGCTGATTATCTGCAATTAAGTGTCCGCCATTTTCTGTGTTGTTTTTGTCAAGTTTTCCACTTCTTTCAACACCTTTCGAGTTGTTGTTTCCGATGCCTATCAATGATTTACATAATGTTCGAGCCATTTTGGGTCTTTAAGCGAGTTTTCCGGCTAAGAAGCTGGGAACCTTTGGCAACCCTGGCTCTCCAATCGCTGCTGGTGATCTTGTTCATTGGATGCCGCCTTTTTTGCATAATTCGTAATTGCTGATCGTAGTTTTTTCACTCTCATTTGTTTTTAATTGCGATTAATTGGCCACAAGGGCCAGAGAGCTAAGTGTTGATTGGTGTTTGGGTGTGGTCACAGAGCCAGGGGATTTGCATACTGCGGCGAGAGGAAAGGCCATCAAGAATAATTGTAAATGGCTGCAGGTGCAAAACTTTCCAAATGTGGCCAGCCAAGAGCCCTAAAGCCGGGGATTGCACTCCACTCGGCTCGAATCGAGTCGCCACAATTGCACTCGAGTGGCAAACTCAACGCCTCATCGAAAGAGTAGCTGTTTGCGTGTGTTTTCCTTTCTCAAGCCTCAGTTTCACTTTCAATGGGGCGACGACGACGACGACGACGACGACGACGACGTCGACGACGATGGCAAAAGTTGCTCAATGCGACCCCAAACAGCTGGCTCCTGTTGACTGTTTGCCGTTTGCTGTTGGCCAGGTTGTCTGTGGTCGAAAACACGTTTCAAATGAAAGTAAAAACTCTTTGGCATTGTGCCGAGTCGAGCTGAGCAGAGTCTGAGTCTCTGAGTTAAGCGTCTGGTTTTTCTTCTGGCGTTTGTTCACCTGCCCGGCCAACTTTCCGCTTGGATTTCAATTATAAAAGAATTATCAAGCTCGACTTACGGTTATGCCCGGCAGTGTCATCATCGTCCAGCACCTCACTTAACTGTAAAAGTGAGTCTTGTACTTTGGCCAAGACAACTGGCTATCTTGTTAGCCTTCGTCTTGGTCTGCCTTCTTTTTCCGTTTGCTTCTTTTTCGGCCGTTTCTTGTCCGGCGCTGTCGTCATTTGCTGTAATTCCATTTCTGACTCATTTTAGGCCATTTCGGGCAAAATAAATGCAAGAAATTTGCCTAAATTGCAGACCGCTCGCTGGCAGCAAGTTCGTTGCCTGAGTCTTTTGTTTTTGCGCCTGCGTCTTGGACGTTGTTTAAGGAAATTCTACTCTAGCTTTGACCCTGTAACAGATCTTGTTTTTGGCTTGCTGCTGCTGCTGATTGGATTGCAAGTGAGATGCAGATTTGGCAGATAAATAAAACGGAAATGCATTTGATTGATGCAGAATGTCAGTTAGAACGGAATGCCAACTAAGCAGATAGTTCAAATAACTTATTCAGAAGCTATTTTAACCACTTCACTTATAAAAATAGACTCGCTTCGGAGTTGCCAGTCCATTCTTTGAGGCTGAGCAAACTGAATGGAAGAATACAACAATACCACACAGATTAAAAGTCCATTAATAACAATATAAAATTAATTTGATTTTAATTGAAATTCGCAATTATGGCCATCACACAATGTGCTTATAAAGAAAAAGTTTACACGCAACTCGGCTAAGATTGCTATACGATATTTGTTTCTGCTTCTTGTTTTCGATTCAATTCGATTCGATTCGTTCGGTTTGATTCGGAAATACTTAAATACATGTGTGTCTGCACACAATAAATAAATCTATCAAACGCCGCATTGACCCTGACCCAGTTAGCGAAGATACTCAAAACCCAGCCGAGCTTGGATTTGGCTTTGGCCCGGGCTTAGTCGTTAATCTCCAGATAGCTCTTGAGGGTCCAATGCAAACACGAACCGACCAAGAGCAGGCCCAAGAGAGAGCACCGACGCGGCTTGGCGAACGCAAACACTCGATTATTGCATTGAATTATTGATAATTTTTCAATTATCCAATATCCATTATCCATTATCCATTATCCATCTGACAATTGCTACAATTTGTTGTCATTGCCCACGGCAACTAACCTGAATTCGTTTTCCCTCTCTCTCCCATTTCCAGTTGCACAAACGTATGTCGCCGGAGCAGCTGCAGTCAGTCTTCCACGTGGACACCCACGATGCAGTGCCCCACTACGAGCTCGTCCAGCTATTGCACCATGAAAACCACAACTACAACCACCAGCGGCGGCGGCGCAGCATTGGCGAGAGGCCAAAGGTCAACCCCACCGTTCCGCCACACCACGTGAAAAAGGATCTCAGCAAGAATGCCTACTACAGCGAGCTGAAGCACGAGGCCATGTCCTCGGGCGGCAACCACCTGTTCGGGCCGGAAGTGAGTGCCATCAAGTCGCACAACGTGTCCTTCAGCGCCTTTGGCCAGCACATGAACCTCAGCCTGCGCGCCACCCAAGGACTCTTCAAGGGTGCGCCCCACCAGCTGCGCATGTGGACGGTGGGCAGTGAACCCAGCGCCACCCATGGCCTTGACCTCCAGGAGATTGCCCACGAAGAGGTGAGTTAAATTACTGGGGAAATTATTGATAAGTGATGGTTGAACATCAAGAAAAAGAAGGAAATTTTTTAAGATTTTTTAACTTAGAAGCTTAGCTCAAGATGGCTACATCCTTACTTCATGGGGTTCGGATTCTGTAATATTCACATTTATTGCTTGTTATTTCTTAATAATAGACTAATAATGCCTCTCATGAGCAATCTTAGATAACATAACCCTCTCCTATGCCCATTTTAGTTGATTTTCCAAAAATTATTCACCTTTGATTGGCCCTCGTATTTATGTCATATTTTTTCCTGCCCTAAATTGGCGCTTTGTTGCACACATTTTCCTTACAAGTCTTTCTTTTACTGCACTTTCATTGGTTACATCATAACGTAATGTGAAAAAATCACAACTTTGGTTTTTGTTGCGTTTCGGTTTTGTACGTTTTCTGATTTGCTGATTCGCCATACTTCCGCTTGGGGTAGGCAGATATTTTGTTTCAGCCTTTATCGGCACTTCTCTTTGGGCTTTTATAAACTGTTTTTGCTTTGCCTGGCTTTGTTTTATTTTTATTTATACTTCACCGCTCTGGTTAGTAGTTACTGGCTTTGCTTTTATACGTATCTAATCACAGATAATTGGCCACGTGATAAAAAGATTTTCTTTTATTTACACAAACACTTTTGAGCTCGCATTTAATTGCATTTCTTTGTTGGGCATTGCGAGCGAGAAAAGTAATCACGAACACGTCGGAAAATCTGGCTTAAAGTCAAGGACGGACGGAAATCAGCTTAAGAGTTTGATTGCAATATGTAACGGGCTTAAAGGCTTAACCTTTGTGTTTGGATCAAGTTAAAAATACAGAAATAACAATTGGCTGAAAGTATAAATATTTACCATTTCCACCCGCAAGTTCCAATAAAATTCAGTTAGTTGGGCTGAGCCGTGAACGTGACTCTTTTGTAATTACCAATAAAGTTCACTTTCTTTTGGCTTGTTTGTGTGTATAATTTAATTTTCCCATTTAACCATTATTCATGTTGTTTCTTCGCCACTGTGACGGGCGGTGGGCGTGTTCCTTGCCTACGAAGTACAATCAATTGATCGCACTTTAAATTACGAGTTTTATATTCGGCGGATATGAACGTTGGCGGGGGAGGAGGGAGAGCAAACACGGCATAATTTTGAATGCAAGACACAACACTTCGGAAATGAAAGTGAAATGTCATGTCAGGCGACAGCCGAAAAAGAAATGAACTCGGCGACTCGAACTCTTATGTCTTTGGACTTGGCCAACTGTGGAGCTTTTCAGCTTCTTGTTTTTGCCTTTTCTGTGATTTATGTGTGATAATTTAAGTTTTTAAGCCCCTTGGACTGCGAAATGCGGAAAGATTCGTTTGACTTTTCCTTAATTTCTTGGTGGTTTGGTGGGGGACTTTGTCTTCACTTTTAATTAAAATCCACATAAGCTGCTGCAGTATTTTTGGGCATTTTCCGCGCAAGATTGAGTAACCCACGCAAAGGCATTTTCCCCCTTGAATCTTGTGACTTGGCAATTATTTTTGTTTTCCGTTTTTTTTTTTTTTTCACTAATGCCACAAACAAATGGCCTCAAGATATAGACCACATAACTACAACAATTTCGATGTTTTCTATGTCGGATTTTGGTTTTTGTTTTTTTGGTAATGCGCGGCACTTTGTCAGAGACCTTCCATCGGCAGTCGAAGGAAACAAAAAACGCTATGAAAAGGCATTTATTCTAATTTCTGACATTCTGTATCTATTTTTTTTTGTATGCCTTATTGTTTGGCAACCGCAAAAGTACCGAAAAATCATTTTCCATTGATACCCGGTCTGAAGAACTGACCCCGATTCGTTTTTTATTCAGACAAAAAACTATTCAGATCGAGGGAAAATGTTGCGTTTTTTCGAGTTTGATTGGAAATTAAAATTAAATTATAAAATACACGAGAAACCATCGAAAACTGCAATCTCTTTTCGCTCTGAAGTGAAAATTTCTCTGTTTAACTTTGAAGGTGGAAACCTTGTTTCGTGCTGTCTTTTTCACCCCGACGTTTCAGTTCAGATCCAAGGCATGCCAAGGAATTAAAAGGCAAACACAAGGCGGTGCTCGGCACTCCCACTGCCGCATTCGATCGATGAAGGCGATAGGCCCCACTCAAAGGTCAGTGCAGCCGCAAAATACCAGAAATGAGGCGAAATGAAAACAAAAGTCGCACAGGTCTCTTGAAATAATGGAAATGGCTGAAAGGGGGAGCGCTAAATCAAGTAAATGGGATTTCTGTACCAGAAGTTGTGGGTAACCATGATTAGTGTGGGTAGAAAAACTCGGAAAATGTATACAAATTTTATATAAACTTTTGTGATTTAAAGAATTAGCCAGGATTGGCTTATTCACACGAACCAAATGGTAAATAGTATGAGGTCACCTTTACAAACTCAATCAGAAAAGCAATATGGCTAAAACCGAAATACCTCTGATTGTATTTGCCCAACTTCCCCATTTGGTTGGGCCATAAAAACAGAAGGCAACTGATCCGGGTTTACATGAAGTGCCCAATGTGCTGCGATACCGATCTGCAATAGACAGTAGACTTTGACCAATTGCTCGTGGATCATGGAGCATGGATCAAAGACTGTGGTGAGAAGAACAATCCCCTTCGGCTAAGGCTTGGCCACCTGCCAGCTCGGGATGTCGAGGCTCGACAATTACCATAAAGTGGAGCCGCAAACGAAGGACTTAGGCAACGAACGCGGGCATTAAGCGAGCATTAGTCATTCCACCCCCCAGCCGCTTTCGATATGTACGAATATCTCCCACCAGTCGAAGGAAAACTGAAAGCAAACTAATTAAGTTTTCAAAATGCATTTTTGATGGGTGCTAACGCGAAGTGCATAATTAAAAAATAGTGTGTGCACTGCCTAGAGTCGGCAGTAATGAAACTGTAAAAGCATTTGCTGCATGCCACACATTTGCTGAATGCTGCCGCGCTGCACTCGTTTCACAAGACGCAAAATTGTATCTTGTCATTGCAAAACGATTCCAACTTGTTGTCGGCGGCGGAGAAGCATGATTAATGAGCTGGCCGATTTGGCAGCTGAATGAATTCGAAATTAGCTCACTATGTCCCACTCTCTCTCGCTCCGTTTTTTGGTCTATCTATTTTTTTTTTCAAATGCGCGGGCGATGCAAGTTGCGATTCCGCAAAAAATAAAATAAAAAAAATGAGACGAAAAAAAAGCATGAGGGGTAGCAGGAAAACGTTGCGGCTTAGAAAGCAGTTCGGGCTGCATTTCGCTGGCTCTCCCGCGTTTTTCTGCGGCTGCAATCGGTTGCATAAGGCCGTAAGTTGCCACGGCCTGACAGTTTCTGTGGTTGTTGTTATGCTCATGTTGCAGTTATTGTTAACGCCGAGCGGCATGTTGCTTTGTAGCCCGCAACAAGTTGGCCTGATCGTTCCCTTTCAGCAGTCATTAGGGATAGGAAACGAGGAACTGTCCAGCTACTAGCTATGTGCCTGAATCTAACAGCTCAATGGGTCACATAATTGGCCGAATAATGGACAAATAATGGCCAGATCCAGCCTTGGCATTGTCTTGGAACCAAAGGCAAACTGCCATCAACAAATCCAGTTCGACGCGACTCATACATACAATGCATAATGGTGCGTAATAAACAAGCCAACTGCCAAAGCAAATCAGCCGACAAACACACACGCATGGCTCAAACCAAAGTTATTATTATGCGCAGCTCGAATGCGGCCAATGCGGCGTATGCGTAACGACGCCAAACAAATCAGCGGGCAAACAAAATAAACCAACAAATGGAACGAACCGACAAAAAGCGACGCCCACACGTCGTCTAATGCGTTAATTGTCGGTTAACTTGGCTAAATGGCTCGTGGATTTACGGTGCGTACTCACTGAAAGACCGTGTGGGATCTTGCCTTTACCATATACCATTTACCATTTACCATTTACCATTTAGCATTTGAAAAGTTAGACTTTCATTTGCCTTCCATTTCGAACAATGGCAAATCATCGTCTTCTTGTCGGGTTAAGGGCCTGAGACTAATGCCTTAACCTTCTTCTCGCCTCGCCACCAACAACAACCGAGAGAGTTCAGAGGCTAATTTTCACTTTGCCAAGTTCGTCGCTCCGGGTCATTTGTGTCTTTCTTCTTTCAACTTTTCGGCTTAATTTGCATAACAAAATTGCCAAAGAAAGAGCCAAAGAAAATGGGCTAAAAAGTTTCAGCCAGGAAGTTGTTAAGACTTCGGGCTTTTACTTTCGTTTTTGGATTTTTAGGTGGCACAGTGCTGAAGTCGGGGCTGGGCTTTGAAGGGCTTTCTACACTTTAGTTAAGAGATCCTTTGAATTGCTCAGTGCATGATTAGAGAGTTGTAGTTTTTCTAAAGATTCTGTTGCCCAAACAACTTCACGAGTAGGCAGTAGCCCCTCCTTTCACCAACCTTTCTCTGGGCAAGCCGAAACCAGTCATCAAATATGGTTTAGGCTGAGAGAGGAACAAAGTAATAGACAAAAATCAAAGCAAGACCCTTGGGGCAGCCGAGAAATTCATTTCTTACGTAAGACAAAAAGTTGCATTCAAACAAAAAGTCACAAGACATTCCGGCCAGAGCCTAATCTCCGCAAAGAGATCTGCATAATGTCTTGTAGCCATTTGTAATTAAAAAATTTACGGCGCCATAAATAAAAAAAAGTGTATATAGATATGTATATGGTTCGGTGCAGTGGAAATGGAATCGAAGTGAAAAAATGCGCGACAGCTAACAATTTACAATTTGCAAGTCAACTAATTAAAACTGCGGCCGAGAGAGAGAGAACAAAGTACTGCAAGTCGAAATGAGAACAGCAATTGTCAATGGGTCCATGTCCATGTCCATGCAAAGTGGAGTCAAGAGCAAACAGAGCTGCGGTATAAGTGGCCCACTGACAGTTCATAAATAGTATATGGCCAAAACACTTGGCCAGGCTCCAAGCGTTGACAACTCGAGTCTCTGAATCGGATTTGGATTCGGATTTGGACTCGGATCCATGGTAGCCGAAATACGTGTGGTGGCGTGGGGGTCGCCACTTGCCACTTGTTGCTTTGAACTTATTTTTCCACAAGGTCGCCGTGTCCAACTAGCAAATACAACAGCAACAACAACGAGTACAACAACCAACCGGCGACAGCGACAGCAACAACGAATTAAGCCATAAATGCCTGCTGCACATGAAAAATTTGAGTGTATTTCGAGCTGTTTGTTGTTGTTGCTGTTGCGTGTCCGCACGCTTGGCGGTCATTTAGCCAACTCAACAAACTTAGCCAAGACCCCGCCCCGTTCTGGACAGCTCAGTAATTCGATCGGAGCGATAAATAATTGCTCTGTTCTGGTGAATTCCTGGGAACCCCAAACATTTTAAACTAATATTTTTCATGGGAGTTTATTAATTTTATTATATTAAAAAACTATTAGCCTGAAGATGTAAAAATCTTTATTTTTTATAGACCACATTTATTGATTTTTCATTGAGATATAAAAGTAGATTTTAAGATCTCACTGCTGTCCTCATAGCAACATGTTAATGGCCTGAACTTGCTTCTTTTAAGACCAATCAAGCAGTTTTAATAGGCCCCCAAGCTCATCAGACGAATCTAGATAAACTTCTGGCCGACAGCTCCCATCAAGCCAAAGGCCAATGGCTCTGACTCTGGTCTTAAGATGCTTTTTGGCACTTGACTTACTTTGATGCATACGAGTACGCATACGAACTGCCATTTATTGCTCCGATTAGTAACTGTATATTTTTGGACTTGGACGGGGGCAGTTATGATTTATGCCTGTAATTTGATAGAGTGCCGGCACGACAACTTTTTGAGACTCGGACGCGGTCCAATGCCAAATGCTATGGCCGATGTCAAGTGTCAGATTACATTTATTTCGATATTTATTACAGAACTCAATTCAATTGAATGGAACCGAACCGAATCGAATCGAAACGAAATGAATGGTCAGGTTACGCAGTGGCAATTAATTTAATTAGTTTGACCAAAGCGGGACTAGAGATAAGCCGTTGAAATTTAAACTTATGCTAATTCGAGACTAATATCCCCGGGGTATTTGCTCGCTGGCTGGCTGCCTTGAATTCCGAACACAAGAAAAACCCAAAACGAATGTCTATGTCACAGCATGGAAAAGCAGTTGGACATTGCCACTGGACAAACAAACTTTAAATCGAAACCGAAACAGAAACTAGAGCAGTTGGCCAAATGTCAGAAGCTTAAGCTTTAAGCCGGGCCAGCAGCACTGTTTTCATGGTCAGTCTAAAGTCTGCAGCGGCAGTGTCAGCGGCACACACGGCGTATGAGTGACGTGCATGCTGAGGCGTCACATTTGCCAACCGCGAGCATAAATCAAAGCTCAGTTTACCGCTACAGCTTTGTGCTGCCCCACGCTCCTCACTAAGTGCCCAAGTCCTCCTACCTCGGCCACCTTTTTCTAGCCAGCCAAAGTTGCATTTAATTAAATTTACCCGCTAACCACGCGTTTTGTCTTGGTCAACTCAGCTGTGGTGGCCACAGAAATATACATTTGTTAAACCAAGAAAAAACACAAAACGAAAATTGCTTTAAATTTTTAGTTATGGCCAGCTGCGGCTCTAGCCGCGCCGCGTATTTGTTTTACATCTCTCGGAATGTGCGGAATTTAGACCCGTAAAAATGTAAAATGGATATTTAATTGCATTTTTAAACAAATTATATTTTACCACCGCGGAGCTGTCTAACATTTATTAAGGTTATATGTTTTGATTAGAAGAAGTTATAGCTTTGCTTTATGGATATTTTGATATGAATCGATAAATTGCATTTAATCTGTAATTATAATCATAAATCGATCTTAAATACTTATTCTTAATAATATATTGTCTCTAACTTTACATCTTAACTAACTGCATTTTGTTCTTGCACCTTCCAGCACCACAGGAATGAAGTGGGAGAAGTCTTTCAGGATGAGAAGAACATGGCTGCGATCTTGATGCGGCGCCACATGCAAACAGGCGACCTGATAATGGTAAGTGGTCCCAGTCCCACCCACCTTGCAAGGTCATCCGCCGTGTTGTACGGCAATCAATGGACGTGCCCCAAGAATTTCAATTAGCGCAGACCATTAATGCTTGTTCTCGGCGTTGTTACCGTTTCTGCAACCAACTCAGATTCAGATTTAGAATCAGAATCAGTTTCTGTTCTTGTTCTATGCGGCTTGTTGTTATGACAGACGGCCATTGTTATGGTCAGTTTTGGAGTCGGACATGCCGGCCATGTTAACTGCTGGCTGTCGCACATTTCAATTTGCCCGACTGCGTCTGTGTCTGTGTGCGGGGCATTACAATTAAACGCCCGTTGATCGGATATTCAGAACGATGGCGGATAATTTGCGGATTTAGACAATTTCTGCTGATTAAGAATTAATTTATCGCCGCAAAAGCGTTCTGGCCAAATCGGCAGCTGTACATGTAAATGGCAGCGTGAAAAGCCAAACCAAAATTCAGGGTCGACTAATGGATACCCCAGCCAAGTGCCAATTTGCCTGATTTCTATAGTGGTTTTAGAATTTCGGATAATTCTTATAATTAACTTAACAGTTTTAAAGTGTCAAAAATAACTTGTAACACTTGACTGCCCAGAATACCCTTTTGATTTTGATTTCACAAAACTGCTGTTCTCGCCGAGCACCTTGGTCCAATTTGACAGGAGTGAAAACTGCGATGGCGTATGGGCGATAAAGCCAAGATATATTGCATTAGGCCATAAATGTTCATGTCGCTAGAACAAATACAACCGTTTAGGTGGCCAGATATGCTTAGAGAACAGCCCAGATAACTGGGGGCCTTGGCAAACGGTCGGTCTGACCTCCAACCGCAACAATGGCAAGAATATTCTTAATCGCTGAATTTAGTTCAGCTCTTTTCGTTTATTAATACTGCAAAATTGCAATTATTTTACCATTTCCTCACCGACAATCATCAAGGTTGCCATAAGTCTCGGCATTTCTGTTAATGCTTTAATTTAATATCCAATTTTTATTCGGCTGCCGTTTAACTAGCATCAGATATCTTCTGATGACGTTCAATTTAAAGACAATTGGCAATTAACATTACGCGAGCGGAAATGGAACCCAATGTGCAGGAACAAGTTTTGGCATGGAGGAATGGAGGAAGTCTGCCTTAATTGCCGGCCATTGTGTGTGCGATCTTTTCTCTTCCATGGCTTTCATGGCGAATGGAAATTGAGCTCGGGTTGGTCTGGTTGGTCTGGTGGGAAAAAGAACCGAAAGAAGGAAACCTTTTGAGCTTGGCCTGCATGGAGAATTGCACAAGCAAATGTCACAATTCAAGCAAATTAATAATCAGCTGGCCAAACGGACTAGCAAATAAGCGACGGAATCAGAAAACAGCCAACAAATATTGGCAGGCAATAAGGTCAATAAACAAGCAGCATGGACAAAAGTCTTGGGGCCGCCGCTCCGTTCGGGGTCTTTATTTTTGGCAATTTTTGTGATTCGCTGACGTCTGCTTGGATTTAATTTGTTAAACAAAAAGTCAGATAGGAAAAAATGTATTTTTGATAATAATTACAGACAGCCAATAAAAGGTCAAACAGCAATGTCTGGCCCGGTCTGACTTGACCGACTTGTTATGGCCAAGTGCGCCGCCGCTGCACCGCCATCGACCGACAAACAGAAGAATTCATAAATAATATGTAGAAAATAGCCAGCTCACATGTGAGCATGAAAAATGTTTGCTGCCTGACATTTCGAGGCGCAAAGCCGGCGAAAAGTTTCGCAATTGGCCAAAAAGCACTGGACGCAGCTGTGCTGGCCAAATCCAATGGGTCTTCCGGCTTCGGTTTTGACCTTAAACGGACGGGCTATGAAACCTCTCTCGCCATCAAGATGCCGCTGCCAACTTGTAATTAACAAGAAGTCGAAGATGGCTAAGGCGGCGATAGTTGCGTAAGACTTCTGGCCCGCTTTTTTGGTACACTATCCAAACAATGTCGGCAATTTAACAGCCTGCCAGCTCCTCCCCACTAAGCCACATTTATGGCCTTTAATTAGGTCCACCAAAAGAGTGACGACCATAAAAATGTGCGTCTTACATAAAATAACTACTGGCTCTGACCAGGCGAAAGACGAAACATATTTAAAGTATTCTGGTACAGTGGATTAGATTTGTGTTTTCGTTTATGGCTTTCGAAAACTGGCTATATCAAAGAACATATCCATTAACATAAATCTGTATTATAGGCTGTAAAAACGATGTCAAAATGTAATATCATGAAAACCTCCTCTCAGACATTCATTAAGTTTTTTTTATTTAGTAACAACTCGGATTTTGGCGATCCACTGTACGAAAGACTCAAGACACGAACTGCTTTTGGGCCATTGCAAAACTTTTTCAAAGGAAATTTCAAGCCCACGTTGTTTTTGTCGGCGATTTAATTTAATTACAGCTTACCCAAGAGTAGACTTACACGCACTATTCGATCAGATATCTAGTTTCTTGTTTCTTACAATGGCCTGGCAGCTCAAAAAATGTTTCTTTTTTTCGAAATAAGTTCGTCTGCAACCTTTGAATAAACTTCATTAGTCAGTTTGGAATTTAAAGGTTCTTCACGAGCCTCGATCGAAGCGATTCCCACCATCAGCTGGTTGGTTACTTGAAAAAGATGCATCCCAAAAGCAAAGTTATTCATCATCAAAGTCTTTGTGGGAAACGAAGACCGAAAATCGAATGTGATTTAATATGTACATGTCAGAGGTTGAAGGTCGCCTCGAATGCCCTTAGACGACCTGGACTTGAACGTCGGCTTGAGTCCGGGGTCCATTATCGGCGCCACCCACTGCCAGTCGCGGTAATGTATCCAAATTTGACCCAATCAATGTTGACATTGACTCGTAATTTCACACAGAGAAGCACTTACATGCGAATATTAATTTCACGGCCAATTAGCCTCAGCGTCTGAGCCTTGTTTCTTGGCCAAAACGAATAGTTCCAAAAATTGATGACATCCATTTCGGAGATGGCTAATTGTTTAAGCCAATTACATTAGCCTCCCCTTCTGGAAATTTATCAAAACGAAACGAGCTCAAGGGAACCAGACAGGCCAGGCAAATTGTAATCATTTGTCTCTTACTCTTCTTGGCCCGCAGTGTTTACGGTCATTTGTTTATGCACTTGAATAAATAAAGTATTTTTTACGAGTGAGGGGTGGTTGGGGGGGGTGGGGGGTTGCGGTAACCAAGCTTGATTAATGCTAATTGCGGCCAACGTCAGTCAAATCCAAAAAGGCGATGCGTGCGGCCGCTGATGAATTGGATGCAGGTGATGTATGCATCTGATGTCGGAGCTTCGACTGCTAATTACCCGCTGCTCTGAAAAGTTTGGCCCTGAAACTGAAGACAAATCCACGAAGTGCACGCCACGAAATGCATTTCGGCCACCTTTCATAATAAGAGAGTGGCTTACGTAAGGGCAATTATGCAGCACTCGTGATATGCATCTCTCTATTAATGACTTTTCAAAACCCTTGGGTAAGGTGCGCAGCCAGGTAAAAGTATCTTCAGTTAGTTAAGCTGAATGTGAGCGATTAGAGGGGCACTGGTACAATATGCCTTTGATTGTGGATGGCCTCTGCATTCTTTTTTCCTAGCAATGTTGTAACCTTTTGGTATTCAGTTAGTCACTCATCTTGGGGCGCCTTAACTTTAGTTACTGAATAGTAATAATATTTGGGGACTATTTAACCCCTGCTGATTGAACTTTGTCAGTCACACCTTCCGGCACACTCCCCGTTTATGCGATTTGCCCTTTTTTCAAGCCGCTTGGCATTTGACAGCATTTGAAATATCAATATGTGTCTTGCCATTTGAGCCAACAGATGGCAACAACAATGGAAAGAAACAACAAACAGAATTATTATTAGGTAGCACTGGCGACATTTGGACACGGCTCTCAGCATTTCGGCCAACTCTATTAGACGGCAATCGCGGCGTCATCATTAAGCAACATTCATGTCCAAAGTGCCAAACAAGTTTTTATTCGTCCCGCGAGAGCTTCTTCGCAGCCAAAGTCTTCTCACCTTCCCAACTAATTGCTAGCCTTGATATTTACAAAGAGTTCACAGTATGCATAAATGTGTATTCGATAGTTGCTCTTCTTGAGTGGAAATTCTATATCTAAATACCGGCTGACCGCTGATTTGATTTGCATTTGCCATGCCGCGGCAGCAACATCATCATCATCTGGTGTTGGGATTGCACAATTTATGGGACAAAGTCGCCACAGTTGGCTGTGGCTTGACATTCAGGCGGGAGAATTGCAATTTATGCGCCGACGACATTTACAAATGTTATACAATTTGATGGCTATATTCGATTCGACTTTTGGCTGATTAAAGCCGAAACTTTCAAGCCACTTGATCCGGCTCGGTTCTGGCCATTGGGCAATGAGTCTCGGCTTGAGCCAAATCAATGCAAAATAGTTTTGCAAATTGGTATGGATACCCCGCCCTGATATATATACTATATACAAATATAGTAAATCGCTTTTTGCGGACGACACAACCCCCAACTGACGAGTTTGTTGCTTAAGTCTTTCGTGTTTTAATTTCGGTTACTCGATAGCCGCAAGGAACTCGGCCTGGCTCACTTCACTTGTCCAAAAGGAAAACCAAAGTGAAACTAAATCGAGTCGACATAACAACGAGCGTGTTACCAATATTCATAAGTGCTGGGCGGCAGGCCGACAACTTTGGTTAGCAGCTCATATGCAGATCTGTGGATCTGGAGACTAAGTGTCGGGAACCAGAGATGGCAGCGTGACACGATCTCACTGCTATTCATCACGATATCAGCTCTACGAACGTCACGCATGCCCCGAATACAAAGGATTAAATACCGCCAATGAAAACGTTTTTCAATTATACCCTGCTGTTCATATTATTTAATCAAAATGCACATTTTCCCGTTTTTTTTTATTTTTTGTATTTCGGGTGATGGCCGCAATTTCCTTGTGAAAAATGTTTTTTAATTGGTGCAACGCGGTGTGGCAAGCCACCAGTTGATAACAACATTTCTGGCGGGTGCCGTTCCAAGACTTTAGCCGCATATTGCATTTTAATAAACGGCCATATCGGTTACGTCAAGGCATACACAAACATATCTTTGATCACAGTATACTATTTTTCGGGAAGGGGAAGGGGCGAACGAGAGCTGGGCACGAGTCTGAAATTTTCACGCTTAAGATAGTTAAATTTGGTAGTTGGCTGCTGATGGGGATTCAATTTGGGGCTTTGGTGTCCGTCAGGGGATCCAATTTCAATTAAGCCGATTAATCGATGGAAAACGAAAGGCGACTGTCATTAATCAAGACCCAAAGAAATTGAGACCAGTTATTAGAAATCTATATGGCTTCAAAAATAAGATAGTAAAAATGAATCATCTCCTTGGGAAAAATGAAACCCAAGAACTTCAGTTCGGTGGCCAAACATTTAGATCCAGATAAGATTGTGAGAAAGATTGATTCTTTGGTATCTGAGCGGCGGTCACACACCCAGTCCGTCAGCCTTGAGAGGCCTTCACTTCTGAGACACTTCTAAGTGCAAGGATAACCTGCGATCAGTCACTCAAACCCGATTGTGATGTTGATGTCGATGTCGACTCCACTTGACTTTGACATGCGACTCGAACTTCATTAGGCCGGGTCCATACGCCTGCCTGGCTACCTACCCACTTACTCCTCGTACTCTACTAACAGAACGGAGTTATTGGAGCGGCAACTTGAAAGATCTCCCCCTTCGCATTGAACTTGCTGCTGCCACTGCCAACGCACCAAACATCAGAACAAATTATACCAAAAAAAGTTGGCGAGAAACCGAAAAAGACATGGCAAAGTGCGTTCTAGTGGCAGATACATTTTGTGAGCAAATTAATTTTGATTGCTGGTGATTGCAGTCGACCGAGAACCGCTGTGTGGGCCAGGTTCTGTAGCCATTATCCATTATCCATTGGCCATTGGCCACTAACCACTGACCATGGGCGGTGGCCACTGCCGTTCGGCTGATTTTTATTCTTTGGTAGATATAAATATTCATTGACCAGCCGGAGCCACAGATACAGATTCAGATTCAGAATCAGAAACAGAATCCAGCATCGAGTGGGCTGCCTGAAGGTGGGTTCGGAATATTTTTAACGAGCTGCTTTATGTAAACAAACTGTTAACACGGCAGGTATCTCTCACCAACACCAGTATCGGTTCTTGTTCTCATTGTCGATTCTCGATTGTCGGCAATGTAGTTTACGACTACATGCACTCGCATTGAACAGCGATCTTAAGAGCCGATTAGATTTAACCTTGACCAAGATGATAACCGAAAAACAGTAATAAAATACAAAAAACTACGCAGGCACACCTCTAAACGCATTTCCATTGGTCTTTATGCTATGCTCGAAAAGAGCAACATTATTTATTAAAATCAAGGTTTGTAGAGCGTCTGCTTAGCACTTCGAACGTGCGAGATTTTCATATGAATGACACCCAGATACGTTCGATTTGCATTTGAATTTGTTTTCTGGGGGATCACAGACAACTTCTTTTCCAATTAACATCCATTTTCTGGCCGCTCTGGGCAGTAACACCGCCGAGTTCATGACCATAATGATGATGATAGCCGCTCCAGCTCCAGCCCCAGCTCCTTCGAACGTTCGTGTCGTGAATTTGCACAAATTATGCTAATTTCCCAAAATTACAAACCGCAAAGTGATTTTTCGTATTGCTTTATTTGCTGCTGCTGCTGCTGCTGCTGCTGTGTTTCGGTGTCTGCCAATTTTAGCTATCTGCTATTTGCACATTCGAGCGCTTTGATGCTCTGGGCCTGGCCAAAAACCGAAATAAAAGACGGCAAAAACAAATACGAATAGGTGTTAATTTTGATTGTAAGTAAATTTGTGGTTCAGTGAACTCTTTTCTGGTGGCGTGTCACATTATGCAACCGCCGTTCGCTGATTATCTGCGATCATTGTGTAGGAATATTATAAAATGATTAACATTTAATTGAATAAAGGAAGGAGCGAACGAAAATATCATCACAAATCAATCAGGCTCATTGTCAGTTGATTTCAATCGCGCTGGGCGTTTCTGCAGGTGCCAATCAGAGCTGTCTATCTGCACTTGTTGGCAGTGTGTGAAAGGCTAAAAAAGCACCCGTAACCCGTAAACGTAACTCCAAATCAGCTATCTGCTCCTGCAGATATAACAATCGTGTTGTGGGTGATTACATAAACAAGACAACCCCGACTCGGACAACTTTATTTTGGACCAACCGAAAGCAGATACTCATAGCCAATGTATTTCGAAGTGTGTAAGCTGCGTGATTTGAAAGCAATTTGCTGTTTTCCCCCTCGCCACCTCATGCTTTTATCCCCCCGCTCCAGCTGATAGCGAACAACGTGTAATTGGCCTGGCAGCATTCGCCGACAGGTGGGAAATTATAAGGTCCATGATTATCGAAAAATATTTGGATCTTAATGCTGGCAAGGCAGCTTTGTGAATTCGAGAAGGAAATATTTTGTACAGATCAGATTGGGTTACTTATGTTACATAAGGTGACCTCATCTTAACATAGAATGTGTTTTAGTTTTGATATTTCGATCGTTTTTTACAGACTTAACGAAACCTACTTCTGATAGCATTTAATTCAGCAGATCAGATCCCTCTCTTTCATAGATCATTTACATTGAGGGGTTCAAATTTCACTTCCTTTCCATTTCGACAGATTCCCCATTCCCCAATACCCAAAGAGACAAGTAAAAGCTTTTTATTTCTGCCACAATTAAGAGGCAATTACTCGTCGTCAAGACTTTCAACACGTTTGCCAAGGCATATAAATCGTTTTTCGGTAATTTATTAATTGGTTTTTTCGCATAAATTGCGTTCAAGGCAAGGCGTGCCAAATTACAGGCTATCACAGTTGGGCAGTTACATAACACTTGTACCAGAACTCTAACTCTAACAGCGAGACAAACTTAAGTCGAGTAAACAAACACTAAGTAAGTTTGAATTCAGCACACGCCCAAAACGCCTTGGCTACGCTTAGTTTTTCTTGGCTTTTTAGTGGAAATGCGGAAAACTCAGCCAAAGTGGAACACGAAAAATTCGTTACTAGCATTCGTTTAACTGCCAAATGCCGAGAAAAATTGCAGCAAATGGCGTAAATTAAAAGATCTGCCAAATGGCAAATAAAACCAAAATCTGTAGCGGCACATGCAGAATTAATGATTATTTTAGTGGAAAGCGAAGAAACGAGAGGAAGCCAATGAAGTTGTTTGCTCAACTCGTTGACACCTTCTCTGCTGTCAACTGACTTTCAATGTGAATGCCAGGTTTTTATCGCGCACATTTATCATACGCACTGTGTGCCAAAAGCCATTTAAGTGTCGCTAACTCAAATATTGATCATAATTCAAGTGCCCAGCGATGCTGCAACGGGCGAAGAGAGTGGCTGCTCCAACAATTTCCAATCGCACTTCATTTGCATTTGTGCACTGTGAGAAAATGGGTTATGGTTTTATATATTAAGCTGAAAAATCAGAATTTCAAGAACTCCTTAAGTATTTCATTGCGTTCATCATTCAACAATATAGTTGAGTTTGAGAATCAGGCGATTTCTTGCAGTGCAGAGACTGCTTGGCCCATGTCATCTGCGGCAATTTGTTGCTGATTTGCTTTGGCTGCAATTTGTTTATGGCACATGTCGCTGCTGCTTTGGCTGACATTTAACTGAAGTCGCGTGTGCAAGGACATTGAACTTTGGCGTTTTGTCTGTGCCTGAGTTTTTGGCATTTTCAATAAATGCTCAAATATATTGAGAGCAAAATCAAGTTCGTTGCCTAAGTCATTCGTTTGCCTGATTTGTAACGCTTTTGTCTCCATTTGCTTCCATGGGAATTTGAGCTGTTCACCTAACTGGACTGGAGTTCCCATGGAATCCAGTCAGTTTGAACATAAAATAAACACATCTGACTCAGCCGAAGACAATTACACTTCCTCAATACGTTTTATGTTAGACATGATCTCAGCTGGTGGCCAGTTCTCGCAGTAGCTGCGATGTCCAACCAGCCTCACTCACTGTTAATATTTTAATTATAGCATTATGGCCGAGACTTAATTAGCCCTGATCACGCCTAGTGCCAAGTGGGTGTTCGTTTGCTGATCGGTGATCGGTGATCGATAAACAAAAGACCAATTAAAACTGAAACGAAATCGTAAGCAAATTGAATCGAAAGCATTTAGGTGTCTTAATGTTCAGTCAACGATTTAGTAGCTAACCTTTTTCAAGGTTACAACTGCTGCTGCTGCTGCTGCTGCTAGCTCTGTTTTACTCCGGTAATTATTGCAATTACAGAGGCGATAAAAACGGACCGAGAGACCGAGAATTGTGTGGAAACACTGCTTATCTAGATCGCAGACTATTTGCATAAAATGTTCAGCTATGCAAATTGCAGCTAATTTTTATGACTTGGCCAGCGTCATTCAAACGCAACTCATATTCATACCTGCGGAGTGCAGGCCAAGAATGTTGAGTGAAAAAAGTTAAATAAATTATTTAAATGGCCTGCCCGAAATGGAGTTCGCCGGTGTCAGTGGTTTGACAAATGTCTATCGATATTTAATGCCATTATGCCTGCTTGTATTAATTTTCAGCTTAGTAGTGAACCGATTACCGTTTTTACCACTTGCTCTGTAATAAATCTGATTAATTACCTCACTCATGTTAACCCATTTCTACTTGCAGGAGGGCAGCATCGGTCACGATCTGGTGATCAAGCCCTTGCCGCACGAACTGAGTCCCAATCCCGAGGAGTCCCACCACATCATCTACAAACGAGAGGCGTCCGCAGCAGAAGACCAACTGAGTGACTTTGGTGAGTGATTTGCTCGTATAGAGGTAGCCCCATTAATCCAGGCCCCTGAGAAGCAGGCTACATTCTTCTTAATGGGCGCATTGACCCATAGAAAACCCCGGCCTAACCCGTGGGCCATAAATCTCCGGCTCGAGATCGACGTGATGCCGATAGCATTTCCTGCTCGAACAGAAAGAGAAGAAGCTTATTCACAAAAGCCGAAGAGTTCAATGCAACAATTCGCCCTTCGCTGAATGCATTTACCCCTGCAGTTGAGGTGGCGCCAAAATTCCATCGATAATCACTATAAAATTATTTATTTTATGCCTGGAATTTCTCACTCGCCTGTCGGCTTTGCCGAAATGCCCCCAAAAATTATACCCAATACAGTTAAATGAGTGGCTACCTCACTTGCCAGCTTCTTATGTCATAATAAAGACATTCCACCACTCGATTTTTGCTTAATTTTAGCTTAATTCGCCGTTTCCGGTTATCGTATATTTTTTAATTTCTTTCTTATTTTCGGGTATGTAGCCTTCATGGAACCTGATGATCTGGCGGCCAGCGAAAAGCTCGAGAGGTTGCAGCGCCGCCAGAGCCGCAGTCGCCGCAGTGCGCCCAGCAGTCCGGACTTCGAAGACCTAAACGACGAGGACGAAGGAGCCCTGGACACGGAGCCCCAAGTGGCCGAATCCCGGACTCGATCCCGCCGGCAGGCCCCGTACATCATCTATCCCGAAGTCTTGGTGATCGTCGACTACGACGGCTATAGGCTGCATGGCGGCGATAATTTGCAGGTACGTGTGCGTGACAGGGCCTTAACAAAAAAAAAATGGGGAAAAAGAAATTAAAAGCCGTTGGCTTGAATGAAGTTGTTTCGGCAATTGCAGACAGCTGGAATTGGGATTGGGATTGTCTCTGCGTGTGTGCAGACTTTTGGCTCGATACTAAACCGCCGATACGATACCCAACCCAACCCGGAGGGGATTTCAAAGTCTGAGGATTTGTAAAAGTTGTTTTTTGTTGGTTTCTCGCTGGCCGACTACATGTGTAGATATTATGCGAGCCGAGACATGTGTTCGCATTGATAGATAGGTCTGGTTGTGAATGAGACTCGAGTCCCCAAGGGGTTTTTATTGGGGGAATTGTGGATTTATTAAGGCAATATATTTTATTGGAGCAACGGCTGCCACTTTGGCCAGGAAAACTCTCTCAGAAAACTAGCTCCAGCAGCTAAATCATTTTTGGCTTCCATATTTATTAGTCTTATCCAAACTCTAAAGTTCTTGAACACAGCTCAGGTAAAGTTCTTTATTTATAACTCCTCACCCGAGAGATGCCGAAACACATGATTTAATTGCTATGCACATCACTCTCCTCCAAGATTTATTTGTCTGCCTGAACTGGGTGCGTTCTAGCTTTAAAGAAATACCTAGAAGAGCCAGAGATGCGGCTCAGATGAAAGCCTTTTAGAGATGGTTCTGCCTGACAAAGACAAACGTGCATTGTATCCAGTCTTGAGCTAACATTACTTATTTTTCTACGCCAGGTCAAGCGCTACTTCATCTCATTCTGGAACGGAGTCGATCTGCGTTACCGCCTGCTGAAGGGTCCAAGAATACGTATCAGCATTGCAGGCATCATCATTTCAAGGGTAAGTTAAGATAAACTCAACTATATACATTTATAAAGAGAATATTAGTCATATTTCCTCTCAACTTCCTATTTCATACCAAATGTACCCAAAATCAAGCTCCTTTGCATACCCCTCTAGCCAAGATCATTACACAATCGCAGCAATTCAACTTTCATTTGGCTAATTGAGTAATCCATTTTGGAAGCTAAACTTTAACCTCTGGCCAAAATGGGTCTTGCCAACCCAGGCAGCTCTCCTTCGAACCCAGGTAGCCGCGAGCTAGCCCAGCCAACTCAACTCCAAATGAACTGTCACGATCTGGGAATCTGGCAGGGAAAAACTGGCAGAAAAAACATGCAACGCATGCGCTTCGATTCGTTAGAAAAAATGTGAACAATCAATTTGGTTATTTGCTCGGCAATACCAAACAAAAAGCTAGGCCAACAAATTTTAACAAGTTTTTTGCTCGTGCCGGCTTTTTAAAGCTGGCTAAATGTTTTTCTGGAAATTAGCGACAGAAAAACTTTATGGGCACGCGAATCGAGCTGGCCAAAAAGAGTTGGCTTTAACCTAGTAGCAGCTCAAAGATTTCCTGAAAAGGTTCTACAAGTAGGGGAATGGGTTTAAGGCGCTGTTAATTGGGTTAAACTGCTCAAAGGTGGCTAGGATTAGGTTACTTTTTCTTAGGTTAATAATATTAGTTTAACAGCAGAGGCAAGTCTGTTAGAACCCTTAAAAGAAAACTGATTGATGGTCATAAAAATATGACTTTCGCTTCCTCTACAGCCAGGCCTGCTGTCGTGAGCGAACTCTTTGATGGCTGTTAACATCTTTCACTTATCAACATTCAACTAATTTGATTGCATAAGCGAAGACCATAAAACACTTTGACAACATTATAGCATCGTGGCTTCGTTTTGTCTCGTCTCAATATTGCCAGACGAGGAGACTTTCGGTTAGACTTTCTCACACAAATCAGTTTGGCGTTAGTTCAGGAAGCCATTTGTCGTTGGCCAAGAGAGCGGAGAGAGAGAGTGTAGAGTGGGCCAAGAAAGTGGAAAATTGGCACAGCGGCTTGGGATCTGCTTGGAAATGTTGGTGGTTCACCTGCAGCACTGCAGCGGCAGTTGCATCAAGCTAGCTGCCCACACGACAACTCCACATCGAGGAGACAACGATGTCGACGGGTTACCCTAAGTACGTCAATTGGCTTTGGTTTTGTGGCGCTATGGCGCTCAGCCACTCAGGCTCTCCGGCTTTTTGGCTCTAACTCGGCGGCAGCGGAGGCAGAAATCAAAATAAAAACAAAAAAATTATTTTCAGACCGCATAAATAATGCAACAGCGCCTGCTGTAACTGCGTGTTGGCCGTGGTTACATAATCTAATGGGCCACGCTAACTGCAGTCGGCAGTTGACTCAGATCAGATTTTTTCGGCTGGCATGTTTTTTATTTTCCTTATTTTTCCTCCAATTTCACACACACACACCAGACTTCCTCTTCTATGCCCACACACATACACACACACACACACAGATGCTAAAATGCGTATCTGGTGGATTCAGGTGCAAAATGCACTATATCTTAGCATCCGTCGCTAAGCATTTTTCCGTTTTTTTGTGACGCTAATTAATGTTGCTGCCGGCAAGTGAGAAATGGAAGTCGGGTAATTACTCAGAATTCGGATTGGGCAACAAATTATTGGATACACATATCCGATAAGTCGACGCAATGGAAAAACGAGAAACCCAAACGAATTTATTGGATTTTTGCGTCACTTTATCGGAAGAGATTGGGCTGATAGATTGTTTGGTCAACAGGAGCTCGTGCCGGTCACTTTACATATTAAACCATAAAATATGAGTACGAATTTGTATGGAAAACCCAAACAACTTGACCCCAATGCCAGCAACAAAACACCGAAAGCCAATCGTTTATTTCATAAAACAAAAAGCCACCGAGTGCACGAAATCCCAAGTCACATAAATTAATCACCCATTGACAAATAACTAAGAGAATTACTTAGAGCCGAGATCTGCGAGAGTTGTTCAATTAATTGATTCTAGCTCGGAGTCGAAAAATAAATACTTGAGCCCCGACAAAATGACAACAAAACGCTGCAACATTAATAAGCCATAAACTGCGTAACTCGGCTGGGTTCTGTTTCTGTTTCTGTGTTCGATTGGGCTCCGAAGGCGTTAAAAACTGCAAATCGAACGGGGCTAAAAGCACTATTTTTTCATTCCGCAGAGGCAGAACAATGAGCTCCGATCGAGTGCCACAACCCAGTTACTTTTAAACGCGAAGCTTGGCTAAATCAAAAATTCTAAACGAGTGGCCAGCGCTTAAATTACATTTTGCCAGGGGAATATTAAATGGTTTTTTGTTAGTACGAATGGGTAGAAAAGGGTGTATTCGCTGGTGCAGAATACAGCCTTTAAAGATCTTCAAAACTTTTCAACTAGCTTTATGGATAAATTTCTGATTTATTGATAATTTCAACAATAATTAAAACCAACAATCTATTTAGCAAGAGTCTTAGAGTCCTACTGCGAAACCTTATACTAAGTAACAGCCCGTCGAGCTTTGACATATTTCTCCATGTTCGCCACACGATACGCACCTAATAAATTGCGCATACGCAACGTTGCCGCTGTTGGCCGCATTGAAATATGTGTGTGGCGCAAGCGCAGCGGCAATGCGTTCGACACTTGTAGCACAAACAGAAGGCCAAAGGGGGAAGCAGGCAAAAGGGGCAGGTTGTTTAACTTCTAACGGAAAGTTGCCCGCAATTAATTAAAATGTTAATTAAATGTCACAGATAAAGGTTCAAGTCAAGTCGGTAGCCGACTTAAGCTACCCCCACGCCAATTCCGATCCGATCGGAGCTGAACTGATCCGATCTGATATATAGTGTTGGCTTTATAAATCTCTATCTATGGCTTGTTATGATCACCTGCGTGGTGCTATCAGCTCAAGGAATTCCACCCGTTTGATTAATCGATCCGCTTGGGTGGAGCCAAAGAAAAGAGCCGGGTTTCCCCATTCCTCCCCAGAATTCTGGTAACTGAGAGCTGGACTATTGGGCCATTGGGCTATCCCAATTTCAGCAGCCAAGCGACATTCTCCACTCGCTCTTATCTCGACGACTTTATCTAAAGTGCCACAGAAATGCCAAATAATGCACCAGTGACACACCCAGCGGACTGAAAAAAACAGATATTTTACTGCCTTTTGCCAGTCAGTTCTCATATTTGCAAGTTGTCATAACAAATTCCTCGGCTAACGAAGCTGGGCTCCAAAAGTTCGGGATAGGGCAGGCCAGGTGTTGCCCCCAGGGCACATTTCTCGTACTCCCAGACCCATATCCATATCCATAACCATATCCATATCCATACTCTGATCCATATAAGCCTGTGGTATATAGAGTGCCGGTGCCGGTAGCCAGAAATGCAAGTGCCAGACAAACATAAATTGCAATAATGCAAATGGAAACGTGAAGCGAGGCAAACAAATAAACAAACAAATAAATGTTTGCCAGAGGTGCTGTAGGAAAAGCCGGAAAAGTCGCCGGGAATCGAGGGGCACTTCAACACCCTAACGGGAAATGGCTTTTATGAAAAATTGTACAACTCGTTACTGCCTGGCTACTGCCTGATTCCACTGACATATATACTAGAGAAACGTTATCTTCTCTACAATCATCATATATTCGGAAAATGTTTATTTGATTTCGCAAAAACAAGTCAAAATAATTGTCCATTCACATGTCAAAAGCAGATACTCATCAGCAAGAGGAATTAGCTGAGATGATGATGAAGAAATGTTTGCCAGTTTCGAATAATTTTTATTGTTAATAATTTTATGCTAAATTAATTACAATTTTCTATTACATTACAATAAAAACTCTTATAAATAACCCTAAAACTAGAGTAGAGAACTTCAAGATCAGAAAGAAAGAAAAATTATATAGAACTGATTATACGATAAGAGCAACTTCTTCATCGGCTTGATATAGCTTGTGGCAGGGTATTGGAAAAGGAAAAGTATCCCCCATATCTTGACCCAAAAGCCTGTCGGCTCTGTGGGTGGTGGCCCGATCCGCCGGCTGTCGCCCAAGTCCGACTTATCCGCTGTGTGGGCGCCGAAAGTCAAAGCGTATGTCATTGGAGAGGGTGGAAAGGGAAGGGGAAGGAGAAGGCTGGGTGTGTGTGTCCGAGTGGGTGTGAGTCGGCTCGGTTGTCCACCACCCTGTTGGATAGTTTAGTGGGCCTTGCGAAATGCTAGAAATTACAGGCCATTGCATTGACAGTTTCTTTTTTAGCCGCAAGATTTATATGCCCGGCCCAGGGAAAGGAGCTGGAAAACCCGAGCCCCAACTTGTGCCTGCAAAATTAAATTAAAATATAACGTTTTGCTTTTAATTACGCACAAAAGGCTATTGCAAAACTGTCGCCTTAGTTTATTTGTAACTTTTGGGGGAAAGGCAAACCGGTCCCGGTTTTAGTGGCTTGGTTTTGGCATTTTAGGTCCTACTGACAGTTTCTCTGATAAGTTTTCGTTTTTTTTTCCGATTATTTGACAAATGTTTTTTCCTTTTGCTTGGCCTGGATCGTTGGGGTAACCACTTGAATTGTGCAAGCCGTAATCAAAGATGTGCCAGGTCATCCATGGTCCAGTGGCTTATGGAGATTGTGCCTGGGAGACACTATATTTGTCGGGCTGTCTGCTGGTGGTCTACCTCCGTCTAAGGTTTGTCTTTCCCATGCCAACTTGTGTGACGTTGATGGTCGTGTATGGCCGAGTCTGGGAATCGCAGAGGCTGAGATCTGGGCAAAGAAATAAGCCGCAAAACAATTAGTTTGCATGCCTGGATTAAGGAAGCGGTTTCTCGGATTGCGTAACCCTAACTAAATAATTGTTTGAAAGTCTCAATATTTTCTCAATTATAAACTGAATCCATGATTCATTTCAAAACAAGTTACAACTCCAATCAAGCTCATCAGCAAACAACTTGAGTGAAGCATCTTCAGCATTAGACAGAGACTGCTCTAATAAACCACTCAAAGTGCAATTCCACAATAATTATTTGTAATTTGGTGGATTCCAATCTAAGCCAGTTGCCTTTCCCACTTGGCCCAAGGCCACAATCGAAGCATTTAAAATTCTTGATAGTTTTGTCTGTCGAAAATTACCGAAACCAAAAATCAATTCGAATTTTTGCTTCTTTCGGGAGAACGACGTGCCCGCACTTTGAAATGATCAACGTGTCAGATCGTCCAAAGAGTTGGACGGGATTAAGGCAGAAACGAAACGGATAGACTTCGAGTGCGGACTGTTAATGTTGGATGGCTAGAGATTCAGATTCAGATACAGACTCAGATACAGATACACCCAATCGAGCGGATACGTTTTGCATCTCATTTGGCAATATACAGATTTCAAAACTACGGTGTTTGCTGACTTTTAGATCACTTTGTCAGACTCTGTTCATTTCCTAGACATCTGCTGTCTGTCCAACTAGTTGGTAATTTATCAAAAGACTTCGACTACGGCTCGCCAGCTTGGGTACAAGCGAAGCTCAGAGACGGAGTATCTCCGACTCCGAGATTGTTTTCCAGTTGGCAAATGGCAAATGGCTGCAAATCAAATGTGTCAACCGAGTGCGGTTTGTCACTTAACTTTGGTTTTATCACCTGCACCTCCGGTGGAAACTGGAAGTGGAAACTGCAACTGGTCCGGGCACACAGATTAGCTCCAAAGTCGTATTAACATATTGATTTGCCTAGGGCTCAAAGTGATTGACAATTGTGTTATTTTAATTTATGTAGCTGTCACTTCGGCCAATCTAAACGCCCCTTCGGTCACGATATCATTGCTTATGTACATTCGAATCGCTGGACTTGCGAGTGCTGAAAGTTGCCCTCGGATGTACATACATACATGCATACACAGCTGATGAAATTGCCACTGCTACTGCAACTGCAACTGCAACTACAACTGCAGCTCCAATTATGCAACGCACAATTGCAACTGGTTTTCCACTGGGGTAGCCTAACAATAAAAAGCAACGAATTTCCAGAGGAAGCCCACACGACTTTGACTTTGCTTGCTTGGCTTGATCATCATCTGTATACTTCGAAAAATAAGATTAAAGTGGGGAAAGATAAGTTTATAAGTACAGATACAAACCCACAGTTGTGTGAAGCTAAGACGGAAACTTACAAATCGAGATTTTGAATTTAGACAACAAAAATGCAACATTACGAGCTGTAAAATAGTCAAAACATAACGTAGAGATATAAGAACAACTTTTTTGAGCAGCTAACGACCTAAACTGACCATTTCTTTAACTATCCAATTGATTTTGCAACTTTTAAATTTTGGCCATTTTTCGCATTTTTGATAAGGGGTACCATCATCCTTTTTTCCGGAAAATGGCGAAATTTACCATTTTTAGGTGTGAACACAGTTTTGTTAGAAATTGAATTACGAGCAAAATGAGATATGACATTCTACATTCTGACCGTTTTTTCCATTGTTATAGGCACGATACTGAAAAATATTCGCCATGAAAACGACCAACATTTTTGTGAAGTGCAACTAATGACGATCATCTGCTGCATTGGCCTTATCGCTAGGCTCGGTTTTAGCAGCACGTTTTTCACGTTCACTTGATTTCCGTTTCGACTTTGGCTTCCAGCTTCATTTTCACCGACGAATGGGCCATAAATATTTCACTCGGAGCTCTTTTCATTCGCTCAAATGCCAAATCAGTTGCATCATCGCATTGAAAGCTTCCTTGGGGCGATTTCGTTGAGTATTTTGCAATTTTCACTACTTGACGATGGCCTACTGTATTCTAATGTGGGTCACAGGGTTCAATGGGGCTATAGCTTCGGGTTTTACGAGCCATAAATGTCAGTCCCGGTGATTGTCTTAAATGTTTGATACTAGCAGTGATCACTGGAAGGAAGACTGTTAGTTCCACATTGCCATTTAGTTTTAAGTGTTGACGTAAAATAAATACCCCATACTATCCACTCTCTTTGCTAACCTCAACGAGTAACCTTCAACTTTTGATCTTTTTCAGGGTCGGGATGCCACTCCCTATCTGGAACGTAACCGAGTGGGTCGGGATGCCATCGATTCGGCTGCTGCTCTTACGGACATGGGAAAATATCTGTTCCGGGAACGTCGACTACCGGTCTACGACATTGCCGTGGCCATAACCAAGTGAGTGGGCTTCGGAGTGGGCCTCTTTACCCTCTTGTGTTTTGTACTCTCGTTGCAGAAACGGCAGCAGATTTCTAGCCACGCGTTTTCCTATATCTTTTCCTTTGAATCCTTTCCACTTTACCAAAGATTTCCCCAAAATCTATACATATATATAATGTCTACTCGTGTCTAGGTATGATATGTGTCGCAGGCGTAAAGGAGGTCGTTGCACCAAGGGCACAGCGGGTAAACAGATTTCAAAGAAATTCCGAATATAAAACCATAGACCTAAAATCACGACACCCATACATAACACACTTAGAAACACAACTAGAACAAATGTCATTGCGGGTGTTTAACATAATTTAGTCAGTTCTCGGTCTGCACCTCAAGCTACAAGACACACTTAAAACAAAACCAGTAAAGTTGACTAAAATTGCGTGTGGGTCTTGATAAATTACTACCACAACTACACGACACACACACATACTCACAAAAACACCAAATTTACAACATTTAAGCAAAGGAAAAAAGCTAAACTCGGAGCGTTAAACTAATTTGAGTAGCGGATCGGTCCATAAAGCATTAAACCGGTTGATTTATTTAGTTTAATGTATCTGCTTTAAGGTCTCATTGGTTATAGCAAATATTTACATCAAGATTTAGTATTTAATTGTGGTTTATGCGCCTAAGTTATTGGATACTCTTTACGGATAAAATAACCCAATCAGTTAAAGTTGAAAGTATATATGGGATATAATTGCCTAAGACTTATGCTAAACTTCTTAGTTAGTTAGACTTCGGATAACCGAAGATAGGTTCTACTTCTACTTCTTCTCTTGCTCTTGACTTTAAAAGTGCAACCAGCCCCTATAAGTTGGTGCGCAATTGCCCGATATCTAATTGGGCAGGTCGGCAAACCCACAAAACAACTATCGATCAAGGAGATAATTGATTTAATGAAGCTGAAAACCCCCGAAAAAGAAACCAAATCTAAAATTTCTACGCATTTTTGAACCATTTTCGCCCGCAGACTCGATATGTGCCGTCGCACCTCCGCTTATGGCGAATGTAATCGCGGTACCGCAGGTAAAGACCCAACCACTAGCTGGCAATTTGTTAGCCAACATCTGTACAGATAAATGCAAAAATGATACAAAAAGAAACACAGAAGTTAAGCAAACGCGTTAAAAATAAATAACATTAAAGGCGGCCACCGCCGAACCCAAAAATGCGTCGCTCCATCATCAACCAAATCAAGCAAATTTAATTGAATTTCATGCACGTCTCTTGTCTCTATTTTTATCCTCGCTCCCTCTCTCTCTCTCTCTGTCTCTGTCTCTGTGTACTGCTGCTCCACCTCTCTCTCTCTGAGATCTGGAAACTATATAATTTATGTGTCTTTGTTTGTGTCGCACGCGGCTTGTGTACAGCAAGAAGAACAAGAACAGGAAATGGCTGCGCATGCGCCATCTTGCCAATCATCTTCAAACTGTACAGTTTTCATTCTTCTCTCCTTGGGAAATACTCAAAAGTTACCTTTTGTACAGTAGAGCTGCTGTGTGCGCTCATCGTTTCTCACTCTACAGTCCTGTCTACTCCTTCTTCTATTTGTGTAAATACTTTTCATTGGTCATTTCAGAAATCTCTGCAGATTGAGATCCCTTGAGATTGGGAATCTGTGGAAGAAGAATGCTATCAAGAGTTCATTGAAGAATGTTGGTTGTCCTGCATGTAATATTTGCATTAAAACATGAGTTTCGAATTCTTTTATTCTTTTCTAAACCTTTAACTTTTTTCAATATGTGTTAACAAAAAATCGGTTATTCACTTTCAGCGGTTGAGAATGCGAAATTATTTATGCCAATCAACTTGATAAAAGTAAAATAAAGTTTAAGCGAAACTGCTAATATCGTGAGCATTCTATATTTAAAGACTATAATATAAAAATATGTTAATAATGAGAAACGGTTTCGGACTTACTAACATTGGTCTACTTTAAGCCACACTTACGATTAAGCTACCTAATAAACTTTTATGGGCTGTGGACACACTTTATCCAAGCGATGGTAATTGTGACTAAACTTACACATTAAAATGCACCTACTAATTAATTGCTCTATCACATCAAATCACAACCACTAAGCGACCTGCTTCTCCCGGCGGTTACAGTTATTATGTAAAAAAAGTTAATACAATGTTTGAAAGCGAAGAGAGAGAAACAAATTGCTTAGTTGCGAAAAAAATAAATTAAATTTTTCATTTAATAACTGCAACGGCGACGGCGACTCGAAAAAATTGTCAACTTCCTGTTGGACAAGAAACAAAATAGAAAAAAAAAAGAAAATGCAACTGAGTAAAACAACCCACTAATTGCCTAATTTCGATCGTGTGTTTTCTTTCGGAAAAGGCTTCGCTTACGTCGGTGGCGCATGCGTGGTGAACAAGCGACTGGAGAAGGTGAACAGCGTGGCCATCATCGAAGACACCGGCGGTTTCAGCGGCATTATCGTGGCTGCCCATGAAGTCGGACACCTGTAAGTAGACACCATGTCATGACCCTATCCAAGCAGTGAAAAACAAATGTTGATTCAAACAGATAAAAGCTACAACTATTAAAACTATTACGTTCGCTCTTAAGTATCAAATAATATTTTGTTGAAAATTATACACTTAGTGCTCTCTGCACTTTCTTTATAAGCCAAACGGAACCTTTTTTCCGCACTATTTCCATCAAAGCCAATCTATTTAACGCCCCAAATCCCCGATTCGGATTTCGTTCGGCGCCCAAACTAATAAAAAACATGAATAATTTCCGCTGCTGTAAACTGGTCATTGAAACTCGTTTGCATTTCCGTTTGACATCATTCGGCGTGCAATTAATCAATTAACATTTTTCCCCCTCTCAATCAAAATGTGTCCCATGCTCGTTTCTCAGGTTGGGAGCCGTTCATGACGGTTCGCCACCGCCCAGTTACTTGGGTGGACCAGGGGCCCAGCGGTGCCGCTGGGAGGATGGCTACATCATGTCCGATCTGCGTCACACGGAGAGGGGCTTCAGATGGTCCGCGTGCACGGTGCAGAGCTTCCATCACTTCCTCAAGTGAGTTGCTGGTTTTTTTCTAGGGCTGAAATGTTTTGATGACTTGCTTTTCTTCTACTTAGTGGAGATACGGCCACCTGCCTGCACAATGCCCCGCATGAGGACAGCGCCCTGGGTAGATCCCTGCCAGGAACCCTGCTCTCGCTGGATGCCCAGTGCCGCAGGGATCGGGGAACGTATGCCTGCTTCAAGGACGAACGAGTGTGTGCCCAGCTCTTCTGCTTCGACGCCCAGACGGGATACTGTGTGGCCTACAGACCAGCGGCCGAGGGTTCGGCCTGCGGTAATGGTTATGTAAGTAGTTGGGGAACTAACATCTAAGAAGAACGAGAGAACAACTTGCTTAATGCAGAGATATATATTTTACTAATTTCTGTTTGGTAACTAAATATCCCTTTTCAAACCCTAGCACTGTCTGGATGGTCGCTGCACACCACTGCCCTCGAACATCATTCCCGATTACGGAAACAACTATCGTTTAGTCTACAAGTGAGTACAGTAAAATAGGTAACTTAATTAGAACAAGACTGTTTTTCCAGTAGTTTGGTTGTGTAAGCTAAGGTTCTCTATTTACTAAAAATACACGAAAAACACATAAATTTTGAGTTCCAAGTACACAAATACACCCTGAAAGCAAAATTTTTAATATACAAACTTTTACACCTTTACACACCAATTCGAAACAACAACAACAACTACAATACCAACACCAATAAAACACAACAACAAAACAACAACAATAGTAAAAACAACAACAAGAAAGATGCAGCTGAGGATATTGAGAATAGTAGTGAGGAGACCGAGTCCCAGGAGGACGAAACTGAGAGTAATGAGGATCAGGATGAGGGCAACACTAGTAGCGAGGAGCAAGAAGCCAATCAGCAGGACAACAAGATCGAGCAGAGCTCTGCGGCTGGCGCCGCTGCTGTGACGTCGACAACAACCGCCAAATCCACGACATCAACCACTGCGAGGACAACAACTACAGTGAAGCCCAAGTCGAAAGCCTTTGGCTACCTGCATCGTAGCCTTCCCGAACGTCAGTGGATGCAGGATAATGGTGTGCTGGTCACGACTCGCATCAGCAGCAGCGTCAGTAGCAGCAGCAGCAGCAGCAGCAATAGCAACGGTGACCCCGTGGCAACATCAACTCCCAAGCCTAGAACAACCACTCCAGCAACCACAATAACACCGAATCTATTCAAATTCTATACACACGAATTACGCAAACAAATCGAATACTATTTACACATGCTACAAACACAACAACATGCTACCAAATTGCAACCAGAACAACAGCAACAGCAGTCACAACAACAACAGTCGATAGTTGAAATCCCTTTGGTTCAAAAACGCCTTACAAATTATAGTGTAACCAGCAGCAGCAGCAGCAGCAGCAGCAGCAACGGGGCAAAACAACAGCCACCGAACGCCAAGGACGAGAATCAGAGACAACAGCATCAGCCACATAACCAGGAGCAGCAGCACCAACTACAGGATGGGCTGCCCGATGAGGAGAACGAGGCGACTGCCGGCATTCAGAGCAATGAAGCGATTGAGCGGCAAAAACGTAAGTTCCCCACACCACCCACAGCAGCAACAAGTGCTGCCAAGACATCGGCTACATCAGCAACACCAGCAACACCCACATCAGCAACAACGGTCGCGGCCAAACCGATAACCACTTCATCATTTCTCGATGCGTACTTTAAAAAACTGCAAGCCTTGCATGATGGTGGATCGGCCACCAGTACAACCACTTCTGTATCGTCATCAGTGAGCTCGGCAACATCCAGCAAGCAGCAGCAGCAGCAGCAGCAACAACAGCAACCAGATGGCAGCGCCTTTTTGAAACGTACGCCAATTCGGAGTAGTATTAAGGCATTCAAAACTAGTAGTAGCAGTAGTAGTAACAGCAGTAGTCAGCCACAACAGCAACAGTATGCGACAAACTATATTGGCGACACCACAAACAATCTGTCAGCGGTGTTGGACAACAGTAACAGTGCGTCGAGCACCACGGAAACCGTGAAGAAACCCAAAATCAAAACACAAAAACTAATACGTCGAACACGAGTCATGTAAACGATCTGGAGATGCGGCAGAAAACCCTGATACCAACTATCATAAGCTACTACTTACTGCTAGCCAGAGAGAAACACACAGATCACAGATCCAGAAAGCTGCTTGAGAAAACGAACCTCCAACCTACGAAGGCTCCCCAACAACATCAAATACAAAACCACATACACTAAACAAAGCAACACGCATCACACACAAGTAAATGCCACAAGTAAACCAATTGATACCGATACCGAAACCGATATGATACGAAACCCGAAACCGTTAACGATTCGTTATCCTTGCGTGCGGTAAGCCCAAAACCAATACAGCATTCAAATCGGGTTCTTAACTCCCCTAGTAGTCTAAAGCTTGGCCCTAAAGTACGCTACGATTTACAGTAGAGCATGGATGCGCGATAATTTTAGTAGTATTCCTTTATATTACGCTGCCTGCCCTCTAGTATAAATATATAATAATGGTTGTTGAAGTTGGCGAAAAGAAATGCAAGTGCTAAACTCATGAGTAATGGTCCATTTAGCCGTAATATGGATTACCGACGTATTTTAAGCATTTGGCATCTGGCATTGCATTGATCATACTTAACTTTGTAGTGCGGATCAGCCTTGAAAGCGGTCCATATGGTAGTTCTTGAATCTTAATCTTGGCATGAACTTAACTTAGTATATCATTTCAGTATCTTAAGTCTCCGAAAGGCAGACAGACCTCGATTAGGACATTCGCATTCACACATCCGCAGACCTCATAAAGCATGCTTGAAGATAAACTCTCATACCACCCTCTATCAAAATCGACGATCAGTATCCCATAGCTGATCTTTTCCTTATATGCGCGGTTAATCTCTCGCTCTATTTTTCCAAAATTGCATCGAACACTCGCCCCACACATACGTAAACAGTTAAATCGATTTAGAAACAAATTGGCATTGAAACATGCACACACACACACACATCCAGCATACAAACATAAACGCTCTCTTTCTCACACCACCACACATGCATACACACTGTTTGAAGGCAAAACCAAAAGAAACTATATCAAAACATCTATAACTGTAGCAATTAAGTTATTTATTTGCTATGAAAGAACGACATGGAATGAAAGAAGCATTCTGCATACTAAAAATAAGACAGCATAATGGCAAAAATAAAACAGAGTTATTTGGCTAATGGAAACGCATGGAATGGAACACTCGCACATACCACACAACCACCCACATAATTCAAAATGGCCGGCGTCTGCAAAAATATCTCTTAATTTAATACAAAATAAACATTCAATATTATCACATTGATTTTTGCACGCCCCACCACAATTGTATTTTACCATTATCACTAATTTTTTGTGTTTTTCTTCTTGTTTCCCCCTTTCCATTTCCGCTTTCGTTCCGATCCCGCATTCCGCAGTGGTTAACTGGAAGCTGTTTCCGTTCTAGTGAAAGTGCAAGGCAGCAACATTGGGGAATGTTTGGAACTGGCACGCAGACGTCACTGCCATCGAAATTGGAACAAATGTTTGCAGTTAAAAAGTGTTTTTAGCTAGAATTTATTACTATTATAATCTGTATGAAAACCTATTGATTTGTTGTTAGTTCTAGCCGCAACTAATTTAAAATATTGTCTGTTAAATGCAACTCTAGCTACAGAGCAAGGTTGTTATGTTCAGTACATGCATATATTATGTAATTTAATTTAATGCAAATTCTTGTAAAATAGTACATATTATTCTGTAAAAAGTTCATTGACACACGCACTTTTGGCAGACAACCTAAATTATTCTCTGAGCCACAAATCAATCGAAAGGAAAATTAATAATAATCCCAATTTCCAATGTGATAAACATATATAATTTGTACTCTCTACTAAACAAAATATTTATCATTTTCTGTTAGAAAAATGCTAGAAAGGTTGAGAAGCGTTTATTTACTTACCTTGCCGCACTTTGCCTACAAGAAAACTTAAATTGTTCATTTCATTATTATTATTGTATTAAATTTGTTAGAAGTCCAAATTCTAAAGATTTCATCACTCTACGTTTACCTAGCCTAATGCTCTTTTTATACAGCAAAAAAATTGTAATAGCTAAGTTTTAGTTGTAGTTAACTGAACATCGTATAATAATTGAAACTGTAAATTTATCACACACACAAATGAAACAAAAATTAGCTTAAGAATAAATATATACAATGAAGATTTAATTGTTAAAACATTTATTTTCAAACGAGTTCGTCATATGCCTAAAAGTATGCAACTAAATCGTATATCAATATTGGAGTTTAAAAAAAAAAAGCCAAAAATACTTTGTATAGTCCAGCATGGGTGATAAAATGTATTTGCAGCCAACAAGTACAGTTCCTTATCGCTAGCTTAGAAAGTGACACAGCACTATCCTAAAGTTCCAATCACCAAAAAAGTAGGTACTTAATTAATAAGGTAATTAACATGTTCATGTAAATGACGAAGTAAGGTAAAAAAGTCTCCTGGCAAGTCCAGCATTTGGGGATCCATCAGATGGTTGTGTCTTTATGCACCCTTTGTGCCGGTTGGCATTAGATGGCGATTGTAGGTGGCCAGATTTTTAACCAACGCTGCAACGGAGAGCATGCAAACTACGCCGGCGGGCATTAGTTTTCCGGAACGATTCCATCGAGCCCCCATTAATCCGGCCAAGAACAAGGTTGTGCCCAGTTGAAGCAAGGGGCGGGGCGTTTGTTGAGAGTTTAGGTGGGCCCCGTAGCCGAGTAGGGCTCCAAAGGCCAGGCCGGCACCCAATGAGGGAATAGAACCTATGAAATAATGAGGTTGCACAATAGACAGTGAGAACCGGAACTAATAAGATTAGAAGGATCGTAACTCACCCGCCTTTGCGTATCCCATAATTCCACCGGCGGCCACAGTGGCGGCGTAGACATAACCAAACCAATCCACAGACATTTTGTGTTCACTTTCCTTAAATATGTCGGTAACCTTTGTTTTGCTGGATGGAAAGTATAGGTGTTAATATGACCCTTTTCTAATAACTCGAAAATCTCTACTTAAATTAATAAATTATCTGGCATCGCCGTTTGGCGGTCTTTTTAAATTTTTGAGCTAATTAGTGGGCAACGCAAGTTGGAAACCATGAATTATTTAAATACTTTAATTTTTATATGTTTTAATACAATTAAGGATTTTGAATAGATAAGATATTAGTGAGAAGTAAATTTAATGGTGAAGAAACGAACATTATTCTTTAGTTATTTCTTTTTGAGAATAATATGCATAAAAAGCCTTAATTTTTGTTGTTGCATTTTATTAGAGCTTTTATTAGAGGCCAAATTACTGTGACATTGCTTTCGTGGAAGTATTTTGATGGTCTTGGGTGCTTAGAATCTTCCTAGGCGTTGACGGGTCCTGCGTTGGCCCTGTCGCCTGCCACGGCGTCCTTGGCGATTCAGACGACGCCTTTCCCGGCGAACCTCGCGCCTTAATCTGTGAAGCTTGCGGCGCAGCCTGGTGAGCTCCTCGTCGGTGCTGGAGTTCGAGGGCGACGAGTTGGTGTCAGTGGAAGACGGAGAAACACTGGGCGAAGTTGGAGTGGTTGGTGAAGCCGGGGTAGGACTAGTGGGAGTGCTGGGCGAAGTCGGAGAAGTGGGTGTGGTTGGCGAGGTTGGCGATGTTGGAGTCGTAGGTGACGTTGGAGATGTTGGAGAGGGCGAGGTCGGCGTCGTCGGAGATGTTGGAGAGGGCGAAGTTGGCGTCGTTGGAGACGAACCTGCGGCGTAGGCAGTAGCAACGAGAGCCACTAGACCAAAGGCGAGAACAATTCGGCAGCGCATCTTCTATGTCTGTCACTAAATGGAGTACTATACAAATTCGGTTTAAGTTCGAGTATTTATAGGGAAGATCTCCATTAATCTAGCCTAATTACCCAATCTGTGTTTGCTTTAATTGTCAAATATCATGTTTCATATCATGGAGGATTCTATATTTGTTTGCGAAGGCAAACATCAGGTATTGAAGATGGGACGATCACCCATGGATCTAAAAGCTGAAAGTCGGCAGTGGAAAGTTTTATTGGTTTTCTATTAAAACAAAAGAACATACAAAGCATCATTGTATTTATATTTAAACAAGAAAGCATTTTGTACTGACTTGATAGTAGGTATTGTTAGCAATTGTGCAAACACAGGCACATTGGCCAATAACTAAATGTAGATAGTGTTTAATATTTTGACTAGCCGCCAAAACAGATGATGTTACCAGCAACTGGGAAAGCTTTCACTAAATGATAATAATTGGGATCGTTAATATATAATATTTTGATAAAATTTATGCATAAAAGTAGGCTACGCATATTCTATAGAGAACATCGACCTAGCAACAATCTAATAAACGAATCTTAATATATATAAATTATTGTGCAGAGTTCTTATCACATCTTACTCTAATTGTATATTGCATTCCTGTGTAGCAGAACCTATATCTGATAAATCGGATATCTGGGGGAACTGTGGATCAGAAGGTTAAAGAAAGAGTAGATAAGCTCCCGGATTGTAGCAATTCCCCGCAAGACAAGTTGATAGATAGATAGTAAGTAATAAATGATTATAATAAAACTGATTTTCAATAGCGTTCCTTCTTTTAATTGTCCCCAGTGATTTGATATTTTTTCCTTAAAAATATAATCAAATGTGTTTTCTTTGAGTTGCTGAGTACCCAACCATTAAATGAGCAACAAATATTCACTTTTAACCATTTTATTTCTTTGCACGATACATTATTGTCAGAAGTTCATTTTTGAATCCTTAACCCCTACGGTTGCGCCTCCTTCCTGCGCTCCTCTCCTCACGCCTCTCCTCACGCCTCTCCTCACGCCGCTCTCTCTGCCTCTCCTCACGCCTCCTTAGGCGTCTCTCCTGGCGCCGCAGCCTGCGAATCCTGCGCTTCAGCTTTTTCTCCTCAGATGTGCTGTCACTAGAAGAGGAGCTTGATGTTGTCGAGGTAGTTGGTGTAGTCGAGGAAGTACTTGTGGACGGTGTCGAAGAGGACGTAGTGGAAGGACTTGTAGACGAAGTCGTAGAGCTGGGGGTCGACGAAGTTGAAGGAGTCGTTGTAGTTGAGGAAGATGTTGGAGTAGTAGTTGAGGAAGATGAAGGAGTCGTAGTAGTTGAGGAAGATGATGGAGTAGTGGTTGAAGAAGAGGTAGGCGTAGTCGACGACGATGGATCGGTTGTGGCAGCATATGCAACCGCCACGAGTGCCACTAGGCCGAAGGCGAGGACGAATTGGGATCGCATCTTTAGGTCTGTCTATCACTCACTGAAATGAAGATCTGTATCTGCTGATGGTTGATCCCGGGTTTTTATAGCGAATATCTGAAATGCTGTCATCTATTCACAAATATTTACGTGATCTAAACCAATAGAGAGCTTTGTTAAAAGAACCTGAAAATGACTGTGGAAAGTTTCTATGTATGTTTAATTAAACAATAAGGTGTTTCGGATTTGTTGGCATATTTCTATTGTTCTAAGTGGGGGCTCAAAAGATTTCGAAGATTATACAATTTCTATTATAATAGCACTTATAATTTTATATTTCTTTCGATTCTGGGAATATAATATCCACAACAGAAGCAGGATATGGATAGGATAAGAGGCGTGAAGAAAGTCCAGCAATAGTCAGAAATCAATAAATTGAATATCTAAATATTAATTTTAAATTTCGAGAAAATCAAGATAATGAAGCTTAAAAAATAATCATTTTTAAGAGTCCTGAATTTGAATATATTTGTTTTATTTTTTAGAAAAACGAAAATTTACCAACCTGAAAACTTTCCAAAGATTTCACAGATTTGCCAGTAGAAATAAAGAAATATTTTAGACATCGAAAACGCTTGTATTCATTAGAAAACTAAAATAAACAAAATTTCAAATTTAACGGTTGGGAAAGGGGCTGCCAGATTAATTTCTAGAGAGTTGCCACATATTCCCTCAGCTGTTAAGAGCTAGAGCAGCAAACTTGACTCAATTTTCCAAATTTTCAATCAATTTTCCTAATTTAACTGTTGAAGAATTTTCCTCTTTTGTGATTTCTAAACACGCCCGGATCCCCCTTAAAGACGTACAAAAAAGTCTATAGCGGACATACATGGTTACATTCATTTTTCCATATATAGATGTATTAATTTAGTTTGACTAACTTGAATCTTAAATCTTCCCTCCTTTAAAAAAATGTAATTCTTTTTTAGAATTGAGATTAGTTTCTTTATCACGACATCTCTGAAACGATTATAACTTCTGTTTTTGTGCCTGTGTTTGCACATATGTTAATAATAGACTTTCGCGTACAAATACTTTATTATTAAGTTAGACCAAAAAAAATTTTCCACAACCATTGACAGACTTGTCAAACAAATGCTGCATTGGACCACGTGCCATGACTATGATTTAGGACAAGCTCAGATTCTGTAAATAGATCACAGCTTTTTTATATACATATTTACTATAAATACTCGGGATCAAGCCAGACAAGGCACAGTTCTGCAGTTCAGCGAGCAATAGACAGAACTAAATATGCGATTTGAATACTTCCTCGCTTGCGGCCTAGTGGCACTCGTGGCGGTTGCTTATGTCACAGCCACCTCATCCGATTCAACGGGATCCTCTTCAAATTCCACTTCATCATCTTCAAATTCTACTAGTTCTTCTTCAAATTCTACAACTACGTCGACTCCCAGCACTACGACTTCGTCTACAAGTCCTTCCAGCACGACAAGTACTTCCTCGACTACACCAACAACCTCGACCACATCTTCTAGTGATACTAGCAGCGCCGCTGAGGAGAAAAGGCTGAAGCGCAAACTTCGCAGGCTGCGTCGTCAGGAGAGACGCCTGAGGAAACGCGAGGAGAGGGAGAGAAAGCGGCTGCAGGAGAGACGTGAGAAGAGGAGTGCAAAGAAGCGTCGCAACCGTAGGGGTTAAGTTTCCGAAAATGGATTCCTGATAAAAGTTTATTGTGCAAAGAAATAAAATGGTTATAAGCTAAATTTGTTACTCATTTTAATGTGGGGTATCCCACACACTTCTTGCATCTTAATTGCCGTTTCTAACTGTACACAACTAATTGAGTTTTTAAGAAAAAGCTTAACTAACAAAGTACATTTTTAAAAAAAGTGGATGTCAAGTCTCAGAATTAAATGGCCAATATAAAATGAATAAACAATAAAGATATTTTAAATAGACATACAATTTCTTTAATTAAAAGGTGAAGTTATCGTCTTGCTTAGAATCTTCCTAGGCGTTGACGGGTCCTGCGTTGGCCTTGTCGCCTGCCACGGCGTCCTTGGCGATTCAGACGACGCCTTTCCCGGCGAACCTCGCGCCTTAATCTGTGAAGCTTGCGGCGCAGCCTGGTGAGCTCCTCGTCGGTGCTGGAATTCGAGGGCGACGAGTCGGTGTCAGTGGAAGACGGAGAAACACTGGGCGAAGTTGGAGTGGTTGGTGAAGCCGGGGTAGGACTAGTGGGAGTGGTGGGCGAAGTCGGAGAAGTGGGTGTGGTTGGCGAGGTCGGCGATGTTGGAGTCGTAGGTGACGTTGGAGATGTTGGAGAGGGCGAGGTCGGCGTCGTCGGAGATGTTGGAGAGGGCGAAGTTGGCGTCGTTGGAGACGAACCTGCGGCGTAGGCAGTAGCAACGAGAGCCACTAGACCAAAGGCGAGAACAATTCCGCAGCGCATCTTCTATGTCTGTCACTAAATGGAGTACTATACAAATTCTGGTTTAAGTTCGAGTATTTATAGGGAAGATCTCCATTAATCTAGCATAATTACCCAATCTGTGTTTGCTTTAATTGTCAAATATCTTGTTTCATATCATGGAGGATTCTATATTTGTTTGCGAGGGCAAACATCAGGTATTGAAGATGGGACGATCCCCCATGGATCTAAAAGCTGAAAGTCGGCAGTGGAAAGTTTTATTGGTTTTCTATTAAAACAAAAGAACATACAAAGCATCATTGTATTTATATTTAAACAAGAAAGCATTTTGTACTGACTTGATAGTAGGTATTGTTAGCAATTGTGCAAACACAGGCACATTGGCCAATAACTAAATGTAGATAGTGTTTAATATTTTGACTAGCCGCCAAAACAGATGATGTTACCAGCAACTGGGAAAGCTTTCACTAAATGATAATAATTGGGATCGTTAATATATAATATTTTGATAAAATTTATGCATAAAAGTAGGCTACGCATATTCTATAGAGAACATCGACCTAGCAACAATCTAATAAACGAATCTTAATAAATATAAATTATTGTGTAGAGTTCTTATCACATCTTACTCTAATTGTATATTGCATGTGTAACAGAACCTATATCTGATAAATCAGATATCTGGGGGAACTATGGATTAGAAGGTTGAAGAAAGAGTGGATAAGCATCCCGATTGTAGCAATTCCCCGCAAGACAAGTTGATAGATAGATAGTAAGTTAATAAATGATTATAATAAAACTGATTTTCAATAGCGTTCCCTCTTTTAAGTTTCTGTCTAATACTTCACTTCTCCCCAGTGATTTGATATTTTTTCCTTAAAAATATAATCAAATGTGTTTTCTTTGAGTTGCTGAGTACCCAACCATTAAATGAGCAACAAATATTCACTTTTAACCATTTTATTTCTTTTCACGGTACATTATTGTCAGAAGTTCATTTTTGAATCCTTAACCCCTACGGTTGCGCCTCCTTCCTGCGCTCCTCTCCTCACGCCTCTCCTCACGCCTCTCCTCACGCCGCTCTCTCTGCCTCTCCTCACGCCTCCTTAGGCGTCTCTCCTGGCGCCGCAGCCTGCGAATCCTGCGCTTCAGCTTTTTCTCCTCAGATGTGCTGTCACTAGAAGAGGAGCTTGATGTTGTCGAGGTAGTTGGTGTAGTCGAGGAAGTACTTGTGGACGGTGTCGAAGAGGACGTAGTGGAAGGACTTGTAGACGAAGTCGTAGAGCTGGGGGTCGACGAAGTTGAAGGAGTCGTTGTAGTTGAGGAAGATGTTGGAGTAGTAGTTGAGGAAGATGAAGGAGTCGTAGTAGTTGAGGAAGATGATGGAGTAGTGGTTGAGGAAGAGGTAGGCGTAGTCGACGACGATGGATCGGTTGTGGCAGCATATGCAACCGCCACGAGTGCCACTAGGCCGAAGGCGAGGACGAATTGGGATCGCATCTTTAGGTCTGTCTATCACTCACTGAAATGAAGATCTGTATCTGCTGATGGTTGATCCCGGGTTTTTATAGCGAATATCTGAAATGCTGTCATCTATTCACAAATATTTACGTGATCTAAACCAATAGAGAGCTTTGTTAAAAGAACCTGAAAATGACTGTGGAAAGTTTCTATGTATGTTTAATTAAACAATAAGGTGTTTCGGATTTGTTGGCATATTTCTATTGTTCTAAGTGTGGGCTCAAAAGATTTCGAAGATTATACAATTCCTATTATAATAGCACTTATAATTTTATATTTCTTCCGATTCTGGGAATATAATATCCACAACAGAAGCAGGATATGGATAGGATAAGAGGCGTGAAGAAAGTCCAGCAATAGTCAGAAATCAATAAATTGAATATCTAAATCTTAATTTTAAATTTCGAGAAAATCAAGATAATGAAGCTTAAAAAATAATCATTTTTAAGAGTCCTGAATTTGAATATATTTGTTTTATTTTTTAGAAAAACGAAAATTTACCAACCTGAAAACTTTCCAAAGATTTCACAGATTTGCCAGTAGAAATAAAGAAATATTTTAGACATCGAAAACGCTTGTATTCATTAGAAAACTAAAATAAACAAAATTTCAAATTTAACGGTTGGGAAAGGGGCTGCCAGATTAATTTCTACAGAGTTGCCACATATTCCCTCAGCTGTTAAGAGCTAGAGCAGCAAACTTGACTCAATTTTCCAAATTTTCAATCAATTTTCCTAATTTAACTGTTGAAGAATTTTCCTCTTTTGTGATTTCTAAACACGCCCGGATCCCCCTTGAAGACGTAAAAAAAATTTCATCAAACCCGGTCAAGCCATTTACGAGTCTTTAGCGGACATACATGGTTATATTCATATTTCCATATATAGATGTATTAATTTATTTAGTTTCACTAACTTGAATCTTAATTCTTCCCTCCTTTTAAAATATGTAATACCAGGAACTTATTTGTTTCTTTTTTAGAATTGAGATTAGTTTCTTTATCACGACATCTCTGAAACGATTATAACTTCTGTTTTTGTGCCTGTGTTTGCACATATGTTAATAATAGACTTTCGCGTACAAATACTTTATTATTAAGTTAGACCAAAAAAAATTTTCCACAACCATTGACAGACTTGTCAAACAAATGCTGCATTGGGCCACGTGCCATGACTATGATTTAGGACAAGCTCAGATTCTGTAAATAGATCACAGCTTCTTTATATATTTACTATAAATACTCTGGATCAAGTCAGACAAGGCACAGTTCTGCAGTTCAGTGAGCAATAGACAGAACTAAATATGCGATTTGAATACTTTCTCGCTTGCGGCCTAGTGGCACTCGTGGCGGTTGCTTATGTCACAGCCACCACATCCGATTCAACAGGATCCACTTCAAATTCCACTTCATCATCTTCAAATTCTACTAGTTCTTCTTCAAATTCTACAACTACGTCGACTCCCAGCACTACGACTTCGTCTACCAGTCCTTCCAGCACGACAAGTACTTCCTCGACTACGCCAACAACCTCGACCACATCTTCTAGTGATACTAGCAGCGCCGCTGAGGAGAAAAGGCTGAAGCGCAAACTTCGCAGGCTGCGTCGTCAGGAGAGACGCCTGAGGAAACGCGAGGAGAGGGAGAGAAAGCGGCTGCAGGAGAGACGTGAGAAGAGGAGTGCAAAGAAGCGTCGCAACCGTAGGGGTTAAGTTTCCGAAAATGGATTCCTGATAAAAGTTTATTGTGCAAAGAAATAAAATGGTTATAAGCTAAATTTGTTACTCATTTTAATGTGGGGTATCCCACACACTTCTTGCATCTTAATTGCCGTTTCTAACTGTACACAACTAATTGAGTTTTTAAGAAAAAGCTTAACTAACAAAGTACATTTTTAAAAAAAGTGGATGTCAAGTCTCAGAATTAAATGGCCAATATAAAATGAATAAACAATAAAGATATTTTAAATAGACATACAATTTCTTTAATTAAAAGGTGAAGTTATCGTCTTGCTTAGAATCTTCCTAGGCGTTGACGGGTCCTGCGTTGGCCTTGTCGCCTGCCACGGCGTCCTTGGCGATTCAGACGACGCCTTTCCCGGCGAACCTCGCGCCTTAATCTGTGAAGCTTGCGGCGCAGCCTGGTGAGCTCCTCGTCGGTGCTGGAATTCGAGGGCGACGAGTCGGTGTCAGTGGAAGACGGAGAAACACTGGGCGAAGTTGGAGTGGTTGGTGAAGCCGGGGTAGGACTAGTGGGAGTGCTGGGCGAAGTCGGAGAAGTGGGTGTGGTTGGCGAGGTTGGCGATGTTGGAGTCGTAGGTGACGTTGGAGATGTTGGAGAGGGCGAGGTCGGCGTCGTCGGAGATGTTGGAGAGGGCGAAGTTGGAGACGAACCTGCGGCGTAGGCAGTAGCAACGAGAGCCACTAGACCAAAGGCGAGAACAATTCGGCAGCGCATCTTCTATGTCTGTCACTAAATGGAGTACTATACAAATTCTGGTTTAAGTTCGAGTATTTATAGGGAAGATCTCCATTAATTTAGCATAATTACCCAATCTGTGTTTGCTTTAATTGTCAAATATCATATTTCATATCATGGAGGATTCTATATTTGTTTGCGAGGGCAAACATCAGGTATTGAAGATGGGACGATCAGCCATGGATCTAAAAGCTGAAAGTCGGCAGTGGAAAGTTTTATTGGTTTTCTATTAAAACAAAAGAACATACAAAGTATCATTGTATTTATATTTAAACAAGAAAGCATTTTGGACTGACTTGATAGTAGGTATTGTTAGCAATTGTGCAAACACAGGCACATTGGCCAATAACTAAATGTAGATAGTGTTTAATATTTTGACTAGCCACCAAAACAGATGATGTTGCCAGCAACTGGGAAAGCTTTCACTAAATGATAATAATTGGGATCGTTAATATATAATATTTTGCTAAAATTTAAGCATAAAAGTAGGCTACGCATATTCTATAGAGAACATCGACCTAGCAACAATCTAATAAACGAATCTTAATATATATAAATTATTGTGCAGAGTTCTTATCACATCTTACTCTAATTGTATATTGCATTCCTGTGTAGCAGAACCTATATCTGATAAATCGGATATCTGGGGGAACTGTGGATCAGAAGGTTAAAGAAAGAGTAGATAAGCTCCCGGATTGTAGCAATTCCCCGCAAGACAAGTTGATAGATAGATAGTAAGTAATAAATGATTATAATAAAACTGATTTTCAATAGCGTTCCTTCTTTTAATTGTCCCCAGTGATTTGATATTTTTTCCTTAAAAATATAATCAAATGTGTTTTCTTTGAGTTGCTGAGTACCCAACCATTAAATGAGCAACAAATATTCACTTTTAACCATTTTATTTCTTTTCACGGTACATTTTTGTCAGGAGTTCATTTTCAAATCCTTAACCCCTACGGTTGCGCCTCCTTCCTGCGCTCCTCTCCTCACGCCTCTCCTCACGCCGCTCTCTCTGCCTCTCCTCGCGCCTCCTCAGACGTCTCTCCTGGCGCCGCAGCCTGCGAATCCTGCGCTTCAGCTTTTTCTCCACAGATGTGCTGTCACTAGAAGAGGAGCTTGATGTGGTCGAGGTAGTTGGTGTAGTCGAGGAAGTACTTGTGGACGGTGTCGAAGAGGACGTAGTGGAAGGACTTGTAGACGAAGTTGAAGGAGTCGTTGTAGTTGAGGAAGTTGAAGGAGTCGTTGTAGTTGGGGAAGATGACGGAGTCGTAGTAGGTGAAGAAGAAGTTGGAGTCGAGGTTGTTGGGGAAGTCGAAGGCGTAGTCGACGTCGATGGATCGGTTGTGGCAGCATATGCAACCGCCACGAGTACCACTAGGCCGAAGGCGAGGACGAATTGGGATCGCATCTTTAGGTCTGTCTATCTCTCACTGAAATGAAGATCTGTATCTGCTGCTGGTGGATCCCGAGTTTTTATAGCAAATATCTGAAATGCTGTCATCTATTCACAAATATTTACGTGATCTAAACCAATAGAGAGCTTTGTTAAAAGAACCTGAAAATGACTGTGGAAAGTTTCTATGTACGTTTAATTAAACAATAAGGTGTTTCGGATTTATTGGCATATTTCTATTGTTCTAATTGTGGCCCCAAAAGATTTCGAAGATTATACAATTTCTATTATAATAGCACTTATAATTTTATATTTCTTTCGATTCTGGGAATATAATATCCACAACAGAAGCAGTATATGGATAATATAAGAGGCGTGAAGAAAGTCCAGCAATAGTCAGAAATCAATAAATTGAATATCTAAATTTTAATTTTAAATTTCGAGAAAATCGAGATAATGAAGCTTAAAAAATATTAATTTTTAAGAGTCCTGAATTTGAATATATTTGTTTTTTTTTTAGAAAAACGAAAATCTACCAACCTGAAAGCTTTCCAAAGATTTTACAGATTTGCCACTAGAAATAAAGAAATATTTTAGACATTGAAAACGCTTATAATTAGAAACTAGCGCTCCCGCTTCGCTTCGCTCGGCACGCTTGTCTTTCAATGAGAAGCTCACCCTTCGGTGCCAACCGGCAGCAACTATATATTACAAATTACACAAATTTTACAATTAAAATAAATTCTTACGTAAATAATAAAAATAAACAAAATTTCAAATTTAACTGTTTGAAAAGGGGCTGCCAGATTAATTTCTAGAGAGTTGCCACATATTCCCTCAGCTGTTAAGGGCTAGAGCAGCAAACTTGACTCAATTTTCCAAATTTTCAATCAATTTTCCTAATTTAACTGTTGAAGAATTTTCCTCTTTTGTGATTTCTAAACACGCCCGGATCCCCTTTAAGACGTACAAAAAAGTCTATAGCGGACATACCTGGTTACATTCATTTTTCCATATATAGATGTATTAATTTAGTTTGACTAACTTGAATCTTAATTCTTCCCTCCTTTAAAAAAATGTAATTCTTTTTTAGAATTGAGATTAGTTTCTTTATCACGACATCTCTGAAACGATTATAACTTCGGTTTTTGTGCCTGTGTTTGCACATATGTTAATAATAGACTTTCGCGTACAAATACTTTATTATTAAGTTAGACCAAAAAAAATTTTCCACAACCATTGACAGACTTGTCAAACAAATGCTGCATTGGGCCACGTGCCATGACTATGATTTAGGACAAGCTCAGATTCTGTAAATAGATCACAGCTTCTTTATATATTTACTATAAATACTCTGGATCAAGTCAGACAAGGCACAGTTCTGCAGTTCAGTGAGCAATAGACAGAACTAAATATGCGATTTGAATACTTTCTCGCTTGCGGCCTAGTGGCACTCGTGGCGGTTGCTTATGTCACAGCCACCACATCCGATTCAACAGGATCCACTTCAAATTCCACTTCATCATCTTCAAATTCTACTAGTTCTTCTTCAAATTCTACAACTACGTCGACTCCCAGCACTACGACTTCGTCTACAAGTCCTTCCAGCACGACAAGTACTTCCTCGACTACACCAACAACCTCGACCACATCTTCTAGTGATACTAGCAGCGCCGCTGAGGAGAAAAGACTGAAGCGCAAACTTCGCAGGCTGCGTCGCCAGGAGAGACGCCTGAGGAAACGCGAGGAGAGGGAAAAAAAGCGGCTGCAGCGTGAGAAGAGGAGTGCAAAGAAGCGTCGCAACCGTAGGGGTTAGGTTCCCGAAAATGGATTCCTGATAAAAATTTATTGTGCAAAGAAATAAAATGGCTAAAAAGCAAAAGTTGTTACTCATTTTAATGTCGGTTGCCCAACACACTTCTAAAATCTTTATATGCGTTTTTTTTTAACTGTAAAACAAGAAGGGAGTTTTCAAAATATAATTAAGAAAACAAATTTTTCTCAGAATTTATTGATCATAGGTGAAATAAAAAATTTTGTATAATAAAATTAAACATTGATTAAAATGACACCCAATTTTAATTTTAAGATTTGATTAAGTTTTAATTAAAAGATTAAATTATCGTAGATAGATTTGATCTTTTATTTTTTTGGTGGGGCGCTTGCAGACAATAACAAATTTTCAATAGGGATCTTATAAATTTTTTTATTATTTAGTTTAGCAAGAATTTTGTATTATTTTTTATAGAAAATATAATTACTATATTATTAAATTTGAGCTTAGGCTGATAGATTTGGAAAAAATATTTAACTTTAATGTACATCGACGTTACGCCCACAAAAATCTTTACGGCTTAAAAGCATTTAAAAATGCCCCTTAAAATTATGCTTTTAAAAATAGTAAAATCTTTATTATTAAAAAAAACCTTTATTTTAAAAATTGATATTGAAATTTAAAATCCATCTTAAAGGTATGCTTTAAAATTGTAAAACTTCATTCCACTCTTACCTTTAGGATTGCTTACTTAAGTAAATGTAAATTTAAATACATCTACTAACGATACACTTTTTACCCTCCAGAGTAATAGTCAAGAATATTGTACTTCATTCCACATAATGATTTTATTTATTGTTTGATTACGAATACATTTTCCATAGAGTTCTTATCCCTTTTAGCCGCTACGGTTGCGTCTGCGTTGGCGTTGCCTCCTCTCGCGACGACGCTCCTGTCGCTTCTCACGACGCTTCTGCCGGCGACGTTTTTCCTTGCGCTTGGCGGCCGCCGACTTCTTGCTGGAGGCTGACGAATCAGAGGATGAACTGGTCGTAGTGGGCGCTGTGGTCGCAGTGGGTGTGCTCGTCGAAGACGCTGGTGAAGCCGAGGAAGTAGTGGTGGAAGGACTTGTAGACGAAGTCGAAGAGCTTGGAGTCGAGGAAGTCGACGAAGATGATGGAGTCGACGTAGATGAAGAAGATGATGGAGTAGAAGTAGTTGAGGAAGATGACGGAGTAGTTGAGGAAGATGATGGAGTCGTGGTGGTCGAGGAAGAGGAAGGCGTAGACGTCGATGATGAATCAGATGCAGCGGTTGAGGCATAAGCAACCGCCACTAATGCCACTAAGCCAAAGGCGAGGACGAATTGGGATCGCATCTTTAGGTCTGTCAATTGCTCACTGAACTGAAGAACTGTGCCTTTTCTGGATTGATCCCGAATATTTATAGTGATCAAGAAAGATGTTTCGGTCCAATCTGTGTTTGCTCTAAATCGTCATAGGTCGCACGTGGCCCAGAAGGGGACTCTTTAGACAAGTTTTAATGAGATACCAAAGTAAACAGACAAAATATTATTATTTGTTTAAGTTAACAATTGAGAATTCTTAGAAAGTGTGCAAACACAGTTATTTTGTATAATGAATAATATAACTATTGTTTACTTTTTTAAGCCTTTTTTCAGTGCTTACCAGTTCACCTTATTTAAATAACCGCAAAAACAGATGGTTATTTTGGCTCAAAGACAATTTGAAGGATGACAAGAAATTCAAATGAGCTAGCAATGCCTTGAACAAAGAGCTTTGGTCGGAAGCTGAGTTCAAGAATAAAGGCTCTTTATCAATATAATTATGAGTATTTTCCATATTTTTCAATGGGAAATGATTTTTGATTATTACAATGTATCAAAGATTTATACTTAAGTTCTCAAAACTTGTAATGTAATCCATTGACATGGATGAATATTTATTATTATTAAACATGGGATATTTATTTTAAAAACATTTTAGACTTTCGATTTATTGCCAAGCTCTTTCGTTTTAAATTAAATAAGTTATTAGGCATTAAAATAATCATAAAAGAATATTTTACCATTTTCTATTTTATGATAGAGGAATTTAGTTTATTTCATAAAGATAGAAGCAAAACGAATTTGCTGAAAACTGTATTAAGGTATTAAAATAAGTATATATTAATTCAGACAATATATTATATACTGTCACCTGGTTCTGCCAACTAGTGCTGCCCACCTGGTGCATTAAATACCAAATAGATAGATTTATAGATATTTCCGTTACGGCTACTACCTGGTCACACTGGCCAACCGCCTTCACCGCCCACCTCCAACGATTCCGTTGGTGTTTTCCGCTGTGTTTGTGTTCGTGTGTTCGCGTTGGCGCTGTCATCATCATATCGCATCGCTCCGCTCCGAAAAACCGTGCCAATTGAATCCGTTTTTACCACGCCAGAGTGTTTGTTTTGTCGCCCGCCGACCGCCCGGAGTTTACAATTGGCGTTTGGCAGTCTCCAAGTTGCAAAGTGCCTTTAAAACAGTGCAACAAGTGGTTTTTACACTTTTTACAAGCGTTCAAAGTGCCTTACACACGTACATACTTAACCTACCTGACCAGAGCGCATATGTGTGAGCGTGTGTGTGTGTTACAACAACAACAACGACGAAAATAACTAACTGCTTTCGTCGCAGTTTTTCTGCAAGTGTATTGGTTAATTGCGCCGAAAAAATGTTAAGCGAGGAAATTAATTAAGGCCTAATTGAATTACGCTAGTAAATTTAAAATAAAAACGAAAAAAGTAAAGATCTGGGATCTGATCGAAAAGATCTGGTGAGAAATCCCCAACGCGAGGATCTGTATCGCGTATGTGTCAATTCATTTATTTAAATATAGATTACAAGTGCACTTAAACAAACAGAAGAAAAGGAAAACAAGTGATTAACTGCCAGGTAATTATAACTGCTCTTTTTTCGCCCTCCCTTTTGCTTTTTGCATACATTTCGAGTGCCTCTTTTTGCGCGTTTTCTCTCTGCAAATATTATTTTCTTTTAGCTTTTATTGTTTTTACCTTTCTTTAGTCATCATATCGTGCACTTGCCCTCTCTCTCTTCTAATAAGAGTCTTCTTTTTGTTTTATCGGTATGTCTGAAGTTTCTTGTTTTGCCACCCATACCAAAGCAGAAAAATACCTGAATAACACAAACACACACACGGTGATTGGAATGTTATTGTTGTTGCTGCCGTTCTCAATACATATTTGTTGTCAACGGTTTTTGCTTATCAATAGAACAACACAAACACAGCTACACCTGCATTTCTTATTGGCTTTCGTAGCCTTCCTGTTGGATAATAGTAATGAGTGGCAAGTTCTGTTCGGCATAGGAATATTTAATAATGGAAATAATAATAGTGAAGCTGTTTTTTGGTCTCCATCTCTTGGGAACTGGCATTTTCCATTTCCGCTGCACTATCCGCACTTCTTTCTCAACATTTTGTGTGTCAATCACCTGTTCTGCAGCGCTGGCACTTTTCACATGCCAACCGGCAAAAGCAGCAGAAGCAGCAACAAACAAATTAAACATGTTATATATAGCAATAGCCCGGACTAGGTGCCAACTTTTGATCGCCGATTCCCACCGAATTCCATTCGAGAAGTCCATCCAAATCCCATTGTGCTTAGAGTCTTATTGCCGCTAATCCCATACAAATTCCAATTGGCGCGTTCCCATACAGTCGATCTTCGCTAACGTGAAAGTCATTCGATTAAGTTTTTAGGACATACTGATTTAGCCTTTATACCAGTTTTACAGCATCGAATAAATATAACATTAGGCTATGATGTACTTCTGTGGGAAAATTAAAAAACCTTGCATATGTTTATAAGATTTTGATTTAGCAAGCTTCCACTGTTTTTCTCGCCGAATCTAGCGGTTTTGAAAATCTCGGTTGGCAACGCTAATACCAATTCGCCGCGACATAGCTCCTGCTCTCGCCGCGCAGTCAGCTGACTTAATTCGCCTGTGTTTATGTTGTGGGCGCAGGCGACTGCCAGTTGATTTTGAACTTTCGAGCGGCACGCAAGGATATGTCGAAGGGAAACGAGAGTCGTGGACCTTAAGAACAAGTCCAACTCCTTCGTACGTGTGTCTTCGCATGAGTCTGTGTTTCAATTATTCACGAAGGAAAACACAGTTTATGGCTCTGCAACTCCCCCGCCCACTTTTCCGTTTTTTTTTTCGAATATTTTCAACTAGTGCAAGGCGAACAACAAAAACAATGCAATAACATGAGACAAGTGTCGAGATAGAGAGTGAGCGAGAGAGACAGATATATAGGAGAAGAAAGAGAGAGCGTCAGCAGCCGCTCTAGTGGCAAAGTGCAAATGTATTAAATAAATAAAGAAACGAAACGAAATGAATTTCAAGTGCACAGAAAGAAAAATTTAACATAAGATTTGGTTTAATAGAAAATATAATGCTGCTAGGAATGCATTAAAAGAAAATGAAAAACAAACATAAATATGATCAGTATCCACTTTAAAATACTATATTATATAGGATTTATTGTTAATGGAGATAGTTCAGCATATAATAACTTAAGGTTACGAAAGTATGAAACTCGTAATTTGACTTTATCTGGTTTTTATCAGTGTGGCTAATATGTGTCTGCGGTTTGGCTACTTTCTGCCCTGCCTTTTGGCCAGCTTTCTTGGCGCATTGCATAAGTGTTGGCCATTTCACCTCACTTAAGAGTACGCTCTAACCCCTCCCTTCTCTCTTTCCCCAGATAAGCAGACCGACGTGACGTACTCGCGTGGATTAATAATTGAGAAGATAGCCGGCAGATAGCAGATAGGAGATATCAGATAGCAGATATAGCAAATATAGCAGAGCGGACGAAGCAATGGAGTCCATGGAGTACGAGATGGCACGCAACATGACGCTGCTCTTCTTCTTGGAGCGGCTGCTGGACAAGGGCGAACCACGCACCGTCCACGATCTCTCCTGCCAGTTCGGCAACAAGGAGTTCACCAAGGAGATGCGACAAATCGCCGGGGGCAGTCAGTCGGGTAAGTTTACAAAGCAAAAAGAAATCACTTGTCATTCCCTAACATACAGTAGAAAGTCGCTAAAGCGAAGGAGTAATGAAATTAACGAAAAAATCTGACTTCCTTACTAACTAAACTGATTTTAGAATAGAGTAGACAAATAAATAGAAAAGGCCTATATAAGTTTTTGAGTTTAGTTTTAAATCAGAAAACTGGACACCAGAAAATGCGAAATGAGAAAGTGGACCGTCGATACAATCGCATTCAATCAACTCTCATTTAAAATGTCGCCGACTGAGCCTGGGAAATTGGAAACGTGTGCGGTGGAAAGCAATACTGGACTCTTGTTCGGTTATTGAACATACATATTTGTGCACCTGCGGGTCGTTGTTTGTCATAGTCGATGATTGTGTTGTTGCTCCAGCCTGGTTGCTTGTTGCCTTCGAGTGGTCGACGTCCAAGTGCACATGTCATTGCCGTTCCCATTGCCGCTGGGATTGCCATTGGGATTGAGGCTGGCCCGCCTCATTTTCCAGTCATCTCCCAGTTGATCTCAATGCCAAAACCACAGAAACATGCCAAGGGCTTATCGCTTTTCATTGCAGACGCCGAACTGCAATCGATAACGCACGTGTTGTTGTCGGTTTTGGCTTCCCTTGTTTTTTTTTTTTCTTTTCTACAAGTAGTATGAGTATTATTTTACAACTGGTCTATGGAAAACACGGAAAAAACTTGAGATTCTCGGGGTACACGTGTTGTACCTCCATTGACAACTCGCCACATGAAAAACTTCATGCCACGCTATTTATCAAAATGCATGGTTAACTCAAACGTCTAAAAATAGCGGCAACAAACAACTTTCGGTTTTTAAAAATAGGTACCACTTAACGCGGAGTTGGGAAGGTGCATTGCACTTTCCCTTCGCCAGAGATATGTGAAGACATTTTTTTGATGTTCTCACATGCGAGGAGGGGGGGCTAAAAAAACGAAGGCGGCTACAGGAAATGGCAAACATTTGTTTACACCGCTCCCCAGGGCTAAATAGCCAATCATTTGGATCCAAAGAATCATGATGATCTTGAGATGTCTGCAGAGTTTCCGTGAGAATATCGAAAGATTAGGTTGTCCCTTCAATAAAAGTGGCATTTAAACAATTAAATCAAAAGCTTATACGTATCGTAGGATATCTTGAGATTCTTTAAACTAAAAACAAATGCTTTGCCGATGGGACACTGTGACTATAATTGCATTTACTACTTTTGCTTTTCACACTTCTTGGCCTCACTAATTGCAACAAGAAACAAACATTTAACGAAATGGTTATCACATTTGTTGATTTTGTGCACATGTGCGTGACTTTGCCGCCAAGACAAATCGCGTTTACCCCAGGTGAGCAACATTTTCCGCTAAAATAGTTTAATCTATGACTTAAAGAGTCAGGCTTAGTTTTGGCCAAGAACGTAATAGACAAAGTAGGGGAAATGCCGGAAAATATGCGCTAAACACGCAAATCTCTGTTGGATTAGAAAAACAAGCTATGGTAAATATATTTATTGGGGAAATGTCAAGGTCTGGTTTATAAATAGAAAAACGTCAGATATGCCTGGCTGGATATTTGAAGTCCCTATCGAAGGAATGATAAGGAGTTCATTGGTCAGTGGCAGCCCAATTTCCCGCACTAATCCCTGCTTTCAACCCATTGGGACTGACCCAAAATCCTATAAACATATTTTATGCCTCTTCAATTTTGTCAACGTGTTGTTTGCCCAACTTATAAGCCGTTAAAGCCGACAGGGTAGAATGCTATGCCCCTGCGAATGCCGCCCACAATAGACCCATCCAAGTCACCCATTATGTGGTTTTTGGTCAGGAGCGGGGGAAGGCTGGGGAGGGGAAAGGCGGAAACTTTGTAATAGAAAAGTGTCGATTACGTGACAAAAATGTTCAATTGAATTTCAATAAAATTGCATGATATTCTAGAGACTAGAGACCATATCCATTTGTTGCTTCAATAATAAATGGAGGTGTGTGCTACCTACCATGCATATTCCCCAGCGATTGATGTGGGTCTTTCCCAGCACCGGCATTGAGGAAACATTTTTGGGAAATTAACGTCGATAGCAATTTTCTAACCAGGGAGAAATTTAAACGTTGCCCAAACTTCTATTGGGTTAGACAAACAGTTTGAAGAGCTGGCCGTGCTGGCTGAGCTGTGCCCTCGTTAATGGGAAACTTAAATTTCGCTGCTAATTTAACGGCCAGCAAGAAATAAACACGACCATTTAGCTTACTTTATCGTTTTGCCATTTTTAGTTGCCAGCGGCTTTGAATAATTGTACAAACAAAATGGGAAAAATAGAAAAAAAAATAGAAACAACACACCAAAAACAGGCCAAGCCTTTTGCGAAGGTTCGCAACTGTTTTTCTGTGTGTGTTTATTTTTTTCGCTTTGCGTAATCGATTGCCAAAGCAAAAACACAAGCAACTGGCAAAAATTGTCAAAGCAATGAAATACAAACTTAAGCTACACAGAAATCAATTTGTAAGCCAATGATAAGATTGATTAACTTTCATATATCAAAGTATTAAAGGAGATGGCTTTGTTTTTAATTTAGAAGTCAGTTTCAAAATATGAAATATCATTTTTGAATGCTTTACTTTTACTGGGTTTCTCTTTGCCGACGGTGACCTACAGTTTTATATAGTATATATAGATTGAGCATATCACATTGATAGGCATCAGCTCGAAATGAAAAAGTTATCAACAAATTGATTACTGGAAAACATACTCATTTCCCTGAGTATTTGTTGAATGATTGGCTGATCGATCTATCAATGGAAAGCAGCTCATTTCGCTTGAACCTTTTGCATTTGCGCCACGCATTTCAATTTCTGACATTGTCGTAAATTTAACGATTTTATGTCGGCTGGAGGAAATCCTTTAACGCCTGCCAGCCGGTGCCCCTTAACCCCCAAATGCCACCCAACTAACCCCCCGTCTGAATTCCCATATTGCGTGCGTGCAGCCAAGGCTTTTATGCTTTACTTTAGCCAACTTTCCTTTTCCCGAGGCAAATGGAAGTCGCATTGATTTTTGACATTAATTGCAAAAGGCGAAACATTTTGTTTAAGCCGAAAGTGAGTGTGCCACTCATTATTTGTGAACTGTGTGCCATTTGTTGCTAATTGATTGGTAAATGCTTTGACAGCCAGGAGGTTTCAGATGAGGTGGAACTAATGAGTTCCTAATGAAGTCACGAGTCTAGGAAGCAGGCTCCTTAGAGCTGCCACCGTCACTGCCACTGCCAGTGCACATCCCAACCCCTTCAGTGAGTCATAAAATCCAGAGTTTACGGCCAGACATAACCCTTTACCTGTGTGCTACTCACTTACATCTTACATTTCGATTCACAACATCCCGGGGAAATGTTTTCGTTTTCTTCAATAAGCGGAGAGGCATAAATATACATAAATTTATGGCGAGTGTCCTCGGTGCATTTGAAAATTGCCACCGCAAAAAAATGTGTCCAAGTGGGTCGAGCCGTAAAATGCGGCAGAGCCACCACCCCCTCGAGCCGCAACACCTGCTCCGCCACCCACCGTTTTGTGGGCGGAAGGTGTAGCCAAAAATGTTTGCTTGCCAAGAATTGCGGCTAAGCACACAGACAAATATTGGGCCGGCAAGTGCTCGGCTTGTATATATTTGCACATTACATTAGATTACATATTCAGGTTTGGCGTTCGGCGTCCGCCTTACGCCTTACGCCCCCGATAAATATTAATATTGAAATGCTATGAACTTCGATTTGCGGCATCAGTTGTGACCCGTTGCCACAAATTTCAATTTCTCAAAGTAAGCATAAAATTGAATTACGCTCGAAAGGATTTGCCATCTTAACCTTTTTTTGTTTGTCTTGCGGGTGGTGAATATTGGAAATTACTAGCCATTTGTCAGTTTTGTGGCTCATTTGGCAGCTGGGAAATGGGATAACGAGATGTTTATTCGGGGATTACTTTGGGAGTGACTTGCCCAATCACCTTGCATAATGCCAGTCCGATTCGATTAATCAACGTTCGTTTTCCTTATGCGACTTTACAGCCGAGTTATGTCAAATGCAATTGAATTAATTTATGTCTGGCATTATGAAGCTGAATTTGTGTCTACCTCGGTGACACGCAACGTTCGCCGCCCCCGAAGCCCCCTGAAAAAGCTCTGATCCATCCATCGCTGCGTGTTTGTCTTGTCACGTCATATTACCCAAAACCAAACAATAGTGAGCACAACAGATGGAATTGTGGGCGGAGAGGGTGGTACGATGCCGATACAATGGGACATATGGAGTCTAGTGCTCATCGCATTCCTACCAATTGCGGATGATGAGCTGGAAGTGGAAGCGGATTCGGAGGGTTGGGTGTCCCGTTTTGGGCCGACGGCAGCAGTCAGTCAGCAACTATGACCTGATTTATCAAATAAATGGTTCGCTAGCTCGCTCGGTCGCTTTGCACGGCTTGAGTGCATTCACTTTTCATTCGGTTGCCATTACACTGAGAACAAATTGGTTCTTTAGACTCCTATTAAGTTGGGCCGTCTTGAGAGGGTTAACTGCTTCCAAAATGTAAGCATAGACTAAAGAAGATTAAAATATTTTGGTTGTATAAAATGTTTCATTTGATAAAACTATAAATGCCATCTGCCAGTGCAGACATACAAAGCCAAATCTCCGGCAGTCTTTCCCTCATTCATGTAATTGTAAACTAACTTTGGATCCAGAAACTTTTGCCAACTTTACAAACCAAATCAACAACATAGAAACAGGCAGCAGAAAACACACATGATTATTCATATGCAGACAGACAGAGGCATCTACATGTGGCACATGCGGATGAATGTAAATGGAAGCTCGTCATTCGATGGTTATGCGATTAAACAATGTTGTTAATTATGGGAATCCAGGCACATGTTACCCGCTGATATACACGAGCCATACAAAACTTTTCACAATCCAGTTGTTAAAGTTGAGAGTTGAAACTGTGGGTAGAGACAAGCACTGGTCCCGGGAATTAATCAACCACAATAAGTACTTACGCGTCTTGGCGCAATTTCAAAGTTGACACATTGAAAGCACAGATGGGAAATTAATTAAGTTTTCGCTGTTGCAACGGTTTTACTGCATTAACCACTCGCTCGCATCCATCGGAGCACCCACTAATGGTCTACCTAATTATAATTGACGTCTTTTGCCTCACCGTTTGACAGGTCTGAAGAAATTTCTCGCCCAATACCCAGCGATATTTCTGGTCGACGGTGATTATGTCCAGGTGAACGCCTATCAGCACCACAATGCCGATGACGGCGGTTGCGGGGGCAAGCGGGATTACATCCAAGAGGCTAAAGACTACTTCAAGAACAAGATGCTACAGTACGGAGCAGCGGCCGAGGTCCCGGTTCGCAGTCTGCTGGGCCACAGGTCGCAGGCCTCACCACAAGTGCGTCACATATCGGGTGAGTTTACCATCACGGTTTGCCTCTTAAAATAGGAAAGCAAAGTAAAGAATCCCTCTAAACTTCTCTATCTTTCATCCAGGTCAACATATCAAGGAATTCACTGACTTTCTGATGAAGCACACGGATACCTTTAAGGTAACGGACGACTATGTGATGCTGGTGGGCTGCGAGGACATGACGGATCTGCCGGCGCGGGATCGCCTCCATCTGCCGCAGTCGAACATCGATACTCGTGGAACGCAACAGATGCTCGATTTCTTTGCCCAGTGCATCGAGGTCAAGGGACCATTGCTGGTGGACCAGCTGTTCCACCTGCTGACCACCAACTTTCCGCAGGATCAGTGGCTACGCATGTTCAAGACGCCGGGTGACTTGAGCTCGTTCCTCAAGCTCTTTGCGGACTGCTTCCATATACAGGCCAATCTAGTCACCTTGCTGCAGAAGCCCAAGCTCAGCGATACGCACATCCAGCAGGCACAGGCTCAAACCCGGGAGCAATTCAATGCGCTGAACAACAACAACAGTGCCAGCATCCGGAAGCAGGAATCTGCACAGGTTGGGGGAGTTGGAGCAGTCAGCTCGGTGCAGCAGAGACTGCAATCGCCAGCTCTGCGGAGTAATGGTCATACGAACAACAACAATGGAAGCAATGGCAGCAATAATAACAACAACAACAGCATAGCCTGTCCGAACTTTAAGCTGAATGCACCCGTTTCGAATGTGTTGGGCCAGGGACAGGGCCAGGGCCAGAGCTTTGGACAGCCGAAGTCGGAGCCCAGTTCTGGATTTGACAGCTATGTGCCGATGTCGGAGATGAAGCTGGAGAATCTGTGCGAGAACAACTATCCCAGTGCGAACACATGCTACGGGCCCATTAATAACTCCGCCCAGCAGCAACAGCAACTGCAGACGCAGCAGCAGCCACAAGCTACACAGAATCCAGCAGAGCAGCGGATGAACAATGTTAACCAAACTCTCAAGCAACGCATCAACACGTTAGTTATACGGACTCTAGCCGAGAATCTGGAGAAGGATAAGCAATCGCTGGTCAACCAGCAAGGCGGGCCAACTTCCCCGCACGCCAGTCCCGTGCATTCCATTGCCAATTCGAGTTCTAACCAAAACGCCACTGCTGCAAACAACGCCAATAGCAACTCGAATGCGAATCCAAACAATGCCAACCACTCACCTAGTCATAGTTACTTCGTCGGCGACACCTGGAAGATAAAGGTGCTGCAGAACACCACGGTGATAGCGAATGTTAAGCAATCGGTGTTTGTGACCGACATCATACTCAAGTACGCGGCCAAAAACGAGAACATAGTGGTCTCCCTGGACTGCGAGGGCATTAATCTGGGCCTAAAGGGCGAGATTACCCTCATTGAGATTGGAACGACTCGTGGCGAAGCCTTTTTGTTCGACGTGCAATCCTGCCCGGCGATGGTCACCGATGGTGGACTGAAGACCGTTCTGGAACACGACCAGGTGATCAAGGTGGTACACGACTGCCGCAACGATGCTGCCAATTTGTATCTGCAGTTCGGCATCCTGCTGCGGAATGTGTTTGATACACACGCCGCACAAGCTATCTTGCAATATCAGGAGAGCGGCAAGCAGGTCTACAAGGCCAAGTACATATCGCTGAACACGCTGTGCGAGCTGTACAATGCCCCCTGCAATCCTATCAAGGATCAGCTGAAGCAGATCTACCGCAGGGATCAGAAATTCTGGGCCAAGCGTCCGCTCACACGGGAAATGATGCTATATGCAGCGGGAGATGTCCTGGTCCTGATCCAAGACCAGTTATTTGGCAACCTGGCGCGGCAGATAAAGTCAGAGAATCGAACACTCTTCTCAGAGCTGTGCACCGAGCAAATACTCATGCAAATCAAACCCAACGAGGTCAAGATACGCAAGAAGCAGCGCAAGGTCAGCACGGAAGTGTCCGACCTCAAACAGAAGTTGGCCCAGACCAGCAAAAGCATCGTGCTCTCAAATCGAGAGATTCGTCTGCTACGGTAAGTAATAGATATAATGTGAAATAAAATGATATATCAAATGTATTCTTAATCCTCAGCTATATGGACCTAACGGAGGATGAGAAAGAGCGCCTCAAGGGCTACTACAAGGTGGCCAAGAAGCTGGAGAAAATGGAGTCCGCCGGCAATCCCAGCAAGTAAGTTCACTGAGTTTAAAAATAGAGGAGTACCTAAAATTCGAAATCTACTTTCAGAGACCAAAGTGACTCAGAGGATGAGCCAGAGCCCAATGAGAACGACACATTTCCCAGCTTGGACTCGGTGCCCTCGGACAATTCGCTGTCGGGCACTTTCTCGCCACGGTTCAGCTCAGAGCCACCTAGTCTGACGGAATCCATGCAAATGCTGGAAGAGATTTTGCAGAACAAGTCCATGGATCGCATAGCCCGTATTGATAAGCTGGAGGCCATTCTAACGACTGCCACCTCGCTGCCATGTGAACAAGTTAGTAATCTAAAGCTGTCCATAAGAAAGATCGATTAATTATTCTGATTCTGCAGATTATAGCCTCAAATTCGATGCAAGAGCAACTGGGATCGAGCATTGCGACCACCGAGAATCTACAAATAATACGCGAGAAATCCAGAAAGTTAGTATTCCCTTATAAACAGTGAACTATTAACTTATTCAAATCATTTACTTACAGCATTAAGAACTGCAATTGCCAGGGCGAGCGCAGTGTGACGCCCATTCTGCGAACGACTGACAAGCGAGTGGTGAAGCTGGTGGATGCCGAATCGCAGACGCTGAGCACCGGCGATGTGGTCATCACCAAGATCTTCTTCCAGGACGAGCACGAGCGGGCCAAGGAAGCGGCCCTGCTGAGCAACTCGCCCACGAAGCGGGTGTCCCCCACATAAATAAACATTTCAACCTTCGAACAAAGATTCCTAACAAGCAAAGCGCAGACATATTACGTATTATTATTTTGTTTTTTATAGTCGAGGGGCTCGACCCTATGCCCCGCGACGCTTTAACGACTATGCAATAACTTTCATACCCAATTGAGAAGCAATATATTTTGTGCCTAGATGTTGAACATTGCAATAACAATAATATATGATTTACCAATTGTTAACTACTCGCCTCCGACTCGGACCTTTTTACATAACAACCGACGAGCCTTGGCGAATCGATCTTACCGAATCCCTGTTCTCTGAGAAAGCGACGGCCAATGAGAATTTGCGGAATTCGGTGAGGTTAACGACTTACGAGCTGCGCCAAACAATCATTTCAAATGTATCTGTTAATTGACTTGTAGACCATTTTGCTATTAACTAAATCTGCGTTGGACCAATGTGTATTAACTCCCAATGAAATTATTGAATGCAGTTTTCTAGAGGTTTCCTAATATATTTGTCGCCATATCAGAAGTGAACTTATTGTATTTTAACCATAATACTTTATAAACCGAATCGTTTATTCAACTCAACTTAAGTTTAACCAAACAATCTTCTTAATTAATAACAACAAATTGTGTAGTCAATCTAAGTGAAAGAGAATTAATTGTAATGGAAAGAATACTGAAATGGTACGATTATAAATTATATATCTAATTGAATAAAACGTGTATATACCTATATCGAAAGAGGCGAATTGGACTCCAAACTTAATGCCAGACAAGAAAGATGTTTTGTTTTGTTTTCGGTTTCCTTTATTAGACACCAAACACCAAGATCATAAAAACGTTAATAATATTATGTGCTTATGTAGGAATACGTGGAAAGCAGGAGATAGAGTCCTCCAAGGAGCAGTCAGACAATGGTGGGTATCGCAGTTAGCCTGACCTATCTCATAGATCAAGCATTAGTTACAAATAGTGTGTTTTGTCTTTTGGGTTGAATTCCTAAACAGTGTAAAATCTTTCTACTTTTTATTTGTCATTCATTTGAGATTTTGGGCTGGTGCTCTCAGGTGGATGGCAGCCAACCTGGTTTTCTTATATTATGAATAGAAGTCAAGCGCTAGTTTTCCAAACATGATTAAGTTAGACATCAAAAATCGACGGATACAATATTTTCTCGAATGAGGTTAATCAATTATTTATGCTTAATTCTATGAAGAGCAAATGCTCAAAAATATGCTGTAAGACTTGACGGAGAACACTTAACAATGAAATACGACTTAAATTTGATAACTTCCTCGGCAATTTCATTGCCCCTTCTTAAATTCGTATATTTTATATATAATATATTTTAATTTTTAAACAGCCTTTGTTGAGCTCTTGAAACTATATAATATGCATTTGATACTTAAATAGCTTTCACCTACAAGTTGCACTCGCCGTTCCATTAATGCAAGAACGTGTAAAGTGAAGTTCCTTAATTTGCGTAAGCGGGAAAGTTATGCCTAAGCCAAATATATATACTCGTTCTATGTACTTAATTATTTGCAAAGGAATACATGTGCCTGTATATATATTCGGTAAAATCACATCTTTGAAGTGCCACAGCTCGCTAGTTCTATGTACAATTGTATCTAACTCGCTTGATTGGCCTGTGAACAATTGGAGGTTGTACGAAGCAATAGGTTCGTACCTAATTGTATCTGCTTGGAGAAACCATGAACATGGCTTTCTTTTCTGTTTTTACACTTGTATATGTATTAACTATTAAAACTGTACAACCATGAGCTTGCTAATTTATCAAATAAGTATGGCATAAATATTCTAAATTATATCCAACATTCAAACAGGATTTCGACAAACCTCTTCGACCCATTAAACCTTACATTAGGCCAGTTAATATGAGAGAACGTGATCCTTAATCTTAAACTAGTATTCGTGTTCACTTAAATATTTCGTTTGGATTTCGTGCGAAACCTGCATCTCGACAAAAATGTCAAATATATCTACATAAATGCAAAAAGGTACTTTATGAAACAATTGATTGGTTTATCTAAACGATATATGTACCTCAGCCTAACGAATACATCAACTTGGAAATGGGAAATGGGCAACGAAAGACCAATAAAGCTTAAAGATATAGACTTGGTAAAGCTGTAGTTGTTTTTCCATTTAGCTTATCCGAAAAGCTGCTTAAAACTTATCCTAGTCTAGGGTAAATATATTCTTAAATTCGTGTATTTGCGATTAAATTCTTAGCTCAGTTTACTTGACATTCTTATTTTTGTAGGTATTAATACCGATTGATACCATCAAACAAGGGTATCGGATTCGCGTCGAGGGACATTGAATGCCGTACAAATATTTTAGATGTGGTACACACATTACAGTCACTGATTAGCTGATTTAAATACTATCAAAATAGACATCTATATTTATTATCTCTCCATCAAAAGCTCGACGATTCAAATCACCGTTTCAGTCGAATCAAACTAAAAGAGAATAAACTTACTGAGGAGGAAATTAGAGATTAACTAAGGGAGACAAAGAAAACAAAAGGCGATTAATTAAAATAAAAATTGTATTTATTTCGCTAAAATAATTAAACAAAACATAATACATATGTACAGTGATTATTGCTTGCACATTCACGAAAAGGAAACAGACAGAAAGTTTTTTGTTTTTGAGTTCAGCTTAATTTAAGAAACATTTTCCTTTGATTTAGCTTTTGCATTTTTGCACTGTGGCTGTATAAGTGATTAATTTGCGTGTTGGCTAACCATAGACACAGACTATTGTTAATTGAGTAGTAAACGTTTCACATTCATTTAATGGACACTGATATTGAATGGCTATTAATTGCTGTTCATGTGAGCTTAGCACATGCACTGACGTTCAAAAGCAGACATTTGATTCTCTCCTTGCAAAAATTGTGTTCATCTCTTGGTTCCACCTGCCGTTTCAGATCCTCCCTTTCCGTTTCCGTTTCTGTTCCGTTCCTTTCGCTGAATTTTTGATGCGCTCTCAAAATAACAAAATGTTTTATGCATGTATGGGTAATGTGTGTGTGTGGGCGTGGGTGAGTTCTTTCTGTTGGGTGTGTAATATATACGTATGTTTATTCACTTAATGAGATCAAGTCATATAGCGCATTATCTCGCGCAGAGCATAGAGTAACTCGGCCTGATTACGGGCTTCCATTATCATTAGATTCACATGAACCTGTTGGCCGGATATCAGATAGCAACGATTAATGGATGTGTTTGGACTTGAAATGTTTGGCTTACCTTTTCACTGTCCTGCAGCTCGACCAGCACACTATCATAATCCTTGGTTGTAATACGCTCGGGGAAGCAGCAGGCTGTCTTAATAAACATTTTCAAAGGGCGCACGAGGAGCTGCAAAAGAGACTCCTTCGATTAACATTTTCAATGGGAAATATTTCAGAGGGAAATTGTAGTTTATTATATTATTCCCTTAACATTCAATTTAACACTGTTCATACCTGATTAACTTCACCATAATCGTAGTCATCGTGACGAATGCCGTAGATGCACTGGATGTAGTTCCAAATGGCCCGACGAAACTTGGACGTGTCCACATTCTTGATGCCGCCCATGGTGCAGTAGGTGAGATTGTAGGCGGCTCGAAATTTGGCGTCCAAAAAGGTGCCCACATCGTTGTACAGCCTGGTGTAAATTGGACAACCATTCCTCAGAGCAAATCACCCTCAGCAGTTGGCTTTTCACTTACCCATCCACCAGCGAGTAGCCATGATCCTCCCAGGAGTAGTCCTGAATGCGAAACGTGTTGATGCTTTCGGTGCCGCGCCGGGCGAAGTCCTGGTAAATGAAATTAGCATCTTCCACGTAGTGCGATAGGTTGGTTGGCACGGCAACAGTCGCCTCCGGAGTCACGGCCGCCAGCTCGGCGGTCTGCTGCTCCACCTTCTGGAACCGGCTGCTCAGCTCGGCCTCGCTGCACTCGTCCTGTTTCTGGGAGAGCACCTTCATGCGCTCCATCAGCGCCTCTACGCTGATACCATGCTGCTGTGGTAGTTGCTGGGCCGTGGCTGTAAACCAATCAAATTAGACAAGGACTTTGCAGGACGAACAAAAAATGTATAGATTGGTAAACAAGCCTACACACTGTAAGAAAGAGCTTGTTTTTTTCTTTAGAGGATTTTGTTTTAAAGTTGTTCTATCAACAAAGTGTTCCTAACTATGTTATTAACTTTAATGGTTTCGCTCAGTGTGCAGGAACAACTGGCTGCCCATCACTTACCCAAATATCCGTTGAGGGCCGTTGCATCAGGTCCATCTCCGGTAGCATTTCCCGACTCTGGTGCCGCTCCTCCATTGTTGCTCGCTGCGGTTTGGCTATTGTAATCCGGCTTTGCATTGTTGAGCGAGATCTCGACCAGCACGGTTTTCGCTTTCTGCGGGTCCATCGGGGAGGTGGGGCTGATGGCGGCGTTGCCCAGCACACCGAGCTCGGGGGGCTCCACTACCGCCGGCGGACTCTTCAATTTGGGACTAGACAACCCGTCCAGCTTTTGTGTGAGGCCGCAGGAGAACACAAAGGAGGATAGCGAGTGGAAATGCGAGAGCAGGACCATGGCGTGCACCACCTCCGACAGTGACCAGCTGTTCTTCCCCTTAGTGAGCCGCTGGAAAATCATTAAAATTTCAGGTTTCCCTCTTTCAGAGCTTTCATCCCGAAAATTGAAATACCAACCTCGATGTGCTCCTTGCGCAGCAGCCAGGGACGATGGGCTAATATTTTATTGATATCGTATATGGCACGTAGTTTGGCGGGTATAAAGTCCAGGCCGCCCAGCCAGGCGCTATCTCCTCCCTGGTTGATGAACTCCTTCTCGTACCGCTTCACCAGATACGGGCACTGATGTCGCGCAGCAGCCTGGCGTTTAAGAAAATAGCAAAAATAGCTTTTCATTACTTTTATATATTTAATTAAGTTGTAGAGACTTCTCTTAACTACCCCTTTTAAGTTGTCAGCTTAGTTTTTCTCAGTTTATTCTAGTAATTTTGCTTATAGTTTATTAAGCTGTAACTAGCTTATGCATATAAATAGAATAAATACTATAACTAAGTTTAATAGTTCTTAGTTTGCATTATAATCTCGTATATAATCGGAAAGTTATAATTTCCCAATGAAAGAATCTCAGTTTTGTGACCAAATGCGGCCTTATCCACTATAGAGAACGACGATCGGGTTCAGGTAACATTTTTCTAGGCATTACGTAATTTGTTTTGATCTCCTCACCAAACTCATCTAACCTTGGCCCCCAGCCCTTCGGCCTGCGCCCCCTAACTTCGAGGTGTGAATCCGCGTGACCCACAATCGAAATCCCCCCAGGGTGCGGGACCTGGGAGGGATCGACTCCAACTATGCCACCACCTGAATGTGTGCTAAAAATATGTGGAAACTTATTTCGATCGCGGTGCGTGTGAGTCTCAGTTTGTGACCCAAAACAACAAATATTCGGGCATTGAGAGCGAAAGGCCCATTGCTTGCCTTGCGTTTTGCCTATGGTTTTTTGTATTATTTTGTTGTTTGTCATTAATGAGACTTGGGCAGGCAGGCAGGCGGCAGAATCATGGCATCATGGCATCGTGGCATGCCCTGACATGCCATCGTAAATCTTAAATAATTTTACATTCGCCGAGACCCGAATCTAGACAAAGGCACTGCCAGAATCTGCGATGTTCTATGGACGACTCTTGGGTGCACTTTCCCTCTGAAAAACTGAAAACCAAAAAGCGAAAACGCGCAAAAGCATCTCAATTTGGTGGCATGAGTTAATGTAATGTGTTTATTATTTGCCGCGTCGAATGCGGAGTGCCAAAGACCCTCGCGGCCGACATGTCAACTATAAACAGAAAATATATGTACTTTTTTATTGGGTTTACGATTATTGCACACGCACAGCTAAGGCCATAAATTATTATATATTCAGGGGGCCAAGAAGCGGACTCATTTGCTACGAACAGCGTAGAAGAACAATTGGAAATCTTGTGAAATAATTGATTAATGCGCTCTCTGCGCTCTAGCACTCGGATCTCTCAATTGCAGCTATGAAAATCGAATATTGATTGGCCATCAGCTGCCCAATGCAGCTAACTGAAGTCATAAATCAGTTTTAATTACGCATTTGCTAGCCACTCTTACGACCCAAAATTATAATTATAGATCTCTTTATTATGATTGCAAATGACTCAATCAGAGGAGCTATCCATTCCATTGGCATACAAAGAAGCATTCTTTAAGTTCATTTTGGTTAATATTTAATTGGTTTTGCCCTAAATTAAACTGACATATTGAATCATTTTAAAGCAGTAAACATTTTTGATTAAGAGAGACTAAATGTCAGAAGACATAAAAACCAAGGCCTTGGGGCGTTGTTTTCTGGTTGCAGATGGAAAACAACATGCCGGGTCGATGCTATCCAGCTGTCGCTTTGAGTTAGCCAAACTCGTTATAAATATGACACAGTGGGTGGAGGACAACTCCCACCTGTTAGCTACAGTATTACATTCTCTGTTGCAGTTGGGTGCTTCAAACTCTGGACTTAATTCTCTGTTATTGTTGTTGATATGCCAACGGAATGGGGGAGAGGTAAAATATTGACGGGGGAATCAGACAGTGGAAGTGGCAAATTCGATCTGACAGCGCCAGGTTCCCGGGAATGGAGTACCTGGCCAAAAGCCCAGCTTGGGGTGGTGCATTCGGGCTTAGAGGGATTTGATTTTAGCCAGAACGCGAAATCCAGGCCTATCAATCTGCACATACACAGGATGCACGGAACGTGCTGTGAATAGATTTCCTAACAAAAGTTCAGCCAGAACAATGCCAAATGCCATGCTGCCCCACTGGATTCTCTATTCAAAGCTCCATGTTCCCATTCACAGCAGGTAATGCATTCCATTGGGCCAATCAATGGCTATTGTTTTATGCGAACTTGGCAGCCAAATAAATTCAGAAACAGGCAAAAATAGAAATATTGCAGGCAATTGCATCAAATTCGGTCTATTATTCATGGGCTAGTGCTGTTAGGATTTAAAACTGATTTCATTTACTCACAATTATGGCCAAATAGTATCTGTAGTCGTTCGGCAGCGGTCCGTCGCCCTTCATTATAAAGTTCTGGGTGCGCAGAAAGTGATCGTGGAACTGCGGATGGTAGCCAATCACCTGGGTGACCTGATCCAAGTCATCGAACTCGTCCATCTCAAGGTCAGATGATCCCGATTTCGTTGCAGAGAAACACTGGAATACACGAATAGATTGCCATTAGTATTTATTCTCGTTTATTTTTAATATTATCCTGCCAAGTTAAAACAATTTAAAACTTTTCATCACTCGCCCGCCATAAAGCAAAAATGCAGAAAATCATTTTAATTGATTTAAGCTTAGAGCCCCTCAGTAATGGTATAATGAAATCTCCGTAACTTGAAACCCCACACACAAAATAATTACAATTTCAATGAAGTTTACAGCCAACGCATTGCGTATACGAGCTGTGGTCCATGCCATTTGCCAGCAGTGAATGAAGCGAAGCATGTGTAAATGAAATTCCAAGCGCAAAACTTTCAAAACTAATTCCCTGTTCGGAGCAGAAATTAAAATATGAAAACGAGAATCAGAATGGTGTGCATGACTTGACTTTTATGCCGCTTGCAGGCTTCCCATTCGTCCCTACCTCCCTTTTTTGCCAGAGTTGCCAGTACTAGTCCCTGATTTTGTCGGGCATCACGTATACGTACAGCTGACAGGAGCATACATAGGCTCTGCATAATTTTGGGTCTCGGCAAGAGGCGTGCCTAATTGCGTCTGAAATGGAAACGGAAAGCCGAGAGATCTGCATAAAGGCAATTGCACGCATAACGAAATGAGGAATTTAATAAACTTGAACAAACGGGCAAGGCAATTTGCGTGATGTTCTCAGCTTCCCTGGATTTCTGGCACTCAATTCCGGCCATCAATAGCTGGCAGCCATGGTAGCCATGGCAGCCAACCCCTTTTACATGGCTCCATTCTGCAGTTGCAGTCAAGAAATGCCCCAGCTGCAGGTTCACAAGACATAAGCTCAGATTTTGCAGAGCCTTTTCATAGTCCTGACCTTTGTAAAGCTGATTTTCTGGTCCACCCACTAATTGCAATTTTCTTGCCATTGCCTTATCGCACCAGCAACACAAAGGCAGCCCTAGCAAGAAGGAGAACCAAAGAAAAGCCAGCTAAATGACTGACAAATATTAATAATAGCTAGCATTTATGGTGCGGCATTTTAGCTTGCTGATAACAGCAGCAGAGCCACAAAGCTTGCAGGCCAGCACGTCGTATACTTGATGTACTTGATTGGGCTGCGAATAGCCGATTGAAAAGGTAACTTAATATATGCATAATTGGATGTTGGCTTAGACCCAGCTCTAGCCCCAGCTCCAGCGCCGATATTCAATGCTAATTATGAATATCAGGTTTAGCTTTAACCTCAGATTCCACCCACCCACAAAACACCAAATCGGGGCAGCGATGAGCTCTTGAATTCCAAGTGGGATGCACCCACGCCCGCGTGTTAAATTCATATTTAATCAGTTAACTGAACGCTTTGCTCGGGTCATCGTAAATCATGAGATTCCCCACTAAATGCCATCACTTTCACATAATTAATTAATTCTAGTGCCGGAGATGTGTCTCTTGGTAGCTGCCATTTCGGACATAACAAATGTCGGACAACGCATAAACAAGACTAGCGCCATTAATCAATGTGATTTATGCGTATGCAGATCGAGAAACTATAACTCTAGCCTCCTCTATGATCTGGCCAGTTACACTTGCTAATTAAAAGGGTAAGTCGTAGCTGGCCGAAGATATGCAAATGGCACCGTGCTGACATTTCCATCATTATGGGTTCTCTTTGGGAATCCATAAATATACAAATTGGCACACTCACACCCACGCACCCCGGGGGCACTGGGGGGAGAGAGATGGGGAAACCCGTTTGGAAAATAAAAACTAGTTTCTGTGACATACAGCACACGACCCAATCCCAATCCAGTCCAACAGCCAGCAGCTTTGAACGGAGCTTAGGCCAAGTTTAATGGGCATGTACACTTATAGTGCATATCCATTTCTGAGCCGCTATACACATATATTTCTATATGTATCTGCGGGTAACATTGGCACGAAGCTTTTCACTGTTTTCTGGCTTTCCAGCCCCTCCTTCCTTTCCGCCACTTCTCTTTCGCTTGCGAAACCTGTTCGTCTGCCATGGCGTATACGTGATAATTGAATCGTGCTTCCCATGCATGTGGGTGCATTTCCCAAAACCACCCACTTTGTCAGCTTATAAGTGTTGTTAATCAAGGCCCTCTGACCTCAAGACGTGGTCATGGCCTTTAGTTTTGGCAATGACGAAATTACACTTCAGAGGGAATCATCTCAGAATGTAATGAAGTAACTTCTTATGGATGGTTTTGTTGGTTTCAAAATCAAATTAACTTGCTTTTTGAAGAATATATTAGTATCAGTTTGTGATTGCAAAAGATTAAAATCTTCATTTTATCAAGAACATATCATTAAGCCTAACCAGATTAGAAGTGCCTGCGAAACGGAAACGGAAACCGTCGAATCAAATTTGTAGCCTGCAATTAATACCGTTGAATCGGAGTGATAAAGTGGGTGTTCTTCACCCATTGAGGAGCAAAACTGAGGCCAGTGGCCCCAATCAATCCGCCGCTGGCCGAAGACTTTCCGCGCCAACTGTTAACGTGCGAGATCATGGAGCGTGGCGATTAAATCAAAGATAATGTAGAACCGCTGAATGCTAATGTTTGCCTGTCTGGGGTGTGTGAGTGGAGGAGTGGGTGGAGGAGTGGGTGGAGGAGCGGGCGCGGAGTGTTCACTGTACGGTGCGACTGGCAATTTGTATCTGCCGGATGCACGAACGAACGCAACTCTTTACGCTCTTAGGCTTATGTTAATTGCGGCCAATTAATTGCTGTAAGCTAATTTTGATTTCCTCTGCCTTTTTTCGCCAGCGCAAACTAAGCCAAATTAATAAATTAGCATAATTAACCGCGGGAATAACAATAAATTAACTGTAATTTCAACTCCGCCCCAAATGACTCTGGAAATTCATTGTCTTTGGTGGCTCGCAAACGCGGTGAGTGTCAACACGGCCCCCAAACAGATTAAAACAAAAGCTGGTAAACAGGCAAATAAATTAGCATAAATGGTAGAATGCCAGCAGCAGTGGAGGGAGAGAGATAGAAAGAGAGAGAGAGAGGAAGAGAGGGAGAGTGAGAAAGAGAGAGAGAGAGAGCAAGCGAGCGAGATAGGTGGCTTCAAACAATAAGCAAGTAAACAAGCAAAGTGGAAAAAACGTCAGGTGTTATGGAAATGCAAACTAAAAACAACGACGCCAAATAAAATCTAGGAAAGTGCGAAAAGTGAAATAGAAATTAAGCAACAATGTAGCAGCAATTAAATCTAAAAAATGTATTCAACGAATTAATGGGAATAATCCCTTAAGAAAATGAAAAGGTTTTCATAATCATATAACTTCATTAAGTAACTTCTCATAAGTTAAGAGAGAGCTATAAAAATAAACTGAAAATGGCCATGAATAGAGTCAGAAATGCAAATGAAATGTTCCTAACAAAACCTTTTAATTTAAATAGTTATGATTTGTTACCGCTACAAAGAGAGCCACAACAAATCTTACTCGTAATCTTAACAGGATGCTTGGGATTGGCTTTGCCTTCCACAAATGGGTCAAACACTCTACCCCGTTGGCCACCAGATCGGCAGGCATATAGCCTATAGCTTATCACTGCCGTATACACCTGAGCCCGGGGTCTGCTCACTTACACAGTCAACGTACAGAAAATTAAAATAATAGTAAAAAACCAAGTGCTCGGCTGTGTGCGTAGATAAAGAGACTTGTCTAGACGTGATAAACTATTTTTTCTATAGTTCACAGCACAGACTAATAAGTATATACGAACGTGACCGTATGTGTGATATTGTTTTCGCAACTTGCACTTGCACTGTGGCATATTTCATTAGTCTGGCCAATGGAAGGAGAACTACCATACAAACAGAGCATCTGGCGATCTCCCAATCTAGCTGTGTTTATTTCAATTCATTTGGTTTAACCAGCTCTTCATAATAATAGTTCTTTCTGGTAAGATAATACGCAGATAATTACCTTAAATTAGCAGTAGTAGGGCCACTCTACCTTCCGATGGGAACATCAAAAGAAACACAATGAGCGTTCTGCCTGCTCGAAATCTTTTGTTTTCCGACCAACCTTAATACGTATTTAAATCACTAAGTGAGTGTGCGTGTTTTTCTATTTTTTATTTTTGTTTTTGCTTCGTTTTTTGATCTGTGTGGGTGGGTGGTACGTGTTTTTCCAACCTCGGATACCTAAATAAAAAAAAAAATAAAAGCTGTCTGGCACTCGAAGCGACACTTTGTCTGCTGATAAAGTGCAACAACACAGCCAACAGCCAACAGGCAAGAGCCAACAGCTCGGCAAATGGCAAACAATCATGACAAAGTGTGGCAAATTATTAGGTCTACGGCAACGTCTGTAATGTGTATATATCCACATGAACGCGTGTGTACGCATTGTCTGCAAATTGTGTCTTTGTATTATCGTGCACTCGTATAGTGCCCTGTCTTCGGCAGATAACGCCCTCTGATAACAAACCCACCCCCACCCCCTCATCGAACAATGCAAATCGACAAGAGGCGCAGAAATGGATCTGGCTCAGTTAGTAAATGGTACGAGTAAGAGAAATGGGTTAATGAACTCAGAAAGACATTTCTAAATATTCCCGAAACTCTATAATTAAATGCTTAAATATAGCGAATATCTCGTTGACTTTTATAAGCATGTGCCAGAGATTTATGCGCGAAACACTATTTAGCAAACTGTTTTTCTTTCTTATTTATGAACTGTGGCTGGGCTAGGCTAATCAGTTTTAATTAAATCCCTGACTTCCTCTTTCAGAAATTAGTCAAACCAATGGCCACTCTCTAAGCGAAGGTGTCATCAGAGTGCATTTCTGCATTTGGCTGCTTTTGGGGTTCTGATTCGAATCAAACCCCGTCATTCGCTCAGTCAATCAGTCACTTTTGCCACTCAGCCAAAGGCGAAAGCCTTTTTGGCCTCCTGCCAGAGTGGGAATGGCGCACATCTGTTTATTTTGATATTGCTCTCATGCCACGGTGACTGACTGAGTGACTGGCACAGGCACACACACACACACACACACTCACCCATATGTATGTTTGTAGCCCAAAAACACCCACCCACCCACTCTGCCACCCCTTTCACACCCTCCCTCCGATCCCACGGGCTGCGTATTTTTATACAATTTATATTTTCATTGCGTAAATAAAATTCTTTGCCTGCCACAGATGGCTGATGGCCGCTGGCTGTTTATGTTCTTTGTCATTGAGAGCGAGTATCGGGGAATGATAATTGAAATTATTATTATTATTTTCACTTTGATTCAGTTGCAGTGCAGTTTCAGTGCAGCTGCAGTTTGGTATTAAAGTGCAGTTGCAGGAAGCGATGTCCTTGTCTTGTGTAAAATTTGTTTAAATCTTCAAACTTTTTACTTGCAAAAAGTTCTCATTTCTTTCATATTCCCATAAAATGTTTATGGATGGTTTAACTGCCTCAAACGAAAAGTTGATTAAAAGTACAATTTGATAACGACTTTGAATTGCCAGATTGAGAGAGTTCTTTAAAGTTCTTTTTGTGTATTTGAAAGGCATAAACTCTCTCTATTAGTTTTCATGCCTAAACTACTTCTTGATTACCTTTAAACTAGAACAGAGCTGTATTACTTCCCACATCTGGCAATCATTTTACAATAGTTGGTATTATTTGTTATTGAAAAACATCTGAAAGCATCTGCTGCGCCTAATCAATTATTCACTCACTCTATAGCCTCATTTTTAGTTCACTTTAATTGAATTAATTTCAAGTCGCAATTACGCGACATTTGCATCAATTTCGCTGATTAGCTGACCCAGTTTGGCAATCATATTCGCAATGAAAATAAAATACCAGAGTCGCAGCTTTAGTGTTATCTATTTTACAGCCCCACGGTTCTACATCTACATAAAGCCATGCTGCCTGCCTGCCCTCCCGCTTATCAAAGTCTTATCGAAGGTTTCACAAAAATTCCACAATCCTTTCCGCACACTCACTGCGCATTAAAAAGTTGGCAACTGAGTTCGGTTACCATGCCATGCTCATCCACTCACTCACTTTTTTAACCATTTCAGCAACAGCTCTGCTGATTGTTATTTTTGCCTTCATTATATTCTCTTTTTAACAACAATTTTCCAACAAGAATGGCAAACAAAACATGCATTTTTCAAATTGCAAATGATGGTACGGCACTGCCGGGTATTTCCTCACGCAGCATCCTTTCATATTTGCAGTGCGCTTTTAAGTTTTCCTGTTCAGGGAAAAGTTAATTAATGTGCTCGGCCCGATGCCCGCCCACTCAGACACTCCGAAACACAAAAGCATATATCGCATTTCAACGTTTGAATAAAATAAAAACTAATTTGGTTGGCCGGGCAACAATGTTTGCATCTCATATCCATCTCATATCTGAGTTGCACAAACCGCATGGCAGGTTTTCCTGCTCAAGTAATTAATTTAATATTTTAAATCATTATACAGCCCCTGAAATTTGATATACATTTCCATCCAATTAAATAAGCACAAATTTAGAGTCGAACAAATTATTTAAGAACTAATGGCACTTCTCAGGCAGAAACTGTTGCAACATGTTGTGGCCACATTTGTTTCTACTTCATGTCGAACTCGTAAACAACATATAAAACGAAGTACTTTGGCATGTTATGGGCCATAAAAACCAAGGCAGTTAGTGAAACAACAGGCCTAGTCAGCAGAAAAAGCACACTTTACATAAATATCTCCCTGAACTAAGGAATAACTAGCCTAACCTTAGTAATGGTAAACCATCAATCGATGGTTATGGCATAGTCACTTAATAACCTTTCAGAAATCCCATAAAATCCAAAACCTTTTCCTTAGAGTGCTCTATTGAGAATTATCATATGGACATAACATAGAACAAACTCTACTTACATCTTGAGAGATTTGTCCCATATCCGCGTAGTAATCAACAGCGTAGTACATGAGTCTGGCGGAGAGTACGGGTCCAAGTTGGATGTGGATGTGGATGTGGATGTGGAATCAGAGGTCGCAGTCAGTCGTTGCAGCTACGATCGCAGTTGCAGTAAGAAAATAACCAGTTTTCGCCTGGCTCTTTGTTTATGGAGCCACGAAAGTGGAGCAGCCACCAAACTGGAAATGCACCAAAGGAGGAGGCTCGTCCGCGGATCGCTGCTTTGGAGCCAAACCAGATTTTCTTTTCTCGGCCGTTCAGGGTCTCCCTGTGCTGCTTTTGATTGTGGTTTTGATTTTGATTTTGATTTTGGTTTTGTCAGGGCAATTAAAGAGGCTTTTTGGGCTTAAATCAGCTATCTTCGGTGGGCTTTCTTTCTTAATCTTCTCGATGTCCAATGGCCAATATCCAAGATCAGCCAAGTATCCGAGGTCGCGGATTGTGGTTCAAGCACTTGTACGTATAGCTATATATCCTCAGCACGTTCTTCTCATCAATAATGGTGACTCCTTGACTGGAGTGACTAAAGCATTGGCAGTTGGTGCTGTTGATGTTGATCTTGTTTTTGGTTTTCATTTGTCAGTTTTGGGCTTGGCTACCTTTCCACTTTGCACTGGTCACTTTCCCAGATTTCCCGCTACAGTCTCACTTGGTTTTGATTTCGATTTGGCTAACTGCGGAAGAGAGAGAGAGAGAGAGAGAGATAGAGGTCGTTAGCCAATGATCTTTATTAATTACCATATCACAGCTCTATCGAATCGCTTCCCACAGCAACAACTCGTTTCTACCTCTTCCCCGACTTCAATTAGCATTCAAATGCCAGTCAAAATATTCAGTTTTTCGTCGCTTTCTTTTTTTTTTTAGTTTTATTTGAGCTTTTTTGTGGGCTTTCTGTGCTGTGCTGTGCTTGGCTGTGTATTTACCAAGCCTACACAGACAGCGTAAAAATCGCGCAATGCCAAAAATAAAAAGCAAACATCGGACACAAAGCAAAACGCAGCAAAAAATTGGTAAACAAACTGGCAACTGGGAATGGTCGAAACGAGTTTGCTCCTCTTCCTGGGGCAAGGTGAGAGTCAAAAAAAAAAAAAACAACAAAAAACCAACAAAATAATAACAATAATGGAGCGACGGCGTAAATGTGAAACCGAAATTAATATCAACTGCAAACAGCGCATTTTTGGCAGACAGACGCAAAGTGACAAACAAATAGCCACGGCAAGCCAAACAAAACAAGGAAAATGGAAGTGGAAATGGAAATGGAAATGAAACAACAAAGGAACAAACCCAACAATGAGTACAACAGGCAGGAACAAGGCGGTCGGGAAAATGAGGTAAACAAACAGCGGATTTCGTTGGCAAAACAGATGATAGAGTTACGGGCCTGGTTAATCTCTTGCGGTTTTTGGCTCGCATTGAGATCTCGGGATTAAGATCGGGATGGAGGCTAGGGAGGCAGCCGTCATCAAAGCGAATTACACAAACGTGACTCTGACATTGTAGGCGGCTGCACTGGAATAACAAAATAGCAAACAAATCGAGGCACAAATCGGGAAAAACAAAACCAACAAAGGCTGCTTTTGTAACCCAAGCCAGTTGGCCGCACTCGAATGACACAAACAACGTTACAAAGTTTCCTATTAATAATTTTTTATTATCGACAGCGTCATGAGCATACTAAACGCTTCACCGCTTCCCAATCCCTTCAACAGCTGGCCACTGGATTCGTTGACAGATAGTAAATAATCGGTAAACACGCCTGCGACACAGTGCCAGGTTTTCACTGGTTTGCCCAACTAATTAGCGAAAATATTGAACCACACTTCGGCCTGGTCTAGTCTGTTCCAGCACACTCCAGACAATCGATGCACTGAGAGAAACTAGCCTCTAATCTTTCTATAGTTTGTTAAGAATTCTCAATGTTAACTTCTCTGGACTTATAAAGAAATAAATTTATTTATAATTCTGTTCCTTGAATATATCGGCAACAAATTGATTATTACTATATTACTGAACCAAGAAAAGCTGCTTGCAACTGATACTGACCGAAGTGTTTTCTCTGCGTGTCCCTCCGCTCCATCTCAGTCTAGTCTTGAGTGTCTTGTTTATCGGCGGCTCTGTATGAACGTATTTAATTTATCCACTCACACCACTCGCAGCGTGAATTATACTATGGATGCTGTAAACGAACTCTGCTGCGCGGTGACATTGAACGGCGTCCACAAAACACAAATACACAACGACCGAGCCGGGGCGTTGACGATGTGCCGCCATGCGTATGAGCGTTATTATCACGTATACGCATGGTAAACATGGTAAACAGCATCTTTCCCGCCCTTTGTGGGCGCACAACGGACCATGGGCGTGCCTGACCGCAAACACTCGTCGCCTTTGCATTAATAATTAAATCTTCCTTTCGCTCTCTGATCGAGCTTAGATTGAATAAGCAGATCAAATTGGCCGAACTTGCATTAATTATTAATTTAAAAAATACTTCTCTTTAGGTGTTACTTATCAGGAAAACTCTTTATGAGAATCATTCGTTGTTCTTTTATTCAAAATTTTCGTGCAACAATGCACAGCTGGAAAAATGTAAATGCAAAAGCCAGGTTGTAACCAGACGTCATGGCGCGCCTTGTGGCTTTGTTTTTCAGCCAGACTCTGGCTTTTTGATGTTAGCGTCATGCGGGTCACACCTCCCCCTGTGCGCAGGCTTAATAAAGGCGTGATTTAATAAGCATTGTGCAAATAAATGTTCATAACCAGAAACAGGAGTCATCTGCTACCCATTTCTGATTACGGTTCAGGGGGTGTTTACGTAAAATGTTTACCTTTGACTTAATATAAAGCTTGGAATGAATAAAACCATTAAAAACTGTTACCACTCTATGCCTTAAAAGTCATCGTATAAGTATTTTCTTTGACGTATCTTTGGTGGCAGCTATTAAATTCCAAAAGTCTTTTCCCACCTATTTGGTGACCACATCCCGCTAACCATGTGTAACAGGGACTGTTGCCAGGCCAGGTCGCCGATTGCCAAGCGAATGGCGGCACGGCGGCTTTTGCAGATGGAGGAGGAGGAACGGAAGAAGCCCAAGATGGTGATCCCGACACCGCAAAGTCTGTTCTACCCCTTCGACGTAGTGGAGGCCATGGCCAAGTACATTACAGACGTCGGTCGCATCCGTCCGAAGTACGGATTGATTTGCGGCAACTTCTTGGGTGAGATGATCTCTCTGGTGGAGCAGCCGGTAATCATTCCCTACGAGGATATCCCCAACTTCCCCGACGGCATAGAGCCAGACTGTAGCTTCGTAGTGGGTGCATTTATGGGTGCCCCCATTGTAGCGACAGTCAATCGGTTCCACTTCTGCGAAGGCTACAACCTGGCCACCTGCTCGCTGCCCGTCCGCGTGATGCAGTTGTGCGGGGTCAAGACCATCATGCTGGCCGCCGAGGCAGGCGCTGTGAGTCAGAAATTCGGCCTGGGCGACATAGTGCTGGTCCATGACCATCTGAATATGGTGGGCATGATGCACCAGACGTCGCTGGAGGGACCCAATGATCCCCGCTTTGGCAGCCGCCGCTTCTCGATGGTGAACGCATATGATAACGATATGCTGGAAATGGCTTTGGAGATTGGAAAGAGAATGGGCATTCAACAGTTCCTCCATAAAGGTGTCTTCGCTTGCCTCGGTGGTCCTGTCCACGAGACCTTAGCTGAGGAGCGAATGCTGCGAGCGATGGAAGTTGATGCTGTGGGAATGGGCCTGGTGCCCGAGGTGATTGCCGCCCATCATGGTGGCCTAAAGGTGCTCGCCTTTGTGGTAATCAGTCAGGTGGCAAACGATATAGAAAATGTCGAGAAGGACAAGGACACGGACACGGATGTGAGAAACGAAAAGCCGGAGGAGGAATCCCCGGAGATCTCCCCACTCAGGATTCAAGCCTGTTCTGATCTGATCGGTCATATGCTCTACTACATGCACCATGAGCTCTGACGTTCGATTCGCCCCGTCCCGTCCCAAAAATAGATTTCTTAAAGCCCCCGCCCGGTCTGTTGTATTTTGTTGGTGCAGCAAGTGTGTTGCCAACGCGGAAATAGCGACAGGTGCAGCAGCTGTTGCCGCAAATTTCACAGGGAAGAGTTGTCACGAGGGGGCGGTGCAAGTGCGGGGTGTGAGGTGTGAGGTGTGCGCTGTGAGGTATGAGGTGCGAGTGTGCCTGGTGTCAGGCTGTCAGCTAATGGACGGAGCCCAAATGGCCAGCAATAAAAAGCGCAGAGTGCTCGTATCGGAGCACACTGGTCGTATACGTAATGCCTAATGCTTAGGTGCCCGAAATGTACATTTAGCCATCTGTAAAATACATTTTATGGCAATTAGCAAGGAATGAAACCCGAACTACTTTGTTGCTTTGGGCCAACAAGTTTGTTACAGCCGAGAAGGTGGAGAAGGTGAACCTGTGTGTAAAGCAAATTAGAAGCATGAATATATTTTGAACTAAACAATAATTTCCATTTCATTCTGGCCAGAGCCTTTCGTCAACAAGTTGGCAAGTTACAATGACAATCGAACGTTATCTTCCTTTGAGCCAACTTGGCGGGGCTTAGCCTGATTTTGTAATGACAATTACAAACTTACACAGCGACTTCTTCTTTGTTCGTCATTGTTGCTAATTTTATTATTTGCCATTGTGCAGTTGCAAGCGCGGCGATGGATGCGATGACGAACATCGTTTGCGCTCGCTTATTGACGCTGATTGTTCAGATATAAGTGCATATATATAGTAGGGGCATACGCTATACGTACATAGCGATAGCCACGAGCTGTTTGCCTTGCGATTTGTGCTCTACGTTTGCTTATTTTTTGTATTTTGTATTTTTTGCTTCTGTTTCTGTTTTCAGCTGTGCGATCATGCGGCTAGAAAGCGAGATTTTCCCCGGCTTGCACCGATTTCCCCCGTTTTCCTCCGATTTCGGCTTGTGGCATTACGCTAATGAGTTTTTTTTTTCAGTTTTGCGGGGCCAGTTCGTTGACCCCAATGCATGTGCTTATTTTCAATAAGCGTTGGAAAATTGAATGCAATTTGCCACCAGTTCTGACTGCGTTTGTGGCGCATATCGCTATCGCTGATGCTGATGCTTATGCTGATGCTGTGGGCCAGTTCAGTGCACTGACATTACAATTTAATTTTAAATATCAAAAGCATTCGGGGCATTTGTGCGTGAATATCGGCGTGCCAACGATTGCTGTGCCAGCTGATTCACAGATGCATATCTGCATCACAAAGATACTCAGATACATAGATATTCAGATACATAGATACTCAGATACATAGATGCGGTGCATAGTTGTGGCATTTCAATTGCCAGCGAGTGCAACATCTGCCCGTTATTTTGGCAATTTAATCGTCAACAAGGACCTGATCTGCCACTGACGCAATTTAAATGGCAAGCAGATGCCGGCCACTCGGCGAGAAATGCGTCCAATGCTCAATCAACTGACACCGCAAACAAATGCTAATTATAATGCCACGGGGTGTCAGTAATTTTTCAAAACTCACCTGAGCCACAATCTAATTTAGCTTGTCTCTTAAAAACATATAGTCACTAGGAGGCCATAGCTTATAAACCCTAAAATTTCAAATCATAATTTCATTTCAACCGCATTTTGTAAATAAATCAAACACCAGCAAGGGGACTATATTTTCGCACACGAAATTACTTTCCCATTGAAATTATTATTCGATTGTAATGTAATTTGTGCCATAATACGAAATACATAATAATATGTACGTAAATACACATTGATAACGTCATTCGCGGCAACGATTGATAAATCCTGCAGCCCAGCAGAGGCTATAAATGCATGAAAATCTGAAATTATTACACAATTGGCCGGCTGTTGCTAGGTCTCTGCCAACCGTAGGCTCTAATCACCTGCCTCCATAAACAATATTTTAAGATTAGATTTTTTCATATATTAACTTGACTTAAGTCGATCCAATCAATTTTTATTAAGTCTGCTGATATGCCCATAAATCGGGAGTTGTTTGTGCTGCTTTCGGGAAACCCAAAAGTGATTAGTCCTGCCGGATAGGAGTAATGAAAACATTCGATCAAATGAAAAGAAAATCCCCTAGTTGATATTTTCCCTTTGACAAGCATCTAAGTATATAAAACTGAAGTGCTTTTTCTTTCCATTTCATTCAAACTACTGCAGTAAAGTCACTAATAAATGGTTGGAAAGTACAGGGAAGTGCAAATATTATTTGAAAATAATAGAGTAGCCTAGGCAATACTCTTTCTTTGTGTATAATTCAGTACAAGGAAAGTTACATAACCGTTAGATGTAGAACAAACTGGTATACCCTCTACTGAGAAGCGTAGGAAAAGCGGCATGGAAATTACTCAGTTTGTGTGTGACTACTTGTAATAAGGAAAAGTAGAAAATTGCACAAAATAAACGGCAGGCCAGTTGCAGTTGTTGCAGTTGTTGCACTTGTTGTTGTTGCCGCTGCTGTTGCTGCCGTTTGTTGCTGCCGTTTGCTGCTCGGCAAGAGAGTTCAGTAACCTCAAATTGCGCCCATAGAAGTGACTATAATTTAAGCAGCAGGCGTAGTGTAAGTAGTGCACAGAAAACAAAAAACAATACTTTGAAAAAATTTCGAATTAAGAACAATGTATTGGCTAAACGAGTTTAATGCCACTCTAATTGGTTTTATATATGAATTCAATTTCCATTGAAAAGGTTTGTTCTTCGACAACTCGTTGATATATTTTCGCCAGTGCCTTTTTAAATAAATAATAGGAAGAGCATATTGAATAAATAATGTGAGTGGCCATAGGTCAGGGAAAGCCTCTTTGCCATTGTTTTCCGACCAAAAGGACGATTCCGTGTGATTTCGCAGAACGTTTCTGTTGTTTGTGCCGCTCGAAAGCCGCTTAAAATTGATTGCAACATTGAAGGGGAGCACATATCAATTGCCCTCTCCGCCGGCGGTTCAAGTGATTTCCCATCGCACACACACTCGTGCACTCGAGCCCTGGCCCACACACACACACACACACACACTCAAATACGCACACTAACGGCAATCTTGATGCGCCTGGTAACAGTAAAGCAACAACAACATTCGCAAACCCGCGAGCAACAGTTGTTCGAGTGCAGTGTGTGTGTGTGCGTGAGCAACTGTGTGAGCTGAGCGAGTGTTCGGATGTGTGAAGTATCTGTGTGCGACAGCGACGACATAGCAACCGTTTATCATAATTGGCATTAACTGCCAGCCATTCCTCAATTCTTTTTGGCCTGGAGCATTACGTATACGCCGGGGTGGTATAAAAAGAATTCACTTCCGAGCAGGGGTTTAATTTTACAGGCTCAGCACTTTTTCCCTTCGTTTCATGTTATTTTACTGTGTTTTGTTTTGCATATTACGTTCATGTCGGTGTAATTAATTGTTTCATCAGATGTTATTGTGTAACAATAACAATGGGTATTAACGAACGGGCCACCGCAAGTACCATGTTCTGAATGCAGGCCGAACATTTTACTAGCCAGCAAATGATAAATGTTTAACAAGATGCTTAATTAGTAGCATGATTATTTAATTTGCGAGCGGCGATAAGAGGAAGATGCCAAGGCGGAGACGGAGAAGAAAGAATGATGAAATAGCCGCGACAAGCGAATAATGGAAACGGTAAACAAACGAAGGCAACAAAGTGAATAAATGCCTTCAGCAATTTACCAAAAACTGCTGTACGAACCGCCGCAGTGGGGCAAAAAGAGAGGGAGCAACGCTCACCGAGCGAACATGCTGCTTAATTTAGATTCCCGTGCGGTAGGTCAAGTGCCAATTTCCTCAACTCGAAATTGTGTGGCAAAGGCAAATCAAAGTCTGTAAAAATTGAATCACAAACACTCGACCGTCTGTCTCTCCGTCTTGCCATTTGTTTCCATTTCTTCCAACTTCCACCTTTCCGTTGAGCTGAATTGTGTTTTTGCCCTGAAACCTGTTGCTGACATGACAGCGCGTCCATCAGAAAAGTTCCTGGGCCTGCCCAAAAAAGAAGCGAGTAGAAGGACTTGCCAACTAACCGCAGACTTCACATATGGATTCTGCCACATTTTAGGGGATTTTCTGAGGAGGTGCCCCGAACTAATGCCAGCAAATTGAAACAGAATCGATAAGTAACCTGCGAATGAATCCAAGGCTCTGCACAGGGAAAACAAAGTTTGTATTTAAATACAGTAATAAATCCGCAAAGTTTTAAAAGCTTTGAAAAACATATGCTACGATGTAGCATCAGAGAATTTGCTTAAAATATAACTACTAATTTATACTATAGATGAAGTGAGCTTAAGGTAAATACCCCCCAAGTAGAACATTTTCCCTCAGTGCTTTCAGTTTTTTGCAAACATTCTTGTTCTGGTCAAGCCCTAATGGAACATCCTATTTTGACCTGAAAGCCTCTTACTGACATCTGTGGCCACAAAGGACATTTGCATGTACAGGTTTTGAGACAGGGCTGGCTTTAAAAAAGAAGAGTAGTTCGAGTTGGAGGGAAACGAGGTATTTAGTTGTAATCCCAAAGCGAACAAATAAATGTTTTGTAATACATTTCAATAAAAGTAACGTGGAAACTTACCCTTTGTTCTCTGGATTAAAACTCTCTTCATTTGCTCGCGAGCGATAGCAGTAATCTCTTTTAATTTCGGTTAATTTGGTTAAGAGACAGTCCGTTACTTTTGTTTAAGTGTTTGTCTTTTAAAATCACCGATAAGAAGGGTTCTCTCTTGCTCTCGGATAATACATATAGTAACATATAGCAGCTAATTGCAGGCTGTTTTTCTTTTGGAAATCGGCAAAGGGGGATCCGAACATAAAACACGAAAAACTGTGGATGAAATATTGTTTTGATCAAAAAAGCGCTTTCGAAATGAAAACCGAACGAAAGAAATAGTTGGGCTGGTGTGAAGAGACATGGGTTTTCGCTCGAATTCATAAATAATTCTTGGCAGATTTTCTGATTTACGCTCTCGCCCGATCATTAATTATGTAAGTTGAACGAAATTCCCGAAACCGCCATTGAAATGAAGCACCAAAAAATAGAAAAACTGATTGCATTTGGCGCGAAAAATAGACAACAGCAAACACAGATAACAATAATAGTTTATATTTAAATTTGAACCGCAGCGGCAGCAACAACAATGGCCAGCATCGTTTAATTTGTTTACGCGGCTCGAGTTCGTTGTTATTCGTCTATGAGGCCAATCTAATTTATGCTCTTGCCCGTTGTTGTTTCATTTTTTCAGTTTCAGTTTTGGTTTTGATTTTAGTGTGTTATTTTTCGGATTGAGTTTTGCTTTTTTTCTTCTTTTTTGCCAGTTGCCTTTGCAAGAAATTTCTGTAGTAATTTTCCATGCAATAACAATGATTTTCGCTTTCGTATTTTTTGGCGCTATCTTTTTGCCGCCTGCATTTGTGTCTGCCTTCCTGCTTGCTTATTTCTTCCTTTTGCTCACAGTTAACACGGGAAATTACCAGAAGTGACGAAATAATAAGAACGAACCAAAAAGGGGGAAACGAAATAAAAACGGTTATCCGATGTTTTTCGGAGTTTTCTGATTTCCCGCGATCTTCCGCTGCGAGTGGGAGGAGATATCGGCCGTTCGCTATCGGGTTATTCTCTCGGTGCCTTCTAGCCAGCGGACAACTGAACGCGGCCAGCGACAAACTTCAACTGAAACGAATCGAAACGATACAGCTGGTATCGCGGCCCCAATGCAACAACAACAGCTGACGACGACCAAGAGCCGAAGAGCACTCGGTACACTGAAAGAAAATATCTAACCTCCGTGATTTCGATATGATTTTGAATCAGAATGAAAATACTAAGCGGTAGAGGAAATCTCAAGAATTAAGGTACAACATAGTTTTTCTCCCAAATATTATTTGTAATATCATACTCTTATGTATCTGTAGAAACTTGGGGGTATATAATAGTAAGAAGAGTTTACTTACTTTATCAACATTTCCTTGGTTCTTAGATTCTTTTCTTCTGTGTAAGCTTATTACGAGCAACCGACGAGAGAGTGTGAAAGAGCACGTGTGTGGGACAGAGAGAGCAAGCACAGCAGCAACAGGCAGACGCAGTTAGATTGGCCGATGACAGTGGGTACGGGGGCGGGTGTAGGAGCTCAATAGGCGCATGAGAGACGTTCGCTTTGACTCTTTGTTGGTGCTGATTTGTTGCATCTACTTTGTTGCCGTTGCTAGGGGTTACATGCATGTAAAATGCGCTACAAAAAGCATGTTCGACTTACGCTCAACTTAAAATTGGAAATTTATATATTTTAAGGAAGTAATTGGAACGAATTTTTTCTACTTTTTAATTCATTCTCTTAGACCCTGCTTAAGTAAAGGTTAAAGCGCCAAAAACCAGGCAACAGATATAACATTTAAGTAATTACTAAAAACTATTGTTATTAGCTTTGTATTTAATTTATTCGAACCCATTGTAGAGTACTTCCGAGATGTTATAGACCCAATCAAAATGTACAGTTGTTTTCTGTGTTCGCCGTCTCTTCCTCTCCAATTATTTTTTTTAGTCCAACATATGTGAAGAGCACATGGAACAGGCATCGGTAAGAACAACAATAGCAGCAACAACGGGAGAATCGTCAACAGCAGCAACAATAACAAGCATTGACAACGAAGCGACAACAACGACGCTTCAAATGATTGAACTCTTAAATGGCTGAGGCCTATAAAAACTGGGTGTGAGTGTATGCGTCGCAGTGTTTGTGGATGCAAATGTGTGCTCAGTTATCAACACTTTTTAGTCGCCCGCCCTCCTATCGCGCCCTCCTTCCTCCTTCCACCCCCACAACCTCGAGCCCCTTCGAGCAATAGGGCCCCATAAAATAGTCAACATTTGCGGGCGTTCAAAGCACAAAGCAGAAGCAAAAGCAAAGAGTCCACAGTCAAAATTCTGTAAAACGAACTGATGAAAGTCTTAACTAAATAAACAACAAACTTTTTAAACTAAATAAAGATTTACGGTCCCCGACCTATGAGCCAAAAAGTAGGCTACTAAAATTATATATTTTTAAAATAAAATATAAATTATAAATTGTAAATTATCGACTATCCACTGTATTTAAAGCTCGGCAAAAAGATTTCATAGAGACATGGCCCTGGCTTTGTTTACTCTTTAGAGACATTTTCCGGCTCTAGACTCTCCGTATCTTGCCAGCGACCCCCTTCCCCCCACACACACACTTTAGCTGCATCTCTTTCGTTCTCCGAAAGTATCATGCGAATTGCAATAAGTGGCGGCGATAAATAAAGTGCCCGTCCCCATTTTTATTTTATAGCTAAATCGTGAGACAATAAAATACAAAGGCAATGAATGCGATGGGAAGTGAAATTAATAAGCACTCGAGTGCAAAGTACTGTTCGCCACTATTATAGGCCGAATGCTGAGGATTTGCATTAACGCCGAGGAAAACGCTTATCAGTAATGGGAGCAGCAGCAGCAGCAGGCTGATAACAGGGCCGATACCGAAATACATACGATGTAGCCGTGTGCGTGCCGTAGATTATTATTATTATTGATTAATAAACAATTTTCTCACTCACACAGAAAATAGCTCAAAGCTAGAGGCTGTAGATATGTGCGTGTATGTACTGTATATGTATTCTGGTATGTGTCGACCAAAGGCGACGCGACCGATAAGGAATGACCGATTTAGTTCTATAGTTCATAAAGCGATAGCTAACATCAGACTCGATTGACCCACAAAGATGGAGCGACAAACATGAAAGGCATATGCTCACACTTATTTGAGTGTTAGGGTCCAGAAAAGAACGCAGCCATTATCTAATATAGCGAAATGACATTCCTTGCCAAATTCCAGAAGTCCCTCTTGTTAATCTATTACCTCTATCTTCTTTGTTTACTGATAAGAACATTTAGCTTCTGTTTTCCTTTTTACTAAAATTATGGTTAAATCTTTCATTAATAAACATTTTAAAAATCTGTAAGGTAAATATTATGGAATTTGTATTTCAAATTTAAATTAAACAAAATTAAACAGGAATCTTCCGGACAGTAGTCATTAAGCGTCCTTCGTATGCAAACTGCGTACATTTAATACCTTCAAAAGAGTAAATCATAAAACTTATCCTTAAAAAATTAACAAGACGTCAAAAATTTTACAGTAAAAATCGCAATTTTTATATCAAACAAAAATATTTGCAAACGGATTTTCCAAAAAATGTCGCTGACAAAAAATTGTTTATTGAATTCCGATTCGCGAAGAACACTCGGCTAAATTCCCGTAAATCTCTTTTTTGCTTCAGTTTGCCCCTTTTTGATAATTGGTGGCATATCAGTGTTTCACCTGGATGACTGGAAAGGTAAATGAGGGGAAAAAGCGACAGCAGGGAAAACTTTTCCTTTTTTGAGCAAACACGGTGCAGTGGACACAATAAATGAATCACGAAACGCGGAAAAAACATAGGTAACGAGACAAGGCCGGGAAATCGGGGAAACATTCGCTTCCGTAGGTTGGTATTTAATTGCCTGGTGGTTTCTGGGTCCTGGAAGGATATGAGCATGGTGGTGGGTTAAGTGTGGTTGCGGTATAGTCGCCATATCAGTTGTAAAACGAGCTTCGTTTGCATGAGTACACCGGCGACCCTTTCACCTGGCTTGTGTTACAACGTTTGCCCTTAGCAAATACATCTCAGCGATGCGTTAAACCGCCAGAGCCACCCAAAAACCACCCACTCTGGCCACTTTAACCACCACACCCGTCCACTATTTGCTATTCCGATGACGACAACGATGGCCGTTAATCTGCCTCGCAAATTGGCCATGAGCTGATTGGTTTTTTTACCTGTTGCGTATTCCCACCTGCAATTCCGGTAGCTTAGCCCCAGGCATTCCTACCCAATAGAAGCATTCAATGCATTGGAATTCAGCTAATTACTTTCATATATGTTATGGTTTAATCCGCCCGCGAGCCCTACAACATCAGCAACATTGCGCCATTCAAATCGCAAATGTTCATTGCCGGTGGAAAGGCTTTGGAGAAAATAGTTGTTTAAAATTTATTTTAACTAAATAATTGGCATTCCGTTGCACTTGCGTTGCATTTTGCGTTGCGTTTCCAGCATTTCAGTTGTAATACAAAGCTTGGAAACAAGACGCAAGTAACTAAAGAAATACATGCAGATTAATGATATCCTGGATTGGCACCTGGCGTTTACTAATAATTTATAGATGCTTAAGTAAAAGTTTTTACAAGTCGCATATTTTTCTTTAATGATGTTAAGCCTTTGATGGTTATTTATTAAGTAATTTCTTTTATATTAATATTAATAAATCACCCTATTTTTATCTTCTATAATTAACTAATATTACAACTCCAAATATAGCCGGAAATGCTAGCGCCAGTCCGAGAATTGAGTGTGTTCGTTTTTGGTACTATAAATTTAAATTCCCAACCAATTGATATATATTCCAATTGGACGGTTATCGATTAGAGGCGCAACAGCTGATTTTGATAGTGCCACCCTGGTTGCGTTCGATTTAAGTTGAATTTTAATTAATTTTCGCCGGTTATCACACAAATGGCAGTGCCAAAGGCCGCCAGCCACCGCCCGGCTGTTCGGCGTAAGAAATCTGCTACTCTGGTGGACTCCATCCTGGACAAATACCTGAATGTGCGGTTCTTCAAGTACCTGCTGCTGGAGCCGGCCGCTTTGCCCATAGTTGGATGGTTTGTTCTCCTCGCGGAGGCGGTGATCAACGTGGTGGTCATCCAAAGGGTTCCATATACGGAAATCGACTGGGTGGCCTACATGCAGGAGTGCGAGGGCTTCCTCAACGGCACCACCAACTACGCGCTGCTCCGCGGTGAGTTTCCGTTCCGTTCCGGGTTTATTTTTGGCGACAGGTGACCCAATTCTCGTGTCCCATTTCCTGCACCTGTTCTTGTTTACTTGGCATTACTCTGTTTGTTTTTTATGGCATAGCAACTTTTAAACCAATTAAATTTCAGTTTTTCTGGATACTTCTTAGCTTCTATTTGAGATCTTCTCTCCTTTCCCGAGATTTATAACAGTAATGATAAACATGATCTCAATTATCAACGTCTTAATGTTATATAAATAAAAGAATCCCATGATTTTTGTTTGCATTAAAAATGATTAAACCTTTTTTTTTATAACAACTTATGCAAGTTACTTTTTAAATGGCTGAAAAATCAGAGTTTTTGGGGTTTCATTTTCATAAACACAGAACTTGCTCGATTGACGGTCAATTTGGTTTATTCATCTCGAACCAACTCGTATTTGGAATACATACCCTCGGTTCCCGCCCGAACTTAGATTAAGCTTTAGCAACAATAACGTGCGCTAACTTAGACACTAAACAAACAGTAGCCAAACACTGTCAGTTGAACATGGACTTGATTTTGTTTATGAAGCCTCCGCCGTCGCCTTGTCCAGATCCTGATCCGCCGTCTTCTTTCGCTTTGGTTTCTTCTGGGTCCGTCCGCTGGTCTTTGCTTTTTGTTTCTGCTGGTCCTTCTCCTGGTTTGGAAGATTCTGAACTGGCTGCAGCTTCTCCTGCTCCTGACCCCTTACTCGCTCCTGCGCTGCAACGACAGATTGGATAGAGAGAAAGACCCCATCATTTAACATAGCTCGCACATAAAACGCACGTATATTTCAACTACTAATTCAAACTCCAAGGTACATTTAGAGATTGCATTGGTAGATGGGAGATTATTTACGTTGCTTTCTTACTGCCATCTTTGCGATTCGTGATTCCGTGGATCTGGCCGGGAGTATCCTCCTCCAGCTCGGCGTAAGCCTCGATCAGATCCCGTTGCTCCTTGTTCAGCTTTCGGCTGTTAGGCACCGCGATCTTGATGTGCACGTAGTGATCTCCGTGTCCGTGGGCATTCACCCGCTTCAGACCTTTTCCGCGTAGCATTATCTTGTGATGTGACGAAGTACCCGACTCCACGTTGATCCACTGGTCTTCGTAGACGCCTTGAACACGAACAGTGCCACCAAGCACCGCTTGGGCCAGGGAGATGGCCACATCCGTGTGCACATCGGCACCTTCGCGCCGGAAGTAGTCGCTGCGCTCCACGCGGAAGGTGACGAACAACTCCTTGCTGCCCACCTGCATACGCACCGTTTGTCCGTTCTCAATACCAGCTGGTACGGGAACAGTGACCTTCCTGCGCTGGACCGTGCGTCCCTTGCCCTCGCACTCGCTGCACGGATACTTGATGTGCTGCCGGGTACCTTGGCAGTAGCGACAGGTGGAACGCATTACGAATGGACCCGTTGACACGGTCTCAAATCCGGTCCCATTGCAGTACTGACATCGACCGGGTTTGGTGCCTGGCTCGCACTTCGAGCCAGCGCACTTGGGGCACTGGTCAACCACGTTGACGTTCACATCCTTGTTGACCCCACGGGCAGCCTGGGCGAAAGACAGGTCCATCACCATCTCTTGGGCCTGGCCGTATCCGAACTTAGAGTCGGCAAAGTCGTCGAAGCTGTTCGTTCGGAAGTTGCCCTCGCCGAAGATCTTACGGAACAGCTCCTCCGGGTCGATGCTCGAGCGGAATTGCCAGCTCTGCGAGAAGCCCTCGGGTCCAAAACCTCCAGCACCTCCTCCGGGGAATCCGCCGCCCTGGCGACCCATGTTCTCCGCCGTTTGGCCATAGGTATCGTACTCACGGCGCTTTTGCTCATCACTGAGAACCTCGTAGGCCTCGGAGACTTCCTGGAACTTGCGGCCCGCGTCCGGATCCTCCTTGTTCGTATCCGGGTGGTACTTCTTGGCTAGCTGATAGTAGGCCTTTTTGATGTCCTTGCCGTTGGCGTTCTTGGCCACGCCAAGGGTCTTATAGTAGTCCTTACCGAATAGATTACTCGTGGTGTGCAGGCGTCGTGCTGAAGTCTCCCTCACCGGATTTGTGCTCCGCGGCGGTTTCCAAACGCTGGAGAGGCTTCGGTAGGCGGTGGCACTGGTTGCGGAGCAGGCGGTGGAAGCCAGAAAGCTGCGCACCGCCGGCAGTTGCCGGAATACGAATAAATTTTTACACGAAATCATCATTTTTCCATAAAAGTATCAGTTTTTCAGCTAACATGCCGTAACCTCCATGCTTCCCTACGAAAGTTTCTCTCTCGCTCGCACCTTCGCTCGGTGTTCAGTGTGACCGCGCTGTTAATGAAAAAATACCATCAAGCGAAAATAAAATACAATTAATTTTTTAATACGGGCGGGAAACCAAAAACTTCAAAATCGAAGATTATATTTATTCTGTTTTTTTTTTTAATTCTCAGGAGACACCGGTCCACTTGTGTATCCTGCTGCATTCGTTTACATTTACTCGGTTCTCTACTACGTGACGTCTCACGGAACAAATGTCCGTCTGGCGCAGTACATCTTTGCCGGTATCTACCTGCTCCAGCTGGCCCTGGTGCTAAGGTTATACTCGAAGAGCCGGAAGGTGCCGCCGTACGTCCTGGTGCTTAGTGCGTTCACCTCGTACCGCATCCACTCTATCTACGTGCTGCGGCTCTTCAATGATCCAGTGGCAGTGTTGCTGCTCTATGCTTCACTCAATCTCTTCCTGGATCGGCGATGGACTTTCGGGAGCATCTTCTTCAGCTTTGCCGTCGGTGTTAAGATGAACATCCTACTGTTTGCTCCGGCTCTTTTCCTCTTCTACTTGGCTAATCTGGGACTTCTAAAGACCATTCTGCAGTTGGCCGTTTGTGGAGGGATACAACTACTGCTGGGAGCTCCTTTCCTAGTCACTTATCCTGTGGAGTATCTGCGAGGAAGTTTTGATTTAGGCCGCATCTTTGAGCACAAGTGGACAGTTAACTACCGGTTTTTGAGCAGAGAACTTTTCGAGAACCGTTCTTTCCACCTGTCGCTCTTGAGCCTACATCTACTGCTGCTCCTGGCTTTTGCCAAACCCACATGGACCTTCTTTCAGAGCTACGTGCGCCTGCGCCGCGTTGAGGATCAGCTGCAGCCCCAAATAGCGCAGCAGAATCGTGATGTGAAGGCTCAGAAAAAGCTGAAGAAGGCAGAAAAGGACAAGGATCAGAAGCAGTTCACATCCGAGCAACAGTCCTTCCTGAAAGCCTTCGAGAAGAGCCTGCAAAAGGCATCTGGAGGAAAGGCAACCCCAGCTCCTGTACAGTCTGAACCAGATCGCTACGGTATTCACTTTGATCGCTGCACTCAGCTGGCCCTGCTCCCATTCTTCCTCTGCAACCTTGTGGGCGTGGCCTGCTCTCGCTCCTTGCACTATCAATTCTACGTTTGGTACTTCCACTCACTGCCCTACTTGACCTGGTCTACGCCGTACTCTTTGGGAGTGCGAACTCTGATCCTGGGACTCATCGAGTACTGCTGGAACACATATCCCAGTACGAATTTCTCCAGCGCTGCCCTGCACTTCACCCACATCCTACTACTTGTTGGTGTGGCCAAGCAACTGATCCAGACCATGCGTTTGAACAATGCGGTCAAGAAGGAGCAGCAGAAGAAGGTTCAGTAGAGGGAGAACTTTCTAACCGCGAGTGCCACTTTAATCATTTTCGTCATGACAAAAAATGAAATAAAAAAGTACATTAAATACCTTTGAAAATTACAAAGAACAGAAGTTAAAAATTGATTTACTTTTATTTGGGTACGTTAGTCTTTTGTATGAGCGCTGTACAAATGGCGGGGAGTTGGTTACCAACTCGTCCCGCGATAGATGCAACCTACTATCTACATAAAATAACTTAAACAATGTCCGCTTATAACTACAAGTGCAATAATGGTGCTGTGACCTCCCTTTGACTGTAAAAATAAAGTTAGAGGCTTCGCGTCAATCGCTGCCCACCGCCGTGGTGGGTGTACGCATGCTAAGGGATGTGGCAGTGGGAGCAGTCACTGCCGGAGAATTTGGGGAGGATGGAGCCGCTGTCGCTGTCGTGGTTTCTTCCGCCGGCACACTGCTGCTCCTCTGGATACTGAAGAATCGCAGGAGCGTCGTCTCGCTATTTCTTCTACTAGAGGTTGGGGTCCTAGGCTGGGTAGTTGAGTGAGAATGGGAGGAGCTTCCTGCTGGTGTACCACCGCCGCCATCCGTGTGTGAGATGCGCCTGCGGGGAGTGGCCTGCAATCTGGGACTGCACTCGGATTGACGAAGACTCTGGAGTCGCGGTGATGCCAAAACGTCAGCATGCTGCTCCTCACTGATCTTGTCGCTTAGCGTCACATGTGCCCTGCCACTCATCAGCTTCTGTTTTCGGATATTCGTCAGCCAGTCAACCTTCTCCTTGGCCTTCCGTTTAGGCGACATAATGCCCAGGTGGGGCGCCTCGCCGTCCACAACGTAGTTGGGCAGATTGGAGGTAGGCGAGTAGATAATGGCAGAGATTGACGGTGGATTAGCTCCATCTGAGGCCGCTGCTGCTGCCGCTGAAGTGGTTGGCGGGGAGGTATACATGTGGTTCACATTTTCACTTAAAGGAGAATGACCTGGCGTGTTGAGGAGCTTGTGCAGTGGTGAGATATCTTCCGCCGCAGAATTCTCTTTTTGTCGTTTGCTTGGGGAGGCGTCTTCTTCGTTTATGGGTTGAAGCTGTATATGCTTGCAAGTGGTTTCCTGGCTGGAAGGTCCAAAAAGCCGTCTGCCACGGGACTCCAGCGGCTTGGCACGCTTTTGGGGCTGATCTATGGTATCTGTCTCCTGGCCAGCTACGCCCAGCATTTCTAAAAATGAACGTTTGGTGGTCGTCTTTTCCACAGAGCCAGGTGTTCTTTCGTTTTGATCCATTAAACGCTTAAGTGATCTTGGCGTGGACTCCAGGTCTCTCAGGTTGTACTTGTGATTTCCACTAACTGGACCCGAAACCTTTTTTCCGAATTCCCTGACGTAAGAGGCAGTTCCACGGTACTTTTCTGCGCGCTCCGCCTCACTGAGGCCGTCGAGATCGGCTCCAATCCTCCAAATCTTATGTCGCGCATCATCACTGCAGGTGACGATGGGGCAATCGTGACTGGACCCCCAAGCCACGCATGTCACTTCCACCGTGTGTCCAGCTAGAGCAACTAAAGGCTCCTCGGCATGCTCCAGGTTCCAGATGTAAGCCCGCTCGTCACTGCTTCCGCTTAGCAGATACTTTCCATCCGGGCTGAGGCAAGATTTGATGTAGAACGTGGAGTTTAGGAGACCCTTGTAGCATGCCAACGGGCGAGGTGAGTAGGAAGCCAAGTTATAGCAGTAAATGGTGTTATCCATACAATTGGCATACAGTCTCGACCCCGAAGCATCCACAATAAGATTAGTGAATCCCCGGAAAGTGGAGTGTCCGGCGTAAGGTAACTTGTGCCTGGGCAGCGGTTCCTTTTTATAAGCCGTGTAGTTCCGCCGCAAGTCCCACACCTTTATGACTCCATCACCGGCGCCGCAGGAGATCAGCGTGTCGTTGTCCTGGAAGGCCAAGCCCGTTATACTGCTCGAGGTGGTTCCTCCTGCCATCTTAGGGGTGCGTGTACGCTGCTTTCGTTGGGAAACCGGAGTACCCGGTCCGCCCGTGTGGCCACTGTAGATGCAGTTGTCGACTCGTGACGTTAGATCCATGTTAAGGTTTGCTCTGATGTCCCAGATGAGGATGGCGCCATCACGCCCGCCTGTGGCAAAAACAGCGGGATCGGTCCGTTTAAAAGCAGCCGATTTTACGGACCTGGTGTGACCAACATAGGAGTTCAGGCCGCGGATGCCGGAGCCCGCCACCTCCCAGAGCCTAGCCGTGTGATCTCCCGAGGCGGAGACGAAGCGCATCTGGCCGGGGGCCCATTCCAAATCGAAAACAGCATTGTAGTGGCACTGGGGTCCCACGAGGGACTGCTCCTCCGGCAGGTGGTTTCTTTGTGTAGTGTCCTGCAGCGTGATCTTGCCGTCTTCGTTGGCAATCGCCAGGATGTGCCGGTAGCCATCGCAGTTGGCGAACTTGGCGGAGAAGATCGGCGGCTCCGGATTAAAGTCCGGGCAGTAGTTTGCCGGGGCGATGCCTCGCCAACTGTCCTCCTTAGCTACCGAAAGCCGCCGGAGTGCAAAATCATAGGTCCTTTCATTAGCTAAAACGATAAAAAAACGAAGCGAAAGCATGAAACTAGTGCCGTGGCTCTTCATATTTTTTCACAGAATTTCTGCAAGATCAGCAATTTCCAATGGAGCAACATATTGCGTTTCTTCACTTTCATGACCGATCCTCTGTAAACTGCTTAATTTCTGGAGAAGTAATAACTTGGGCTTGGAACCCTTTTTAAAATCAACACCTTGCTCACAGGAAAATCGAGCGCCAAAAGTGAGATTCTCCCGCCAACCGAAAAACTCACCGTATCCGTGCTCCCTGGCCCGCAATTTGTTATATATATTCATCCTGCAACCCGCTTGCCGAATGCTTCTTAAATTAAACGTTTTGAACTATTTTAATTGATATTTCCTTTGAAATAAAACAACGTACGATGCATTGAAAATATTTTTCAACGACGCAGCTGGACTTTTTGGTAGTGTGACTGTGTTTGAATTTGTGAAAAACATCATTTGGAGCGAAAGTACCTTATCAGCCCGCCAAAACGTGAGAAACGGTATTTTTGTATTTAAATTTATAGCAATTAAACGCAGAATTTTATATAATAATATATATAATTTGATGGTTTAATAGTTATAAAAGTTAAATAACTAAAAAAACTGCTTGTAAATTATTGAAGTTTTCAAATTATTTTAGTTGTCTTAAAGATAATATTATTCTTTAGTAGTTATATTGATAAGCTGAAATTCTTTTATTTTCGCTTTTTTTTATACCAAAACCTTCTTACATATTTCAAACTATTATTGGTATTTTCCGACCTCTAGTGCATGGTCTCTCTGGGTCATATTTTGTTTTTGTTGCTGTTCTCGCTGACTTGTTTTATGTTTAATCAAAGTTGCGCATAAATTTCGCTGCAAATCGTTAACTATTTGCGCATTTAAATGCAGCCGCCCCTTTTTAGTTGCTTGTGCTAGGAGTTCTAATCCTGGAAAGTTCGACGGATATAGAGACGGACACACATACACACGTAGAAACGGAAGAAGGACTCAAGGATTTAATTCAAGGACTGCAGCAACAAAAACACAGGTGAGCGGGCAGAGCGCCAAAGTTGGATTTCTATTCCTGTTTTCTGGGGGAGGGTTTGGATATGGTATGCCTGTTGCAATCAATAACACCCAGAAGGCAAAGAAACCCCCTTCGGGAAAACAAAACACGCAAATGCAGGAGCCCAAAAACTTTGGTGGGCAGGAGGTCAAATAAAGTTGCCAACGACTAGCCAAACAAACTCAAGTGCCTAATTGTTTTGGCTGTAGCGCACTTCCGCATTCCACCGTTGTCCTTGGAGAAGGTCCTCCCACTGCCACCGCCACACCCCCATTTTTTAGGATAGGCCTCCTTTTATTGCAACTCGCGTGACCTTAACCATTTGGAGCCGTCCGTGTCATGACACGCTTATATTGCTAGACGTTATCTAACTGGAACTGGAATTCACTTAGTCAAATTAGCAGCCAGGGATGCCCTGCTCTAGATTAAGCTTAGTTACGACTTTGGTCGGATACAGTTGTAGGTAACACATACATATGTATATGTATGTATCTAGCAGCTTGAACTCTGCTGACCCGCCAGAGGATCCCTCACAGCAATCCTATTGTTCGCTAGCCCTGGTTCAGACTCCTTATTTGGACAGTTGGAAAAACTGCCGCATTTCCATTTAAGGCTCCAACACGTACGACACGCGCTTCGTGGCCGTTAGAACAACCTTATAAATACGGTCAGTGAGGCACAGTCGGTCATCTATTATTAATACGGTAGAGACTCTATATATCAAACTTCCTGCAAATGGCTTTTGTGTTTGACGCAGTGGCTAATGATAACCCCAATTCGTTTTTCTCGGAATGTGTTAATATGATTGGATTCGAGTTTTACGAAAAGAAGCTGATGACAAATGCACGATAAAGAATTCCAATTACTTACAAAGCTACAACGTATTATTATAAATAGACAGAAAAAGTCAATGTGAATAATTAAAATTAAAAATAAATAGGTTTTTTTTTATTTCATTTGAGGTAAATGTATTTTAAAATGAGTCATAGATAAAGTTAGTAGAGATGGAGTGTTTTATTACCCACTCCACTTCAAACACAAAGAAACACAAAACACCCGTAGCGAAGAAAGAATCAGTCTTTCTTTATCTAAAGATACGGTGTTGATGAACGTTGCCCAATCATTCATGTTTCTGTATCTATATTTGTAATTCCCTTATCAATGCTTGCGTTTTGGAATCGGTGTAATATATGTGTGATATATAGCAACGATGTCGGTAGCAGGGCTTCGACAATGTCTGCTGCTCTGGAGCGTCGACTACTGGAACTTGGAAGGTAAAACACTTAAAAGTGCGAAGTTGCTTGCTTTTCAGTTGCCAGTATTCAGTTTTTAGTTTTCAGTTTTCATTGGTTGCTCAGATGTTTCTCCGTTTTGTTTGGGTAGCTCAAGTTGCTCGAATTGCTTCATCACAATGGTTATTTGAATGAATATGCAGCGATAATAATGTCTGAATCTGAATTACACCCCTCCCTTCCGCTTTAGTCATGGCTGACAATGTCTTCAAGTCGCACGATATCGGGCTGCGAGCGCAGAAGAAAATCCTCTCACGCATGGCCACTAAAAACATCGCCAAGACGTTCATTGATGGAACAACGGCCTCGCTACTGGACAACCTGTACAGGCTCTGCAAGATGCACACTGGGAACAAGGCTAAGGCGGAGAAGCTGATAAAGAACATCATCAAGATCGTTATTAAGATCGGGGTTTTGCATCGGAATAATCAGTTTAGCGAGGAGGAGCTGCAGAAAGCAGAGAACTTCAAGAAAAAGTTTCAGGTAAGGTTTAATCTATTTAGGTATATTTTAAGATCATAAAAACAAATGATTTTAAATTTTACATTTTTAGAAAAAGAAAAAAGTCACTCAAAAATCTGTATTAATTGAATTGTATTTTCTTGCAGAACACCCAGCTTTCCATCATATCATTTTACGAAGTGGACTTCACCTTCGACCTGGCCTACCTGCAAAAGTCTATAGCCGAGTCGCAAGAGGCACTGAAGTCGATTGTGCAACCGCATCTTACAGAGAAATCGCTGGGTCGCATCGACGAAGTATTCGATTTCTTCGGCGAGGAGGCGCTACTAGAAACAGCTTTCAGATCAGATTCGCCCTACCGCGACGTGATGGGAAAAATTGTGGCCGACATTAATGCTGCCATGGAAACGGGCGACATCTGAGGAGATCCAACTAACGAACTGAGCTGTCATTGCGTGCTATGAAAGAAAGGCTATCAAAACCAAAAAGCAGCCAATAGCTAGTTGCGAATGGAAAACGCTTGCTTAAAAGCTCACCCACCAACACCAAAATACAAATCTAAATATAGAAATGGATATGGAACAGCAGCGACAGCAGGGGGACAGCTGGGAAAGAAAGGGAAAAGACATGTGTTTAAACAAGAGTTTAATTTAGCTTAACTAGTGATATACCATTGACAACAATATCAAAAGTGTAAAGACGTCCGTATTGATTGTTTTGATGACAACGTTAACATTTGTGTACTCAAGGTCTATATAGTAATAATTAGGAAGAACCAAATGCATTTCGCCAAAGGAATTCACCAAACGGAAATTGTAAACTCGAGCAAAATGCTTTTATCGGTGTGTAAGTCGTTGATTGTACGTGTGAAAGTAACTTTATATGTGTAAGTCTAAGTGTTAAATGGGAAATACTTCAGCACATAAGCAATTATTCGTGGTCTACTTTTTGATACTCTATAACTCGCTGTATCCAATCGCAATTCGCTGAATACACCGTCTTAGTCACCCTTCTTCGTACTTAACTGATCGTTGCCGATCGAAATCACCTAAATCACCTGTAAGCGTTAGTCCATGCTAAGTTGTTTATGCTAAGTTGTCACCAGAACCTGTTTGCCCCTCGGCTCCTTTCGTCTGAGAGCCAGTTTCACACATCTATTTGTATTTCTCTATGTATTCCAAACCTCAAAGGGGTCAGTAACCTTAAGGATTATTTATGATACTCCCACAATGATATTCCATGTACCCGAAACATATCGAAACTATCTGAACGGAAACCACGCGTAGGGGACAATAAGTTGTTCGAATTTTTGTATAACTTCTAGTTCGATATTTCAAGCGGAGAAAGCACAATTTTAGTCGTCTAGATTTTAAATATTTATTTGTTTACCAACAAAACTATGTTGACTATAAAAATAAAAGCAACAATTACCAAAAAGTCTTAAATTTAATCACTCAGCCCGCTTTTTGCTGAGAACATCGTGGCCTTCCTCGCCAGCTTCCAGTTTTTGCTGTCGGAAAAGTTCGATAAGCTTCTCGGTGGCGGTTTGAGGGGTATCAAGTGGCTTGGATGCCTCTTCACTGGGATACACCTGGGCTTGGGCTTCTGGAGAACGCAGGAGGAACGGAGTCCATGGACCCTGGATAGAGGGCACGTCTGTGTGCCACATTTTGCGAAGACGCAGGGAACTTGAGCTGCCGTTTTGTGTCTTTAGAAGGTCGATCCACTTGGAGATCTCCTCTTGGGTGTTGTTCCTGCAGCTCAGCCATTCTCGTTCGCCGTTCACTAGAAATAATTAATGTGTTTTGTAAAACATCTTTAATTTCAACGGAATACCAAAGGTTTTGAATTCTCACAATACTCTCCCACCAAAACTGGCGTTCGATGACGTCTTGGCTTCACGTATACCACAATACCGGGATTCTCCTTGGCAAAGTCCACCAAGTGGTTCTCAATGAAGTCACTGAAGAATTTTTCAATCAATTAATAATTCTAAAAAAAAAATAAAGTGAGTTATTCCGTACCGCATTCCTCTGCTGGATCCATTATTCTTGCAGAACTTCAATGTAATCCTCTGCAGCTGGCAAACATAACGTCCCAGTCCATTCTGAAGGGGAGCTCGGGGGAAGCCAGACTTCAAAAACAAGTGGCTGTTCGACATTTTATATTTCTTTTTAATTCAGAAGAGGTTTAAAACTAATTTTGAACACTTTTCGTAATCAGAGAAGACGTAACCTCATGCCGCAAACAGCTGACAGCTGTTTCTCTGTGGGCAGGGATGACAATATAGCTAGTAAATACGGTTCTTATAGCTACAATATAAGATATCAGAAGTCATCCAGAGATTTTTTTATTAAAATAACTTTTAAAATTTAATAAGTAAAAACACACCATTTAAAGGATATTTTTATAAGGCTATACAATTTGAATATGAATCTTATTTTCAGCTGTTTATTTTGATTTTATTTTTCAAGCCAAGTACTCATAACTTATTATAGACAGGGTTGTTATACTCACTCTCTAGATCTCTTTTTTCTCTCTCGTTTTGATAAAGAAGAAGCGGCACAAAACGGAAAACAATAATGCAGGCAAGGCGTCGTTTTTCTTTTGATTGGAAAACCACGAAGTAAAGCCGGAGTAGAAAGCGTGCAACGTGTAAAAGTGGAGCACATGCAGCTGGTCTTATCAGCTCCATAAATACATAGAAAAATGACCGCAGTAAGCATTAATTCACTATTTAATTGCAATTAAATATAAACAACGTCTTGGCCTTTAGACTTTTGCAGGCTCAAAGTTCTCCAAACATGTTTTAGTGGACGAAGAAGAAGGGGAGGAGGACGAGGAGGAGGATGATTCCGCCGAGTCCGGTTCCACGTCGTCGTTCAGTTTGCAAGAGTGCATCGACGAGTTCAGGGCACGCCGTATCCGCAGGGTCTCTACGCAAAGTCGTGACTGCGAGACCAACAACAATAACAACAACATGCCGAGGCAAATGCCTCGTATCCGCAGAACCACGGATGCGGACCTAATCAACCAGAATAGGTGCAACAAGGAACAGGAGCGAAAGGGGAAACCCTGCAAGAATGGTTTCTGTTACTGCTTCACCAGCGACAGCGGTGATTGTGGCTCCGCAGTGGCGCCACGTGACCAGCACGTGCGATTACCACGGCGCAGCAGGCGATCCGAGAACTCAAAGGTATGCCGAAACCCATCCCAATCCAAATCCCACATTAAATGCCCGTTTTATGCCTATTTTTTAGCCCGTAAAGCAGAACAATCTGGGCAGCCACCGGCAGCAGGCGGACAAACGTCGTCAAAGCGAGCCGGCCAACATAAAATCAAGCTTCAAAACTCCTTTAACAGCAGTCAGTCGGTTGAGAGCCGTTGGCGGCGATGATGAGCCGCTTATCCACATCATCCAGGAGCTTCACGAAAACTGTGTGGTGTCCGAAGTTCGCGTTAACCGTCAAAAACTGTCAGCTACAGGCTCCATCTGCCGTCATAAAAACTCCCAAACCATGAGAGAAAGTACCAAAACGCAATCGTACGAACCCATAGCCTACAAGCCCTCAGCTCCGGTTTTGTCAAACATCAGCGAGCAGGAATCAGCTGTGGAGGAGGAGCAGGAAAAGGAAGTGATGGCCGCAGAGCCCTCGTGTCGTATGAGCTCCCGCTCCCGGCGGAGTTCTGGAGCTGGTGGACGCCTGCTGCAAAAACGACTCTCGCAAGGTCAAGTCAGCTTCAAGGCACGCGATTCACAGCTTCCGCCACCAAAACCACCTCGTCGGAGCTCTCAAAGTCTGGATGGCAAGCAATCGCAAACATCGCTCACCTCCACGAATCCTTCGGTACGGGAGGCGGAGCGAGTGCTTGACGAATTTCTGCGCAAACGTGGCGTCCAGGTGCCCATTAGAGAGTCTTCACGCAAAAAAGACAGTCAGCGAAGATCCTTTCCCATGGGTAAGTAGTCTATCAATGCCTTAGACAATGAAACCGTAACCAAATCTAATTGGAGCTATATTCCAAAAACTACCTATATTTTACCAAAAATCAAATGTATTTACCAAATAAAGAGTTTTTCTTAAACTTTTGGGTTACGGTTTCATTTATTCAACCTTCGGTGTTTCGCGATCTCATGAGTTTTGTGTCGCCATTTAGCTGAGGTGGAGAAACCCAGGAGCCAGAAACATCTACCAACTTGCCCCTCCCTTAGCGACATTGAGCGCGTCGTAGAGTCCAAGAAGGGCTCAAACTACGCCCGAAATATTCGGCAGGAAAGCACTCGGAAAAGTGTGCCCAACAAGGAGATCATTCTTGGCTGGACAGAGCCAAAGATAAGTGATATGCTTAACTACAAAGAAAAGACGGGCGAGTTTAGGACCACAGCTGAACCGCAAGTGGCCATTGGATGGCAACTGCCGAAAGCACAGCCTCAACCTGTAGTGCCAAAAGTTTCATTGGACACCGTGGACGGAAGTATGAGCGAGAACCTTGTATCCAATATGGTGCACAAGGACACGCCCATAAAGTATCCAAGTCGAATTAATACATCAGGCGGCCAGGCCAGTCAGAAGTTCATCTGGGGCGAGCAGTGGCGAAATCTGTCCCCCTGGAAGGGTAACAAATCAAAAGCCCTTGGCAAAAAGTCCAAGAACTTTCTGAATAACTCCAAAAAGAAGATCCTACGCTTCGTATCTCCCAAGAAGTCGAATCAACAGGAGAATCCGAGGGAGGATCAGATCAGACCCGCACCCAAACAATGCACTATTGGAGTGCAGACTTCTACTTCGCAGCTGGATCTGCATTCACATTCTCCGCCCGGCAGCTACCACTCACCAATTCAGACCACGCCCTCTGGAACGACCACATCTACACGGCAACAGTTGGACCCAGAGCAGCCCTACTTTGATTTCGAACGGAAGGTAGAGACTCCAACGCCGCCGAAGAAGTTGCCTCGTGTTAACAGAGCTCGCAAGCTGGATTTTCAAACTGAAGCAGCGCCCACCACATATCGTTCTTATCACAAGGACCTTGATCAGGACGTGACCATCACCAAGATGGGATATTTGCTGAGCAGCATCCGAGCAAAGTTAGAGGCAAGTGATGAGCGAGCAATGAGAACATTCCGGGTGAGTTCATTTTAGCTTACTTTGGGTTTGGACTTCAATGATAGCTTTTTGTATTATTGGCTTTACTTGGTAATATATGGGAAGCTTGATTTGATTTATTTATTTTAAATACTAAGTTTCGAACTACTGACCTAACTTTCGTATCAATATTGATGAGTCTCGATAAATTGGCAAACTTAAGAACTAGACAACGGTGAATATCGCGCCCAAGGCGTAGTGATCTGATCCCAGGTAGTGATTAGGAATCTTACCCACTTTGTAGCAACTTTTAATCGAGGGCAGTGAATAGACACTGATGGGCAACACCTCGTGTCTGCTCCGCGATCCAAGCGAGCGCAGGATGTAGTCCACGGTGATCCAGTCGTCTTGGTATGTAGAGGCTGTACTTTTTCCCGGATTAATGATCTCGAAGCGCAAAGACGACGAGTTAGTTTCGGCTTCCATGCCCACTTTCTTTTCGACTAGTAGTTCAATAGGGGATGAGTCGGGTTCACTGTTGAAGTCTCCAGTTAGGATGATAGGAGTGTCCGTGGAGAATGTGTTCAGCTCCTCCAGTATTCTGCCCACCTGAGCACAGCGTACATCTCCCCTTTTTGGGTTGTACAGTAAGTGAGTGGTGGCCACTATAAAGTCCATCTGCTGTTCTTGCACTTTTTTGAATCTGAATCTGGCGAATAGAGCCACATTCTCGCGATTGAGTAGAGCTATATTCTGGTCATGCAGCTCCACTGATCGCTGGTCCAGCAGTTCGAACTTAGAAGAGTCGTAGATAATTGCACATCCATCCGTGCGATGTCCCGTCTTTTTTTTATACACATACGCCAATTTCTTGCCGTTGCCCATACGCAGTCCTTGAACGAGCAGCGAAAGATGATCAAACTGCATCTCCTGCAAGCACAGGATGTCAGGATCCAGCCTGATCAGCTCCCTGAGGAGATTCTGCTGTCGGCGACGCCATGTGAGGAACTCCTGCTTTATTCCCATGTACAGGCAGAGATGCTCCAGCAACAGATCCTGGGCGAGGATGTTGTACGATACTACCTTGAAGGTGGATAACTTTGGGATTTTCTCAGGAAACTGGTCCTTCACTGGCTGCCAGCACCTGTTGTAGTCGTAGCGCGCTTCCATCTCCTCCGTTTTTTGTTTGCGTTTTCCGTTGGCGCCTTTTGTTTCGCTGCTGATGCTGCGCCTGATGATTTGCGACCTGGTTTGGAGTGGAACGGTATACAGAAGGAATTTGTACATCTCATAAGGTGCACTTCGCCATGTGCCCGTACACCCAGCCCCCTTTAAATGCCTCCGTTCGCAATGATTTGTGATAGCGTCTAAATTTCCATTGGTAGGGGAAAAATCTGATTCTGTCAGCTGTTTGCGCTTGTCGTTTGCTTTGCGGTCTTCTTCGCTGGGCTGCACTGCACTGATATCGATAACGTAGCGGCATACGGACTATCGAAATTTAAAAAATTGAAACGGTAAATTAAAATCAAAAACTACTGGATACAACACTTTTACTTTCTGATTTTAATAATATTGTTAACATTAAAATAATAGAACTTTACAATTAAATCTTTTCAGGACTGTTCCCGCTTCGATCCCCTTGAACGAAGTCACCCTCAAACGGAAAGTTTCGACTGCACAGATGGGCACAGCAGCCTGGTTACTACTTCGGTAGCCACAACACGGATACAGCGTGATCTCGACAGCGAACCTATTTACTCGGAGATCGAAGAGGATTGCTTGCGGGTTAGAGGCAGTCCCCATCACGAGGTTAAGACCGCAGCGCAGATAAAAAACCGTACTCCGACTCCAACTGAGAGCTCTACGGCATATGTTGGTGGGTCCATGCTAGATCCGTACCCCTCGCCCGCTGATCTCAGTGTCATGTATGCCAAAGTGCAAAAGACACCGAAGAACTCGCCACAAATAAAGCCACTGATTGTGCAGCCGCAGGTTAATTTGGAGGATATTCCACCGCAGATAACCCCTGAAGTTATTCAGCAGTCTGTTACGCCTCCTGTTATCCAACCTCAGGTCATTGATTTGGATAAAGAAACTAGAAAATCTATTCAGGTAGCATCGATTCAACCACATTTGCCTCCACCCAATCAACCAGTGGCATTGGGGCACTTTCTTCATGAATCCCTGAAGAGCGGAAACTTTTTCAAGTTCATGCCTTTGCCAGAGGAACCGAGTGGTCCCAACGAGCAATCCTGTTCGACCAGTCAAACTACTGAGTCCTCTGTGATCAGACAGCCAAAACTGAAGTCGTCACCACCACTTATCCATCACTCCTTGAACAATATCAGCGAGCAGCATTCACCCCCTAAGAAAAACCGAAATCTCTCTCGGTCGGAACTCTCTCTGCAGCGCAGCGAAATCTTCCTGGACAACCTGTGTCGTAGTGAGTTGGTACTGGATCGCCTGGAAAAGGTGCCAAATGTAAGTGCCTAATATACCTTTGCAATAAATTTGTTATTAAAACTATTTACAGGATTCCGTTTCGTATGACATGCCAAACGAGGGCGCCGAGGAGATGTACGCGGATTACAGCTTAGGTGAAGCGGGCAGTGTGGGTAGCTCTTTTGTGACCAATGATTATGGCTCCGGAAAAATTGAGCCGGAGCCAGCTAACCAAAGCACTCCGAAAAAGAAGCAGATACAGCGGTTTACAACCAAGGTAGAAATTTTTGTTGACTCCCACTAGAAATTAAGGCTTTCGCTTCTGTCCGACATTGTAAATCTTGTACATAGCCACTATCACACTGTACTCATTCATGGCTTTTCAAAATGCATTTCAAATATAATTTTGTTGTTGAAAATGAGTAATGATTAATTTTTCAGCCATCGCGAAATCTAACCATTGATGTAAACGATGGCCCAGCCACTTCGTTGCGCCAATATGGACAGAATCTTAGCTTCAGCTGCCCCACAACTCCTCAGCAGGCAGAGGCGTTGGGGTTGGTAAAACCTTCTGGCTTACACAACAGCAGCAGTTTGGGTGAACTAATGCAGACGGTTCCTATTCCCAGTGAAAGTCACCTGATGTCTGTTAGCACTCTGGCTCGCTACCGCCTGCTGAAGAATGTCCTTCGTCGATCGTATCGTAAGGGAAAGGACTTCCTCCTGGCGGAGAAGCAGAGGCTGACTCAGAGCCTCAATCTTTCGAGAGATCAGTCCAATCAAACTGAAGGGGAGCTGGACAGCAGTACATACTATGCTAGCTTTAACCTGGATTCCCTCATGAATGAGTCCTTAACCACCAATGACCAGCTGGCTCAGGCTGTGAGTATATGTCGCCAGATGCCGGAACTGGAGATCTCTGCAGAGATGGTGGAAGCAGAGAGACTGCTGCTGTTCTCCACCCTGCGAAAGTCAGCTCCTTTTGGATGCCAACTAAACAATCAAGCTTTGGCTGCAAGGAGGCAGTCCCAGTGCCTTCTGATCGATGCCATGGAACTGCCAGTAAAGGCAGACGTCAACCAGGATATGTTCTTTAACTACCACTACATCTGCACCTTTGAGTGCGGTGGACGCGTTCGGTCCACTCAATCGGTGGAGTGCCAGAATGGCTCCGCCTTCTTCCGGGACTGTGGTTTGGAGTTCTATAGCGACGAAAAGGCGGAATCGTTGGAGTTGCGCTGCCAGATCTTTATGCTGCGGCTACGCAAGGTATCCACACTGGCTTTGGAGCCTGCCAAATCACTGGTAAGTAGTTGTAGTTAGTTTAAGTAATGTGTATCCTAATAAGTTACCTTATAGCGACGTGGCAGTGGGAATTTAGGATCAGCCAACTCGAGCTGCTCAGCGGGATCTGGGGCTGAACAGATCACCTCTCGTTTTCGCCTGCATGCTTCTTTTAAATTGCGAGCCATGGACTTGGCACCTTTTCAACTGGTGGCCACTGAATCGAGATCCAGCGATAAAATCTGCCTGCGCAGCTCGCGATCCTGGCAGATGCCCTTAAGTACGCACACAAAATCCACGAATCTAGGACCGGCGATATCCATTATAGGGAGAGTGGATTTACGGTTGCCCAAGTCTCGTTTCTCCGGCTATTTAAACGTTCAGGATCCAAATAGCAAACACCACTGGAATAGAAGATGGTGCAGCCTGGATGGCGTACGGTTATCCGTATGGCAGCATGAAGATAATCTGGGTGATGGTTCACCCCTTTTTACGCTGGAACTGCCAGGATGCGGACAGTCCTTGGTAGATGCAGCCCCACGTGAACTGTGTGCCCGGACCAGAAGCTTTTTGCTTCAGGGAAAAGAGTCTGATTACGAATCGGGAGTCTTCTTTGCGGCTGATACTCAATCGGAGCTCTTGGAATGGCTTTCGCACTTAAATAAGGCTCTGGACTTTGCCAGGCACTGGCTGAGTTCCTCCTGACAGCAGCTGCATTCCCAACAAGTTTTTATTTTTATATGTGTTCAAGTTTTCTATTTATATTTGATAATATTTAAGTTGTGTCCAAACATTTCCAGAATTTGTAAGCTAGAGTGTTTGCCATGCAAACTTGCCATTCGGATCAACTCAAGTTTAAGAATAGCTAGATGTACCCGTTTTTTGCTTAGGTTTAAGTTCAATTTGTGAGAATTAACATTCCTTGCCTTCGGGCTAAATAGTCATTGGATCTGAACCATCTAACCCCCGTGTTCTGTGGGCTTGCCGTTCACGTCACAACAACAACAGTTTATTACATACATAATTTACATTGGCTACGATACGTTGATAAGATACAGATACGATTATATATTTGATATAGGTTACAATATGATACACAAGTATGTTTATATGCGCTGGTTGCCCCCGGTTATCTGCGGAATCGGTTATCCATGCTCACGTCCCCACATCCTCACATTCGTGCCTAGTTAGTGCCTACGCATAGCTATTACATTTAAGTATATGTACTATTTAAGCTGCTTTGTAATTTCGTTTTCGTTTTCGTTTGCTCATTACAGTGCAAAACATAAGAGTCTGAGGTTATGTTTGTTGTGGTATTGTTTTCAAGCAATTTACATACTTAACTTGTACATTACTTAAGCACTTACTATTCTCTATTGATCTGACAATGAGTCACGTTAAACTGTACTTGGTGTGGGCTCTGCTTATGCTTAGGTTCTGTATTATCTGTATCTGATTCTGTTTTCCATTCTGTTTCTGCTGGTGACTAATTGAGAGGGATCTATGGATCTAAGGATATGCAGGAGCGCAGTGCGAGTCGGGCCTTTTTGAGGGTTTCGAATTAGGCTCAGGCCAGCACATACTTCCAAACTCGATTCGTTTGGTGGTTCGTTCCAATCTCGGTCACATACAGTGCCGATCCGTTGACACTGACCGCCATGGAGTGTGGGTTCTTGAAATCTCCCCAATGTCCGATGATAGTTTCGGAGCGCGGATCGATTGTAAATCCTCGCACGGGCAGCATAGAAGTGGGTCCATTCACAGCAAACACTATGTCGCCATAGCTGGCGACTCCGAAAACGCGTCCCAAGTCCGGTTCCTGGATGGTGGCTGCCGGTTCACCCTCGCCATGGGAGGATATCAAGCCAGCTCTGTCGATAATACAATTTTACTGATATATTCTAGATTTAAGGCACTGGGCTGATCTTACTTGGGACAGACTACTCTCATGTTCTCCCTGTCGGCGATGCACAAAAGATCCAGGTGTTCTAGCAGGGTAATTGCATGTGGCACCTGCAATGAGAGAAATTCTGCAGAACAGGTGGTTAGGAAAGTTCAAACTATTTTTAGGTGCCTTAAATATAATGTTTAATGCTTCGAATATTTCGACAAATAGTCATTAGACTAGAACGAACTGTTTTTCATGTTTATACAATAAATAATTAGATAAACAAATAAAATACAAATCGTTTCAGAAGTTATATTGATACCTGCAAAGTACCAAAAATTAAGTATACGCACCGGGTGGCTGGGGAATCGTACGTAGCAGCTTGCCTGCGGCATTAAACTTAAGTATTCGACTATTACAGTAGCCATCAGCAATAAAGAACTGTTGGTAAGAAAGACATTGAATTGGGAAAACAAAATAATTTAACAAGGGCCAAATACCTCCCCCGTTGTAGCCACTGCAATGGAAGTGGGCTTGCACAGATGCTTAACGGATGATCCGGGCCTAAATCGCTTGCCAATTGTAAGCAGTGGCTTGTTGCTAAACGGCTTAAACTATTAAGGAAAATCGGGAGTGATTACATTTAGGTTTTTTGTTTTAAAATCAAACATCTATTTACCTTAAAAGCCTGGTGCATGGCCACATCTGTAATCCAGTAATTGCCGTGTCCATCGATGGTCATCCCATGTGGCATGTAGAACATATTCGATCCCCATCCCGAATTGATGGCCCCCGTCTTCGCGTCCAGCACGTAGATGGTCTTCTCCTTGATTGGGCCGTACTCAATAAGGTAGTATATATTGCTCTCGTTAAAGGTACTGGAATAGCAGGAGGTTATAAGGGTTATATGCCTTGGGGTCTTACGGGATAATAAGTTAGGAACAAAAAATAATTTAGCCTGTATATTTAAGAGGTATCAAGTCTTTAAATCGTTTCCAATAAAAATAAGATCGGTCTGATGGACTTCTCTTTTCCTGTGTTCATATGGAATAGACACTTGTTACTAGGCAGCGACAGCTGTTGACCTACTTTACATCCCAGTAGCGTTCGGCACGATGGAAAACAACAGGATTTCCTTGGGGATCCACAGCCACGGCGGTGACCTGGCCAAAGCTATGCTGCTCGGTTGGCCAGTTTTCCACGAGCACCGGAGTCGGAACACTGGCAGCCGGAAGGGGCACATTGTCGTAGCTGCGTTGGTTCTGCAAGGCCAATGCATCATCATCCGCCAGCGGCAATGGCAGATCCAGCTGTTCCGGCTTCGTGAGCCCCTTCTCCTGTAGCCGTCGCTTGATAAGCGCCCGCACCTGGTCAAAGAACCTCTCGTTCATTCCCGCTGGCAGGTGGTTGCTGCTGCTGGGCGCCACACATCCTAAACTTAAGGCCAGCAACGCCACGAACAGGAGGCGCGACATTTTCTGGAAGTCCTGCGATTTTCTTCACCAAAACAACTGGGATTTGGCTTCTGGCTGCGCTCACTTGATTTTCCGCACTGCCAACATCTGTTGGCGGTGTCTATATGTTGAGCTGGCAATAGATTAACTGACTCTGCTCCCAACACACACTCGCACACGCACTCCCACGCTGTTCGATTTTCCCTTTCAATGCGACGCCTGCGCCTGGGTCCTGCACAGTGGCTTAAGTTGGAAACGAAGCATTAGAAAATGGTTTTAAAGTAGACGCCACTACAGCCATATACCATATATATATAAGGATGGATTTCATCAAGTCACAAGACAGTTAACACTTGAAAACCAGAGTACGGGTATCTCACTGTCAGGTACGGAATAATTTTATTAACTTAAACCTTGTACAATGAATTTAAATATAGAGACAGTTTTCTGTTTATTGTGTAGTGCAAGGAATGTGAATGAAGTGTTTAAGTTTAAGTTTAAATTTCACTTGTGCAGTGCTTTGGAAGTGCAGGTTTTGCTCGGTTTGTTTCCACTGTGGCCCTGCCTTAAGCCATCGTAAATTGGAAAACCTTTATTGATTTTCCAACAGCCCAGCGGAAACAGTGCAGTCGAAAAGTAATACGCCATTCGATACTATCTAGTCAGTGCGAATACCGATATCAACTCGGGAGGTGAACTCGACTACATTACATTTTAAAGCCTGAAAACTCGGCTCATTTTGTGACTCCTTTTCTGCTGGAGCTAATTTTTTGGTCTGCGAATGTATACAGTCGGCAGTCAGTGTCTTTGACGTCACAGCGAGCTGTGCTGGCGGTTTGGGGGCATGGCGGGGGCGTTATCCGGGGTATCTTCATCCTACGCCCCCCAATCCAAGTTCGGCTGGGTCCAAATATAACCGGTGTCCGTCATTGAACAGTAGGCATTATAGTAGCGTCCCGGCGACCTGGCAAAAATGCGAAACCAATTACACCCAATCCGAGTCCGGAAAAGCTAATCTGATTTTCATCTTGGTGTCAACCGGAAGCGGAAACTCACCGGCAGTAGGAGAACTGGGGGCACTTGCAGCGAAAGAGGCTCTGGAACTCCTCCTTGCACACCTCGTTCCACCAGCAGGTGCGCTGAAATGCATTGGAAGACCGATTTGGTTAGCTCAACCCCACTATATGTACCGCCTGTAATCCATAGAGACCTCGGTCATGTAGCCATGGACACTCTGATCCGAGTAGCTCCGCTTCGAGAGATGCGCCTGCACGGGGAGAAACAACAACGTCATGGCCAGAAGCAACAGTCGTGGCGTCACGGGCATCACAAAGAGGGCAGACTGTAGGGGCGAAAAATTAACCTTTTTTAAAAAACAGAATTATGGTTTTTATGTTTTTTGACTTACCATAATTCGGTTTTATTTTCTTAATAACTCTATTTATTCTCTGTCCTCAAAGTACAGTGAACACTTCACATGCCGTCTGCCCTGCATTGAATGTCGCCTGTTTTTCTGTTTTTTTGGCATCCTGCTGGGGCGGTGGCGTCGGCATCTCGGCTGCCTTGCATAAGCATAAGTATTTGGCCCCGTTCGCCCTCGGCTTTCAGCTTTCACTACTTTCACACTCGCACACTCACACTATCAGCGAATGCAGCTGCACATCTGAGTTGGCCTGGTATTGGTGAGCTTTTGGCCCATTTCAGACGGTAATTGCCACACTGTTTGCCTGCACTGGGTATATTGCAGAATACAGGGGCATCTGCAAATGCGAAATCACAAATATATATATTTTGTGATGGCTCAAATTAGCCGCACATCAAAAATAAAACACTGCCAAAAGGAATATAATTATTGTAGACTATATGCAGATTGCAAGCAGCGTACAAGAAGGCACATCCCAATAATTATAATTCGTGATTTATGCGCTACTAACTCAAGGAAATTGCTGATATAAATTTCAAACAATATTTGAAAAATCTTTTGTTAGGTCTGTCAGCATTTTCAACGACGTCATCTCTCTCGTCTGATTGAAAACGCACGCGACATGACTCAGCAGAGGAAAAACAAAAAACAAAAAACAAGCAAAAGTGGCAGATGCTCAAAATAGTTTATAAAGTCATTATAGCCAAAGTATTTTCATATTGGCCACGTCAAATCAGCAGTCTCAACAGGTAGAAAATTATGAAAATTCCTTTATATATAGCTGAATTTGGGGGCGTACAAATTTCAAAATTTCTTCTGGCATTTTCCAGAAACACATTCTGCTCTGTGGATTTTTCTAAAAAGTATTTGCAGGCATTTTGAAAATATATACAAAGAACACATTTTGCATACAAACTACTGGTATTTGTGTAGGCTTGATATATAGAATTCGGCATACACATTTTGGATATAAGTATTTTCAGGAACAAACAAACATAAACAAGACTAGTTCTGCTCCGAAAAAGGCTGGTCTGCGGTGACTAACATAGATGTTTCTTTGGGTCAGCATGATAGCCGGCGTCTGAGTCTCCAAATCATCGACTCCCACGGAAGCGAAACAAAACAGGCAGAAATCGTTCGCAGATTCGCACCCAAGATATGTGTTTGGCATATATAGATTCTGTATGTTCTCTAGAGAGAATGACGCTCGTTTAAATTTAGATGGGAAATAAATTTTCATATTTTTAGCCCGTGGGGGAAGATGTAAACAGTCTGTTGAGGGTATAAAACCGTGTGGATTCTCGGGGAGCTCCATCAAAATCGCAACAGCCGCGAATCGAAAAAGACGCGTTTATCGAAGTGAATAAAATCTAGAAAAGGTACGAAGGGGAAGGATAATATATATATATAAAAGAGGACAATAAGTGCAATAATTAGTGAAGTGCTTGGCTCACTATCGTCTCGTTTCTTGACCAAATTAGATGTCCGTAGTGCCCCTGATGTTCCGTGACTGGTGGGATGAGCTCGACTTTCCAATGCGCACATCGCGCCTCTTGGACCAGCATTTTGGCCAGGGACTGAGGCGGGATGACCTCATGTCCTCAGTGTGGAACTCCCGACCCACTGTCCTGCGATCTGGATACCTGCGCCCCTGGCAGAAGAACAGCCTGCAGAAGCAGGAGTCCGGATCCACCCTTAACATCGATAGCGAGAAGTTCGAGGTGATTTTGGATGTCCAGCAGTTCTCGCCATCCGAGATCACTGTGAAGGTGGCGGACAAGTTCGTCATCGTGGAGGGAAAGCACGAGGAGAAGCAGGACGAGCACGGATACGTCTCCCGCCAGTTCTCCAGACGCTACCAGCTGCCAAGTAAGTTTGAGAATATCAAATTAAAGGTCACTTATGACTGAAACTCTTTCATGTTCTATATTAAACCGAAAATCCTGCTTATAGGTGATGTCAACCCCGACACCGTCACATCCTCCCTCTCCTCCGATGGCCTGCTGACCATCAAGGCGCCCATGAAGGCCCTGCCCCCTCCATCGACTGAACGCCTTGTGCAGATCACACAGACTGGTCCCTCTTCCAAGGAGGACAATGCCAAGAAGGTGGAGACCTCGACGGCCTAAGGCTGAATTTTTGTACTGCTTTGAGTGTTAGTTAGTTTATGTCTACGTGTGCCTTAAATATTGGATTTTTACATATTTTATATCAATTAAAACGAAACTAAATATAGACATTTAATCTGTTTGCTAGTTTGATAAAATAGAGTGGAAGATTTGGACAACATATCATTCCCGCAATCAAATAATTTCTTTATGTCTAAATGGTGCAGGATCTAGAGATTAGTTAGCAATAGTAAATCATCCATAGTTAGACTGTTTCTCTCAAGGTTCTGTTGTATCAACGCATTGGCCTTCTTAATTTGCTCTGGCTGAAGTTCATCCTTGTAACCATCGACCTTTCCACGTCGGACGAAACTGAAAGACCAGATGCTAGATTATTTTAAAAAAACACTTCATTTCCCTACTTATAGTTCACTTTGCCAGCATGTTTGCCCCTCTCCTGAGATTTCTCCCACAGATGATTTGTTGTTGGGTTATCTGAGAAAATGAAAAGTAAAAGTAATAAAAGTTGACCAGCTGCTTAGTAACTCACTTTTCATCTCTTCAAATGATAAATGCTTAAGTAACCTCTGCATTTGCATTTCCGTAACCGGTTTGTTTAGAAAACTGGAAACATCATCGATTACCTCTCGCAGATCTTTCTTCATTCTCTCGAAACTAGTGTAGAAGACCCAGGGCTCATTCCGAAGTTGGAAGAACTCACAGGCATGTTCAATGGTCTCTGTGACATAGCTTTCGTCGATCAAGAGATCATCGAAATATTGAGTAAGTGTTTTTCCGTAGAACGCACCATAGGTAACTCCATGATAATATCTGGAAACCCAGGCATCTAAGGGATTCCGAAACACGTAGATCACTTTGTTTTTTCTCTCCCAAAGTTTCGACGGAAGCAAAGCGAGGGGAAGATGCGATTTTAAAAGTCGGGGAGATTCGCATTCCTGAACACGCTTTAAAGATACTTCTATATCGCCCTTTGTGACAAAATCAAACCTATAAAAGGGGCGAATAACTGAAGATATTTTTCATATTAATTATCAATTACGCACTCCAAAAAGGGACTACGTAGTCCTTGATCTTTGGCCAGCGCCTTGTCAAAATCGAAGTTATTCAGCAGCAACCACAGTAATTCCTGCATCCAAGTTGTTCCACATTTCGGTGGGGTTACTACCCACACATCGTCCCCTAGAATATCCATGTCGTGGACTAAGTGGAGAAAACTATCCATGTTCTTCCTGTGAAAATGTTTTCGCTTCGCCCAATCTTTGTCAATTAGGTTTGTGGGGTAACTCCGTGGTGTGATCTGAACGCGCTCCATGGCCTCAAGTAACTGGCTTGATATGAAAAGCTATAGCTATAACATTGTTTTTCATTGACAATTTATTTTCTTTTTATATTATATTTCGTTATCACTTTTATATTCTTGAAGCTGTATGAAGAGCTATATTAGTTTACTTTCCTCCGAGCAGTTAAATCTTTATCCTCACTGAGATAGATTAGATCATCATTATCAAGAATAGCAATAAACTTTTATTATGTTACTTATATGTTTACAAATACTAATCTAAACTGAGAAGATTTTCTAGTTACATTTTTATATTATGGATCACCACTGAGCAGAAGTTCATCCATAGTAACATGGTTCTTTTCCAGAGCTCTTTGAATGCCAATGTTGGCCCTCTCAATTTGTTCGGGCTGCAGCTCGTCCTTATAGCCATTAACATTGCCCTTTCGCACAAATCTGAAAGATTAAGGCTAAAATGTCACTTCTTTTCCAAGAAACTATGAGCCATTCTCTTACCGATGCAACTCCTTGCCAGCATCTTTGTGCTTAACCTGGGCCAACTCCCACAGATGATTCGTGGTTTGATTTTCTGGAAGATAATAAAGTTAAATCTAACATCTAGCTTTGCCACTCTTTACCCACTCTTCATTTCTTCGAAAGATAAATGCTTAAGAAGTTTCTCCATTTGCTGATCGTTGACGGGTTTATCTAGAAATCTGGAGACATCATTGATCACTCCTCGCAGATCTTTCTTCATCCTTTCAAAACTTGTATAGAAGACCCAGGGCTCGTTTCTCAGTTGGTAGAACTCATGAGCATGCTCAATATTCTCCGTTGCAAAGTCACCGGAGGCCAAGATTCCATCGAAAAACTGTTGCAATGATTTGCCGTAGTAAAAACCAAAAGACACCCCGTGATAGTATCGCGACACCCAGTGATCCAGGGGGTTCCGGTACACATAGATAACTTTGTGTTTTCCCTCCCAGAGCTTTGAGGGAAGAAGGGCAAGCGGAAAATGCGACTTGATCAGTCGTGGAGATTTGCATTCCTCGACGGGACGAAGTGATCGTTCCAAATCCTTATGTACACCGAAATCAAACCTGAAGGGGAAGACACACATATTAAAATCTACTTAAACTTCTTTTGGTGATTGGCCTACTCAAGGAAGGGACTCCTTAGCTCTTGATCCTTGGCCAGCGCAGCCTCAAAGTCGATATCATTGAGCAGCAGCCACACTAGTTCCTGCATCCACGTGGTTCCACATTTCGGAAGAGTTACTATCCACACATCGTCATCTCTGAGCTGCATGTCATGAACCAAATTCAGAAATTCTTCCGAGTCTTTACCGTGCATATGTATTCGTTGGGACCAGTTTTTATCGATGAGGTTCGTGGGGTAACTCCGCGGTGTGACCCGTACGCGTTCCATTGCTGTAACTCACTGAATTTCTGTTTAGGAAAGTTCACTCAGGGGAGTGTTCATCGCTTCGCTCAGTTCTCTCTTTCGTTCTTATTACGATAAGGTTACACGGTAGTTTCGTAGTGTTGGTTTTCATTTTATTGTATTTTAATTGGACTTTTCTCTCTCAATTCTATTGATAATAACAAAGTAAGCTAGCCGAGGAAATTTATAGAAGCCAGTTAACAAAGTAGGCCAAACGCTCTGAAAACCTGCTATCATTTTTATGGGATAACGCCACTTAATTTATTATAAACAAGTTGTGTTTGCTAAAGGAAAGGCTAATAATAATTATTATTGCCGAAAGAAAAGATAGAAATAAAAAGTTATGGGAGCTTCCCTACCTCTTGAAAAGTGTATATGTAGCTATTTTTCTTTTACATGTTCATTGGAGTAGCTGTTGATAATGGCATATAAACCACTGATAATGGAGTGCCAACCGCAATACTGTAAACAACCCGTCATAAACCATTAACTTACATATAATATAGGGGAAGCAATTATTTATTAAGCGTATATCACCACAACTTACAGACTATTAACAAAGTTTAACCAATGCACGAGTATATTATACAAAAACTAATTAAGCTGAATTACGTGGAAGCGAATTTGCTGTAGTTGGCAAAGTCATCCATGTTCAATTTAAAATCCCGCAGATTGCTGTCAGACCAGAGATCGAACTCCCGGATAATGTCGGCGGTGAGCTCATCTTTGTGGCTGCCCACGACTCCACGGCGAACGAACCTGTGCGGGGAAGTGCTGATTAGCCAGCTCCTGGCGAGTCCTTTTCAATGGTCAGTTTATCCCAAGACTTACCTGAACTCCTCCACCTCCCGTCCGGCAGCTGCCTTCATGCTCTCGAACTCCTTGACATGATTGCAGGCGGGGTTATCGCGCATGCTCTCAAAGGAGAGATGTTGCTTCATCCGCTCGATCTGCTCCTGGCTTACCTTGCGGTCAAGGAATTGAGCCACCTCGGATATAACCTCTCCCAGCTGTCCCTTCATCCTCTCGTAGCTGGTGAAGAAGATGTTTGGCTCATGGCGCAGCTGCCAAAAGTCCAGAACATGAGGCCAGCAGGGCGTGAAGTTCACATAGCCATCGATAAAGGAGTGCATGAAGTCCGACTTGGTTCCCTGGTAGCCCACCATTCCACGCCAGTGGTGGAAATAGGAGATGGCCGCATCCTTGGGGTTGCGATACACGTAGATGATCTTGGGTCTCTTGGTCCAGATCTGCCTTGGCAGCATCCAGGCAGGGAGGTGGGATTTGATCAAGCGCGGTGAGGGCAGGGCATCGGCTGCAGCGATGGTGTCGTGTGGCACATTGGGAACCACTCCGTTGAATCTGGAGAGAAGAGATTAGTTTTCTGAGACTGCAGAGACTGATTTGATAAACCCACTCTAGGAAGGGCGATCTTAGTGTGAGATCCACACTCTTGGCCGTCTCGAAGTCACACTGATTTACCACCAACCAGGCCAGCTCCTGCATCCAGGTGGTGCCGCATTTCGGAAGGGTAACAATCCATACATCGTCATGACGAACCTCAAAGTCGTATACGCGATCAAGGACCGGTTGGAAGGTATCCGCCAGGCGGCAGAAGCGCTGCTCCCAATTTCCAACTACCGGAACCGCCGGCTCACTGCTGGCGAAGATCGAGGAGTAACCGCCGCTGATGGCCAGCTTGTCGATCTGGTCGAAGGGGACGCTCTTGGCAAAGAAGCTGGACTGGGGCATCTTTACTGGATCGATATCTTGGATGACTGAAGCTCAAGTGGAAAGCGATCAATCGAACTGATCGGCTCAGCAGTTGGAACCGCATTAAACGCTGCCTCAGAAACACCCATCGATCGGCAGCAGAATCTCGGGCCTTTTCTCAGCTTGGAGATGCAATCGTGACACGATCGTCGAGAGAGCTCAAAGCGGAACCCATTATGATCTGCATTTAGCAACTTAATGGGGGCTGTGGCACTATAGTCACGCAGCCATCGCCGAAACACAAAGCCACATTATGCAATTAACGCGTAACCGGACTCGTTTGTGTCCATATGCGACACGATTTTTGGCTGCATGAATCAATCGTGCTGTAAGACTGAAAGACTTTCTTTGTTGGGACGGTTGGGACTGATGGGACCGCCAAAAGAAAGTTTTTGGGCTGGAAACGTTCGCGTTGTTTACCTTTTGATTGAGGCGGCCAGGTGAAATTAAGCCCACAGATTTGGGCAGTCGTTAAGTTGGAAGAATGCCAGCCTTTAGTATTGCAAAACAGGTTGTTAACATTCATAGAGAGGTTCGTGCTAATGCCATAAGAATCTATGAATATTGACAAGTGACTGAATGAAATACTAATGGGGCTGCTGATCGAAGATAGATGGGCAACTCTGCTCAACCTTGACCCGAATCCCAAACATTTCACTTTCTTTCCGATTGGTTTTTTTGTAGATAATTTCCATTTTGTTGGATTTTTATTTGTATTATTTGCATTTTGTTTTTGTTTCTTGTTTGTGTTGTTGGTTGTTGTGTTTGTTTGGTTTTTACAATAAATTTGACTAAATCTTAACATTTATAATCCTTAACCTGCAAGGAGCAAACAGATGTAGTAACAAATATACATAGTTGTATGTAAAGATTTATCATTTTTGTGTTCAGAAACATATAGTAGTACCGTATCTATATATGTATATATATTTATGTATACATATATTCTTCATAACATGTAAATGGTTTTTGTTTTTCATTTGCAATTTACGCGATTTAATCCAATACATACAATTGAAACACACACATATTAACAACATTGAATATGCATATACATTTATATTCTCCTATCGCTCAGATTTGTTGGTTTTATTTCGGTTTAATGTGGTGTGGTCGGTCAGTAGTGATACGAAGTGTGGGAACGGAAAGTGTGGATTTAAGGGGAGGACTAACTAGACCAAGGGACTTTGCCAAGGGACAGTTCAGGAGGTCGGGACTTGTCGGGGGACTTGTATACGTGTATATAATTTCTATCAAAACATTCTGAAGCACGGGATTTAACACCTTGGTAACGGTAACACATACAAATTACTGTAACTCTGTGAATGAATGCCGATATCGTATGACATATATAAATATATAATATGCTTCGTAAAAGTTGTATAAATTGTATATATGTATATTGTATATATTATTTTGCTTTTCCATTTCATTTTCTTTTTCCATTTTCCTTTTTTTTTAGTTATAACAAGAACGTATTATCGATTCGTATTAATAGATCTGGTTTATATATGTATATGTAATTTGTTCAGTCAATTAGATAAAAAGATTTCAAAAAGGATTTCACTTAATTGTTAAACATTTGCGTTTAGTTTGATTTCTCATACCGTATGCTTAGAAAGCTAAACAACATTAATAGTATTAGTTAGGATAGCTCATCATCGTCTCTCTTCCTCGTTCCTCTTCAGTTAGGAAAATAGTTAACTAGATAATTAGGTAGTAAAAGGGGCCCCATAGGATTTCATATGTCTCAAGAGTGGATTCGAATTAGTTTGTTTCAGTTTTGTTTAACTTGTAGTTGTTAGCTAGTCTATAGTGATAGTAGTTAATGTTATATATATATAGTGCTTGCCGCGATCTCGCATGCATGTGTATGTATATAGTCTTCGTCTAGCTATGGCCTTCTACTCGATCCGAGTCCAAATCCAAATCCAAATCTGACTTGGACAGCAATTAAAATATATATTTACTTGGCTTTGCAGTATTTAACAGAGATTGTCTTCATGATGGGAGAGAACTACATGCTTGTTGTATTGGTATATGTACCGCTAGAGGGTTACCAAGACCGTTATACTGTTATACGTTATACCGTTGACAGGTACAGTTGAGCGCACGCCATATATTCTGGTCAATATGCTGTGGGATTCTTGCTAGCCTGCTAGTCTGCTTGTCGGCTAGTCTGCTAGTCGGCTAGCTTGCTAGCATGCTAGTCTGCTTGTGGTTAGCCTAAACACATACACATTTACTTGGAGGGGATGGAGGGGACATACACACTCACGCACACACAGACTCACATGGTATATTAATATAGAAATAGAAAGTTCGCTTCTTGTGATGCATCTTAAACATTTAATTTTGAGTCCAGCCCAATAATTGTTTACTTGTTTGCCTTAGTTAGTTTTGCTTTGTTTTGTTTTGTTTTGTGTTGTATGATACCGCATTTGTGACACCGCTTGGCACCGCTTTTCGTGAGCCAGCCACCCATCTGTCCCGGCCCCCGCCCAGTCCGTTGGTCCGTTGAGAGATATGTGTGGGGCAGTCCGGGGAGCGGTGGGTTGCGGTTGGGTTTCAAACCGGGATGAGCTTCGACTTCTGTGAGAGGAGAGGATCAGGCCGAGAGACTGCGGGTCCGGAGTCAGACGTCGCAGGACCTTCGACGCCGTCACTAGAGCACGTCCTCCATCTCGTTCTCGCCAATCGTGGAGGTGCCCGGCGCCTGGGCCGGCAGTGGCTTCAGTAGACCCGAGAACAATCTCCGGAAGGCCGTATGCTATTTGGAGTTGGCCATCTTTCCCACCGGCGGCTGCTTGGCCATTATCTCCGCCAGGGTGTTGACCCCCTGCTCGTCGTACTTCTTCCACTGCGAGTAGTTGATCTGCATGTAGGTGATCAGCTGAGGCATGTCGATGAAGCCTGTAAGGAATATATATCTGCATTAGGCACTGATCTGGTGGATATCAGATCCCCAAACTTACTCTCCCAGGCGTGTATCATGTCCTGTATGATGAATTCGATGAAGCCGATCTGGCTCTTTGGTATGCTGCAGGTGGCCCGATCGAACATCGGCATCACGATCGGCAGGTGTCGCTGCTTCTCCTCGTCCGTCTGCATGAAGTACTCCTCGGCAATGCGTCGGGCCCACTCGATGCAGTACTGCATTGGTCGGGCGGGATTGCTCACATCGGCCACCTTGATCAGCATACGGCGCATGAGTATCGATGTTTCCTCATCCGTCTGGGAGTTGTGCTATCGCAACACAACATTTGTAATTATGTTTTTATAGAATTATAATGGGTCTTACCTCACGGGGCTCCTCTCCGCCGAATACGCTCACGAACTTGGCCAGGTGCTCAAAGTGCCGGGTCATCTCGGTGGCCAGGATCATGTCAATGATTGTGCTGCGGGCCGACTTGTACGTCTCCTTGTCCAGGTTCTTGAAAATATTGATCTTGTCGTCGCCTGGAAGTATGAAAAGTAACTTAGATTCATGAGAGCAGAGGGCTTAAGGTCGTTTGAGTTCTCACCCAGAGTAAGCTTAAAGGTTATGGCCGCATGATGGTTCTCCAGGACCGTCAGATCGTTATACAAGACTGCCAGGGCGTCGTTGGAGTTGCACAAGAAGGCGGAGGAGCGACCAGGATGATCCACATCGTGGGCGGCGGCTGCAATCAAGGCAGTTGCCTCCTCCATGCGGTCCATCATTAGCATGTCCTTGTTGGACAGCTGGGTGATGAAAGCGCCAGTGGCCTACAGAGGGTTAAAAGGTTAGTAAATTATTTAGAAATAGTTTAGTAATACCAAAACCCACCTGCATGACATCCGCGGCATGGGTGCTGTTGTGATATGTGTTGCTCTTTCGGTAGTGGGCCTCGATCACGGCCAACCAGGCCTTGCACACGTTCTCATCGATGTTCAGGGTGGCGAAGACGTCGAAGCGGCGGAACATCTCCATGCCCAGATAGAGCAGCGGGTGGTAGTCGGTGATCTCCTCCAATTTGAAAATATCAAAGTCCCAGCTGAGAGATTCGTCAAGTAGTTCCATGATGATGGGATTGGACTGCAATTATAACAATTAGTAAGTAAGTTAAAGTGGCATGTTGACCAGAATAATCACCTTCATTTTGGCGGGCACAATCGTGGCAGTTCTTGTGGAGCTGCCGGTGCGTATGATGGAGTCATTCGAGCTGCGGCGCGATGAGTACACGCTGGGTCCCTGAGAATATTGATTTCGATTAGATATGATTACGAGGATCAAGGATTCACTTACTGTTAGCAGGGCACCAATCAGGTCGGTGGCTATGGGATCGTCCGTCCGGATCTCCTTCATTTGTGGACTGTAGAGTCCCTCGCGCTTCAGGAACTCCAAGACCTTGTCTATGAGCCGCGCCTCATCGGCCGAACAATTCTCCTGTACTTGTGATAGTAAATTGATTATCTAATGTGCGAGGGCGCATTGTTTGCGATTGATTTGTTTTTGATTTTTGTTTTGTTTTTCATTTGTGTTTGTTGGTTTTGAGTTTTGTACAATTTGTATTTGTTTTTTATATTTTATTTTGGTTAGCGACGCACAGCGAGCAAATCGAGCGAGCGAGCGAGAACGTGCGAACGAACAGTTTGGTACATTTTTTGTAATATTTTTATGAGTTGGTTCATTGTTCGAGTACACAAAACATAAAAGTAAAAAAGAGAACATAACAATTAAGAGATAAAAAGAGAATAAACGTTGAATGTTGGTTTAGATGAGCTGTTACTGTTGAATTTGGGATTAGTGGGCGTTAAATATATGACAAATTAGGAGCTCGAATGGGTGAGAACAGTGGGGCAATGTGGGTTAAAAATTGACCCAGAGTTGGTAGTATCCACCAAACACATTTAGCTAGCCTGGAGTGTGCTATCTCTATATATATACATTCTCTTTTCGTTTTAATTAGAGATGTCGCCAGTTGAAGGTCCCTGCCAGGACAGGCGCCACTCTGCTCTAGATCCTTTTGACTAGATTACGGGAATTTGAGTGGTTAATTGGATAATTAAAAGCAGAGTGACTGCCGTCATCCCATGGCCTTTGCATCTCCAATCTCCGATAGCCAAAGTTAGCACTACTCCAATCAGGAAAATGCATTTGCTCTCAACTTTCACTGTGTGTCGGTGCCGGTGTCGGGGTGTGCGTGTGTGGATGGTCTGTGTGCATGTGCTTGTGCAAATATTGTTGCTAATGTTATTGCTGTCGCTGCTGCAGTTGCTGCTGCTGCTGCTGCTGCCGTTGCTAATGCTGCATATGCTACGGGGCATGACAGGACACCAGGACACACACACACACACGCAGACGAGGCACGGACACGGACACACTGCCACACTGCCACACGGCACAGGCACGGACGACAATTTAGCAATTTAGGCACTCCCAAAAGCCCTCCCAAAAGTTGCAACGTGCTGCAGCCACAACCCAAATATGAGGCGGAGTCATACTTTAGTGATGGGGGCCTCCAGCGGCAGGGACGTCAGCTTGGCCAGACTGGTCCTCCGCAATCCGTCCGAGGCAATGGAGCGGACATCAAAGCTGCAGCGCCTCACCGAGTGCAGGGAGCCACGAGGTGCCTCCTTGGGCTGCGGCAGCGTGGCTATGAAGTCCATCTGTCCGCCGGGCACATCAAAGTTGAAAATCAGGTGCGTGGGGGCGCTGTAGGTACAAAATTGCCAATTAAACCGGGTGCGGGTTGAAGTGGACTTTAGGAAGTGGTCACTGGTCACTGGTCCCTGGCCAGTGAAAACACTTACCTGCCGATGCAGGCCACTGGGACCACGCGCACGTGCATCGGTATCCCCTCCTGGCTCTTGCGGCGCACCGTCAGGATGCCGTCGAACTCCTTGATGTTCTTGCACTGCTCGCTGATGGTGGACAGGTCCGACACGAATATGTCCTCCAGCTGCTTGCTAATGATCTCGTCCTGTTGTCCAACGCGGAAATCTCATTAATGCCGCAATCGCAAACAATCCACCCTCCCTCCCCCAGCCGACGACCCACTTACCAGCCGCATGTTGAGCAGCCTCTCGGTGGCACGATTCGCGTACTGGATCCGGAGCAAGTCGTCCGTGATGAGCACCACCTCCTTCAGCCGGTGGAGAGCCGTGTAGAGGGCCTGCGGGATGGAATGGAAATGGGATTGGAAAGCAAGGGGTTACAGGCGGGTTTACAATTTCATTGCCCTGCAGGGCAGCGTTTCCATTTAATTGAATTAATTTGCAGAAGTGAATGGCACTGTGACAGTGCGTCCTGGCGCCAGGGGCGGTGGGACATTAACTCGATTACCTGTTGAGTGGACATGACATTGTGCGGCCGGATGATGGAGTGCAGTATCTGCTTCAGTTCCACACTGCACATGGCCAGGTTGGTCGTCTCCGCTACGCACTGTGGAATACACAAGATGGTGACTTGTAGCATCTGTTTCTCACAGAGCATCTCTGGCTCTGGCTTGGGCTCCTTTTCTCTGATGGGGCAATTAACGGAAACTTACTCTATTAACGCCAGCGTCCAATAGAGCAATTAGCACATCATCCTTTTCGAAGAAACTGTAAAAGTCGTCGGTCGTAAGTCGTAAGTCGTTAGTGGAAAGTGGCAACTGGCAACTGGCAAGTGGCAAGTAGCAACACTGTGGCGCCACCGAACTACTCACCTCTTCTTGCAGACTGCAATTATTGTCGTTAAATGGTGGCCGTGTGTGTGACGTATGGTTCTGTGGGGACGGAAGCGAGCAGAGGAGACAGCAAGTTTTATTGCAAAGTGAAAAGTTTATGAAAATGGAAAAGTTTTGAGAAGTTTGGCCAACCCAACCGAAACTCGACCCGAAAACCCATTTCACATTTGCCAACCCGCTATCCCAGACCCAGACCCACCTCGCAATGTGCTCCGCATCCAGGTTCTTGGTGGAACGCGCATCAATTATGATTAGATGGTAGCACTGGGCGCTGGCGTACGACTTCTGCAGGGTGTCCAGAGCCTCCTCCTTCGACTTGACCAGCGTGACGTCCAGCTGGTGGCGCTGGCAGGCCGCGGTGATCGCCTCGCAGATGCTGTCCGACTTGTGGAAAACCAGGAGGGCCTAAGGGCGGGTCAAAGCCATTGCACTGATTGAATTGCCTCTGTTCAAAGTGGTCCGAAGAGGGCTTACCTTAAGTGGGGGATTCGGTGGTAGTACGGTTGGATACTTCAGGTCCATGAGATTTCGCTGCATCAGGACATGAAAAGAGAAAAGGAAAATGAAGGAGGGTGGGATGTCAGAGCCGAGCAGGTGAGACAACGTGTAAAATTTAATATAAATCTGCAGCTCCTCCGGCTTTGCCGTCAAAATAAGAGGGCTTAACCCGGCTTCGTATTGCGAATGTCTGTATCTGGGTATCCGGATATCTTAGTATCTGGGCATCTGTGTATACCTGGGCATCCCCCTACCGGTATACCGGTGACACAACAATGCGTGTGCGTCGTTCGTGTCGCTTAAATGATGATAAATTAAAATAAAATTGCTCGCTGCTGATTCTGACTTATGTGTGGCACGCTCGTATGCTGCAGATTTATAATACGAGCACATTAAATCCGCTGAAGGTGGGTTGGGCTCAGTGTCAATCAGAGGAATGAAAATGTAATCGGAAATGTATCACAACATTTTCCACGCACAGCGAAACAAGGGCGAACACGGGAGAAAACGGCATAAGACACGGCTAAGGCGGCAGATTGATGGGCCAAGAGTAAAAGTTGGTCCTGGGAAAGCTGAAAGCTACCTGAAAAGTCCTGAACTCCTCCTCCTCCGTTGGCTTCTTGCCAGCGACCAGGAGATGGAGTTTCGGCACCTTGGGCAGCCGCCGCTCGTACAGGCTGTGCGCCTTCCGCTCCAGGCAGTTGACCTTGCGCCGAAGGACCACCGAGTCCTCATGGTCGTGGCAGGCTGACAGCTCCTGCTCCACGTAACTCTCCCTCTCTCTTTCTCTGCCCCCTTCGAGGTTCAGATTGTTTAGCAGGAGGGCCGGAACGTCCAGGCTGCGTATGACCTCGACTATTTCCGGCTGCAGCGCAGTGCGTCCTCCGCCGAAGGACACACTTTGGGGCCTTGTTTTGCGGCGCAGGGGGGTCATTATGTCGCGACTTTCGGCCTCCACATTCGCCTCGTATTCCAGCTCCATTTCCTCGGGCGTTTTACTCGAATTCCGTCCGACAAATGGCAGGGAAATGGCCACTGGACCTGAAGTAGGAGCCGCCGCTGAAATCGTTTCCACTTTCATTTCCGGGCAGGCACCCTCGCTCTTTGGCCGAATGCCTCCATTCGTTGACGGAGGTATGGCCGGTAACATGGCCGGTGAATCCGAGTCCAAATCCAAATCCAAATGAGCGGCGCTTATCAGCCGGCTGCGGCTGCTATCATCATCTGCGAGCGGTCTTGGCCTGGGTGTTTCATTACGGTTATCGCCACTCCGATTGGATATAGCCGCGATGGCATAAGGCTCCGTATCGGAGTCCGGCTCGTTCGACGGATTTTCACGGCCGGCCGACGCAGAGGCCTTTGCGGAGGACTTGCGGCGGAAGACTTTGCTGAATTTTGGCAAGCAATTGCGCATTCTGCTAATTATAAATCAACAACACTCGGCCACTCGGAGAGAGTGAAGCGATCCAATCCGTGTCGCAATAACAATGACAGCGGCAATTACACTCGGCACTTGAGGTCCAATGTCTTAGATCAATAACAAGTTGTTTGCATAAGCTCCACGAACAGACGAATGGAAGCGCGTCGCGAGTGGCATTTCCAACTTTTCCACAACGCCGCCGTTGACTAATGGGACAATCTCGATCGGTGTGTGTCTGTATCTGGGAATCGATCTCAATCGGTATCTACGGAATCAGTTCTAAATAATTCACAGGTTTTGTGGTCGAAACTAGGCGACTTCGCGACACTCAAACACCGAACTGAAACGGAATGAATCGACTCGCGTCTATCGGGGGTATAATCTCTTTCTTTGCCTTTTGATTTCCCACCTTCAATGTTAATTGATTTGATTTCTCTGGCCTGGCAGTATATTGTTTATAGGCAAAACACACATATATCTTGTTGCAAGTGTTGGTGAGCGGCTATTTAAAGCGGAATGTAAACCGAAAAGCGCAGCGCTCTCCGCACGGAGATAAGATACCTTATCAAAGACGTAACAACCATGTGGTTCGGTTCCGTTCCCCCTCGAATCAGTAATCAGTAATGGGTAAAAGGGTTGGCAACTCACCTGGTAGACGTCCATCGGCTCATCTTCCGGGGTTAGGGCGAGGGCGAGCGATGACTTGCGGTGACCTGGACGGCTGTTCCCGCCGCCGGATGAACTGGTGCCCGATGTGCCTGTGCCTGTGCAAAAAGTACGAAAAGAAAATTGAGGAAGAGAGCCAGAAAGGGGGGGGGCGGAATCGTTTAGAGAGAAGAGGAAAATTCTCTGAAAAGTATGCTACATTTCTGTGCGTTTCGAGGGCTCGCATGGCATTGCATACTTGGGGGCTGCCCACAGCACGCCCACAATCAAAATGAATGGTCACTGGCCCACACACACACACACATACACATATCCACTTATACACCAACACTCTGGCAGGGACACGCACGCACATTAATTCCTCTTGTTGCACGTTTTATTTAATTATAAACGTTGGCATTTCAGAAACACTTTATAAACGGGCGCACGCACACACGTGTGCCTGCGAAAGGGTACAAAGGTCCTTGGGGGCGGTCCTTGGGCTTTGGTTTGGGCTGGGGCTCGGGCTCGGGCTTCCTATCTGTCAACGAAGGCACTCCGACCGACTGAACAACAGGAACCCCCGAGGAACTAAGCCGCACAAATTGTATTTCACTTAATGAGAAACAGGTCGGGACTCCGCAGGACCAACATCCCACTTTATTTTATGCTGCGGCAAGCAAACTAAAACAAAAAACCATGGCAACTGGCTCTGTGAATCATAGGAAATATTAAATTGCAGGTTAAACCAATAGTTGAACCTTCAATAATCCTCAAACCATTGAAGTATCTGCATGTTTACTTTCATGTATGTACTTTGCACACATTTAGGATGAAAATTTCAATCCATATTGGAGTTTGCCATACCTTCGCAGGCATTCCCAAAGTTGAATTCCTTGGCAAAGTTTTGGGGAAATTAAAATTCTGTGGCTTCTCGCAAGTTATGTATGCTTAGGCCCGAACAATTTTTAAGACCCCAAATGATTGACCAAACAAACTTTCTGTGTAACGAAATTTGTTCGAGGCTTTTGTGCGGATTCCCCCTGCAAGCAAATTAAAGTTATCAACAAGTCGTTTTAGGTTTTGTTCTGGGGCTTTTTAAATTGATAAGGCGTATCCATATGGTGAGCTCTTCCCCTGAATTTTCTAGCTCGATAAAAATGCGAAAGAGCTCTATAGTAAATACTTGATAATCCCCTGCATTCTTTTAACCATAACCAGATTCTAATCATTTACTTTCTGCCTAATTCTGCCTAATTCTCAACCATTTTCACTTCGGTCTATTTTGGGCTCTACTAAAAGTCTCCGCATGTTTGTTTGGCCTTCTCATAATTTATGATGTGAAATATCGCTGCGAAACGTATTTTATAATTTTCCTGATAAATTCTATTGAATATTTCGCCGGCACAACTTTATAATATTTGATGCCTGCAGCTTTATTTAATTCGCTGGAATTAGTTTTTTTGGTATTTTTATTTTCCGCTGCGGCATCGCTTTTCCATGCAGCTGAATTACATTTTGTGGAAACTGTTTTAATTAATTCTAATTTTTTCCACTATGATACTTAATTCGCACTCAGTTTAATTTATTCTACGGAATCGGCTTTCATCATTTTTTCATTTTTTCATTTTCCACCTCTTGAATGTTTCATTTAGTTTCAGTCAGCTCTATCCCACGGAATCTGCATATAATTTTCCACTTTCTGCCACTAGAATGCTCGATTGCTTGCTTTAACTTTTAAGTTGATGTACTTGGCCAAGCAGGTGGAAATCCAACTAGCTGCTAACATCTATTGGGGAACTTGATGAAGAAAACTTTCAGACTGATTTTTAATTGCCAGGAACCCTCTGGCAAGGCAACCATAGCCACGCCCGCTCCCCTGGGGACACGCATGTTAACCGCATCATCAAGCTCAACTTGAACCCCCGAAGAGTTGAAGGGGCAAGCGGAGGAATCTTACCCACATTTAGCTCGGACTCGGAGGCCGGACGCGTTAATGAATCTCTGCCTGGTGCCGTAGATGTTGGTGCCTTCGATGTGGCCGTGGACGTTGTTGTTGGCTCCACGGATGGAGCTGGGGATTGTCTGGGGCCCAGAGCAGCAGCCACCACGCCCACTCCCCCGCAATTGCAAGTGCCAGGAATGGGGACACTTTCCTCGCCCATATGAGCACTAGTGGCCGTGGTCGTGGTCGTGGTCGTCGCCGATCCAGCCAAATTCGGCTGGCTGGAAATTATCATTGTTTGTGCTTTTCGCTGTACTTTATACTTTGTTTATTCCCTTTTTGTTCTTTTGTGTTTATTTTGTTCTGTTTTTCGGCTCTTGCTTTGCCTTTGCCGTTGCCTTTGCTATTTTGCAAATGAAGTCACACAAATTCGGATTACTTTGGTGGCATTATGTTAATTGTCATTTATGTGCAATAGTTTGTTTATCTGGCTGCGGCATTGATTTCACACAATTAGTGCGTAATGATAAACTGCCCCACATGCACACACACACGGGCCTATACATACACACACTCTCATACAGCGCACAAGATACGGCAGCATGTGTGCTCAGCACACTTAATATAAATAGCCCGAGTGGGGCATAAACAAAAACTAGCCAGGGAAAGTACGGAAAGTGAGTACCCGTAGTCGAATCCGTACTGCCATATAGTATACGGTACGGTGTGTACCCATATGAGCAGTACGAGATCCATGTACATGGGGACAGTATATTTGCGCTTATTCAAATGGGTCGGGTGTATCTTATCGTTTGTGTTATTTTTCGGAGCAGCCATGGGAGTAAAGTGGAGCGGAATGGGTGGCAGGGGCAGGTACAGGGGCGGGGGCACACGCGTTGTAATCTAAACGAAAATCGATAAATTGTTTAGATAAAAGGCGGCCAGCAGCCGCTGACGTCTCTGGATTTGGGGGACTCTTGGAACTGGGTCCTACAACTATATATCCTCGACCTAGTGGACTCGGTGGCCCAAGTTACTTACTGCCTGGACACACACTGCTGCTCATAGTACAAAGTCACACACAGGATTGCGCGAAAGGCGGGCTCATTAAATATTAAGTCTTGAAGGGGATACTTTTCACTCGATCGATTGACAAGGCCGAATCGCGGGGAATAGAAAACAGAGCGGTGCTAAGCCCGAAGCCGAAATCCAAATTGGCACAGATACAAATATGCAGAATGGAAGTAAAACGCGAGCTGGACTGGGCAAAACGTCCGTTCTAATCCGGTATGAAGAACTGTTTGCCAGATGATAATTCTCGCACGGATTTTCAAACTGCCAGCGGCAGCAACGTCGGCTGCGACTGCGACTGCGACTGTGGCAGCGAGTGCGACAGCAACAGCAAAAATGCGCTGCGGCAAAAACTAACGGTCTGGTGGGCTGTCGCCAATCCGTGAGATACTTTTGGGGCGTATATAAGGCGCTTAGCCTTATAAAGGCAGGTGCATTTCCATTGAAAGCCCCGCCAGGAACGGGACCAGGAGTGAATCTAACTTTGGCACAAAGAGCGGATTAGGGGCTTTTGGCCAGTCCCGCTGGCCGATCTCATCGGGGGCTTTCGGGTTTGGGGCCTTTTGCGCCTTTGGCCGTTGTCATGGCGACCAATTAATTTGTGATAAGATAATATCAGGCAAGTTTGCTCATAGTATTCAGATGTTTAGGCTGTGTGTGCGCGATGAGATACGGCACAGGTTGGGATACAGGTACTCGGCCAGATGCAGATACAGATACAGATACAGATACAGCTAGGTGAACGCGTGCACAATCTACATCTGCGGGGGATAGAATGGCCAGAATGGCTAGACGCGCTAGGGCAAGGGCTGGGGTGGCCCTGGCCTGAAATCGGAATCAAATTGGCCAGCTCTATCGGGTCCGATCTTCTTGGCTCAGCGATACTCGCCGTCGATAGCCGACCGCTGGACATATGGCCAAAAGAGCCACATACATATATTGATAGGGAGTATCCAGGGGTAATCTAATCTGCTCGCATTTACGTAGAGAGCCAGCGCTTCACGTGGCTGAACTGAACGTAATTTGTGTAAGACCTCCGAAGACCGAGAATCGTACTGGCAAACGCCGGGCAAAAGTTGTGGTGACTACACAGCCGTCATCGCTCAATTTCCCAATTTACGGGAACACTGATAAACTGCAGAACTTTGACGCGTGGGATTAGCCGCCCATAATGAATCGAGTAGCGTCGAGTCGAGTGATCGTTCAGTTTGTTTTCTTTGGCTTTGATTGATGTTTTGGCGCCATTCCGTGGGCGTTCAATTGTTTACAGGGGTTCGGGTTTGGGGTTTGGGGTTTGGGGCTTGCAAAGAGACCGACCGTGAGAGATTGAATTAAAGGTGGACCTGGACGAACATAAAGAGTGCGAGTTCGCAGCGCTCATATCTCGATCTTAATATCGATCTCGCTCTCCTTCTGTTCTTATACGGCTGCTGCTTTGTGACTTTCTGAGTCTGTGAGAAAACCAGATATTGTCATGTGAATTTTTGCATATTAATTGAGGTTTTTTCACAGTACGACTTCGGGTAAGCCTAAATCTATTAATGGGCACTACGGATCCAAATTGGAGGCTAACTAAGAAGGGAGAGAGCTGCGTATCTGCGTATCTGAGACCGAACGAAAAACAAAATCTATCCAGAGATCGCTACTCGTTACACTTGTTGTTTCTGCTGCGGTTGTTGGCACACTTAGTTGTGAAGTTTGTTTTGATTTTTAACACTTTTTTTCTCGTTTTTTTTTGTTATTTTTTTATTTCGTGCTTGGCTATGTACACTTTTGTTGTATTTTAGAGCACGCTAAGCTGTTTTTTTCCACCTCGAGCGAATGCAGCCATCGAATTTCAGCGCGTACATGATTTCCAGTCGGCTCTATGCGTTTTTAATTGCAATCGCTTTGGATCGACGACTGGTTGGCCCTGGGTTATATGTTATATGTTGTATGCGATCTAGCGTGTTGTAGGCACGACTTGGCCAAATTCAAGCGGCCGAAACTGCATTAGGTGGCTAACTGAGGCGACCAGTTTGCAGCTGGCCAGCTCTTGGTGTATTTGATTTTTTGGGATTTGCATGCAGCTCGTTACTTTTGCGATGACTATATAGCTGCCGATTCCGATTCTATATGGCACAGTTACTGGGATGTTGCACCGACGTCGACTGCGACTGCAACTGCGGCTGCGACTGCGACTGGGCGACCGACGCGGCGAAAGAATCTACAACAACTGACTCCATAAATGGCGAGCAGCTGTTGCCGCAACACCAAAAAGAGAGGCAGATAGAGAGAGAGAGAGAGAGAGCTTTGGCGATAAACGAAGCTCACTCTCTGGCTCTCTGAACTGACCACCCCCTGATCCCCACCGCCCACTACCCACTCACCCCAATCTGATCAGCTCGCTGAGCGCGATCAAGTTTCACCGATGCTCACTCGCTCTCTGAGCAGAGCACCGGGAGCAGCGGGAGAGAGAGAGCGGGAGCTGTTAATTGGACGGCGACACAAAACAGCTGCGCTTTGGATCCCCGACAAGCGCCAGCTGACTCTTCTGAGTCTTGGCTCGGGTTACCTGGTCAAGCGCAGGGCTCACAAGGCACTGCTGATACCCTACAAGATGTTAATCCATCTGCCAAAACCTTTTCTGCATTCTGGAAACTAAACTAACTGCCAACACCCTGCAACGCACTAATCAATCTTAATCCCGTTTAGCTGTCGTAAGTTATGGCAGCCACTTGAGTTGATTGGCTCGAATTTGGATCATCGTAAATCATTAGAAAATCAGAAGAAAAGAAATGTGCAACCGATTCTGAGATTCCCATTGATAAGTGCTGGCTACGAGTGGTATCAGCCAGCATAGCGGAAGCTCTTGACGATGGAGTATCGTCACTTCAGATTAGAAGAAGCAGTGGCAGAGAAGGCAGAGTTCCTCAATCAAAGGCCTTATCTATCGTTATTATTAACCGATATTGAGTGCTGAAGGTAACCAAAGCCCAATTGACGCCTCACATTAAAGGGTATTAGGTAAATGATGCTGACGAGGGGATCGTGTTTCAATGTCAATGAAACACCGAAGAAAATCAGACAGTTTTGGAAATCTGTATGTGGTTAAAAGTAAAAACTCTATCAAAATCATCAAGCAAAATCGAAATCTTAAAAATATTTATGGCGAAACATTTAGAGGAACTGAAGGTCAACGACCCTTCCTTCCTTCTTATTTCACGACCCTGTATGTCTCTTAAAGAATATGTGAAGTTCAAAAAGATGGCAAGTACTCAAGGATTACTAATACTAGCACTACTTACTGCCAGTGGCCCGTCGCACCACGCTGTGTGTGAAGTTGCCCAAGGCGGCGACCGTCACAATCGAGTCCTTTTTGCCGGTGCTCAGCTGGTGGAAGACAAAGTTCAGGAGTTCGGTCAAACGACGAGTTGAACAGTGGCTTTGCGGATTAGATTACCTTTTCGTAGTCGGCCTCGCTTTTGGTCTGGAGCGGATTGAGGAGCACCTGACCGCACAGGTTGTCCCCGGCCGTGCTCCCATTTCCGTCGCTGGGTGGCTGCAAGGTCACGCCACCGCAGCTGCAGCGACGCAGGCGACTGCGTCTCAATTTGATGCAGAACAGCCGACTGTCGTCCTTCTCAGAGGCGTCCAGCGGCAGGGATCCGCGCTCTCCGGCCGGACCACCGGTGGCGGAGGGGGCGGGCAGGGTGCTTGGCGAACAGCCCATGGCTAAGAAGTCCTGCTTCTGATCCCGGCCTGGCTAGTTGCGATGCGGTTGCTATGCTAAATTGCTCTTGGTTGCCTTGTGATTTTGATTTTGGTTTTAGTTTCGTTTCCTGTTCTGCCGACTGTGGTCTACGGAGGATTCCCGGGATGGCACGGCTTACGCTTGCTCCACCGACGACGCTGTTGGCCTTGGCAGTGCTGCTGCCTTCTTGTGGTTGCTGCTGCTCTGGTTCGATGGTTTCGATTCTGGACGATGTCGTTGTTGCTGGCGATAACATAATTGAAACATTTTTGGGCTGCGGTCTGCTGATTGATTGACTGATGGCCAGCGAAGAGACTGGTCACATGATCCACAAAACTGCAAGGAGGGAGAGGGGAGTCTTGGTTAATTGAAATTCTAGGTAAGTGCAAAGGGATTGTCAAATGTACATAAGGCTAAAACTTGGTTCATCTCTAGGCCTTTAATAATTCTCTAATAAATAACTTTTTCCAACTTTTCTATTCAGTCATTTAGCCAGCACTGACCTACATTAACTTTCGTTCCTTCTTTTCAGATAGTTCCCGGCTTAATTAGTTAAACTAGTTTAATTGACATTGATAAGCCAGAGTGATAAATGACATGAATGAGCTGCAGTGCTAGCTGGTGTTTTAACTCGATTACGAAATCCAGTCCGAGTCCCCCGTTCAAGCGCCGTTTCATTGAAACTCTCATCGAATATGGACAGGGCACCCGCACAATTGTCAAAAACTCTTGGTGATTGTTATAAATTCATAAAAGCCCAAATATTGGCAATGATTATTGGAGCCAAGGCGAGGGAATAAAATACAAAACACCGAGAAGTATAAAAATAAAACAGGGGCCCTTGAACGTGACCAACTCGCTGCATATGAATAATGCCCAGTCAGAGGCTATATTTGCGTTCCGTTTTCCGTTCGCCAGCGACTCCTGTCTGCCATATTAAGTTCGCGTCCCGAAAGTTGGCGAAACTTGATAGTCTGAACCCTCGGTGGCACGTATCAAACAATTGACTTGTGGGGATTTGTGGGTGTCATATATAATACAGCTTTGGGTACATATCTGTGACGGCGATGGCAATGGCGATGGCAATGGCAATGTCGATGTCGCCCTGTTCTTCTCTTCCAACCAACATTCCGGCTGTCAGTGGGCTTTATCTTGGGGCAGGCAAATAGAAAAACCCTCCGTTGCTCGCTCGTGTCTTGCTAACCAATTTTAAATATTTAGATAAAATTCGAACGAAAGCGAAAGAAGCAAATCAACTGATACGGGAGTGGAGTACGGGAGCGCACACTCCAGATTAGTCACCGAAAGTCGTACCCACTTCAAGTGGCAATTGGAGCTGGGCTCGGTAGATCAAGTCTGCGAGTGAGATGTCTTATGTCTTTCCTTTGGGAGGGGAGGGGAGTCGAGGGGAGGAAAAACAATTCCATGTCGGGGGTGTGGCGGAAAAGATAGTCCTTATCCCCGGCGACGTTGATTGACTTGCTAAAGGGAAAGGCTGTCTTTCATCTGCATTCGTACATAAACACATCCACATCCATAAGGACACTTGTTGTCGTCCCTCTGTCTGAATCCGTTTGCATTGTTGGGGCCAAAGACAAAAGGCGTCACAACAGAAGACACAAACAGGAAGACAGGCGAGCGGAGGAACTGAATCGGAAGCACAAGTGCAGGGAGAAATATATCACGAAAATTGCTCATACGTTTGGAATTTTTCATTACTGTTGCTGGATAAGAGTAGTGTGATTTGAATTTGAATTTTAAATCTTTCAAAGCCTGTTTTCATGAGACTCATCTTCATTATACTAATTTATCTGCTTTTAAACTAAGTACAGTGTGACCTTGCAGATGAATTAAACTTCGAATCATTCTCTTAAGGAAGGTCAAAGTCGTTTTGAGTTTTAGCCCAAAGAAAGTTCCATTCCAATTTTCTCGCCGTGCAGAATCCAAATCAGATTCAGCTCCAAGCAAACTCATCCACATTCCCAGCAATGAAAAAACTACAATAGAGATGTCGAGAATCAGCTCCACGTACACATCAGTCTATGGTGTGTTTGTTGATTTAAACAAATTATTTTTAGCCCGACCATATTAAAATGAACAAGTAATGGCTTTCGCCGTACACTCAGCCTCATTTAAGTTTTCAAATAAATAACGAACGCTGTGGACGTAACATAATTTGTTTACCGCCGCCCGGGGACGAGGGCGAGGACGAGGACGAGGCAGTTGCAATTGCTCAGCCGCCCCGTTGCCAAGCTATGTACACAAACACACACACACAGTCTAATAATCGGGGCCTCGAGTTCCTGTGCGGCGCCTTTCGGTATGCAACTAAAAGCTCGAGTGCCAAGGAGTGCCAAATTCTATTAGCGGTCCCCGACGTCAGCGTCAACTCATTAGATGCAGCCAAGTCACGGATGCTTGGCCTGAGCCCGAGCCCGAGCCTGAGCCCGACCCCGGAGCTATTAGTATGCAGGTGCTAGTGGGTATTCGGATAATAGCATCATCAGGAGGCGCCTGTGTGCGCGAGCCCCTAATAGAATTTTAGAATTTCCTACTCGAGAGCGCAGGTATTTGGCAGCCGGCTCCGGCCCATATAGGAAAGCTGGCCGAGACCAAAAAAGATGAACATGGAACATGTCGTATGGCGCAAGGCGCACGGCGCATTCGAATTCGCATTTGAGCAATTTTGTATCTAATAGTTTTTGCCCGCTGATGTTTTGCAGCTGCCGATCGCGCTGGGGTTCGGCTGTCTGTTTACATATACTGATCGGAATCCGATCGCCTACTATATGGTATATATTCCATTCCAAATAACGTATCGGATACTTAATGTGTGTAGTCTACGGAGATCCATTACAAATGCCTAATTTGACTCGAAGTCAGGTGTTGAAATGGAGTATTTAAGTTTACAGCCTGCCATAATTCAATGCGCTTTTCCCAAGCTGACTATTAGAAAAACAGTTAGAACTTAATTAGGAAAGGCGGCGAACGAAAAAGTACTCTTTACAAGCTTTTTGTTCGAAGTTATGAAACAATATTTACCATATTTCTTGCATACAATTCAAGTTAAATGTGTGCCAGAAATAATTAAGGACGGTTTCTGTAATCAAGTTGTATAATACTAACAGTGAGCTTTCTATATTTCTCTCTGAAAACCCATAAAAAACCTATAAAAATATGTGGCAACAGAGTGGCGAATATGGATTTCTCTAACTGAAAAAGGGCAGACCTGAGGTAGCCCCATATAGAACTTAATGGCCCATTATAATCTCGAATGTGTCCTCCAACCATGGACAACCTTGCCGGTGGTCTTTCGAGGAATTTCATGTTCAGAATTTGCGTCACGAGTGTCAGCTATACGAGCAGCCTACAGCATCCTCGAGATTCGACGGCGATCTTGGGGGCCTTGAGGCTTCACAATGGAACAGCTACTAATCGCTTACAGGCGGAAGGTTGGGCCACGTCTAATTAATAATGAACATGAAAGAACACTCCAACATACTTAGATATATAGATATCGAGGAGGATGTTCATATATATGTATCAAGACTGCTTACAATATCTATGGGGACTTTTCCGGCTATTTGACAGAGTTTGCCAGTTGGAAAT